GAGCCTGAACCTGCAGCAGAGCCCGAGCCTGAACCTGCAGCAGAACCTGAGCCTGAACCTGCAGCAGAACCTGAGCCTGAACCTGCAGCAGAACCCGCAGCAGAACCTGCGGAAGACGAACAGCCTCAAGGTGAACCTGACCCTGTCACTGATCTTATAGACATGTATGCTGAGCCCAGATCAGAGGAACCGCCTGTGGAGGATAAACCCGCTGATCCAGAGCCTGAACCATCGCCAGAGCCGGTCCTGAGGGCAGTCGAGCCAGAAATAGAACCAGAAGCTCCGCCAGAACCTACACCTGAATCTGCACCTAAAGAAGCTGTCCCTGAGCCAGAAGCTGCTACCGAACCAGCACCAGAGGCTCCACCTGAGGAGCAACCGGAGGCGGTCCAGCGATCTGCAGAGCCTAAAGAACCACAACTTGAACCAGCTCTTGAGCCCGAAGCTGAGAAGGAAACTCCGTAAGTTTGGAAGCACGGTCGATGATGAAAGTATACTGACTACCCCCAGCCCACCCCTCGCTTCTGTCAAATCAGTTAAACCTCGAAAGCGAGATGCATGGCGTAGCAAGTTGGCTGCTGGCGGCAATACTAAACAGCGGCTACTGATGGCCACGGCACCGAAGGAGACAAAACCTCTTGTGGCGGCACTGCACCAGGCGAAGGCAAGGGGCACGGATATCAAGCCCATGATTGATGGCATGTTGGCCACGATCGCGTCGTAGCTGGGGTTGGAGGCTGAATCGTACCGTCATTGATACCCTTCCCTAATAAGCAAGTCCTACTTCTAGACCTATGCAATTCGTCATGCTTATTTGACCTGCTTCAAATGTGTGCTGAGTCCCTGATGCGCTACCCACACATCACAGTGGTGTGAATACTCTGATTACAAATAAATCTGCGTTGTTTGTATGCGTGGCTAATATTGCGATTACATGAATGTGGTTACCTACCATAGCCTAGACTCACTTTCTAGAGACATGACACCGCTCTGGAGGTAGTCATATAGCCATTTTACCGCTCTCCTTTCCGAGTAGAACAGCTTCAGGCTCTTGCACATCTGATGTAGCCTTGCTAGCATTCTGGTCAACAGTTGTTCTGGGTCACCATAATCAAGCTTATTACGCAGCCACACATAAAAGTCAATGATCGCGCATAAGTTTCAGTTCGTCGTTGCTATGCATGTGTACAGTGCCCGTATCATTGCCAGGCATCTTATCCTCATATTCTCATGATTTCACCGTCGAGTCACCAGCCTCCCGCTTACAACTGGGATGTCTCCTTCCTCTCGCCAATGGTGTTCAAGAAGGCAGTGTGGACATGCTCAGTCAGATCGCTGGCCTGCAGCGACCGGCCCTTCTCCATGAACGCCAGCCTCGAGCACTCCCTGGTAATGCAGCTTCCACCGTACGCCGCCAGAGCCAAGGTCTCGCTCCGCTCCATACTGTTGTCATGATCCCAGATCTTTTCGTGATACGCCTTGCGGTACGCCAGCAGCGTCGCCAAGCTACCTGTCAGCGTGTCACCCTGGCCACCAGAGCGCTTCAGACCGCCCTCGCCCTCAGATACAAGCGTGTGCTCGCCGTTGGAGATGTAGTCCTTAGGTCCCTTCTGGATGATCGTGACGCCACCGAAAGCCTTGGACAGCTTGCTGCACAGCTCCGCCGGATCGCCCTCGTTAACATCGACGCCCTTTGCCTTAGCCAGCCGTCCGAACTCGACCACATTCGGCGTGAGAATGCACTCCTTGCACCCATCGACCAGCTCCGGCCGTGTCTGCGCAAGAAACAGACCGTCCGCGTCCAGCACAAACGGGATGCCTTGCTTCCGCGCCTCCTCGATCACCTTCGCGCATGTGTCTTGCATCAGCTTGTCGCGCCCTAGACCGGGCCCGATCACGATGACGTGAAGGCGAGACAGCATGTCGACGACTTCTGCAGACACGGATTCGGCGGACTCGGATTGTCCGACGTTCTTCTCCTGGCGCATGATCGGGTGCACCATGAGATTCGGGGAGTAGGTTTTGATGACGGCGGCGGCGCCGGGCTCGCAGATGACGTGCGACTGAGACATGTTAGCCGTGGATTTACTTGGCGAGGGAGGGGAGCGAAGATACCATGTCGCAGCCTAGCTTTGCGCTGGCCATGGCGGAGAAGTAGGGTGCGCCGGTGTAGTCTTCGCTGCCGCCGATGACAGCTACTCGCCCGAGCTGGCCTGGAATACGAGTCAGTATTGCTTGCACAGAGTGTGCAATGGTGAAAAGTACCCTTGTGGAAACTCTCAAGCATGGGCGGGACCATGTTGTACACCTTCTTGAGAAGGTCTTTTCTTGCTACGGATGCCATTGGGAAAGGGTGTGACGGAAGTGCAAACAGGGTATCGATAAAAGGGTACTGGAGAGCAAGTTGAAGCCTCTGAAAGATAAAGCTTGGGGTTATGATGACGGCGCATCGCTGCGAGCGAGCAGTTTCGACGAACGGTGATGTTTGAAGATGAGGTCATGATGATCCAGGGACATGTGGGGAAGACACGACGCGCCAGTGGTACATACGCGACGCGCCGCTGACACCTAGCTTGAGATAACACCACCACAGAGAGTGCGGGTTTGCTGCAATGTTTGGCCTTGCTTTGTGAGCATTGATGTCCACAGCATGTCAGAGCATGTCAAAGCATGTCAGAGCATGTGTCGCACAGCCGCATCTGTTGCTTGTTAATGGCTTCGACCCGTCAACACCGGCCTGGCATATCCCTGTACATCTTTGCCCTTTGGCCACAATGCTTCAATACTTCCATGTCGACTTCTTCTTCATCTAACTGCGGCGTGCTTGCAGGCCGGTGAATCTGCGTCCTGATTCCAGCTCGGATTTGAGGCGATGACCGGAAGAGGAGTCTGAAAGACTTGCTTTCTGAAGAGGATGATAACCAGCTGAGTGGCTTTTCAATCGTGCTGGAAGAATCGTCTGAATGCCTGTAGCACAGCTTCATCGTTGGCCAGCTGCCCGTTCGTAATAATAAAGACTTTCAGACTCAGCACAGGTCTAGCTAGTCCTGCACGTATCTTGACATGCCTGTGACGCCCTGTCTAGCATCACGATAATGCCCTTCCCATTTCAGCTCTATACGTTGGACGTGTAGGAGACCTCTGTGACGTGCAAGAGTTTTTGGACTGGAGGGCCTCTTGAGACCACCGGTAGAGGTGCTAAGGGCGAACGGACTTATTGCGGTAGGTGCTGCGATGAATGAGTAATAGCCTACATGGACACAAATCAAGAAGCTCCCGTATCGTTGTGTTTCGTTCTGGATAGAGATTAAAATTGGCCAAGTTTGTGTGGTGCAGCTCCAGAGCCGAGAATGGCATGAATCCCGAGCGCATTGAGGAAGTTGATAAAGTGAAAGAGAGCATCACACCGTCAGCGGATGATGACGCGCCCACTCGAGTTATGTCTTCGATGAAAAGCAGATACTCTGTCAGTAGGACGGAATTGTCACAATGCCGTGCATGTGTCGATGCTCACTTTTTGTTGTCACTGGACTGACGTATCACAGGGCGCATTGCACCTCTACTCTGTCTACCAGCCGAGCTGCGAGACTAAATTTAGACACGTCATTGGCGGCCACGATATCCAGGCAGTTCTCTGGACAGAGAACCAAATCCGGTTCAGGCGTCAGAGCGTTCACTTCGAGCTGTGCATCTAGGATGCGGTCTTCAACCAGACATGCCGAGTGATACGTCAAGAGACGACGAACATGCATTTCGCACTCAATTCGTTCTTCAGACATCTCACCCACCTTACACACTTCTTCTAACACCCCAACACCCAAAAGGATCAGATTACGTCTATTCGCATCCTACTTAGTAGGATTCCCGCGCCATGCAAACATCGACAGGAAGAGTTCAGACCGTACGAGAACTTCGGCACAAGCTTTGCACTCCTCACCAACATTCATGAAATCGCGGTCACTATACTGACATCTTGCTTGACTTGGTCAGGGGGCAGAAGCCGGTACAGAGCAGATGCCAAATTTGCCTGGCGTCTTTTGAGTCTGAATGGGAGCGGTGTCCTGTCGTCTATTGGCGTGGTTTATCCGAGGGCATATCCTGCGCCGTTCGCATTCTGAACGATCCGCTGGTGAGATTGGAAGTCTGGATGCCATTAACCGAAGTCTCGGAAGTACTGTTGCCAACCATCAAGCGCCAATAGATCCTGCTCAGAAAAGAAACCAACGTGAAGCAAGCAAAGGAAAGCGAGGCGGGGAGGTTTTACGCGTTGCTCAGGGTCTCGAACTGATGCTGCTGAGGTGCCACAAGTTCACGCATTAGACCGAAAGGGCCAAGTATCTGTGAACATCAGGTCGATCTGACCTGGAAAAGATTAAATAGCAATAGCGTCTATGGGAATCATGTGTTTGCAAGCCATGCATATCTGCAATCATACCCTCCTGGGTGTTCCTCCAACGCCAAAGTGCGTGCCCCGAACATTTACAACACAATACTAATGGCTCTTCCTCTGCGCATTGGCCAATGCGCTGTTGAGCGCGGCAGTAACGTCAACGTGAAACAGCGGCCTGTTCAAACCCTGCACAACGGCAATCCTGTTCGCAGACACACCGCTGAAATCACCCTCAGCAGCACCGTATGCCTTGCTAAGCTCAAGCTGCTTGTTCAACGACCCAGTGTCGCTCGATTCGGCACTGTCATGTGCCGCCTCGATGTCGTCCTTGCTGACCTGCGAAAGTGTGCGCTGTGCGTGGCGGTTTTCGCGGGCCTCGGCTGCAGCGGCAGCGGAGTCTGAGCCACCGATCTCAGCAACAGAGAAGACAGGCTTCCAGCGGTGTACGCCAGACGCGTCGGGCTCGGGTGTGTAGTAGCCAAAGCCAGCGGCGGCGAGCGCACGTTTGGTCCATCGGTTGTTGATGTTGCAGAAGTGCCAATCCACTGTGTCTGGTGCGGCGTACTTATCAAGCTGATTGCGAACATCGATCAGGTTCTGAATGGATGTAAGATCGACGTTATTGACGGATGAGAAGTCAAGAATTATGGCCTTAAGCGTTGGTCGATCGTCTTGAATGGCAATGTCCTTGCCGCGACGTGGTCCAGGGTCATTCCATGGGCGGTCACCGAGTCTTGCGTACGAAGCTGGGTTCGTACGGCGTGTCTTCTTGAAGATGGTCTCGATGAGATCGTCAAGATAGTGATTGGCGTTGGGGTAGTTGAAGCCCTCGCTGAATCTGTAAAGGAAGATGCCCGGATAGGGGTCCTCAAGCTGAATCTGGGGGTTAGAGCCGTCATGGTGATCGATGGGCAAGAAAATGCTTCGAACAGATTCCTCGCTCGCGGAAGGAAACGTCTTGCGCCCCTGCTTGTTGTCATCGGTAGGGTCGAGGAGGTGGTCGCCAATGACGGAATGGATTTTAGCACGGCCAAGGAAGCGACCCCTTGCCTTAAAAGCACGGAAAGCCCACAATGCGAATGAGACGCAGACAGTGGTGTAGATGCCGTTCTCAATGCTGGAAAACACTGTGACAAAGACGCCAGCAAAGAAAATGGGAACCTCAATAGGCGAAATCCTCCAGAATTGGTAGACGGTGTTAGGTGGCAAAATCAGGTCACCTACGGCGTGAATGATGACGGCAGCAAGCGTAGCGTTTGGAATGTACCAGAACATAGCCGGAAGAGCGTAAATGGCAAGCAACACAACAGCAGCTGTGATGACACCAGCGAAGGGAGTGCGCACGCCAGCCTTTGACTTGATGGCTGTACGTGAGAAAGAGCCTGTAGCGGGGTAGGCACCGAGGAAAGGACCAAGGCAATTACTGATTCCAATCGCGACCAACTCCTGCGAGGGATTAATGGTATAATTGTTGACACGGCCAAACGACTTTGAAATGGAAATGTGTTCAATGAGGAGAACGATGACTGTCGATGGGAGCTCCGACGCGAACGACTTGATGATAGGAATGGTGATGCGAGGAACACGAGCGTGCTGAAAACCGCGTGGGACATCCTTAAGAACCGAGACGAGGGGCTTCTTCCTGTGATGACGATTGACGAGGTAGCTGATCAGAACATAGAGCAGGATGATAAAGACGGTCCGCAGTGTGTTGATGAAGAAGAACAGCTTGGCCCTGGTGGGGAACCTCTTCGCAAGGAAGCCGCAAAACCATCGAATGAAGTACAACAGGAATAGTGAGGTGAGACCGAATGAGGCGTTGAGGTCTGTTCGTCCAAGGTGTTTAAGTGTGTTGATGATGACTTTGTACGTTGCTTCGCGTGTCGAGAAACCAGTGATTCCCATCATCGTAGGGACTTGTCCGGCAGCAATGCTGATAGCTGATCCCGTCATGAAGGCCGAGATGGCGGGGAGGGAGATAACCTCAACAATCCAACCCAATCGTGCTAAACCAAAGAACAACACGATTGAGCCTGCGATGATAGCCAACGAGGACGCAATTATATCGCGGGAAGCGTCGACACCTGTTGCCTCAGCCTTTAGGACGACATTGCCGGTGACGGTGGACAGGACGGCGACCGGACCTATGGTGATGTCCTTCGAAGTCGCGAAAAACCAGTAGATGAGTACTCCCATGAAAGAGGAGTATAAGCCGAATTCGACAGGAAGTTGAGCAAGCTTTGCATAAGCCATACCCTGAGGAACGACGACGGCGCCAACCGTGATACCTATTCAAATCAGCACGATATTGGCGGCATGATAAGGAGGGCTACTGACCAGCAATCAGGTCACCAATGAGCCATTGTACATTGTATCGACCGATCCAGTGAGTGAAAGGGAAGAGACTGTAAAAGTACTGGGCTAGTTCGTGACCGTTTGGTAGAGTTTCCCGGATCCACTCTGCAGCTGTTGGTTCTTCTTCGACATATGTGTGGGCAGATCCAACGGTGAAGACGCTCTCTCCTCGAGTCACTCGGTCTGACCCAGTCTCATTGCGGTAATGGAGGTCGATACCGAGGACCTTGGCAATGCCGTTGCCGATTTTGTTGGCCATGGTGATATGGGTCCAAATGGGGACGAGTCCAGTTTAGCCGGTTGGCTATGTTTCAAGGTGGCTCGACACTGGTGGAATACCACGTGCTTACTTGCCCTTGAAGGAGTGGGAATCAGAACACAAGACTGACAAGACTTGACAAGCTACCACAAAAGGTTTGCCAGGGCTTGGAACTTATGTATTAGAGGGACCGGGCGGTTGGATGTGCAGAGGTCCCGTGCGGGAAGTCCACGTACAGCGAATAGCGGGAGACTGCCTGGCGACTAGGTCCGTGGGATCGAATTGCGAGATGGAATTTGTTCTGGATTCGGAAAAGCAAAAGACTTGGAGAACGCCTCAAAATTACTCAACGTGGTGGCTTATTGCGTGACAGGAGCTTATCACGCGCAGACGACAACAATGAAGTTGGACGTGAGGCGGTTTTCTAGTCTACGGAATCGACGCAGACGTGTAATAGGTGTGCCTGGTGGTGAGGTGGCAGGGGAGACAAATGTGAGAAATATCTCCTCGCGCCACCTTAAAGCGAGACAGATCAAGGTCAGAACTTGACAGGTGACATAATACTGTGGACATGTTGTCGGCCACCTGGTTCCCCCAACGTGGGAGCGGTATTGCTTCATCTGCCGCGGTCGGAGTGAAGTCCACGCCATAAAGCCTCAAGTTCGCGATGGAACTCGGCTAGGCTAACAGGGATGGCGCACTAAGGCTCTGCTGGTCGCTAGACGCACGCAATGAGTGGCCAATGATGTCGCGAGGCTATGCGGGTCCCAATTGCGTGCTCACAGGCAAAGATGTCGCATTGCCCTGGTGTGGCCGCCATGTTCATCTCTCGGCGGTGGTACTCGAAGATTATAGGGCATCTACAAATTTGTTAATGACTATGTTCTTGATGACTTTTCTGCTGTAATTATCGCATCCTTTGGGCTTTCTGGCGATGCACCCAGCTGCGAAGTCACGACGTAGTCGTTGAAGATCGTGATGTTCTAAAAGATGCTATTCTCTTGGTTACGGGGACATCTGCGTCACTCCAGGAACGTTCCGGAATCTAGTGGGCTCAATGTGGGAACCACCGGGGCGCCATCTGCAGCCTCTTCGTCTGGACCGCTTTTGTGAGATGATCTCGACGACAGTAAGATGCTACGAAGCTCAGGGCGGAGCGGGAAGCTTGCCGGTTGCATTAAGCTTCTGTCTACCCGTGTGCGGCTTTGTTCAGATCTTTTTTCTGATTAGCGCGGCGGCTGCATGCCTTTGGCTCAAATTGAAACACCACCTTTCCAGAAGAGGTGTGTGGGATGCATTAATTACATACGCGCTCCGCGACACGGAGATGCGGCAATGTTGAGCTTGGATATTGACTCTTGAGGCTAGCATCGCTCGATCGAAGTTGACGATTTCTCTTTATCAAGAGCATGAACAAAAGTATCTATGTGGTCCGTATACCTATTGACTGTCCACATGCGCGGGGTGGTGTGGGCACCAGGACTGTCTTCCTTTAGTATGCATGGCCTTTCCGCATACGCCGATATAACAGCGCCTCCCTTGTCACTTGAACTGGACTTGACCGTGGAAATCAGAGAGATTGACAAGCCACCTCGTCGGGACCAGTACGCATTCGGTCGGTATTGCCTCTCACGGGACTATTTGAGTAGGAAGTAAGAAGCAGAAGACTGAATTCCAAAGCCTCGCAGAACAACGCACACATCCAACTTCCGGTGATTACTTCCAGAGTGCGTCTAAGAGACCAGTCACAAGATTTGAAGATGGTCAAGACTGTCCTTGTGGTGCTGTTCGGGGTGCCCACTGTGTCCAAGCATTCTGAACCCACGAGAGGAAACCTGTGGACAGCTGTGCTGGGATTTAGTGAAGGTGCGGGCGATGCTCTCCAAGACTGTAGCCTAGTGAGTAGTGGGCATAAGGTATAGGCTAAGTTGCTCTACCGAATTTCTCGAACAGTTACCGACTCTTTAGTATGCTATCTGAGTGTGACTCGATAGTCGCACTGTCATTTGACATTCAGTGACGTCCCGAACGCTGATGGGTCGTGCGTGAGATGTAAGGAGCCGGACAAGGCTCGTACAGCCCACCAATCTCGTGAATAGCCAAGCAGTAGCGACACGCTGAAGCTTTAAGGTCATATTGAATGCGCCAGCGATGATCGGAGATGCCGGGACATGAGGCTGAGACTGGTAGAACTGTGAAGTTTCGAAGTGAATTAGTCACACTATTCAATCTGCTGTGGCGCTGTGCGATGTCCTCGAAAACCTGCTGCTATTGGAGCTCAGCTGAGTTCTGGGTGATACTGACAGCCTGACAGATGCAAAAGTCACGTTTGGTCCTACCAGTGACGCCTAACCAGATCTAATATGGAGAAGTCTCGTTCTTGTTCTTGAGAGAGTCCTCTTCATGGTCTTTGATGAGTGGAGATGTTAGAGTCGAAGGCGTGTTTTGTTTCACATTCACAAGACGTCTTGCTTTGATAGACTAATAGCCCTGGAGCTCCTGAAGACAATCGCAGGTCATTGACCATGTCGATAGTCGGCTTGATCGAAAGCGCTGCAGTTTTATGGTTCCGTTCGACACCGATATAGTGAGATCTGGGGCGCAGGAGCCAGCATAGATTTTGTGTAGTCGACGGCTCCTCCTTGAACCGATGCATTGCGCGACATGAGCTGTTGAAAAGACTCAGCCAGTCATGACTGTTGCTCAACTCGACGCTGTATGACAAAGATCCGGGGCCCTTGTTCAAAGTCAGGTTCTTCATGTCTATATGTTACTCAACAGACTCTGCTATAAAGATCAAGATTGCAGCTCGTGTTGGCAAAGGTGATAAACAGTTGCGAGCTCGAAGCTTTGGACAGGCCAGAGCAACGAGCATACATGGTAAATTGCACGTGACTTTGGCTATCATGAGTGATGTGCACCATCTACAAATTGCTTGTAGGTAGTTAATCTCATACACGAGCAGCTTTGAGGCATGGTATTCTGTTCAGGTTTCGATCCGAAATACATTGTCGTTGCCGCTTTTGCGCATCCTGCAAATGACGTCAGACAGGATGCGGGGCTGAAAACGCGAACGATACGCGACCAAATCTCAGCATCTCGACCAAATCTGAACCTCGTGTCGAAAGTCCTGCCAATCACAACATGAATGCCACAGCAAGCGCTGACTGGGGGATGGGTGACTCAGAGAGCTTTGTGCTTTTCCGTCCGATCATCCATTCCCGTGGCTCGCACACGGTTGTAAGGCTCATGCAGGTTAGACGGCAGGTGATATTTAGACTTTTAGGCTATACACCTCCACTTCTTTCTTTCATCCACATCTTTCCTACTCTTCATAACGTATTTGACATTAGTAACGTTCCTGTCTGTGACAAGCAGAAGCGCTTCTCCATCGACGGTCGTTCACAGGTCACTCTCAAGCACTGGACACCGCGCCATGGACATACCCATCCTATCGAGGATTGCGGGTTTCCTCGGAATCACGTCGCTACAAGCAACTGGACGGGATGCATACATCATCATCACCCTGCGCTCTCTGCGCATGTTCACGTCCGGAATCCCATCGTTGATCCTCGCTCTGTTCTTTGCCTCGCTCAAGTTTCCGGATTCGAGGATCGGAGTGTTCATGACATTGACATTGCTCGGCGATGTGTTTCTGTCATTGCTGCTCACGCTTGTTGCCGACAAACTGGGCCGGCGAAGGATATTGTTCGGTGGCAGTGTTATGATGGCGATGTCTGGTGTTACTTTTGCTCTGTCGGAGAGTTTTTGGATTTTGCTAATTGCAGCTGTTTTTGGAATCATCAGTGTCACCGGCGCTGACTGTGGTCCTTTTCGAGCTGTCGAAGAGAGCATTTTGAGTGGGCTGACAGACGAAACAACTCGCAGTGACGTGTTGACTTGGTATGTCACATTCACAACAATGGCGGGCGCCGTAGGTGCCGAAGTCGCAGGACGTGTAGTCCACGCTCTGGAAAAAAGGCACAATGTTGTTAAGGCCTACCATGCTTTGTTCTGGGCTTACGCAGCTTTTGGAGTCATCGGCAGCATCCTTTGTCTGAGTCTCAGTGAACGATGCGAAGCAGCTGGCGAAAAGCGCGCAGAGATGCAAGAACGGGGACGAGGTGGCGACGGAGAAGAGGAGGAAGTCTTGTTGGAAGCTATGATATCTAGCACGGCGGACGGTTTCGAAAATGAAGGAGGTCGCCGCGGTCGTCAGGCGGACGTTCAAATCCCACTGAAGAGCAAGCAGAGCTACTTCAGCCAGATCTCGAAAACAACGCGCTCCATCATGTACAAGCTTTGGATTCTCTTGGCCATCGACTCCCTTGCAGACGGTATGACCCCATACTCGCTTATGAATTACTACATCGAACAGAAATTCAATGTTTCGAAAGCGACTCTGGGTGACATTACCTCTGCTTCGCAATTTCTATGCGCTTTCAGCGCCGTCTTTGCTGGGCCACTTGCTAAGAAGATTGGACTCATCAATACGATGGTGTTCACCCACCTGCCGTCTTCGATTGCAAGCGCATTCATCCCGCTCCCCCAAACCGTTGGCCCAACTATCGGGATCCTACTGTTCCGGGCTGCGCTCAACAGTATGGATCAAGCTCCGCGTACTGCGTTTATTGCGGCTGTCGTCAAGCCTGAAGAGCGTACAGGCGCAATGGGCATCACGAGTATGGTCAGGACGTTAGCCATGAGTGCCGGACCTTCAATTACCGGTCTGTTATCCGGATACAATGTATTCTGGATCGCTTTCCTCGCCACAGGTACTTGCAGGATCATCTACGATCTGGGCTTGTGGGTCCTGTTCTCGACTGTGAAGATTGACAACAAGCCCGCTGCAAGAGAAGACGATCTCAGCAGCGTGGATGATGAGGCCTGGAACGGTCTGCTGAGTGACAGCGACAACGACAGCAACCTCGACTTCGAGGGCAGAAAGAGTGAGGACCTGGAAAGCGTTCAAAATAGGGTATAGGCGTAGCTGGCCTGCTACGGATGTCACAATCAAGGACGCTGAACTACTCAGACTGTGCAGTGGTACCTGGCCTAGCCACTTGAGTGAGGAATTCGACGCGCAAATAAGGACATACCTACGACAGTTTTCATAGTGACTATCGCATGTTCAACGAGGCAACTTTAGCTACGACAGAACGAGCCGCACCAGATAGACTACACAATTGACGAAAAGACCAATGATTTACATTTGCAATAGACTGCAGTTAGTGTATTTTATTTAGCTTCCCTTTGATCGCGCCTCGCGGTAATGTCATGGCACATCAACTCCTCATTGAGGTTTGATATCCTGAGCTTTACCTAAACCACAAACTCATACACATCACGCTCATACACATCACGCTCATACACATCACCTTCATACACATCATGCTCATTCAGTACTAGGTCAAAACTCCGTTCGCCTAATCGAATCTCGGCATCATCACCACATCAGCACCCACATTTCATGAGGCAGTTGAGATAGATACAAACGGTGAAGACGCTCCAAAATCTGAGGTTGTAATTGTAACATACTAGTATTTCGTTTGCCAGCCTTTTGCGCGCCTGTAGGCAGTGGGGCGTGATAGCATACTCTGGATGAGTTTCAGTATAATGTTGCGGTGCAAGTCGGTCCGACAGGCCTCGATCGTCACCTCTGTTGACTACCTTGGACTAGCACGTCTCAGGGCATGTATATATGGTCGCCTCCTAGCTAGCAAGCAACTCAGCGCAGTTTCAAGCGACTATACAGCGGCTACGTCTGCCGCAACAATATTGAGCGAATAGCTCCAGGGCGGGTTGTGCTCGAGAATGGCGACACCCTAACAGGAGATGCTATGATCTGCTCGACAGGCTGGAAGAAGGGGTCCACGATCAAGTTCGCCGGTTTGAGCGAGACTGGGTTTGACCTGCCAATTGACGCGAATGAGCAAGCGAACCTCAGCCTCGAATACGATGGGAAAGTCCTACATCAGTTCCCTATCCTAGGGAGCCAGCCTGCGCTGCGTTCAAATCCCAAGAAAGCTGCCGAGCCTCTCCGTTACTACCGGTTTATGTTGCCATCGGCAATGATTGGGAAGCGTAATTTTGCTTTTGCTGGCATGATCCCATCAGTGAGCACTGCCATCTGCGCCAGCACACAAGGCCTGTGGATCACAGATTTCTTCGACGGAAAGTTGGTGCGGGTAGTCAAGTCGCAAGATGATATCACAAGTGAGATCATGATGCACATACAATGGGGCAAATGTCGCTACCCTTGTGGCTATGGAGCGAGTCTGCCCGACTTCGTGTTTGAGGGCATTCCTTACGTCGATATGTTGCTTAAGGACGTTGGGATCAAGAACAAGCGGAAACCAACCTTCCTCCAAGAGCTCATTTCTCCTTATACCTCCAAGAGCTCATTTCTCCTTATACCCCGAAAGACTATGATGGTGTATTAGCAGAGTATGGCCAGAAGAACTGATGACTTACACACGAAGGTCCTTTGTCACTTTTGTTCTGAGCTAGCCTGAACCTTTTGTGACTAATTGAGCGAGAACGGAATTTCGTTGCCTATTCATAGCCGCTCTCTTGGGAGCGAGTGTTCTACGGTTCCGTTAGGGTGAAAGTATCTTGTTGGATAAGGCTGATCACATGTTGAGTCGTGCACTTGAGATTTGACGTCTGCGGAAGGCAGTGTTATCATGGTTTCATTGGAGACAGCGTCCTTCAGGTTAGCAGAGCACCCGTGTTCTGTGTAGCAGTATGTTCTGCATCAGGCAGCATGCCAGCGGGATAGTCCATCGCGTACTGTTCCGACTCCCAAAGCATGCGCATGATGATATCGTTGTCCCCCATCAATGTAAGATTGACTGGTTCTATATCGTTCAGTCCATCTAGCGGAAGGCTGTCAAGCCATTCTACAGACGAAATGTCCTGCATAGTCATATCCGGACTTGGCAATTGTGTTGCAATAGCCGCCTCAGATCCACTACGGTCATCTGCCCCTCCCGGCAAGAACACACAGTCTACCAGCGTGCCTCGGGAAGCACGTTTTTTGCGCTGGGCACGCTCCTTGTAAGCATTTATAGCTTGGTGAAAACTCGACAAAATCCCGTAGTACTGCTCTGCTTGAGGACTGAGATGTCTGAGTTCGCCCATTACATTAAGCGATTTAAGAAAAGCTGCCTGTCGTCCCGAGGTATGCGTCATGTCTTCAGTAAGGAGCGAAAAGCCCAATACCAGGCCCGTAGCAAACATCCAAGCTCTGTAGAAGTGATTAGCGACCGAGCGAGCTATCATCAAACTCTACCGACTCTACCGACTCGACTTACTTGAGTATACACATATTGCCGAGTAGGTGGCCAGATTTCATGACCCGGTGACACATGCGCGCCATGAACGTGGCTGCTTCGATGCAAGCATCGGCTAATTGATCAACCTTCGATCTTCCGGCCACATCGTGATGCTGCGGTGACCTGTTCGCGTCTGAAAGCTGAGGTACTATGTGTTTTATAAGAAATTGTCGTGTGATCAAGATCACACTAAAGTAATACGCGCCGGAAACGTGCATGTTACCAATGATGATATGTCTGATACCGGTCGGAGCCTTTTCACTCGACCTTCGCAGTATGGAAGGAAAATCCCGAGTCTTTTGTTGCAGAGCCAGGACAAGGCGTTCAGCCGTGTCTACATCGAGCTCACCTTCGGCGGACTTTTTGACAGCGGTATCGAGGACTGATGTTATCTCGTATGTAGCACCAAGTGCCAGAGCTCGGTACACAATGTCAGCTGCATCTTCAGACCTGTCACTAACGTAGCTAGATTGACCCGGCCTGAGCGATGGGGTACTACTTGACCGCCCAAGTATAGAATTGCACACAACGTCGAATACGCGTATGCTTTTGGCCGCTCGAAGTCTGTTTCTCGATCAGATATAACGTTTCCACACACATCTACCGACTTCCTCTGCACTTACCTTGCATTTCGAGTCGAAGCAGCAGTATGCTTCTGTTGAGCAGACATGTGCAAGCCTAATATGTCGGCAGATTTAGAGGCAATGCCAAGATACATGAAGGCCGAATTGCGCCGACAAGCTCCAAACATGTAAAATGCCATGAGGAGAAACACTCTGACAAGGTCCAAGCATGGGCTCTCTAGCATTTGTGCGAAGGCCAATTTGCGCGCAAAAGAGAACAGTTCAGCCGCCCAGACCGCAGCATCTTTGGTCGGCCCGTAACACTGAGCGCCAATTGCGACCATAAGATAGAGTGCGGCTGATTCGAACCCTGTTGAGATATGTGAGGTGGGAGATGCATCGCGAGTATTTTGGTGTGTCTCTGTATACAACATGTGACATACTTCCTCCCAAGTGTACAAGTCGAGGAGACCTTTTGACTACAAGACTGTTAGTACGTCGCGAAGGGAGTAGAGGATCCATGGAGAGAGTGGACATACGGCGTCGAAGAAGTACTGTATGTACGCCTTCTTGTCTTCGACAGAAAGCCCATCATAGAAGCGGCTTGATCCATTGTTGACAGCATCTGCTTCAAACAGCTTTCGACTTTCTTGAGCATCCGTGAAACCAGAAGGGCCAACATGGCGTTCCAATGTCTTCTGAAGAAACTGCAAGAATGATATAGCCGCCGTGTTGCCCACGAATACTGTCTGAAATGAGCTCAGCGACATTTGAATGTACTTGCGAATGCTCACCTTTCTCCCCACTGACACTCGACAGCATGACAGACGGTTGAGCCGTGGCTTCCATTGACGAGCCTCGCGTATCGGCGGTGCGTGTGCTTTCCTCAGACGTGCGCCCTTGCATCAAGTTGACAAAGCTGGGTCCTGAATTTCCCCCTAACAAGGTTGTAGAGCCTTGTAAATCCCATGAGTCAGGAGAAAGTATGGCCTCGCTGGCCCTGCTTCCTTCGAATACTATGGGCACATCCTGTGCTAGAACTAGCTGCGAAAGTGCAGACGGGGGTTGCGGCAATGGGTGGTGTCGCCGACCAGCAGTATAATGACAGAACCCATCGTATCCTTTCTTCTGACACGCGGAGCAGGGCTGACTGCCATCGCAACGCTTTTTGGATGACTTGCATTGATCGCATGCCCTGACAACCCGTTGACGATCTTGTGGCTTCACTGGCCGGCGAGGCATTATGAGGCCGTGAGCACCCTCAATTCGTCATTTGATCAAATCACTGCTCGTGAAAGGCTCGGTTTGCAGTGCGACAGCCGCTTAGTAGGAGTGAAAATTGGATTTGGCGGGGAACGGCTAAGGGGTGCGGCTGCTGGCAAGGGCAATATTGTAGGAGTAGCATGCCCACCTTCGCCAGCTGCGTCTAGCGATGGCGCTTCGTAGATTCCATAAGGCAAGCAGCCATTCCGCATAGGTCAAACGAATGATAAGCGTAGCGCAACGCGGGGTAAGAGCATTCTAGGCGAACGCGACTCGTGGTGCATGATCCGAAACACAATAGGAGTGCTCGGGTAGTGGTACGCGAACTAGTAAAGTTTAGCCGTTGGCTCGTGAAAAAGCCGCATACTAATAATAATCGGCCTACGTTAACGAGTTGAGCGTTTATGAACAAAACGTAAAAGGGGCAAGCGTCAGTTGAGAAGCGATATGGGTGATTTTCGAAATACCATGTACATCATGTGATTTAGCGCGCGGAAGATGCGGACGATGTCAATGTTGCTGTCTCAGCCAAATTTAGCGTTTAACAACAACAGAGCTGGCTGCTGCTCCTTCTAGGATAATTAAAGCTTAATATTATTAGTATCTTGACTTTTTATGGTGTTGTGATGCCTACGAGAAGGTTAGCTTAACTTGGCAGAAAATTGATAAGCCAGCACCTAAATTGACACAGGAGGCACCCGCACCTACAACACTAGCAGCATCTAGTCAGCGTCAGCGCATTGCAACTCAGCCATTTAGAAGTTGTTGTACAAAGCCTGATCATCAGAGCGTCTTTTAATTTAACTTTTTAGCTGCTTAAAGCTCTTCTCGATCAGATTGTAGTCAGGTAAGTCTAGACTCTAGTGGAAGGTACTCTAGCTCTACCTTGTACATCGCACAAAGCTCACGAACCTGAGTTAAATAATGAATAGAGGGGTTGTCTAGTACGATGACAGAGTACCTAGGTGTTGTATATAGCAACACAGAGCGTTTAAGGAAGTCCTCTATAATCTCTAAGGTAATTGAGCTTTAAAAAATAGTGTAACTGAGGTATCTGTTGACTGTTATTGCTGGCAGAAGTGACCATCGCTCACTCTGTTTTATTATAGAGTAAGCTACTTCAACAGGCGTGCCGACTCTACTCTAACCATACTTACAGTCGCTAGTCCTCTTGTTGCAAGCGCTCTTATTGATCGCAATGATTTACTCCGCCTTGTACTGTTGCATCCTCGCTCTGTACACCCTCTGGATTGGCTCGCTTTGCTCAATCGCACGCTTTGTAGCCAGCTTCCTGCTGTAGTGAAGCTTCTCCAAAGCCCGCCACACTGTCGATAGAGAGCACTCCACGTTGTAATCGTTGTATAAGCACTGCTGCATCTCCTCCAGATAGGCGCCGGGTCGCCCATCGAGGTATAATTGGAGTGCTTCTAGCTGCGCTTGCCGCAGTAAAGGCGGGCGGCCGAGCCTGACAGAAGGCGGAGGATAGCACTGTCCCCAGTACTCCAAGCTTAATCGCAGCTTTGCTACAGTGCGACAATCGACTTGGCAAGCAGCAGAAACCTCAGAATCTTTCTCCCCAGCAGCTATATGCTCTACTACAGCTTGCTGCGTGGTGGCGGGTAAACGTTTGCCGTTGACGCGCATCATGGGTTGGTTGCTACGCAGAGTCTCTGCCCCAACAACACCAGAAAACAGTCGCGAGAGTCGCGATAGAGCTTCATGAATAAATTAAGCGTGTATAGGAGGTTAAGAAAACAGCTGCAATCATCAAGATACACTCAGAATTAGCCTATGGGTGATGCGTTGAAGTTCTAAGAATACCCCTCGCCACTGCACGTGATGTACATGGTATTTCGAAAACCGTTATACCGTGTCTGTGCACCGAACGCCCGGAGTCACCGAACGCCCGCTCCGATCCTGTACGGCCATCACAAAATTAAGGCTGTAGAGCTACATACAATAATGTAACTGCCTGGTGCAGTGTCAGGTGGAGGCTGGGATCAACAATTGTATTGCTATCTGTTGTTGTGTTGTGATGTTTGTGTACGGAGCTCTCAGCTCTGAGGTAAGTGCACTTGCCCACTGGGCGGTACCTTCTACAACAAGATATCATGTGACTTCACCCACGTGGTTACAAATAACGTACTCTATCACAGAGCCAGTCATATCACCGAACCAGTCAAAATCTGCCAAGACCAGCACAACTCCGCACTTCACAGTATGTCTTAACAACATCACAACTTATTGCTTCAACATGAAGGGAGACTGTAGCTTGCTCTCTAGGCCTATAATACTAGATAGTTTTAGAGCTATCGGGCTGCTGCTGCTGTGTTTAATGTTAACTAGCGCAGGCTCTCTAAACGCGCTAATAATACTCTATTTTAACTTAACATACACGCAAACTGCTAGAAGCTTACTATAACTAAAGAGTAGATAATTATCTAATATATCCTTAACCTTAATTTGTAAGGGTTTGCGCCTTAGCTGTATAAGTGTAACGACGCAGGCAAGAAGATAGATATCCGGAATAGGTGTGAAATCCGCTACGAGGCATATGGGAGTGCTAGGATGATAAGAACACTAGGATATATTCTCTACACCTATAGGTCTTGTACAAAAGGATACAGAAAAACTACTTTATAATGCTACAGTTCCTTGCTCCTTATATATGAGGGTTTAGTGGCAGTTTGGTGCGAGCTCATGCTATGCGACAAGGGCCATGGTCATGAGTCGCTGGAACCGTATCCTAGTGGTATCGGGTCACTGTTCGTAGAGCGTTGTTACAGTGGCTGGTTTAGTGATATGGCCGGCTTAGTGATAATCTACGTTAATAGTTGGCCAAATTAGGTTATTTTTTTAATTAAAAGCGCAATACTAGGCGCATCTATCGAAATATACATTACATAAGCGCATCTCTACTAACGTGTTCTACCGGTAAGGAGCTAGAAGCGAAAACAAAAAAAAGCCTCCCCTACCCATCCGCCAGCCTACGGGGCGGTGAGACACGGTACCGCTACGAAGCGTGGGCACGTGCATGATAGCTACATACTGACCGAAGAGAACGCCACTCACGCGTCGCATTGGGGAATCCAAACGGAAAACACTACCAGCATCTTCCTGCCAGATACAACCTCCAAAGCTCACGGACATGTCTACTCTACAAGAATGAATGTATGCTCTTCTTATCGACTTTTGAATGATGCTGTTCAGCCTAGCCGCTCGCGAATTCGGAATCAGCCTTTGCGATATCAGCCAGAGCAATGCAGATTGAACATTGTGTATTGATTATTGATTGATTATCACGGTTTAAGTAATAGGCTATTAGGCAGTAGAATTTAGTAGGAACACTGAAGTTGAATTGAAGTAAGTCTACGTGTTGATATACCAGAATGATCGGATGTCAGCAGGGTTATGGTGAAACTCTGTTCACATAGGACCAAGTACTTATCAGACCGAGCAAGCTGTACGTAGACTGCGACACACCCCCCAGGTCTGGCGGCAATAACTGAACAAAATGAGGGTGGTCAGGCGAAGTTGAGTCGCCAGAGCTGTAACTGAACGTTGTTGTAACGTGTAATATGGACTGGAAAGACGCGCTAATACTGGTGCGGGAATAGGACATGCGGGTCCTTAGTGTTTAAATGTTGCTTGAGGTCTTTCAGTTCTTTCTTAATGTCGACAAGGCCGCATTGCTTGACAAAGGTGTCAAATTTCTGTCGAGGCAAAGCCTTTGTGAGGCCATCAGCAGGCATATCATTGGTAGCGATCATTTGACGTTAAGTTGGCCGGCTGATACTTCCTGTCGAACCCATAGCTGATGTATATCAACATGTTTCACCTTGGTGTGAAGTCGATCTTCTCTTTTTGTAACAATACCCACTGTTTGCTGGTTGTCACACAGTATTGTTGGTTTAGAATCAAGGCAGAGGGATATACCCTTGAAAAATCTCATCCACTCGATCATCTGGGAACCAGCAAGAGACAATGACAGTAGTTCAGACTCAGTGGTTGATTTGGTGACAGTGCGCTGGACTGTTGACTTCCAGTCAATCATAAGTCCTCCAAAGAAAAATGCGTAACCTTGTGAGCTGCGCCTAGTCTCTAGTTCATTAGCGTACGAAGCGTCTGAGGCTCCGTAGAAGAGTGGTAGGTGAGTAGTAGGCTGATCTGTGTGATATTCTCGCATTTCAGGTTCTGACTAATTGACTAAAGCTTGTAGAGCATATGTCTTGGTACCAAGCAGGTATTGCCACACCTTCTTAGCCTTTGCTACGTGTTTCTGGCCTGGATTAATAAGATGAGAAGCCAGTATTACATGTGCTCGGGCGACGTCTGGTCTGCCCCATACGGCAATATAGGCGAGCGAACCAACAAGCTGTTGGTACAGTTTTGTGCGCTCCTTGCTTGGTTCTTTATTAGATGGATCCAACCAGTTTTCAGTGATTGGAATGTCTGGGTATTGGCTGGAGACAGTAATATCGAATCGAGAACATACCTTCTTAATATAGGCGTCCTGGATAAGCCATGTGTGTCGGTTGGGTCGGTCTTGGACAACGCGAATTCCAAGAAACCATGCAAGTTCTCCTATCTTCTTAAGGTTGTATACGTCAGTAAGACGTTGTTCAAAGCGTTGGTGGAGGGAGGTATTAGAATTGTGAAAAGCCATTACAATATCGTCAACAAATACAAACAGAATAAGCCATTAGTTAGTGTACAGGCATAGGAATCCTTTAACTGGCTTAAGACCAAGCTTGATGAGTTGTGTTCGGCATTTGTTGAACTAAAGTAATGGAGACTCCTTAAGTCTGTAAAGGGCTCGGAGAACTAGAAGGAGCTCGCCTAGTCCTGATTCAATCTTGTCTACACCTTCTGGTGTATAGGCGTAGAGCTTTCAGTTCATCCTTGCGTTGAGAAATGCCACTAGGACGTTATATTGATAGAGCTCAAGGTCAAAGTGGTTGGCAATAGAGATAAGAGCGCGGAAGTTACGAACTGCAAGCGTAGCTGCGTACGTATCGTCAAGCGGAGACTGTAAATCCCCACAAACAACTAATCGGGCTTTGAAACGAGTAATATACCCATCTTTGTTAGTTTTGTAGGTAAATACCCACATAAGAGGAAGAACCTTATTATCTGCAGTCTCCTGAGTTTTGTTTGTACGTTGGAAACACCCCTTTAATTAGATATTCCTCTATTTAATAGACATGTCTGCTTTAAACTTGTTCTTGAACATGTGGTTCTGCAGTTCTTTCACGTTCCTAGGTGCGGCTGGAACCTGGTTGATGTAATATTAAGTACTCGCATTAGGTTGCTGTTTGAGTACCTAGGCTGTGAATGCACTGAAGTAATAAGCTCTTGATTCTTCACTGAGGTTGGCTGCAAATAAAGCAATCGTGAAGAAAGCGCCTGGTGGTCGCCTTGTTCGTCTGCCTTGAACGATGGCGGACTTATTGATGGAGCTGCTGATATTATGTGGAGCTGTTTCGCCGTATCGTTGATAGCCTTCTGGTGGAGCTTCATCACGGCTTTGAGCAGGAAGGCTCATTAGTCCTGCTAAGCCTCTCGATCCTCGTGGGCGTCCTGTTCCGCCTCGTCCAGATTGATTAGACGATGATCCTTGTATTAGTGTTGAGGATGATTCGTGAGGTAATTGAGATGATGGGTCGTTGTCGTTAGTAACGTCTTGTTCAACTGATTGCTGAATATCAGGATAAAGGATGTTGCCTTGGTTTGTTAGAGTTATGAATTCCTCATCATCAGATTGCTGTGGGGTAATATCGTCAGACAATGGGACGATGTGCGCTTCGTTGTCGCCGTTGGCCAAAGCAGATGGTGATGGTGTAAGTAGCTGGTCGTTTGCTGTACTAAAGGAATCTTCCTGAACAAACTGTAGAGGGGTTTGGAGAGATTGTACACCCCCTAGCTGCGTAGCGTTTGGTGAAACCAAAGGGTTTGTAGCTAAATCTAGATGTGATTGGTGTTGTTGTTGGACTAGTTGTAGTTCTTCAATTGTGTAGTCCTCATCTAAATGTGTTGGTAAAGAGATTGTTGTGACGATCTCCTGCAAGTCCTCCTTTGTCACATAACCTTCATAGCCATCAAAGAACTGAGTTGGTTCAAAGACAACGTCGCGGGTGACAAGGATCTCGTCAGTGGCTGGTAGCCAGATGCGAAATATGTTGGTACCTACGTAGCCAACGAGGTGTCCGATGAGAGCTCTAGATTTGAGCTTGTCTGCATTTTTGAGCTCTGTATTGAGAGCGTAAGCTCGACAGCCGATGGGTTGCATGTGAGAGACGAGAGGTGAGCGACCGTATACTGCTTCATATGGTGTCTTCCAACCAAGAGCTTCTGTTGGTGTTCGATTGAGGATGTATGCAGCGGTCTGGTATAGTTCTCCAGCAAGGTGTTTAGGTAGGTTGGCATGAATTCTCATTGCTCGAGCACGTATCGTGAGTACTCCTCCAGCTCGTTCAGGCAAGCCAGCAGGCTCTTTTGTGTGCTTAGGTGCCTTCTCATAGATAAGACCTAGTGTGTTGACAAGTTCCAAGAAGTCATCGCCGAAACCTCGTTCTCCATCCATCCTGATATAGATGGGTACTCCTTTGTAGATGCGCTGAATGCGAGCGATAAGGCCTTTGAGCCATCGCATGAGCGTTGATTAAGACTTGTTTGTAGTGGCTTCAACTTCATGCCACTTGGTCTTAGAGTCGACTGCATGTAGAGCGTAACGGAGCGTACCAAAATGCTGACTGTTCATGGGAATAATGTAGATGATATCAATTCCTATCCGTTCAAATGGCTTTGTTGCAGGAGCGTCTTGTGGACGTTGGGAGATAATGCGTGTGAGTTTTGATTGCTTACAAGAATCACAGAAGCAATGACCTTCTCCCTGTAGCTGAACTCCGCGTGTAGCTGATTCAAGCTTGTCGAGAGCTTGACGGCCAGGATGGGCCCATACCTGATGGGCTAGCTTCCGATCGAGTAACGATGGAGGCTTGGGTACTCGTGATGGACGGACTTGGGTTCCAAACGTACTGAGTTCAGACTGAAGCGACTGTAGGCTGGGTCGGCGGCTTGGGTCAATGTCAACAAGCCAGTGGCCTTTGTAGTATTGAAGCCGAGCAAGCTCATTGCCACCCTTCTTGTATAGTATGTCTTGGCCTGAATCAAAATGAATATCCATACTTCGGCAGCGTCCAAGACCCATAAGGCTTGTAAGAAATCCTGGAGCATATGCAACGTTGGTAAGTCGGAGATTGCGCTGGCCAGTAGGTGTTTTCACTGCCACATGAAACTCTCCCCAGGCTTTGACTGGAACCTGTGAGTTACCAGCACTAATGAAGAAGCCTTGACCATCCCTCTTAGGTACCCAACCAACCCATTGGTCGCTGTTTATAACGTGTGTATTGGATCCTGGATCAAGGATCATCCGGTTGATAAGTGAGACATCGGAATCGTCGACGTCTTGGGCAACAGCCATGACAGTAAGGTCTGTTGGAAGCGCAGTGTCATTGTCGATTGCAATAGGAGCGTTAGGCTCGACTATATCGACTGTAGGTGTAGGAGCTTCTTGCTCAACTACTTGATGAATGATGGGAGCGTCGGGCTCGACCATGCGATGGAATGTGGGAGCGTCGGGCTCGACCATGTGTTCGCTAGGATTGACGTCGATATATTGGATAGCGGTAATGACGTACGACTGAGCGTCGGCGGGCATAGTGTCGTTGTCGACATCTATACTCTCATTGTTGTTAGAGTTCTTGTATTCCTTAAATCGCTTAAGGGACTGTTGAATTTGCTTCTCAACACCATCCTTTTTACGTCCTTCTGCAACGCGTTTTCGTATTGCCTCATCTCCTTGGAAGGCAGATGGTCGAGACTTTGCCTCTTTGTTGATGTAGAAGCAATCACTGTACCAGTGTTTCTCACCACAAAGGCATGTGGGAGTTGGGCGTTGTCCATTCGTTCGACCACCTTGTCCGCGGCCACGACCGCGTCCACCACGTCCACCACCTCGATTGCTGTTGGCGGAATTGGAGTTGTTTGCGTCTTCGTTGACTGGCTTGGCTACTTCGAGCTCAGTAGCAAAGGAACCAAGGTAGTTCTTGTATCTGGAGTCGCTGGCTTGAAGATACAATCGAGCGTCGTTAACATATTCTTGGAGTGACCGAATGGTAATGTCTGAGCGTTGTATCTCCTTTACAAAGTCTGTAAGTAGTCCTCGATGGTACTCAGGGTCAATCTTCTTCAAAGCCCTAATGAACTCCTCCTGGGGATTCTCGTCCATGCAGCATGGAACACCTATCTTGATACCCTGATTTGTAACGTCGATCCACTCACTGAACCAGCTTTCAAGAAGCTTAGCTGAACGTGGACCGTTCTTGAGCGCCTCAAAACGATGTACAAGCGCTCTCTTGCGGAACTTCTCAGTTGGGGCAAGAGCAGCCTTGAGAGCAATAAGTTGATCATATGGCGAATCCAAATCGTTGATGAGGTAGTGATGACGCTTGTTGATGGTATAGTTAATTTCAGACGATAGGGTAGCTAAGGCTTTGGTAATCTTCTCCTTGTTGAGTTCTGATCGTTCCCATCGGTCGTAATCCCATCGATAATTGGAGGCTTGGCCAGCATCAAGGTCAGCCAACGACGTTGCGCCAGTTTTGTATTGGGTACATGCTGGCGGAGGAGTGTGGACGACTTTGAGCAGATCTGATCTATCCTTCTCGGGGTCGACATAGTCCTTAATACCAAGCTTCTTGGCCGTAAGCATGCAGATCTTAAGCTAAAGGATCCAGTCGTCGACAGAGGTGAGTACCACCTGTTGTTGCCTGATCGCGACTGTGTCAATATCGTAGAGAGAGGCCATAGTAAGGTAGAGTTAGGTAGATTAAGATAATATTGAATGTGAGTGAACCTAGTAGGCAGCCGGGCTCATAACTATCACAGTTTAAGTAATAGGCTATTAGGCAGTAGAATTTAGTAGGAACACTGAAGTTGAATTGAAGTAAGTCTACGTGTTGATATACCGGAATGATCGGATGTCAGCAGGGTTATGGTGAAACTCTGTTCACATAGGACCGAGTACTTATCGGACCGAGCAAGCTGTACGTAGACTGCGACATTGATCGATCTAGATGACCTTTGCACTCGAGTCCTTGTATTCGCCAAGCTTGAATAAACCCTTCGCATTCTCTCTCCCAATCTTCAGGCGATCCCCCGTGTTCATCTCAGCATTGTCGAACCATGTACATCCATCTTCGAAGGTCTCGAACGGGTAGTCGACGGAGAACAAGATACGGTCGGCGCTGACTTCGTCCTTAACGAAGTTGAGCGTTGTTGTGGAGAAGTGACCTGACGTTGTGATCCAGAAGTTTTCGTTGAAGTACTCGCGGATAGTCTTCTTGCAGTCGAGTCCAGGCTTCAGCAGCTTCTTGCGGTCCTCGAACCAGTGATTGATACGCCACATATCGAACGGAATGTGCTCGCCCAAATGCCCGAGAATCACTTGAGCTTTAGGATGGCGATCGAAAACACCATTTGTGACCATGCCGAGAGCATGGAGACTGACACCCACAGCGAATGACAAAGGAGGACCAATCAGCCATTGGCGGTCCTTCCACAGCTTCTCAAAAACTATACCAGTGGGATTGCGTGGGTGCAAGTACAATGGGACATCAAGGTCGGTGAGTGTCTTCCAGAAAACATCCCACCCTGGCTGATCATAGAAGATGTAATCTTCGCCGTCTGCACCAGCTCTCTGGGTGTCATTTACCAGCGCACCCTGAAAACCGTACTTTGTTACCGTCCGTCGCAACTCCTCTGCAGCTTCCTTTGGGTCATGCATCGAGAGCGTGCTTTAAACTCAACTATCAGCGTCTGGACAGAGCTCATCGTTTCCTCACCGCCGACTTACGCGAAAGCTCCCAGCCTGTCCGGAAATGGCTTGATCTGTTCAGCGACATAGTCGTTGATCTCAACCGCCAAAGCCTGGGCTTCTTTGGGGTCAAAGATATCCTGCACACCGGGGGCGGTATATGAGAGAATGGTGTAACCGACTCCGTACTGGTCGGCGAACTTGAGTCGGATATCTGTCAAATCCTGGATCTCTCTTGTATGCTTCTCTGCATCTGTACTGAACATGCTAGCCCACCACTTGGTCTTTTCCTCCAGGCGGGGCAAGGCAAAAGCCTCTTCCAGGATAATCTTGCCGAGCATTATAGGTGTATATTTCGGTACTTTCCACGTGTTGAACTCTGTCCTAACAAGATCAAGGAATATTTGCGAATGTCTGCAGGAGGGAAGAGGCTGGAAGTATTCAAGCATGTGAGCGTAGCAGCAGGGTATTTCCTTATGTACCATGTGGGCTTGTAGTAAGGGCGGCAAGCATCAGCCTTCTCCTGCGTCCTTCAATTCAGAAGGTGCTGTGCCGAGCAGGGTGCATTTACCGAACTTTATCCCCTCTTCTGACGCGTCTGCGGGAGACCCCGCATGTTTCGCAGTTGTATCTGAATGAGTGCTGTGTCAAGACCCCACGTCACCCGTTCGGATTGTTGGGATAACAGGTGCGTTAGCCGGACGCCCTGTGGGTGAAGCGGCTATGGTACGTTAGCCGCCATGATGCCAAATCAGCTACGGTACCCGTGGCCGTGCGGCCGATGAGCCAGTTCAGCCGATGAGCCACCCAGAACATCACAACATTGAGATACCCACAACTTCAACGCGTCACAACTCCACCACTATAGATCTAATTTAAGAAGCAATTAAATATTTAGAATTGCATAAAGCTAGAGATAACTTGTTATACTGCTAAGTTATAAAAATGTTTAGAGTTAACTAAACAACACTGTTGTAGTGGCACAACTGTTATACACGCTCAAATGCAGAAGAAGTGCGCCAGCAACAGTTACTTAGCCCACAACAGGAGGAGGTGCTTGTCAAATACATAGAAAGATGCACAAGAGACAGCTTGCCACCTACTAGAAGCATGCTGCAAAATGTCGCCTCTGTGGTTACGAAGTGGGAGGTCTCTAAGAGCTAGATTACTTAGTTTCTATATTGCCACGCCAACAAGCTTACCACTAAATAGACTACTAGGATAGATCGTGAGCGCTTTTTAGCTAACAGCAAGCGCAAGTACAAGCTGTACTTCAATCTATTGCACTCTAAGATGCGTGAGCACAGCGTTGATGAGCGCAACACGTACAATATAGATAAGAAAGGCTTCTTTGTTAGCATTAACAGTTACACTAAAAGGATAGTCTCTAAGGCAATTTAGGAGTTAAAAGAGCACACTGCAGCGCTTAGAGATAGCAATAGAGAATAGGTAACGCTGCTAGCTTGCGTATGCGCTTCTAGAGAGGCATTACCACCCGCTCTTATCTACTAGGGCACCTCTAGGATTCAATCAACCTAGGTAGACAACCTTATTGCTAAACAACACTAGATTTTTATCTCCTACTTAGTGACAGGATGGTTAAACAATGACTTAGGGCTTGCCTGGCTTTAGGATATTAGGGTAGACTCTTGCCGAGTGATGTCTAAAGAAGTTCAGTCGATGGTGAATTTATCGCGGGCGCTGTGTGTAAAGATGCAGTGTATCGCCTCCACCGATGCTATCATAAGGGCGCGTCGTTGCAAGTGAAGGTAGAAGCTACGAGCGCATCCACCTTCCCCCAAGCAAATCAATGATCCAGTCCGCTGTTCACATCACTACAAATAATGTTCGCATCTCAAGCCTTGTCGTACGCTTGTTCAAGCTCCGCATAGAAACCAGTCCTCTTCCTTGCTGCATTACGTTCCCACCTCAGCTTCTCCTCCCTTCTCCTTCGCTCCTTAGCACGCTTGTGCACATCGCTTTGCATTTCGATCCACTCTTGTCTTGCATCGTATTTTCCCTTCTTCTTGTGATTCTCCAGTAATTGCTTGAAGAGCTTTGGGATGCCGAGGAAGTAGAAGAGGATGAAGTTGCCAAGCAAGATGCTCGAAATAAGGAAGAAGACAAGCGCGGTTCTCATGATGCAGCATGCGCAGGTAGGTAGCGGGATTCGTGGGTGGTTCTGACGTGATGTCAAAAGACCAAGATGACTCGCGAAATGATTGTGGTGTAATATCAAGGCCCAAATTGATGATTTGATCATGCATGGTTGATGGAGAGGTACCGTGTCGCGATTGTCAAATTGGATGGAATGACGTCATCCCGCGCAATTGATCGTTTCGTTTCGCGCGCCAGCAACCACTGTCAAGATGAACGCATTGAATGGCTTCATATGGCCTCTGTCATCAAGTCGCAAAGCATGCTGCATGTGAGCGTCTCCAATTAGTCACCTGGAACTCACACCACAACAGCAATACTAATTGCAAACATTGGGGCAACATCAAGGTTCTTCCTCGGACGCAAATTTTTTCCAGACACGACGTTCACACGCACTTTCCTCAACCCCGTCAGCGACTGGAGAATATCGAATTGCTGACAGTCAAAGCTGCTGTAGGTGTCGATTTGACCCATGACCGACAAGGTCTTACCACGCGAACTCGATCTTGGTTCTTGAGCAATGCAACGGCAGCCTTCTGCGCGTCTGAGAAGTTGGTGAAGAAGCGGGTCTTGTTTGATCATCTAGTGACGAAGAGGTCGTTACAGATGATCGGCACTGTGGATGCCTGCAAGTAGATTTGATGGCCAGCTTCTAGCAGTACTAGTGTGAGACTTGTCTTCTATTGCACAAAGCGGAAGTCTTCGTATCGGTGCAAGTGAAGCCTGTGGAGCTGAAATGTGCAGCTGGTTCCTTTGCAGAATGTGAGCTCATGGATTCGGATCCTGAGCTCATCCGACAGACGAAGAAGTGGTTACTCACGTTAAATGCGCTCCGTGCTAGAACGTAGGGTTAGTACCGAAACCACTGGTGAGCTCTGTCTTTGACGTCCTCGAGTGAGCCCGTGTGTAAATTTACCACACCAAACTCTGTGTCTAATATGGCTGGACGTGGCGAGCAGAGCCTTGACTGATCGCTGTAGAGGTGATATGGTAACCAAGATTATAGTCTGCAACATCGTAACCCCTCATCAATTGCCCCAGTAACGCATTGAAGAAGTCTTCTGAAGTGGGAGAACTCATTACTTCGAACTAATCATACAACAGCTGTTCGTGCAAAAGCAACACCCGCTAAGCAAATGGTGTGTGACAAAGGAAAAGTTTGCTGAAGAGCTGACATGAAATCGAGACTAAGCTCAGAACTTTTCAACAAGAACGCTGCAAATCGTTATACATCTGATCCATCGACCTCAGTCTTGAGCATCTTATGTGCTGACCTTCAAACCCCCCGATCTTCCAGCCAGAACAAAAGGCTTCATTCCGTCGTGTCGATGGCTTGTGGTATTATTTCTAGGCGATAGAAATCATCAACTCGTACCGCTCGCGTCGATCAAGCGCAACGCCTATTTCTTGCCGCCGAGCAGACCGCCGACAAGAGGGATGTTGCTTACGCCACCTCCACTCTTCTTCTTCTTGTCGTCACCACCGAACAGGCCACCAAGACCAAGACCGCTGAGCAGCTTGTTGATACCAAGCCCACCTAGGAGACCGTTGACCAGGCCACCAAGACCAAGACCGTTGAGGAGCTTGCCGACCAGGTTGAGAACACCAGTCAACAGCAGACCAACAGCGGCGATGATCTGGAACAGAGGCTCTGTGAGAAGAGACCAGAGAGGGTTGAGCTTCTTCTTGGCGTGGGGCATGTCTGAGATCTTCTTCTTTGCATTGTCGATGGTGGTAACCACAGAGGATGTGAGCTCCTTCAAGCAATCCGCAAGCTTGTACTCCTCAGGAGTGGCCTCACCAGTCTGCTGGCGGCCCTTAGCCTGAGCAGCAATGCGACCATCGGGGTCAAGACCACGGAGCGAGCCGTTGCACTCGTTCAACATACGTCCACCCTCTTCGATGAGAGGCTTGACATTGTTGACCAACTCCTCCTCGTCGAGCTCGTCGCGAGGTGTGCGGTCGGCCTTCTCGATGTGCTGGGAATGTGTCAGTAGGGAAATTGCAAAAGAGTAATAGGATGGTACATACCTCGGTGATCTGTTTCATGACGGGCTGGACACGCTCCAGTGTCTGCTGGCAGATAGCAGCCATCTTGTTGGCAAGCTCGGAGTCCTCGCGGCGCTGCCTCTCCTCATCGGTCTCATCCTCTGGAATCTCCTCTTCTTGGATGTTGCCGAGAAGAGTAACCTCTCCGACCTTGTTGCCGTCATTATCGATGACATACCCGTTGTCATCAATCTCGAGACCAGCGCAATGACCAAGGTCACCAGCAGTAAGACGACCGATGACATCGCCGTTCTCATCACGAACGTCACCCTCCTTGTTGACACGCATGCCAGACATGGGGTTGATGCGGCGCTCCTTCTCCTCAGGCTCCCATCGTTCGGCCTTACCGATGACGTTGCCGTTCTTGTCGTTGATGTCGCCATCTTCGTCAACGTGGTGTCCAGTAAGCTTCTTGATATCACCCTCGATGACACGACCGATGATAGAGCCATCAGCAGTCTGGACAGTGCCGTCCTTGGCGACAGTGTTGTTGTCGAAGCCAGCGAAGGGGCCCTCGGGTCCGGATGAGGCGCCGTGGACGAGCTCAGCCTTACCAACGATGTTTCCAGCGTTGTCCCAGATCTGGCCCTTTCCATCTACCTTCTTTCCAACCATGGTGGCTGGGTCACCCTCAGACACGCGTCCAAGGATGGTGCCGGAAGAGTCGACGACGTTGCCTGCCTTGTTGATAGTGCAGCCAGCAAGAGCAGAGAGGTCGACCTCCTCAACCTCTTCTTCTTCTTCCTCGAAAGGCTCAGCGTGACCCTTGACGTTGCCGTACTTGTCGATGATATCACCATCTTCATCAACAGAGTGACCGACAAGCTTCTTCGCATCACCCTCGGTGATCTGGCCAACACGGTTGCCGTCGTTGTCCTCAACGAATCCGTCCTTGACGACGCGGAGGCCTTCATAGCCGGCGAACGGTCCCTCCTGGCGAGTGACACGCTCGTTGTCAGGAATGAGCTCACAACGTCCGACGACCTTGCCAGTGTCTCCGTGGATAAGTCCCTCACCGTCAGACTTGCGACCTGCCAGCTCCTTCAAGTTGCCTTCAACGAGCTTACCAACAGGAATACCCTCATTGTTGACGAGGTACCCTTGCTTATTCAGGGTGAGTCCATCAAGAGATGAGAGATCAACAGGAGCAGCCTCCTCTTCATCCTCAAGAGGCTCAGCGTGGCCCTTAACATTGCCATGCTTGTCGAGAATGTCTCCGTCCTCATCGACATGCAGGCCGATAAGACGCTTAGCGTCACCCTCAACGACAACACCGACGACGTTGTCGTCAGCATCGGCGACCTTGCCATCAGCAATGACGCGAAGACCCTCAAGACCGCCGAAGATACCTTCGGGCTTGGACTCGCGCTCATTCTCGGGGATCAGCTCGCAGCGGCCAACAACCTTTCCGGTGTCGTTGTGAATCAGGCCCTCGCCGTCAGACTTGCGGCCAGAAAGCTCCTTGAGGTTGCCCTCGACCAATCGGCCGATAGGGATACCTTCCTGGTTGACGAGCTTGCCTTGCTTGTTGAGAGTAAGACCCTCAAGGGCGGAGAGATCCTCGGGTTCCTCCTCCTCGGGGTCCCCCTCCTCGATGGGCTCGGCATGACCCTTCACGTTACCGAATTTATCAAGGATATCGCCATCCTCGTCAACTCGAAGACCAACGAGGCGCTTGGCATTGCCTTCGACAACCTCTCCAACGACATTCTCATCCTCATCAGCCACCTTGCCATCAGCGATGACACGGAGGCCCTCAAGGCCACCAAAGATGCCCTCGGGCTTGGTCTCACGCTCATTCTCGGGAATGAGCTCGCAACGACCGATGACCTTGCCAGCATCATTCCAGATCTGGCCGTCCTCGTCAATCTGGCGTCCATTGAGCTCCTTGGGATTACCCTCAACAAGGCGACCGATGGGCACGCCTTCGTCGCCGATGACGTTACCCTGCTTATTGACGGTCTTGCCCTTCAGGATAGAAAGGTCCTCAGGCTCGGGTGCATCTTCCTCGGGAGCCTCTTCTTCTTCAACGCGTTCAGCGTGTCCGACGACTGAACCCTTCTTATCCAGGATATCACCATCCTCATCGACGGTACGGCCAATGAGCTTCTTGGCGTCACCCTCGACGACCTGACCGACGCGGTTGCCATTCCTGTCCTCAACGTAGCCGTCCTTCACGACGGTCAGTCCCTCAAGGCCAGCGAAGGGAGCCTCCTCCTCGCCATCCTCCTGGGGAACAGTTTGGGCGCGGCCAATGACCTTACCCTTGTTGTCCCAGAACTGACCCTCGGCGTCAGAGGTAATGCCGGCTTTGGAAAGCTTCTTCGCGTCACCCTCAACAAGCTCGCCGACAATGTTGCCATTGCCATCAATGAGCTTTCCGGACTTGTTGACAGTGAGTCCGTCGAGGATGGAAAGAGGTGGCATGTTATCTTCACCAGCCTCCTCGGCATCCTCCTCGGCATCCTCAGCGGCATCCTCAGCAGCATCCTGAGCACCTTCGGCGGCAGCCTTCGCGTCCTCAGCACCCTCTTCGGCGTCCTCCGCATCCTCCTCAGCATCTTCGGCTTCTTCCGCAGCATCTTCGGCCTGGTTGACCTGCTGCTCGATCATCTTGGGGAGGGTCTTGACCTTTCCGATAACGTTGCCGTCCTTGTCGAGCACCTGACCCTTCTCGTTGATTTTCTTGCCGGCGCACTTCTCAATATCGCCTTCAGCAAGCTCACCAATTGGCTCACCATCTTCGTCGAGGACTTGACCTTTCTTGTTAACCTTCAGGCCATCAAGAACATCAATATCAGGGGTGACCTCGACTTCCTTGACCTCAGGCTCGACCTCGCCAAGGCGCTCCTTGAGCTCCTTCTGAGCCTCGAAAGCAGCCTCGCCAGCGACGACTTGGACCTTGCCGATAGACTTGCCCTCCTTGTCTAGGACCTCGCCCTGGTCGTTGATGGTCTTGCCAGCGCAGTCCTTGACCTCGCCTTCGGCAAGCTCACCGATCTCCTCACCCTCGGCATCAAGCACCTTGCCCTTCTTGTTGACCTTGAGACCGTCCAGGATTCGGATGTCGAGTGCGCCCTTGGCAGAATCCTTGAGCTTCTCAGCGGCGCCTTCAGCAAGCTCGACGCTGCCGAGGACATTGCCCTCAGAGTCAACGACCTCGCCCTTCTCATTGACAGTGAGGCCCTTGAGGTCCTTAACGTCGCCGTCGAAGCCGTCGCCGACCTGGCCAACAACTTCGCCCTCGTCGTTGAGGACCTCACCCTCGGAGTTGACCTCGAGACCCTCGAGCGCCTCAACGCCGGGGAGCTCGTCCTCGACATCGGCGGCCTTGTCTTCGATCTCGTCCTTAGCGCCCTCGGCGGTGTCTTCGGCGGTGTCTTTGACGTCGTCCTTGGTGTCTTCAGCAGCGCCCTTAACGCCATCGACAGCGCCCTCAGCGGCACCGCCCTCCTCTTCTTCATCCTCGTCGTCATCATCAACAAGGTCGGCAGCGTCAGGGTGGAGCTGGGCTCGGGCAATGACATTGCCATTATCATCGAGAATCTCTCCATCCTCGTTAAATTGCTTGCCCTGAATGTCAGATGGGTCACCCTCAACCAGGTGACCAACGAAGTCACCGTCCTCATTCAGGATCTGACCAGTCTTATCGGCGGTCAGACCCTTGAGAATGCTGAGAGGAGGCATCTGAGAGCCAGCGCCCTCGGCGCCCTTCTTAAGCTTGTCAGGAAGCTGGTCCTCAGGGAGCAGCTCGCAGCGACCAACAAGATCACCATCGTCATCGAGGATCTCACCATTGTCGCCAATGGGGTAGCCAGCAAGGTCCTCAGCATCGCCCTCAACGAGACGACCGACGGGTTTGCCGTCTTTGCTGACGAGGCCCTCCTCATCAACCTCAAGGCCCTTGAGAAGGCTCAGATCAAGACCGCTGGTCTGATCTTCGATAGAGTCCTTGACATCGTCGGCGGCTTCCTGGGTTCCGTCCTTCGCGTCCTCGGCGGTATCCTTCACATCGCCAGCCTTGTCGTCGGCGGTAACCTTTCCATCTACGGCCTTGTCCTGGACATCATCCGTCGTGTTGCCAGCTTTGTCTTGGAGATCATCAGCGGCGTCACCAGCCTTGTCCTGCACGTCATCGGTAGCGTCTTCGACGGCATCCTGACCCTCCTGAGCGCTGTCCTTCGCAGTTTCGGTAGCATCGTCAGCAGCGTCAAGAGCAGACTTGTCTTGAGACTGATCGGCTGCGTCCTCAACAGCACCCTTAGGGTCCTTGGAGGCCTTGCCGGCGAGGTTGGACGCGCGACCAGCCAGACCGCGAGCACCGCTCAATGCGCCCTCACCGGCCTTGCTGGCAGTGTCTGTGGCATCATCCTCGGTGTTGTCGACTGTGTCTTCGGCATCGTCGCCAGCCTTTTGTGTAGCGTCGTCCTCGGTCTCCTCAGCCTCCTCATCCTCATCGTCGTCGATGGGCTTGGGCTCAGCCTCGGAGAGCTCGTCGCCCTTCTGTGATACCTTGCCAGTTGTATCCTCGACAGTGTCTTCAGCATCGTCGGCGGCGTCTTCCGCCTGCTTCTTTGTGTCTCCAGTCGTATCTCCCGCCTTCTTCTGGGTATCTTTTGCGGTGTCTTCGGCTGTGTCCTTGGTATCTTCAGCAGTGCCCTTCACCTGCTCTGCGGTGTCTTCCGCGGTGTCTTGTGCCTGGTTTATAGTGTCTTCGACAGCCGACTGGGCCTTCTCTGAAACGTCAGATGTGTCGGGTACCTGCGATTGCGGCTTGTTCAGCTTAGGAGCTGACTGCTGGGGCTTCCTGCCAAGCTTGGTAGGAGTGCGGGGGGTATCACTCTTTCCTGCGGCGGGGGAAGGCATGTTGAATCGTTCGTCAATTGGTAATTCGTAAGTGGGTTTTGTTGGGGTTCGTTGACTCGTAGCAGAAACGTTACTGCTAATAGATCTTGAGCGGAGAGAACGGGGGGAATTCCTATTAGGCGTCGGGGGGAACGAGTAATAGGTGTAAGAGTTAGATGAATTTTCTGTCATGTATCAATTGACGAATGGGTCGTCTTTGTAGCTGGAAGGAAAGGGCAAGGATTTCAAGGCAGGCAACCATTTATGGGGTCAAGTTGGAGCAGATGGGCGGTTCCCCAGTATGACGTCTACTTCCAGAGCTCTATGAGGCATGTAGCAGGGGGAGCTCGCGCCACAGTGAGGAGAGCTGGGCCAGCAGAACCTGTTTTGAACCCCACGACTGGAGTGTGTACGACAGACTGCGACGAACCAGATATTAGTTGCGTCACTTGCTCCAGCCTTGAGCGGGGCGACGCTCCAGTCTCGCGGAGCAATGATGAGAGAGCTCCACTCAGTATGACTGAGTGTGGATAGGAGCTGCAACAGGGGTCGGGGAACTGTAGCGGAAACTGGTATGTAGGCCCATCGACGATGGCTGCCGCAGGCAGTGCCAAATTTGGAGACGCCCTGCCGGCGGCAAGTGGGCTAAACACATCGATACGGACGTTGTCAGGTTTCCTTTAGCAGCATATCGATCTAAAATGCTCCAGCAGCAGTCTCGACACCATCGTCTCTCACCGTCCCGAGAGACACGGCCAGGCAGGCCGTATCTCAAGCGGCAACCTCTCTCGAGCTTCGAGCCTCTCACTACTGCCAGCCACACTCCGACACGAAACCTGCTGTTTTCCAGTTACACGCTGGACGATCCAGGCCCGATCGACGACATCGCAGCCGTCCTCTCCACAAAACTTCAACGATCGAAAACGTGTATCCCTGACTCTGCCGCATCCCGCTCCTATCAGAAGTCTGTAATGCGCGGAGGCTGTCAAGAGAGAGCAGGTCTTGCCGTGCAGTTGACCAAACAGGTTGTGGCATCCAGCAAGTGATGTAAGTTCCAATGACGTAACGCGTCGAGGAGTACCCCTGCGCAAACCCCTGTGCCACTCTCGCTTACGACGCGGCCCCTGCACCTTCCATGGTATACTTGGACGCACACCTGGATTGAGTTCAGACTGCGGGATGGGAAATGAACGGGAGGCTCTGACGTCCCTGCGCACTGCTGGTGACCAGGAACGACTTGAGGCGGAATGCACCCCAGACTTTGTCACTCGAAGATATAGATATGGAAGTTACAGCGCAAGCCACCAGGCGACGTTGGATCGTACATACCGCGGAACCGTTCGAGCACGCGACGCGACGTTTGGCCCGAAAGCCGTTGAGATCGCGATTTTGGGTCCGCTAACTGCAGCACCGAATGTTTTGTCACACCGTCCGTCTACGGCGTCTGCGGGATCACTTGGAAAACGTGCGGCCGGTGCGGTGTGCAACGGGCACGCATTGTGCGTGGATGCAGACGCGAACTGTGGTCTGTGTTCTTGGTACAGCACCGAACGTGGTTCAATACTGTATCGTTGCGAGGACGATCGCTCTCATTACGAAGCAGTGTGATATCGGTACCTGCAGCATATATTTGCTGCACGCCTGATTGGCCTACATCTCACAAAATGCGTTTGTTGACATTTTTGACGGGCAATAGTGTCTCACAGCAGCACAAGTTGCTCTTACAGCACAAGTGTGAAGCACATATCCAATTGACCAATCAAGATCTGCAAGTCGCAAGCCCAGCCTCACGAGTCGTGGACCACGCTGGACTATCGAACGCGGGCGAACATGACAGCACCTAGTGTACCAGTAACTATGTACCAGGCAGTGGCATATTCAAAACCTGCTCCTGATGAAACACTTACAGATGGTGTACCATTCAATTGAGCCAACATCCCGAGATATGGAGGCACGGTGAAACGCCAGTGCTTCGACAAGTCGAGGTGTCTTCTTGCGTCTGCACATTGCGGTGTCTATGACCGAACATGATGTCACGCCTCGCTACCTTCAACCAGCCGCATCACCGAAACGGGTAGGCGCGTGGGTTCGGATGTACCGAGTTTTCGGTTTTTGTTCCTGGGTCAAGCACGGGTTCCTCGAGGCGTGCCTCGATTTAAAGCGAGCAGACTTCCGAAACAGCGCACCAGGCATCATTGAGATGCGAATGCTGCAAGGGTCAGCGGAACGGGAGTCGGAGATCATACAGGGAATGGTATGGTTTGCAACGATGTGGAATGCTGCGACACATACATCATGCTGTGGTTCGGGGAGGCCTCGATGTGCTGTCGCAAGCGATTCGGCTCTCAGCAACGGCGGCTCACGCAAGGCGATAGCACTCGATGATAGACCAAGTATGCTGCCTGCATATTGGCTGTCTTAGCTGCGAAGCCGTCTTCAGGCCTACCGGCAGAGCTTATGCAGGAACTCTTCGAAGGGCATCCACTGGGAAATGCGATCAGCCAACTATCAACGTGATCTGAGGCGGACGAGAAGCCGCAACAAGCAACAGCAAAAGCTACTCGGGAAACCGCAACCCGCTTGAAGAGGTTTACACCGATGTGGCATGATCGCTGTATAGATCTGAGAGCAAGGAGGCACCATTGCAGATTGAAGGATTTGAGCGAGACCCATTCGGCATCTCTGCGAGGGCTTCCAAGTGGCTACATGAAACCTTGCCAATCATGGTGAAGGTCAGCCATGACGGGAAGGCTCCACACGTTTCTTGCGCCTTTTGATCTGAAGTGATTTCTTGCCGAGCAGAACTGCCAGTCACATTTCCACAAATCGACCCGACAGTAGGTACAACCAAAAATTCTCCAGCAGCGACACAAATGTCCGAACGTTTGCTGACGAGATCAAACAGTAATCCGAAACCTGTAGTACACTTCGAGGGAGCAGGAAGCACGCTCAATCTCACTCGAAGTGTCGATGGCATCCAAGTTCGCATGAAGCACCATGCTGGAGAAGATGTCGTACTGCTGAGGGACCAGCAACGTCGCTCCACTTGACGAAACACGAGAGGATATCATTAGAGAAAGGTATCACGAACAAATCCTGACAGCATCAAGCAGGTACGCCACCAATCGGCTTCGGCTCAGCCACACTCTTCGACAAACTCTGTCTGCTCCCATCTGGGGGAATTCCACTCTCAACATCCTGCCCAGAGCGACTCAGCACCTTCCACCTCCTCTGCTCCTTCGCCTGCTCCTTCTCACGGATGGCAACATCTTCTTTCCCACCACCGCTGATCTTCTTCCATATTCGGCGCTTCCAACTCCTCTCTTTTCGCTCAGCTTCCTCCTTCTCCGCCTGGTCGGCAAGCAGCTGTCGTTCGCGCTGCGCGCTCTTACTGTTGTCCTTCTGGTCCTCGACCTTTTTCTGGTAGACTTCCGGGTGCACGACTTTGGTCTCGGCGTCCTTGATTGCGCCGACGCCTTTCTTGACCTTCCGGCGCGTTTTAACGTATGCTTCCAACCCGACCAGGACGGCGTATGAACGCGAAATGCTGACGCGGCTCATGTCGACGCCATTATCTTGCATGTTGTGCACAAAGGCGCGGAAGTTCTTTGTGGGCGGTCGGTAGTGCCCTGACAGGGGTGAGAGCCGGCGCAACTGCCCGTCTTTGATACGGACGAGGCCTGCGGAGGATATGCGCGCGCCATGGAGGAAAGACGAGTGTTGGAAGGAACCGGATTGCTTAATGCCAATGTATAGGCGGAAAGATGTGTCGGCGACCTGCTCAAAGTCAGTGTCAAGGTAATGTGGTCGATGGCCGTAGCAACGCTTCCGCTGTCATTATCAAGACAACTTTCCCGCAACCAGCACCGGTAACGACCCTCCTATTGCTATGGTAAGGTCAATGCGACTTACAAAGATCCAGGAATTCGGTTTGACAGAGCTACGTAACAGATGATTCAGAATCGTCGCCGCGGACACATGTTTGATCTTCTTGATCCCCTTTGCACGGTCCAGATCCTCGTTGACATAGTGTTCGCCCTCAACGTCGCTATGCTCTCCCGATTCCGACGAACTCGAGCTGCTGGAGGATATGGAGGACGACCTCGAGTGTCTCAAATTCTTGCTCTGCCCGTCGTGCAGCAGCTGTCCATTGGATCCATACGCTGGCGTATCATCATCAACAGGAACGATACCATTTACACTATCTTTGTACTCGGTCGTCGTATTGATTCGCTCGCCGTTCTTCGCCCAGCACAATCTACCCTCCTTATCGATCTTCACCATGTAGTTCAGCCTTTCTTCGCGCGACAGGTACCGTACCTGCTCTTTCTCCAGCCTGACTCTTGAGACCGTGGGATGCTCAAAGTTGCGACCTTCGCCTTTGTCGAGCCAGTAAAAGAAGTTCTCGTGCGTCGCGGATTTCTTCCATTCCTCGTGGTATGCGCGCAGATTCGAGCCGTACCGGTGTTTCTGGTCCACCATTTCCAGAAAGTATTGCAGGTCCATCATTTTGGCCGTTCTTTCGCGCTCAGACTTCTGCTCGCCTTTCTTCTTCTTCTGATTCGTGCGCTCCTCGGGCGAGCAAGATTCGTCGGTTTCTGAGCTCGAGACATCGGGCGCATCGTCTGCGCCTGCTCGACGTGCGATCGCGCCGACTCGCTTCCATTTCTTTCGCGCGGCTTCAGAGTTCGCGCGCGCGCGTTGCTCGGGTGTCGTCAATTCGTCTTGGTTTGACTGGCTGTCTGCGTGCGACTTGAGGCGCGTTGCGTTGCGCCATCTCGCTGGGAACGGTTAGGATGCGTCGACGTTAGAAAGAGGTGGGCTAACCATCTCGTACAGCCTGTGGCACTGTCAACTTTTCACTCTGGCTTCATGGAAAGTTTGGAGGCGTACTTCTGCCCAGCGTGCACTAGCATCTAGCCCGATACCCTGAAGTTGTCGACGTTCGCGGTATCCGCGATAATTGCGCTGGATCAGCTGGGCAGCATTTTGCTGCTCCTGGTCGTTGAGCTGATCAGAAGGGCTTTCAACTGCTTGCTTTACGGTCGCCGCAGGACCGGCTTCAACCTCCGCCATCGTGACAGATGTTGCAATGAAGCGCAAGAGACATCTGAGGTCTGAGCGCGGGAGACGTGACAGGCGGAACAGTCGGCGGGGCTGGAGCTACAGACCCTGGGCGGAAACCCCTGCTCGACGGTTGTTCGGCATGGCACGTCATTGCGCATGCGACATGGCCGGAATCGATAGGTACTTCAGAAGGGAAGACGCGTGTTCAGGGCTCACAGAAGGTAAGACAGAGGGAACCACAGGAACGATTCGAAAGGAGCTCTTGCGACTGTGGGCTCTTCCCTTTCGCATGTCGGAGGAAGTTCCGAGCAGGACCCACTGGAGCACGCGCAACCGCGAAGACAGCAGCTGCGTTTGAATCAGACCTCTGTCTAGATAAAACCTGATGGACGAATTTAAGCATATCTACAAAGCCAGTAAAGCCGCCTGAAATGTGAGCTGGACAATTAGCCATTCAATCGGAAGACATGGCCGTACAGTTATAGCCTAACCACATCTTCTTGGCAAGGCAGGCTCCATACCAAGAGACACTCGGCGACTCTTCACTGCCGCAGCAACACGCTTAGAGACAGAGCTCAAACCAACACCATGTTGGCGTAGTCTTGATGGTAATACCAGGGTCAAGGCATATCGATTGATTTTCCACCGTTCAAATAGCCCACCAGCACCGACACACAGGGCACTCAAGATCCCTGCGACGAACCAAACAGACACCCAGCCATCAGCCTCCACGTAAGTGTTTCCCTTGGCTAGACTGCTGATTCAGGGATCTGACAAGCTCTAGGAGTCCAGAGACAAACCAGCAGCGCTCGCCACTGCTTTCGGTCATCGACAACACCCACTGAGCACGCTATGTCGGAGTAGTCAACACCTTACAAGGATCTAGTAGCTGCGTCGAACCCTGGGGCACGGATTGTGGTGAAGATCAAACTAACGGAACGTCCCTCACCACCAAAGAACAGGCGTCAAATATGTGAGGGCTAAGCTTGCCATGCGAACGAGGCTACCCGTGCAACTGTGAACGATCACGACAATGGAGTCTTTGCTGGAGGATAGTACGCTGAATCTAACCGACGAGCTGGTCCATTCCAGGGCTGCAAACGTGCCATACGAACAGGCCGGACTGCCTTTTGCATCGAGAATCATGAGGCCAAAAACCCAAATTCGAGAGTCCCAGCATTTTCAATTCCTGCCAGAATGATTGAAGCAACCTGGCTAGCTTAGCTAGGGTTATAACCGTATTAGAAGAGTTTGAAGCGCAGGGTAATAGTAGTAGTCAAGCATGCCTGTATTCACCTCAAGACTGTGATTGCGCTCTGCGCCAGGGCCCGTTTGCGGGGCTTCGCCTTAAAACTCTCCTTCACCAGAGCAGTGACAATTGCGTCAAGTTTAGGCTCAGGCTTGACTCTGCAATCGCAAGCATCAATGTGGACTTGTTGGATTCTACTTCGCTTTGTAACCTCTTAAACGTACAAGGAGCCGCGTGCCTGCGCCGTCACCAAAAAGCAACCGATCCCCGTTTTCTTGTCTCTTGGTGATAAGAAGACAAGCGCGATACTAATGGAGCAAATTAATCGGGACTGGTGGACGCGAGCCAAAGACTAGATCACGGCAGCCGTACCAGAGGACGTTCTCATCATCATGACAGCCAATCTTGCCCAAGCAGCTTCCAATGATGCGACGATGCAGACCACGTTACAAAAGTACATGGACAGGAGTGAAGTGCACACACAGATCTACATCACCCAGCTTACCTTCGAACCTGAATACAACAATCTCATTGTCGAACAAGCAGATACGCCGGCCCGATACATCATATCGTATACACAGCAAACTCCCAAAGCAAATCAAGAAGCCTACAAGCTCGACGGGTTTCTTCACCTAACTGTATGGCCGAGAGAGTGGAGCGATGAAGGTCTCCGCGCTGCATTGATTGACGACCACAGTGTCAACAGCGACGCACTCGTCCGCGTCTATGAGGTCTTCGGCAACACACTGCATCAGCTAGCAGCCCATCCCTGAGCCAACAATCAGACCCATGTTTCGTCAATGTGCGGCATCAGCTATGTCGACTCAGCAGCAGAACACATATGCCAACTCCGAAAAGAAGGCATTCGCAGCACGCCCATCCGGTTCACTCACAGCTTCTTGATAACCCCAAATATGCACTCGAATGAGCGGGACTTGCAACTCAACTTCTAGACTTCCCCTATCTGCTTGCTGACTAGACAAGAGATCGGTCCGGTTGCGAAGAAGCTTCTGGGTAGGCTGACTGGCTCCAGCTACGATGTCGCTGTGGCTCCACTGTTCCTCGTACCTACACGGGCACGAAGCCTACTGGGTCCCTGTCGGAGGTTGAATGGGAAGCGCATCGTCGTTGGCTGGTGAAGGATACAGCCTACGTAGAGATCTTAGGGACGGAAACCAAGCGGAGGATCAACTTGAACATACGCGAGAATACTCCTAGTGCAAACATGGTGTCGCTGACGGAGGCGTTGCGGGAGGCTCACACGCTAACGGAGTAGCACAATGCCTCCTGGTGGAATCGTCGAGCTTTATAAATCAGGAACTTTGACGTGCACGGCGTTGGATGAACCAACATAGTATTACAGATCGCCTCCCATATACGTGCAGTGCCACTGCATGCACCCTAAACGTCATTGACCTCCCTCCAACTCTTCCCCATCAAGGCGTTACTCTCTCCGCAACCCTCGTCCACTAACTTCGCCGCCGTCTCTCTCCCTGCGACCGGCAATTTGACCTCATATATCTTCCCCTGTTCCGCCTCCTTGCCATTGATAGCATACCTGAAGGGCACATACTCCGGCAACAGATCCAGCTGCTTCAGCGCTGTCGCCTGATCCCAACTAATATGCTCGTGGCACAGACGATCACCACGAATAGCCACGATGGATGTGAACGGGATCTCGAGCTTCTTGCCAGTGGGCGGAATGCCGGGGAGTAGCCAGGGCACTTCTTTGTCGTGAGTGAGCGAAAAGACGAACTCGTCGATTACGCGGTCTGTGCCGACAGTACGGCTTACGAGGGATAGTGCGGTATCGTCGGGGTTGCTGAAGATGAAGTGGTGCGTGTAGAAGGCTGTCAGGCGGTCTTTGCCGATGCCGCCGCTGGGTTGTGTTAGCGAGATGACCAGGATCAGTGGTGCGGGTTGACGTATCGCTTCTTCAGACGAGGATGTGAGTCCGAGAAAGGGAAAGTTGTTACTTACGTCATGGTTGGAATGTGGTTTACATAGGGCTGCGCAACCATGGTCGCCATCGTCTTCTCCACTGCTCGTTCTCCGAACTCGTACAAGCAATGTTCATCCCACACAGCTTCGAGATCGAAGTATGGCCCGTTGAGAAATGGCTTGAGAAATGCTGCACTCCTTGTGTGAGCGATACCAGCATTGCGCTTGGAATATTTGGGGTCAGCAGGAAGCACCCAATTAGTATCGTTAGTGGCGTCTTCGTAACGAAATGTCTTCACGATACCAGCTGGGCGCTGCGAGGTTGGTGAGGATTTAGTGGGCTCAGGATCCGGGGATAGGGGAAGAGATTCTCGACGTGCGACTGTGGGACCGGCGGCATGGATGAGTTGAGGCGGCAGGGCGGTTGACGATTCGTGGAGGGTAGACAGTTGACGTCCACCGTAAGATACCACAGCGAGGATATCGGGGTGCTGAATGACGCCTTCTTCGACGTAGAATGGGAGACGAGAGATGTAAGCTTAATATGTGTCAGATGCCGGCGTTTTGATATCTGTTGTATCAAGTCACGTTGCCCGTTGTGCTTCTTGCTCTTTCTGTAACGTCCCAGTCCAACCCGAAGATCAAGGAGAATTCAAGACTCACAGACTACACCAACACCCCTCCCGTAATCACAGGCCTCGCAACTCTTCAGCACTTCCAAGGCTTTGTCCAAAGGAAACTCGCCGCCATCTTCTACCTTCCCAGGCACGAGGAGCTGGACTACGGCAAAGCCCTCTTCAGCCCATTTTTGCAGCGGTGGAGGATCGAGATGCTTGTCGCTCTCCTCAACCAGTGCGTAGTGATCGAGTATCAAGATAAGTCCCGGGCCATTTCCTCGGCGAGATAGCGGAGGCTGGAGGATTAGGTGGGGCGATATCTGCTTGGGTGAGGGGTAGGATGCAGGAGCGACAGGTAGAGACGCGGGGCTCACTTCGCCCATCTTTACACAGGCTTTCGAGAAGAGGAATAGTCAAAAAGCTGATCAGGAGGAGGTTGGAGATCAAGTCAACAAGCTACCGACGGAATGTCAAGTAAGCTAGCGGGTACAAAAGTGTGGGGTGCCGTAAATTGAGTTAGTGTGCGCCCGCCACGCACGAGATCAACAGCGTCAACGACGTTCCTCAGCATCGATGACATTGGTTGCACGAGGGTCTTGTCTCGAGTAGACTATACTCCTTCGAGAGCCTACATGTATGAGCCTGATAGCCTAGTGCATTGTGCTCCACATGCACTGTGCTCGGCATGTGCTTGTACCACCAAATGCATGCAGAGCACGATAGACTTGGTCGCTTGTGTAGCCTTCGCGTCGAGCGGTATACCTGATTAGGAGATCCATGTGTAGGACATGAGCGCTGCACGCGCAGCAATATATAGTACATGATGGTGGGTATCTAATGTTGGAGCTGGAAGGATGTAGAAAGAGCTGTACATGGTAATACAAGACATGATACAATGCGTGTTGTACAGCGCGGAGAAGGGAGGGAGTGTAGACTCATATCGTGGCAGCAGCTCTATCTCCTGTCTTTGACAGACCGTTCGGCTCCTGATCAGGTCGAATCACCCTTTAGCTGCTTGCGAACTCGTGCAGCAACAGCAATGGCTTCTTCGGGAAGGCCTAATGCACATCAGTAAGTGGCGTCATTCTTTCATGAGATTTCGACCTTACCTGCGACTCGTGCAACCTTCAGAGCGTGACTCTCACGGTTAACACCTCTTCTGAGGCGATGCACATATGAGAACTTGCCGTCTGCCTCCTCACGGACATCGTTACAGTAGCAAGCCAGCTTGTTGAAATCCTTGGTCATATCGGCAAGAGTGTGGAAGTGGGTCGCAAACAAAGTTCGACACTGATTCGAGTAGTACAAATGATGCAAGCAAGCAAAGCCTACTGCAATGCCGTCTTCAGGTGTAGTACCTCGGCCTACCTCATCCATGATGACGAAGGAACGTGGAGTTGCTTCTTTGAGAATCTGAGCGGTCTCAAGCATCTCTACCATGAAGGTTGATTGATCGAGGAAGAGATTGTCCGCTGAGCCAACACGACTAAAGACTTTATCGACGAGTCCAATCTCCGCGTACTCGGCTGGTACATACGACCCTGTCTGGGCAAGTATCGAGATCAAGGCGTTCTGCCGGAGGTACGTGCTCTTGCCCGCCATGTTAGGACCAGTAATGAGCCAGATGCGCTCTTTGTCGTCGAGTATGCAGTCGTTGGGCGTGAATTTACGTCCTTGGTCACCACTGCTGTTGTCGACAACCGGATGTCGACCGCCAACAACGTTGTGCGATGTTCCGGAAGTGATTATGGGTCGGATGAAATACTTCTCCACGGCAAGCAGTGCAAAGGCGCATGCGACGTCAAGCTCGTCAAGCACAGCGGCGTTACGTCGAAGCCTCACGAGGTTGCGTACGACACCCTCGCGCAATTCTCCCAAGACTCGCTGCTCTTCGTTGCGAATTCGGAAGCGCGTCTCGTCCATCTGAGCGCCCAATAGCGTCCACTCAGGAACTTGGAACGACCGGGTCGACTTGCTGCTACTGAGGCTCTTCGGATAGTGTTCTGCGATGCGAGACATGTCTTTTCCCTTCACATGAGCAATATGCGCAAGGTTCGGCGTCCACTTGAGCGTCAGGGTGGAAACATCCATCTTCTCCCGCAGTCTAGCTTCGAGCTGTGCTTTCACATCGCCCATGGTTTCCAGAGACTTGTGCAACCGGTGTAAAGCTGTGCTTGCCTTACGTTTCATAATCCAGATGTCGTCTCGTCCATCTGTAGCGCTCTTATAGCTGCCCGTGATTGCGTGAGGTTTGGGCTGAATGCGTTTTGGCATGTCCTTCAAGTCCTCCTCGCCTGCTTCTCGACCGAGGACGTCTTGTGCGAGTTCTGACATTTCTTCCGCTTGCTCGTCTTCGGCACGATGATATTCAGACAGCGCATCCTCGTCGATAGCATCCTGTATGCGTCTGGAAAGGTCGAGCACACCTTCAAGATCGAAGCGTCGCTCTAGTGCAGACATGCACTGCCTCCGTCTGGTCTCTGACGTCTCGGCGTTGGTGTCGGTTGGGATGGCATTCCTCGAAGTCGTGTGCTCACGAACGACATTGAACAATTCGAAAGTAGTAGCAATGGTTTTCGAAAGCTCCATCAGGTCATCTGCATCGCCACGACCGTATGTAAACTTTGTGACAAGTCGAAGAGAGTCGAAGGTCTGTCCAAGCAACGCTATGATATCTTGCCTGAGCTGAGGGTATTCGATCATCTCTTGGACCAAATCAAGCCGGTCGTTGATTGTGGAAAGCGACATGGACGGTGCGGCTGCCAAATGTTAGCGTCTACTAGCTAGATGGACAAGAGTGGGCATACATAGTCGTTGCGATAGCAGGCGTGTCCCACTTTTGGTGACTGTGCTCTTCAGAGAGTGCAGTAAACTCCCTTCGTAAGTGCCGTCTCGGATTGTGCTCCTGATCTCCAGCGCTCTTAAGCTGTTCTTGTCGATGCTCATGTGATCTTCGGCCTGGTGTCTGACTGGCGCTCGTAGTCGTGTCCGAGAACCAAGAAGCTGGTGCTTGACATAGTGCAGAAGTGAACCACCAGCAGCCACTTCGCCAGTTGTGAAGTTCGCAGGGTCGAAGTCATCAACGACATCCTCGAGCATGGGTATCCAGTCCTCAACAGTGAGTAATTCTTTTGACGGCTCCTGGAACGTGATGATATGCCCGTCTTCTTGCAGTATGGACACGATGTGTGAATGCTCAGCTTCTTCGAAAATGCTATCGAGCACGATCTCCCGTGGCTTGATGCGAGCTACTGCAGTCGGCAAGGATGCAATATCGGTGCTTTGCGTCAGGAAATCGCCACTAGATAGGTCGATCCAAGCAAGCCCAACCTCCGTACGAGGCAGATTGAGCACAGAAGCCACGTTGGAGCTCCCAGGACTTTTTGCAACAGCCTTGTCCTTTTCGAGCATCTTAGGGTCAACGTGGATGCTGAGGAGATAGTTGTTCTCCCAGGGATCCATGAAATGCTCATCGATCAAAGTACCAGGCGTGATGATGCGAGCCACTCGTCGAATATACTGAAGCTCGCCCTTCGCTCGATTGGGTGCGTCGTTGACGAACTCGTCACAGATGGCAACATGCTTGTTCAGATCCTGGACAAGTATCTTAAGGTAGCGGTCCAGCTGGTATGCAGGGAAGCCGGCCTGATCTGATTAGTGTTGGGTGACAGAGAATTCACAGAATACTCACCATTGACACAGCAGGTCTTTTGCTACCCTTGGATGCTTTTCGCTTTGCCTTCTTCAGGTTTAAGAGCGGTGCGTACTCGTCAGCCTGTTCGAAGTAAAGCTAATCTGATATCAGTAGATGCCATAACGTCGGATATCACGCACGCACCTCGTAGAAGCCGCCAACTCTGGTCACTACGACACAGTGACTGAATTTGAGCATAGTGTTGCGCACTTGCTGCAGCAATGGTGGGTAATCTGGCTCGGCATCATCCTGGGGCGGTAGCGCTTCAGATCCAATGGAACCCTGAGGTACCTCTTCAAGTTTGATTGAGGCTTTCCGCTTCGCACCTCGAAGCTGCAGTGATCCGGTCCATGTTGCGCCTGCGAACCGCGCTGCACGTGGTTTCGCGCAAGGTCGCGTCAAGCTCGAGAAGGAGCTTCTGGCGGCTTTGACGTGGGCTCGAGAAGCGAAGAAGAGATGCTTTGGTGATGTTATCGGTCTCAGACGCGTCGGGAGGTGAACATGCATAAGAAGCATGATCTCGGATTGACTTCGTTGCTAGAGAGAGGAAGGCGCGTCTGAGCTGTCGCGTCTGCATGCGGCTTAGTGGCCTTCACGGTGCGCGCGGGGTTCGTCGGAAGCTACTCCCATCATCATAGAATTCCGAGGCTGCTCATTGTTCAATCTCACATCATACAGCAACAATGGCGCAGAATTTCGCTCCTATGAAAAATGACCTCATTCTCCGCACCGCAAAGGGTACGTAATACAAGCGTAGCAACTCATAAGGAAATTTGTGCTTATCCTGAGCAGGCGAGAATGTCGAGCGTGCACCCATGTGGGTGATGCGGCAAGGTACGAATCTACTCATTGGTGCCTCGGCGCAATCACAGTACTCACAATTGAATAGCTGGACGCTACCTGCCTGAGTACCACCAAGAAAAGGGCAAGAATGACTTCTTTGAGTGCTGCCGCAGCCCCGAGATTGCCTCGAACCTTACCCTTCAGCCCATCGATCGATATGCTGGCCTTGTTGATGCCGCGATTATCTTCTCCGACATCCTCGTCATCCCACAGGCAATGGGCATGGAGGTCATAATGGTAGACAAGAAGGGGCCTCACTTCCCCGAGCCACTTCAGACACCGCAAGACGAACAGTACAAGGAGGTTATGGAGCGCAACGTAGATGTGAAGGAGTCACTCGACTACGTCTACAAGGCCATTACTTTGACGAGGCAGAAGCTTGACGGTCGAGTGCCCTTGATTGGTTTCTGTGGCGCCCCTTGGACACTGTTGAGCTACATGGTCGAAGGCGGTGGCAGCAAGATGTTCATCCAGGTCAAGACATGGATCTACAAGTACCCCGAGGCTACCAAGGCGCTGCTTCAGAAGATTTCTGAGCTTTGTGTCGAGTACCTAGCTCTGCAGGTTGTGGCTGGCGCTCAGGTATGTTTTTGTAGATGTTTAGGGTTAGACAAAACTAACCGCTACAGATGGTTCAAGTCTTCGATTCATGGGCAGGTGAACTTTCTCCTCAGGCCTTTAAGGAGTTCTCCCTGCCATATCTCAACTACATTGCCGATAACCTTCCCGCGCGCATCAAGTCGAAGGGCATCGATGAGGTCATTCCCATGACCGTCTTTGCTAAGGGGGCATGGTACGCACTGCCAGCGCTCTGCGAATCGAAATACAACACCATTGGTTTAGACTGGCTCCATGACCCAGCTGAGGCCTATCAATTGGCACAGTCAAAGGGCAAGGTCCTGCAAGGCAATGCGGACCCAGGCATCCTGTACGGCAGCCACGAGTCGATTACAAAGGTGGTCGAGAACATGGTCGCTGGATTTGGTGGAGGAAAGAAGGGTTGGATCGCCAATCTCGGTCATGGTAAGCTCACAGGGTTGGCACAGCATGAGACCTACTAACAATCGCAGGCATCACACCGTTTGTCAAGCCGGACGATCTGAAGTTCTACTTCGAGGAGATTCATAGGCTGACGACATAATACCACACATGACAGATCTGCAGCCAGAGAGCGCGCAGAACTTATTCGTCTTCTCCAATATCCTCATTCCAGTCTCCGGGCTTTTCCTTGATAAATTTCTGCATCAGCAACTGGCACTCCTCGTCCTGCAGCACCACAACCTCGATGCCCTTGCTCTTCAGATACTCTTCGCCGCCAACAAACGTCCTGTTCTCTCCAATGACGACTCGCTTGACCTTGTACATCACACATGCACCGGTGCACATGTCACAGGGTGAAAGACTGGTGTACATGGTTGCACCTTGGTAAACTGAGGCCGGAAGGCGTCCTGCATTCTCCAAAGCGGAAATCTCTGCCTGATTCGGTTAGCATAAGGCTGGAGGCAACCATATTCAAGGCAACACTGACATGCAGAGTAGCACTGCCTTTCTGAATACGCATATTATGTCCCTGGCCAAGTATCTTGCCTTCGGCTGAGACAAGGCAAGCGCCAATGGGCACTCCGCCTTCGCTGCTGCCTTGACGAGCCTCGTGTACGGCGGCCTTGAATCCAGCGTCTTCTGCAGACATGATGAGAGATTTGATGAGAGCAGAGCACACAGCAGAAGATTTGCGTCACGAATTGCATTCAGGGTCCACGTCGCAATTGCCATACTTGGCAGATAAGCTTCTGCTTCTCGTCTCTTGCCGATTGGCGGGACGCACGGACTCGAATGTACAACAATAATGGAAGACTTGATGAGCAGCATGTCAATCTATTCTACGTGCCGAGATCAAGTGAAGTTTTCTTACCAAGCGAATCCGGTTCACGGCTGTTAGCCGTAGCAGCCACGAAACCTTGAGCAGGCAAAAACCCGAGTTTCAGGCCGTTTTGAGCTGTTGGGTCGCGGTGGAAGGGCATAGAATCAGTTGGAATCTTCTGCAGCTCGGCGCAGTTGGCATCCCGGTTGACTACTTTTAAAACTCCAAGCTTTCGCCTCTTACAGTGCTTTCACCAAACAAATATTGCCGGCAAGTGACAGTAACGTGCCTGTAAGTCTTGCACCCCTCCGTTAATTTTGCGACAGCCCGTTCCCGGCGAGTCTCGGTAAGCGCCTTCTGTTTGAGTCTTCGACGAGGAAGATACGGGCGCCTTCCGCAAGGCTGAGCCGCTTGTTAAAGCAAACCCTTGTCCGCATCTCGGCCGCTGACATTCAATCTCCAGACACAGCGACGTTGCGCTCCTCCCTCGCCCAAAAGATACCACAGCGACCCCGAGCACACTTTTACGACCCCGCTAGCCCGTCGTCTTTGCAATCTCACGCAACGCAACCGCCAACATGGTGAAGGACACCAAGTTTTACGACATCCTTGGGGTATGTACAGCCTTACACCAAGTGTCAGATTAATCAGTATTGACACGCGCAGGTGTCCCCAGATGCCACAGAAGCACAGCTGAAGACAGCATATAAGAAGGGTGCGCTGAAATGGCACCCCGACAAGAACGCACACAACCCCGAGGCTGCCGACAAGTTCAAGGACCTCTCACACGCATACGAAGTTCTCCAAGACTCGCAAAAACGACAGCTGTACGACCAGTATGGTGAGGAGGGCCTTGAGCAGGGCGGCATGGGCGGCGGCGGCATGGCTGCCGAGGATCTGTTCGCGCAGTTCTTCGGCGGCGGCGGCGGTGGTGGCCCATTTGGAGGCATGTTTGGTGGCGGCATGCGCGAGCAGGGCCCCAAGAAGGCGCGCACCATTTCCCACACCCACAAGGTCTCGCTCGAGGATATTTACCGCGGTAAGATCTCTAAGCTCGCTCTCCAGAAGTCCGTCATCTGCTCAAAGTGCCACGGTGTTGGTGGTAAGGAGGGTGCCGTCAAGAAGTGCGCTGGCTGTGATGGCCGCGGTATGAAGCACATGATGAGGCAGATGGGCCCCATGATTCAGCGCTTCCAGACCGTCTGCCCTGACTGCCAGGGAGAGGGCGAGATCATTCGCGACAAGGACAGGTGCAAGCAGTGCAACGGCAAGAAGACCATTATCGAGCGCAAGGTCCTCCACGTCCACGTTGACCGCGGTGTCCAGAGCGGCCACAAGATAGAGTTCCGTGGCGAAGGCGATCAGCTTCCGGGCGTTGAGCCCGGCGATGTTATTTTCGAGATTGATCAGAAGCCCCACCCTCGTTTCCAGCGCAAGAACGACGACCTTTTCTTCCACTGCGAGATCGACCTCCTGACTGCCCTCGCTGGTGGTCAGATCCACATTGAGCACCTTGACGAGAGGTGGTTGACCGTCGACATCATCCCCGGCGAGTGCATCGCTCCCGGCGATGTCAAGGTCATTCGCGGCCAGGGTATGCCCTCATACAGGCACCATGACCACGGCAACCTGTACATCCAGTTCGATGTTAAGTTCCCCGAGCGCCTCGGCGGCGAAGACGGCGCACCCCTGACGCCCGAGCACATCCGCGCCCTCGAGTCGGTTCTGCCACCACGAAAGGTCCCTGATGCTACACCTCCACCCAACGCAATGACCGAGGACTTTACACTCGAGACCGTCGACCCCACACGCGAGCAGGCACGCGCACGAGGCATGACCAGCCCCGACGAGGACGATGATGACATGCATGCCGGTGCCGAGCGCGTCCAGTGCGCATCGCAGTAAGGAGTGAGCGACAGAAGCTGATAGCGAACGATTTACGATGAACGAAGCACGACACCAAGCATGAAGAAATGTAGCTGAAACGGCGTCGTGGCTTCTGGGGATGATGTTGATGTTTTGCATGGTGTTCCGGCATGCTGGCTACTCACGGCCAAGCGTGTATGAGCAGGATACGATTCTGCACAATCGCGGCATGAGTGCGTGATGGAGATTATCTTCTTTCGATAGACCGGGGTGCTGTTTCCTTGTTTGCAGCATTGCTATAGCTGGGCAAAGGCGTTCTTAGATGGAAGTCCTTTGCGCAGAGCATATTTGCGATCAGGTATGGATCGTGAGAGTAGCTGAAAATGCATGTGGTAATGTTCATGGTTTCGTTCGAAGTCATCTTTGAAAATGTGAACGTGCCTGCAGCATTTAGCGTCCATGACGTACTCTAACATTTTGCGAGCGATCAACACTCCATTTCATACATCAATCTTGGGATTCACCTTCGACCCCGTCTTTCCGCTGCTTCACGCTAACGAAATCCAAGACCGCCAAAAGACTTAGTTTTTCTGCTCATCCTGCGCCTTCCAGGCGAACTCCGCAACAGGATCTACACCTGTGTTAGTCAATCCATCATCATCCTCCGAGCTACTTGATGCCCTCGCGAAGACGTGCAACCAACGTCGCGCACAAGTTCAACGGCTACCGTTCAAAGACAGCAGCTACAAGACATGCACGTATGATGAAGAGGATGCCGTTGAATGATTGCTCGTACCAGGTGGCGTGATGCAGGAGACAGTTTTGAACGCAATGACAGAAGAATAGAGGAGGATATTGCAGCATGTGCAGTTCTTCTCGCGATCAATCAGTGGCGAAGAGGCGGTGGTGTTTTCATCTTCAGCACGGTTTTCGACAGTTGGTGTTCTCGAAGGAGCTAGAAGAGAAGATGCGAAACTTTGACGTTGACAACCCATGTGGGCGCGTACGGCACTATCATGGGACTTGACCATCTGATGTGGGCGGAGTAACCGTCATACGTTGGTGTCAAGCACACAAGAGATCTTTACACACAAGTACCTGCTGTGTGTTGTCGAATACTCGTGTTGTTCCTTTCACGTACGGGGACAAAGAGCTCTTAACTGTCTCGCCGCGCATTCATCAGACTTCACCATGGCGTACGTTCCGACTATCTGAGCGTTTACTTGCCTACCACCTCCCTTACAACAGATATTCCCGCTTCGCCGTTACTCCGTCTTCCGTCCGATTCGCAATTAAATCCTATTGTACCTCTTCGGTGATATCAAATACCACACTCTCAGGTAGCCCCACGATTGCATGCCACCAAGATGCTACGTCGGGATGGTCCCCAGAATGTATACAAGACACTGTCCAGTTCGGACTGCGAGTCACGACGTCATCATGCGGACGTGCCGCCATATATCCAAAGAGTCACGCTTGTTACCTTTGAAGTGCAGGAGCTACAAGTGGGTTCAAACAGGCGTAGCCTCAGAGCACGCCGGTATCGGTCCAGATGCTGAAGTACTCCTATCCATGTTCCGGAAAAGACAGAGTGAAAGCAGGCTCAGTCATGTGTCTGGCTTGCAAAGGTGTATCCTGTCGCGATTTTGCGCAGCTTCCGCCTCTTCCTACGACTGTTCAATTTTGAGTCGATTCAATCCCACAACATGGCGTAGGTCCATCGTAAATTGCCACTTCTTTCCATCACTGACAGCCATGCAGTGATTCACTCACCTCACAACAGCCTGTCTCGCCACTGCTCCGTCTCCCTCTCGAGCTGCGCAAGAGGATCTACGCACATGTCTTCAGCGGCTACCGGATCACCGTCCTCTGGTCCAATACCGGCGCCCTACGCTACGCCACTCTTCCCGACTCTGAGCTCCTTTTCCACGGCTCGGGGCGACTGGCCTTCAATACTCTCATCGCTCCGACGCAAGTCTGCCGTCAGATGTATGCCGAGACCCGACTCCTTCCATACAAATACAGCACGTACAACGTCAGCCTCATAATCAATTTCACGCTCTGGATGGGCAGGCTTGATGAGGCGTTGCACACTACGGTGTGGGAAGCGTTGAACGAGTCGCAGAGGTTGTATGTGCAGGAGGTGCGGGATGAACATTGGGGGGGCAGTGAGGACAAGGTAGTCCGGAGATGGAGAAGGGCCGGGACCGCAATGAGTGCTTGACAATCGCGCAAACATGTGTTCAATGTTGGTGCATGACCTTTCTGCTCAATCCTGGCAGTCTCCTGATGTTTTGTACACATCAGAAACGAAGTAATTATCCATAGCTAGCTTCTTAGCGCCTTATAAAACCAGTTCAGTGTTCACCTTGATCGGCTTTTCACCCGCGCCATTTGATCTTCACCCCCGCGCGCCCCAGAAGATCGCCATGTCGTACGTGATCGAACATGGTTATATTCCTCCTCAGCATTAACAGTCCCGCAGCACCTTCGCCCACCCAGCCTCAGCTAATCCAACATCTCCCCTCCTGCGTCTCCCGCCCGAGTTGCGCAACAAAATCTACGCATACGTCTTCAGCGAAAACCAGATCCAGGTGTTTCAAACGCTCCGTGATGGGAGTGCATACGAACTCAGATCCCTCGATCTTCACTACTGCCTGCCATGCAATTTCTTCAAAGCGGCGGCCTTTGAGCGCCACGTCACCCTGACGCGCACCTGTCGCCAGATCTACGAGGAAACGCGTCTTTTGCCGTTCAAATACAGCACATATATTTGGTACAAGAAGAACACCTTCGTGAAGTGGTTCGTGCGGGTGAACAAGCCAGTGCGGGACTTGGTATGGAGTGCGCTCAGCGATGAACAGAGAGGTGCTGTGAGGCATACAAAGGAGTATCAAAATATGGTGGCGCTAGACGCGTATAACGACTTGGTCAAGGCGGCGGATCTGTGGAGTGAGGCTCGCGCTTCTGAATGGTTTAGCTGCTGAGGGAAGGGGAAGGGAAGCGGTCGACAGTTGATGGATAGACCGTACTCTACCGAACAGATCAAAACCGACTATCAGCACGTCCGTCTCTTCTCCGTCTACTCTTCTCTATCCACCAGCAGCCTTGAAAACTGTCGTTTGAGACCCTCGTCTCTTGGCCATCTCCACTTCACTCTAGTTGTACGCAGATTCTCAGCTCCGCACCGTCGTTCATCAGCATCCACGTCAGAGCCAACATCCACGTCGGAGCCACCACCAGCCCGGCCCCACATGACCCTCAAACCTGGCGTCATCTGCGCTTTAAAACTGCGCTTTCATACTCCACCCTCCCGCGTTGGCAAACAGCCGATTAGTCTCATAGTCTCCACCAAACGTGCGACTCAAAACGCGGCATGTCCGCTACATCAGACATCAATCTACAATGCACATCCTACTACACTCTCATGCCGGCAACTGACCTTTGGAGACGACGCTTGTTACTGGTGTGCGCTCGAGCTGTGGGGAGTCAATATACCTCGCCGATTGAAGCGCATCACGCAACCTTTCCTCACCGTCCCGGGTGAGCGGACGAGAAATGCTTTTCTGGAGGTGGCGAGAGAGGTCTTGGGCGGGCGGCTGTGGATGAGGATACCCAGTGACGAGACTCCGACGAGCATGCACGATCTATAGAGAAAGCACAGTATACCCTGAACCGCGAGACGACAAGATGAAGCAAGTCGAAGAGAAAGTGAGAGCGAGATGCTGCTTACAAACGCTCGTGCCATTCGTCTTGTCAGATCACACTGCGCCGTGTTTCTCTCTTTCGACCTCCTCCACTCTTCCTCCACCGCTTCACCCGACGACACCGAGGCCTCTGTGGTTATGCACGACGACGCCTAGGATCTCCGTCCACTAGCCGTCTAGCGCCAAGCACAGGGACATGAGGCGTTCAGAAAGTGGTGTGGCGGATATGGAAGGGCTCGGATTGAGATTGAAATCGAGTAAGGGGAAGGTAGGGGCTAGGGGTTTTCCCATGCGGAGAAGCAGCGGGCTGGTTGGTTGATTGATCGATTGAAACGGGGTACAGCGTGACTGCAGATTGTACATAAGGGGAAGGGAGAAAGACGGGTATCGCAGACCATGCTATACACGCAAGTATGCAAGTATGCAACAACGCTCCAGGAGCAAAAAAAAACAAACAAACAAAACCCATCCAGAAACGCGAGCCCGAACGCGATCAGAGTATCCAAAACGCCAGTCCGAACGCGATCAGAGTATCCAAAACGCCAGTCCAGTCATGAAGCGTAACCCCCCCCCCCCCCCCATCAAATCCAAAACGCCATAAAAAACCCCAGTCCCCAGCACTCACCCACCACTCTCAAGCAACGCCCTAATCTTCTCATAAAAACTCTTCGGATACATCCTAATCTCCTCCTCAGTCGGGGCCGGTTTCGCCTCATCACGGAACCGATCCGCAACCCTGGTAATAATCTGTGCCAGCAAATCCTGCGGAATCCTCAGGTCCTCACCCGCATCCGGGTACAGAAAGCCATCTCTCTGATCAAGAAGCTGCATGACGGTAGGCCGCCGGGCGGGGTCGCGGTCGAGGCAGCGGCGCAGGGTGGCCTTGAGAGCGGGCGGGACGCGGACGTCGCCCAGCCCCAGGTCGGGAAAGGCAATGGCGTGCGCGCGGTTGACGATGGCGAGGACGCGCGCCATTTGGTTTGCAATGTGGGCAAAGGGCGGGCGCCCGTACACCATCTGGTACAGGATGCAGCCGAGGCTCCAGACGTCGCTGGGCTTGCCGAGGGCCATGTCCTTTGCGGCCTGGCCGTTGCTGAGCTGGCCCTGGGCGCCGCCTGCGCTGTCTTCGAGGGATTCGGGGGACATGTAGTTTGGGGTGCCAATGTGTGAGTCGCGGTGCACGTTGACGGTGTTGTCGGTGTCGATTGCGTTTGCGATGCCAAAGTCGATTAGCTTTAGGCGCCCGGAGACGAGGAGGAAGTTTGCGGGCTTGAGGTCCGAGTGCACAATGTCGTGGGCGTGCACGGCGCCGACGCACTCGAGCATTTCTTTCCAGTAGAAGCGTGTAAAGGAGAGGTCGAGCGTGCCTGGGGCGGAAGAGTCGGTGGGGTCCAGTTTCATCCGGATGATGCGCGCGAGGTCAGATTCGCCAATCTCCATGAGCTGTTGACGGTTAGTAGAGGGAGCGGGGCCGGGGACGGGAAACGCACTACGCTGAGGATCTGCCGTTGCTCGTCCACTTCCCAGTCGTAGAGGCGGACGACTCGCTCGACGTCCTTGAGCTTCTGAAGGAGATCGATTTCACCTTTGTAGCCGCGGACGGCGGCCTCGTCGGCGTCTTCCAGCTTCACTCGCTTCAGAGCCAGCAGCTTGAAGTTCTCTGCCATGACGCGATACACGGCCGAGCTGCCCCCTCTCCCTATCCGGTCCATCTGCGAATAGTGCTTTCCGTTGACTGACAAGGTGCTTCTCTTCTTTCGCTCTCTGTGCTTGGTTGCCGTTGCTGCGCCCGCGGCAACAGTGGCGGCTTCAAGAACGGACATCTTGGGTGGCGGCGGCGGCGCTGGTCTCCGTGGTGTGTTTGCATCCCTGGACTGTAGCGGCACTGGCTTCTCCTGCTGTTGCGGAGGTGGTGATTGGCGTCGCTGGAGCGGTGATTGGCGCCGCTGGAGTGGTGATTGGTGCCGCTGGAGGGGCGATTGGTGCCGCTGGAGGGGCGATTGGTGTTGCTGGGCAGGTCGTGCGTCCCTCTCATCTCTCACCTTCATTACCGAGTCGGTCATCTTGAGCACCGAGTCGGGCACGTTGGGATGCTCCTCCTTTACTCTTACCACAGACGCAGGCAGGTTCTCCTGATCCTGCGAAGGCGGATGGTCTTCTTCGCTCTGGGGGGTCCTTCGGAACCTGCGCATGGGCGCGCCTCGCAGCGGTACTCGCTTGATGCGCAGACTCGGCGCAGGCGTGAGCGAGTCTTGTCGCGCGCGCTCCGGCGTATTCGATGCTGATCCGTTGCGCGAGATTTTCAGTTTTGGCTTCCTCCTCTCTGGTGACATGGCGTCGTCGTTCTGGGCGAGCAGCGCCGTCGTCAGGGCGCTAAGCTTCATGGGCTGCGGGATCTCGTCGTCGGAGCTGTCGCCAATGTCGATGCTCTGCATCATGGGCGCATTGGCCGAGAAGCCTTGCGACTCGCCCAGCACAGACATGGGCGAGTCTCTGCGCACGCGGGTCGACGTCTGCACGCGCGCGCGGCCGTACGAGCCCATGGGCGTGGGAGACGCTGTAGCCATTGCGGAGCAGTGTGGGGTGCGCGTCGCTATATACAGGTCGGAGAGGCTATCTGGCTAGCGAATGTTGCTGTAGAGTTAGTTGCGCATACATAAGGCCCGGAGGGAAAGGCGGCTGTTCGCTGTAGGGATGCTGGCGGTGGGTTGGATGAGGTCGTGGGCGTGCGCGACGGGTGCGGAGTTGGTGTGTCGTGGTTGCCGGGCAACAGCAGTATCAACACGGTCTGGACTGGACCTCTGCAGAATCATGTCATGCCTTTTGGACTTTGTCAGAATCGACTTTGTCAGAATCGACTTGGTCAAATTCCATGTTGGGGCAGTTTTTGGTCAGAACCGACTTGGTCAAATTCCATGTTGGGGCAGTTTTTGGTCAGAACCGACTTGCTCAAATTCCATGTTGGGGCAGTTTTTGATCAGAACCGACTTGCTCAGAACCGACTTGCTCAGAACCGACTTGCTCAGAATGGACTTGCTCAAATTCCATGTTGGGACAGTTTTTGCTCAGAACCGACTTGCTCAAATTCCACAGTGGGACAGTTTTTTCTCGCGTCTAGTGATTTGTCGCGTGTCTAGTGATTTGTCGCGTGTCTAGTGATTTGTCGTGTCTACGGCAACCTGTCCCTCAACGTCATGTACAAAAGTCAAAGCCACCTCCAACAAGGCCCATGCGAATGCGCCGCCGTGTCCCCGCGACGCCCCAACGCCTGCTATGCAATCCCGCTCAGAGTTTTGATGATACAGTCGGCGACTCTTCCAGCACGACGGCGATGACGGCAGCAATGTCATCGGGCTTGCCGCCGTGCCAGTTCTCGCCCGGGTAGTACTTTTGCACCTCCTTGGCAAACGGCCCATCGCGGCGCGTATTGAGCCCCGTGTCCTTGGCCTGCTGCGCAATGGCCGTGGCCACTACGGCCTGCAAAGACTTGCTATCAGCCCTGCGTCCCGTGCGGGCTTGTACCAGCCCGGCCAGATCGTGTCCGACCTCGATGGCGCCGCCCCTGTCGACCCAGGCGCCGGCGGCCACCATCTGCTTGCTGACTATGCCGAGCGCGTCCTGGGGGCTGAGGTTGTCCCATACACCGTCGGTGGCGAAGACGAGGACGTCGCCGTGGCGGACCCTGTGGTGGGTGACACTCGATTCCTTGGGCAGATCGGAGAGCGTCGAGGGGCCACCAAAGACGGCCATCTGCACGAGCATGCGGTGGGGGGTTTTGGAGAGCTGATAGGGGGTGTTGAAGGCGTGGGTCTGGGGTTGCGTAAAGTGTCGCACGGCATTCAGGCCCAGATGCATGAAGCCCGAATCGCCCAAGTTGGCAACCTCGACGGTGCCGTCGGGCTCGGCGACAGCCAAACAGGCAGTGCTGCCGCCGCCCTCGATGCTGTCGTCCTCGGTGACCTCGTCGTACGCAATCTGCAGTAGCTCCTTGGGATGCAGCGACGTCGTGTTGAAGCCGTGCGGGAACGAGCGCGCGGCGCAGCTCATGTACTCGCACAGCCCGTGAGAAAAGTCGGCCGGGTCCAGTCCCGACTCGACCCACCCTCCCACGCCGTCTGCTACGCCAAACGTCGTGGTCCTGGTGTCGCCGACCTGGCTGAAGAAGAGGGCATCCTGCCCGCTGCGCAACCGCCTCCGCTTGTCCACGCTCGCCTTGCACTCGCGCCACTCGTCGTGGCGCTGCGCGGGGTCGTGCAGCGGGCTTGTGAACAGGTTCTGCTGCGCGTTGAAGCGGTCCTGCTTGGCCGAGTACGACGCGGCGACGTGGTAGGAGAACTGCGGCGGCTGCGCCGCGGAGCTCGAGGACCGCAGCCCTGCTGGGCTCGGGCTCGTGTCTGCGTCTCTGTGCAGCGGACAGGTCGGCAGCGCGTAGGGAGAGTGGGTGCGCTGCGTGTGGAGGCTGGCCGTCGCGGACAGGGCGAAGAGGAACAGGCCAGACGCGGCGCGACGCGAGGGCAGGCGGGCCAGGTTGGCGGCGCTGGTCATGGCATGCGACATGGCCGCGGCCCAGGCCTGCAATCGGGTCAGTGGGTGCGGACGGTGTTGTAGGTGAGGCGCAGAGGAGTCTGGGACTGGCGAGGCGCAGAGGAATCTGGGATTGGCGAGGCGCAGAGGAGTCTGGGATTGGTGAGGCGCAGAGGAGTCTGGGATTGGTGCAGGGAATCATCGCGCGTGCTGGCGGCGTCCTGTCCCAAGGGCGACGGTATGGACAGACTTCCAAGTTCTGGGCTAGGACGCGCCGATCCGGCTAGCAGAGGGCGAGTGCCTACCGTAGTGATTGCCTCCATACGAAGTAGTCCGGCGGTGCTGGAGGGCAGTGGAGACGGCAATCAGGACAGTCTCTCGCAATTGTAGACGTGCACACGGTATCTGTCCTGTCCACACGATATCTGTCCTGTCCACACGATATCTGTCCCGACCACACGATATCTGTCCTGTCCATACAATATCTGTCCTGTCCATACAATATCTGTCCTGTCCACACGATATCTGTCCCGACCACACGATATCTGTCCTGCCCACACGATATCTGTCCCGACCACACAATATCTGTCGCGACCATCTTCTGCCTGTCGCGACTAGTGCAGCGCTGCCCTGCGCGTCTTGCATTGGTTGCAGCGGGCGTGCCAGGACCCAACGCTAGCAGCCCTGCGAAGCACCGGGACGCCGACCGGGCAACTTCTTTTCGCGCGCAGCTCGCGTGCATGGAGGCGACTGCACCACCCGCAGCTCTTGCGCCCCGCAGCACCGAGGGGCTCTGTCACTCGCGATGAGCATGCACCCGGCGCGGCAGGCGTACGTCGACGAGGAGAATGGCGCGACCGACCACATGGACGGCATCGACTATGCCAGCGTGCGTACGTTCACGGCACTGCAGCCCCGACGCCCTTCTTAGCTGACACGCCCAGCACTCGACCGCAACCATGCCATGCCCGGCGGCGGCGGCGGCGGCGGCGGCAGCGTCGGCGGCAGCAATCCCATGGCCTCGGACCTCCTCGCCGAGTTTGAGCGCAAGAAGCGCGCCGCCGGCCTGATTGTGCCCACCGCCGACCGCGACGTCAAGCTGCGCCTGCGCGCCCTGAAGGAGCCCATTACGCTCTTCGGCGAGGGGCCCGCCGACCGACGCGACCGACTGCGCGCGCTGCTGGCCGATGCAGCCGAGGCCGGACGCGACGACGCCGAGGATGTCGTCATGCACGAGGCAGAGGCGCCGGGCGACGAGCAGGACGAGTTCTACACACAGGGGACGCAGTCGCTGCTGGACGCCCGCCGCGACATGGCCGCGTACTCGCTCCCACGCGCGCAGCAGCGCGTCGCCTACCAGCGCCAGGAAGCCACGATCCCGCTCAAGGCGCACGTCGAGCACCGCAACCGCATCAAGGACAGGCTCAAGGGCTTCGAGCTGTACGGATCGCAGACGGCCGACCGCCCGGTCAGCATCGTGCGCGCGTCGCCAAACGGCCAGTACGTCGCGTACGGCACCTGGGGCGGCAAGGTGGCCCTGCTGGAGATCCCGAGCCTGGAGCAGAAGAAGGCATACCGGGGGGGACACACGGAGCGCACCACGGGCATCGACTGGGTGCCCGGCGCGACACTGCCGGGCACCACCGTCTCACCGGGCAGCGTCAACTTGGCCTCGGGCGGAGCGGGCGGAAAGGTGCAGCTGTGGTCCCTGGACGACGACAAGCCGCTGCGCACCCTGCAAGGCCACAGCGAGCGGGTCTGTCGGCTGGCATTCCACCCCTCCGGGCGGTACCTCGCGTCGGCATCAGACGACGCCACATGGCGCCTCTGGAACGTCGAGACGGGCCAAGAACTGCTCCTGCAAGAAGGCCACTCCAAGGAAGTGTACACGGTCAGCTTCAACCAGGACGGATCGCTGGTTGCGAGTGCGGGTCTGGACAGCATTGGTCGCGTGTGGGATGTGCGCACAGGGCGCGTCATATACATGCTGGAAAGCCACATCAAGCCCATCTACGCCTTGGACTGGGCTGTCGACGGCCACCGGCTCCTGTCCGGCTCAGGCGACGGCTTCATGAAGTGCTGGGACGTGCGAGCCATGCGCGAGACAAACTCAATCGCTGCAAACACCGGAGGTGTCACCGATCTGCGATGGTATCAAGGGACCGACGGGCCCGCGAGCGGCGTGCCGCTGCAGCACAACGAAGCGGGCGAGCTCGTCCCGAAAAAGGCCTCGACGTTTGTCGTGTCCTCGGGCTTCGACAAGAACGTGCAGGTCTTCTCCGCGGACGACTGGGCACACTGCAAGACGCTGCAAGGCCACTCCGGGCCCGTCTTCAGCGCCGACGTGACGAGCGACGCGGCGTGGATCGTCAGCGGAGGAAAGGACCGAACCGTCAAGCTGTGGTCGAGGGAAGACAACGAGGGAATCTGAGGCTGCGAGACCCCCGGCCATCGAGCCCCACATTCAGCGACGCCGTGCCGCGGTTGGCGGGCACAATTCACCAGAGGGCACGATTTACCAGAGGGCACGATTCACCAGAGGGCATGATTTACCAGAGGGCACGATTCACCAGAGGGCACGATTCACCAGAGGGCATGATTCACCAGAGGGCATGATTCACCAGAGGGGAAAGCAAGGTACGGTCCCTTCCCCCGACCACTAGAAGCAGACCCTGAGCGCAGAAATCACGTAGATAGCCATATCACCACTGCCTCCCTTTGCACTCCCAGCGTCACGCATCTCCGTCCCACACGTCCGGTCCACGTGCACATCCTCTCGGACCATTCCTCGCACATACTCTCAGACCATTTCTCGCACATACTCTCAGACCATTTCTCGCACGCCGTCGCACCAAACGGCCCCACGCTGCTGCATCTCGCTCCGTCCCGCACTGAAGCAAGGAGACATGTTTCGGTCGTGGGCTTGATGCATCGAGCTGCAGCACCCCAACATCAACAATGTCACGGCTGCGAAGCGCAGACGATTCTACACCGCAACTCTGTCCTCGATCGGCACGCAATGGCATGATGGGCGATGCTAACGAGGGCGATGCTAACGAGGGCGATGCCAATGAGGGCGATGCCAATGAGGGCGATGCGTAACTTCCTCCAATGAGACATTCGCACCGCAACACTCGGATGCAGAAGTTGTCGCGCGAGCGATCCGTTGTGCAGAGTCCTGCAATGGGAGAGCCGCCAGTGGGTATCCGACCCACCTCACGATCCCATCGCGACCCTCCGCGACCCACGCACGCGCGTCGAATTGCACCCTGGATTTAGCCTGCGAGGCCTCGCAATCACCGCCCTCGCAATCACCGCTCTCGCAATCACCGCTCTCGCAATCACCGCTCTCGCAATCACCGCTCTCGCAATCACCGCTCTCGCAACCTCGGACCTCGTACAGAGGGCTGTTGGCACAGTCCAGTCTTGCCGTCATCGGCCGACGTCACGGCAGCGCTCGAGCTTCTGGAAGAAATCACGGCCGTTGCAATTTGCAAAACGTCCGGTCCCAGACTTGGTCTCGCGCTGGGGATTCTGCCGCAGGGCCGGTCCATGTTCACATCACCAGGAGCCGCGTCGGCGCGCAGGGGCCTTCAGCCCTACAGAGGACGTGACTCACACCCACCCGTGTTTGTTTACACGCCCGTGTGCACAGTCGGCCGAAAGCCGTCAATGCGTGCAGCATCTATCCATCGACAACACAGCCGGCTGCAGCGGCCACGGCCACGGCCACGGCTCCTCCATCCAATCCACCCCAACCCAGTCACAATGTCGAATTGCAGCCAGAATCCGCTTCAGAGTTGCTGATGGATGACTGGTGCAGCACCGCCCCCCGCGGTCCACTTGCCGCTCCCGCCGTGCATGCATTCTCACCGCACTCGCACCGCCGCAGCCTCACTTTCTCTGCGTGCATTGCGGACGGGCGAATGGCGATGCTGAAGCGGTGCAGACCGTTGCGGTGCATGTTGCATGTTGGGCTGCAATTGCATACCGTCACGCCTGAAACACGCTCTTTGCACTGCGGTTTTGCCAGGTGCGCTGAGGCTGCGCGCCGGTCATGTCACGGCAAGGGCAGGGCGAGGTGAGGTGTGTTTGATGCAGACGCGTTGCATCTCCGATGGACAGATTGTTCATCACGCCGCGGGTGGTGCTGCGCCGTGTACACACGCGCTTGAGACGCGCCGTGGGGAAGGTGCTAGAGACTAGACTAGGTGCTTTACTACCTACCGACTTGTCCTGTCGTTATCAGTCGTAGGTACGTCAGATCGCCGTACTGTAGAGTCGGCGGGATCTAGATGACACGTGCCTATCTGTACCGCGAAGCTACGCTTCTTCGCACCGCACAGTGCTCTCTTGGTTGATTGGCGTCTTGCAGATCACCAGCGGCTTGGCGCGGCTTGGCGGGGATGGCATGCGGTGGTGTGCGAGACAATACACTGCTTACGGTCTGCGCTGGGAGGCTGTGTGACGCGATCTGGAGTGTGAGACAGGGCTGAGATGTGGCTGCACTGGACGCCTTTGGCGAGCCGTGGTGATTGCACTGCGCCTTTAGGGCCGCGATACGCGAGATTACGGCGCGAGCGTAATTCACAATTAATGGTAGTGATCGTGTGCGAGGTGAGGGTTTGCAGTGCGGGTTGGCAAGCAGCAATCCCGTTCTTGGAACGCAAATACTCTGTAAACAAATCCCCCATTGCGGCCAATCAAACACACCCCTCTGCTAAGTCATCGCACGCGCCAGCTACATGCAGTGTCCGCCGTAAACGCTCTCCCAACACGCCGGATTCCACATCGCAAGGCTCTCGCTCTCCCAACGGCTTGGTGCTCAGCACGATAATAGCTGCGCGACGGTGCACGGAAATGTACTTGGTGTGGCGTCCACGAATAGAAATGGGAATACACGACTGCCGCAATGTGCCGGGCGGTGAGGGGAGCCTGAGGGGGATGACGGCATTGATCAGGGAGCAGGGGAGAGGAGCAGGTGAGAGGCAGGGTCAGCCCTCCCTCCGCGCGAGACGGCCGAGAGTGTGGGAAGTTGGAAAGTTGGATGTCGGCTGATGGCATGGCTGGATGGCTGGACGGCTTGATGCTGGGTGTGAAGGAGGGTTCTCGGAGGAAGGCGGCCCGCGCTGCTTCTCAGCGTTCGTTCTCATGCCCTCTGTGGATTACACACGGCCGATGCAAGTCACGTCTACATTTTGCGGCGCGCACGGCGGGAGGCCTGCATCGCACCGACTCTCTGCACAGCGCATGGCACCGACTCTCTGCACAGCGCATGGCACCGATTCTCTGCACAGCGCATGGCACCGACTCCTACCTACTCGCATCTGGCAGACTTTTTCAGCGTCGGCCAGCCAAGCCTGGCTAACTTGGTGGGTTATCCAGCACCCAGTATCGTGATTCGCCGGCGACGGGGGAATTTCGCTGAAGGGCCGGCCCGCTGGTCGACCAGGCGCGTGAATCGACTACAGCGGTACGGGGGCCTGTCGTACCAGACTTTGCAGCCGGCGACAGCCCTGGCGCACAATCGTGCTATCGTGCTATTGTGCGATCGTGCCATCGTGCTATTGTACTATCGTGCTATCGTGCAATCGCGGGTGGCGCTGTGACGCCGTCTGTGACTGCAGCGCGCGCGACGAACGGACCTGTCGCTGCTATGACGGGTCCAGCACTGTGTCTGGCCATCGGCCGTGGTCGTCTGCTCGTCTGCCCGTCTGCCCGTCTGCCATGGCACGCGTGGAGCAGGCAAACGGGAGCGCGAGGGTGGGCGCCGTGAATGGCACACGGGCACACGCCGGGCTGCCAGCTGCACCACAGTCGACGGCAGCCACTCGTTGCTGGGCAGACTCATGCGCTGATGCAATCCTACCCGACGCTGCCTGGGGCGCCGAATGGGAGCCCGCGCCCGTGTTTCGCGTGCATCCCACCGTAGTCACTCTCGCGCTGCCCCCAGCAAGCTTCGAAGCGGCCTAGCTGCGTCCGCGCTGCGTCCAAGGTTGTAGTCGGCTGCCGCTCAGTTGCTGCTTCGAGCCCGCCCCGCCGTCTGCGATAACTAGCCCGTCCTCCCCACCCAGCTCCAGCACCTCACTCATACCACCCTCTTCCAGGAAGCTACAGTCGCTGCTCTGCCTCGCTCGCTAGCCACCGCGCCGTTGTCTGTCAGTGCCCCCCCCCCCCTGCCCGTGCAATCGCCGGCTCTGCGAAAAACGCTCTTCCGCCAGGGCCCTGCCATCGACATTGCCGAAAAGGGTAATCCACACCGCCAGTCCGGGCCACACCGGTACTTTACTACAAGACCCCAGCATCGCCCGCGCCATGGACTTTTCCAACACCAACAACCCAAATCACATGGATTTCCACAGGCCCTCGTCGACGCTGTCCAGCATCGACCGGAAACCCAACGCCTTTGCCTTTGACGACCAGCACACCCTGGACCACCAGATCCTCGACACGCCCACCTTGATGTCGCCCACCACCTCCACCCAGGGCATCTTCTCGCCCGACGGCTCCATCTGGGAGGACTTCTCGCAGCACCAGTTTGTCGACCGCACCGCCACAAGTTCCGTCGTCAACTCGAATGCCAACAATCCCTTCTTCACCGAGCAGAGCAACAACCCCTTCGCCCGTCTCCCCCCCAACCAAGCTGCCACCTACGGCCAGCAGTCGTGGCCCATGGACAACTCGGGCATCCGTACTCCAACGGCACCCAAGCCGTCGAATCCCTTTGGCCCCGGCGACTTTGGTGTCCAGTCGGCCTTTGTGCCCCAGCAGCAGCAGCAGATGTTCCACGGCCTCCCCGTCGATGCAAACGTCCGGCCCAGCGCTGTCTTCCCCAACACGGCTGCCGAGCAGCCCATGTCGCCGCACACCCACTCCGACTGGATGGCCTTCAACCAGCAGGAGATGGACTCGCGGCCCGGGCCGAAGCGCATGAGGCCCAACACGCCCCCGCCCCGTGGTTTCTCTCCCCGTCGTGACGGCGGCATCCGCAAGAAGAACGCCCGCTTCGACATCCCCGCCGAGCGCAACCTGTTCAACATTGACCAGCTCATCGCCGGCTGCACCAACGAGGACGAGATGAAGGAGCTCAAGCAGCAGAAGCGACTGCTCCGCAACAGGCAGGCCGCGTACGTACCTCTTATTGGAATTTGGTTCGGCGTTCCTCGCTTGGCCCAACCCACCATTTGGTCTCCATCTCCATTGTTCATCAGCTAACGCATCGCAGTCTCGACTCCAGGCAACGCAAGAAGAAGCACACGGAAGAGCTCGAAGAGGAGAAGAAGGGCTGGATCGAGAAGATGTGCGGCATGCAAGACGAGTTCGCCACCATGCGTGTCGAGTACGACCAGCTTGTTGCCGAGAAGGAGAATTGGCATCGTGAGTCCATGGACATGCATCACATGATCAACCAGCTGCAGTTCGACAAGGAGGAGCTTGTCCGCAACCACACGCTCGAGACCGGTGAGCTTCGCAAGAAGGTCGCCGTCCTCACCGAGCGTCTTGAAAGCAGCTCTGTCAACATGACTGTCGCACCCAGCACCACCTTCACCGACTTTGCTTCCGAGATGGACAACCTCAACATGGGCGGCAACGAGTGGGACAACTACATCTTTGTCAACGACTTTGCCTCTGACGCCCAGACTCCCCGGGAACAGCCCATGGCCATCGTTCCCCGTGCCAAGGAAGAGAAGGAGCCTGTCGCGTCTGGTCTTCTGCTCATGCTGCTGCTGTGCGGTGCTTTTGTCGCCAGCAAGTCTGGTTCCGGCGCTGCCCCGCCCATGCCGCGCATGCCCGACGAGGTCCGTGCTGCTTCTGCCGATGTCCTCGACAGCATCCTCAAGGATGCTGGTGTCTCTTCTGCTTTCACCGAGCAAGGCCTCATTGCCAACGCTGTCACCGGTCTCGAGCCTACCCCGTCCGGCATGGCCTGGCCCAAGGCTACCATGTCTGGCTCTGAGCTTGCTGGCATCTCCGGTTCGCGCCTCGACCAACTGCACTCCCAGCTCGCTGCGCCCACCAAGGAGCAGGAGAACGAGCAGCTCTTCTCCATCACCCCGGCCCAGTACAACAGCATGACTTCTCTCGACTTCACCCGCCCCCGCTACAGCATCGGCAGCGACGACGTCAGCGACCCGCTCTCGCCCTCGCAGCCATCTCACCGCCGCAATCTCGCCGCCACTCTCGCCGCCATGCGCGAGCAGAACAAGGGCGAGTCCGCCGCCGAGGTCTACACGCGCAGCCTGCTCTGGGACAAGATCTCTCCCGAGGTCGTCCACGAGTTCAAGCGCATCGTCGAGGAATCGACCGCCATGTCGCGGCCCAGCACCTCGGAGGGCCTCACGGCCGAGGGATGATCCCCACCCCCCAGCCCACCAATCCACTTCCCTTGCGTTCAGCGCCAGTCCGACGCGAGTCGTGACTCTGCATCATCTCGTTCTAGCATAGCGCTTCCCTTCTCCCTGCGCCCGGTCTTCGCCTCGCGGTGTGCCGCCCGCGTTCCCTTTGTGAGTACTTGCATCGCAGGCCTTTCTCCTTGCCATCTAGCGCCATCTTTCTACATCGCGGACGGCAACGTCGACGATACATTGCTGCCCCCACAGGCGGATGCCCTTGTTTTCCTTGCCATGTCCTTTTGTTTTTTTCTTGTGTTCTAGCTTTTTGGATTCTGGTTTTGGCTTTGGATTTAGCAGAGCGCAGCGAGTGAGCGAGCTTTTCTCTTTTTCCCTTTTCTTTTCCTTTGAAGCGGGCTCTTTGGAGCACGATCACAATCACGATCACAATCACGATGACGATTATGATCACGATGTTGGCGAGCGAGACGGGGCGCTACGACACTGTATATGAATTGGCTCACGGCTGCAGACCGCGCCACTGATGTTTCGCGATTACACTAGCTAGAGAGGAGCAGCGGTAATACTACTCTGCTTTTCAGAGGCTGGACCGTGGCGTCTGGCTTCGCCTGTCTGTATCGCTTTTTTCCCATGCCGTGACGTGACTTGCTTGCCGTGACTTGCTTGCCGTGACTTGCTTGCCGTGACTTTGCTTGCCGTGACTTGCTTGCCGTGACTTTGCTTGCCGTGACTTGACTGCCTTGCGTGAGCGGCGTGTGGTTTCTGTGTCTGTCTACATCTACATCTTGAAGCAGCCAGTCAGCCAGCCGGCCGGGGAGTCGGCCAGCCAGCCAGCCAGCGAGTCGGGGAGTTATGCTGATTCCGCACTTGGGCATTCACATGAGCATGAGCATCACGAAGACAGTGCGAGAGCGTGCGACATGAGACATGCCAGAGGTAAGAGGTTTGATACATGCAGACCCATATCCACCAGATCTATCTACCCGTACCTACCTGGCGTGGAGTGGACAGAGTACGAAGCAGTCAGTACATACAGCGCAACTGCTCGTCGACAGAGCAGAGCTACTTTGGATCGTACTTTGGTTTCCATATCCTGGATTCGTCAGCGCGTGGTCGGTCCATCACACATTGTCTCGCCCGCTCGTCTAGTACATCTGATCCGGACCGGGCATTTTCAACGCGTTGAGCGCCGCGCGCCGCCGCGCCTTGTCGAAAACAGCGCCACCGCTTCCCAGCAGAGAAATCGAATGACAGCAACGTCACACGACTAGCCTGCCCAACGCGGCTCGTATGCCAGTCTCCGCCGTCATCGGATCAGGATCAGGATCAGGGCCCCCATCAGCCGTCGGAAGCTATCGATACTGGGAGAGTCACACCCTCAGTGCGCTCCGCCTTTGACAGCGCGCCACGTGTATGCAGGCCATCCGGATAAGGAAGGGCGTCCAGCCAACGGGAAAGGCGTCGGGGCTCGCAGGCCGTGTTGGGCCATCATGTGTGGTGATGCGCGGTGATGCGCTGCGGTTGGTGGGGCGGGACGTGACAGAGCGGGAGGGAGGGTATGGTAAGGGCCGCTCCTGGCGGCTAAGCGAGGGCTGGATCTGGCAGGCGACGGAGAGCCAATTGCTGCGGCTGGGCGCGAGCGCACGAAACGGTGTGGGTTCTGGACGGCGGTGCGCGTGGAGTCGTTGTTTGAATCCAGAGATGCGGGTGCTGACGACGGCTGGCGCGGGTGTCGCCAGGCTGTGCTGCAATTCCCGTTTGGGAGTGACAGGCAGGTGACGTCCGGGCCGGTGGACGGTGTGGGGAAATTGATCCGATGCAGGACGACGCAACACGAAGAAAGTTGTACTCACCAGGTATTCCCCAATGTCTTGTTGCCCTTTGATTCCGCGAGGCGCAGGAACTGAGCCGCTTTGAACTGTGCAATACGCAGTTAGCGACCATTAACGAGGGAGCGCTGCAGCCGGACAGTGAGAATGCGCGCGAGGCGCCAGCCGAGACCATGTGAAGTTCCAGCCGAGACCATGTGAAGTTCCAGCCGAGACCATGTGAAGTTCCAACCGAGACCATGTGAAGTTCCAACCGAGACCATGTGCAGTTCCAGCCGAGACCATGTAAAGTTCCAGCCGAGACCATGTCAGGTTCCGGCCGAGACCATGTGAGGTTCCAGCCAAGCGGGCTGCTGCCCAAACAGTGAGGCGGGAGTTGAGCGTGCGGAGATATCTGAGACAAGGACAGCGGAGAACGGGAGCGAACGCGAGAGGCGGACCAAGCTGACCGTTCGCATCGCATTCACAATCGGTGGCTTGGATGCGCGCACGTCCGAATACAGAGCGCCTAGCCTGGGTGATGAGGGATGGCGATGAGGCTGACAACGCATGATCGGTGCCTTGGCTTGAAGGTGAAGCTCTCCTCGCAGAGCCCTGTCGGTGTCTGACATGACGCCAGAGCGACGACCGGGAGGGCGATGTCGAGGCTCGTCGCTGGGGACCGATGTGCGTCGTGCAGCGACAGGAGAAGGGAGCCTGGCCGAGCTGCATCCTTTCACAGCACAAAAACAAAAGTAAAGCTACATACCTTATCCTTCCTGCATCCAAACCCCTCGACGTAGCACCAGGCCACCTCGTTCATCGCGTCCGTATCGCCCAGATTCGCAGCGGTCTCGTAGTACTGCTTAGCGGCAGCAGGATCCTTCTTAATGCCCCAAGCGTTGCGGAAGCAGTTGGCCAGCTCGTACATGGCGAGCACGAGCTCGCCCTTCGCAGGGCCGCCCTTGGTCATGCCCGCGCCCAGCGCCAGCTTCTCGACCTCGGCGCTGTTCGACGCCGCGAGCGACAGGTAGTGCACGGCGGCCTCCTGGTCCGCGACGATGCCCCATGCGTGGCGCAGCGCGAGCCCGTACAGGACCTGCGCGAGGGCGTTGTTGGCGCCGGCCGGGTCGGCCAGACGCCCGAACAGCGCGGTGCTGGCTTCCAGGTTGCCCTTTTCGTGCAGCCGGATGGCCTCCTGCATGTCCTGCTCGTCGGCGGGCGCGGCGGCGGTGGCCATGGCGCCGTTGAGCTCGATGGTCGGCGTCGGCGGGGCGCTGCTTTGCGCCAGCGGGCCGCGCTGCACCAGCATGGTCGCGCGCTTCTCCCACTTGGCCTCGTCCTCGTCGTTGCGGGCGACGGGCGCATCGCCGACGTCGGGCAGGTTGTCCGGCACGTTGACGCTGCTCTGGCTGCGGCTGCGGCTCAAGTGAAACCGCTCGCTCAGGGTGCCGGCCCGCGGCCGCGCCGCGTCTTCGCTGCCGCGCCCGCTGCCCGCAGAGCTCGTGGTGCTGACGTTGGAGGAGCGCCGGAAGCGGCCAAAGCCGCGCGTGTCCTTGGGGCTCAGGAGGGGCGCTTCAGCGCGCGTGGGGTCGCCGGGAAACGAGGGCGGCTCGATGGCTTCGTGCGTGCTGGTCGTCGTACGGAAGAACTGGAACTCGGGCACGTCTACGCCCAGCGTAGGTCCTTTTCCCGCCGCGCCTGACGCGGCTTCGTCTTTCAGCTTCGTCTTCAGCTTGAGCAGGTCTTTGAGCGGCATGGCTGGTCTGCAATCCTATTCGAGGCGTGCAGCTGGACTGGGGCGTGCTCTGCAATAACGCGTCGCAACTGCAAGTTCGCTGCAGCTACAGATGTCCGGAGATTCTTATTGTACTTTCAGGGTCGTCGTATATCGGCGCAGCTTCTCAGCAAAAGTGGCAGGATGCATCGAACGTAGGATGCTGCGCCGCGTAATGCCAGATCAGAGGTGAATTGCTTGTAGGACAGCCAAGGCTGCCTCAGCCCGCTCCGCCTGTCACCACCCGCAGTCTATTTCCGTTGCAGCAAGGCGGGCACTGCCAAACAGCGCTAGCTAGCCCACCGGTCCCAGTCTTCCCCTCGTCGACCAAAAGACTCGGCCTTGCACAAGTGATTTTTGTTTTTTGTTTTTTGTTTTTTGTTTTTTGTTTTTTGTTTTTTATTTTTTATTTTTTATTTCTTGTTTCTTGTTTCTTAATTCTTCATTCTTCATTCTTTTATTCCTACATGCTTTTACTGTTCTTCTGGATGAACGAAAGCGTCCAGCCCCGGACCCGGCTATCTACTGACACCAAGAAGCTAGGAAACTACCAGGGATCACGGACATGACGCCGTCGTGAAGCGCAAAGGGGTATCATCGCAATACGCACCGTGTCGGGGTAACGCTGAATCGAGACTTGGGACGTCAAAATAGTCCAACAGCAAAGTCAAAAGTGCCCTACCGGATAAGCAATCGAGTTGCAGCTTCGATGCGGAACATGGGTTAGGTGGAGGTAGCGCTGCGCAGGGGAGGGGGCCTACATATTCTTAGTGTCGAGAATGCAGTGCTGCGTGCTGCCTAATCTTCCACGTCGAAGGGTACGTAGTCGACCTGCTGCGTGAACATCTGGGGTGCCTGCGACGTGTCCGAGGTCATCTCTTGCATCGCATTGCCCGCCATCTCAGCATCGGGCGAACCGGCTCGTGATTGCTCTTCTGGCGTAGCGTGACCAGCAGCCTTCCGCATCCGGGACGCACGATGAATGTGTCGATGTTGGCATTTGTCGCCGCGAATGCACTCGCCTTTGTTCGCAAAGTCGGGACACTCGTAGGCGTGCAGGTCTGCGCACTCGGCGCCCTTCTCGCAGTACCCGAGACGCCCGAAAGCGTCGCAGATCTGAGCTGCCGGGTTGACGCGAATATGCGCAAATCGACAGTCCTCGTTCGTGCATCGTGATTCCTGGAAGTGTAGACAGGTCGGAACGTTGTGAGGGGTGGAATCGTGAGACAGAGAACAGCGGCTACCTCGATTGCAGTCGTTCTTGAAGAGCCAGCGCTTGCAGAGCGCCTGTTTGTTCGGGTCGTGGACGAGGGGGCATCCGTGGCGCGTGCATATGCCTGGGATGGGTTAAACGTGTCACCAAGAGAAAAGGCATGGGGATTCGAGGCTGTCTGGGGTACCTGTCCATGTGAAAGTCGCGCAAAGCTGCTTGGGTTCCGTGGCGAGAGGACTGTTCTGTCTTGAATGAGCAGTCGACAGCGGCGCTGAACCGGGAGCCGAGACGCCCTCAGCACCAGGGGTTTCAGCAGACGCGTCTGACTTGTTGAAGACGACGGTGCGGTTCTTGAATTTGGCCGGGCCATGTGACGGTGGCGGGCGCTGATACGGATGGTACGAAGTCGCTCCCCGCCCTCCATATGCATATCCGCCACGCTGTGGTCCTCCTCGGTATGGGTTGTACGCGCCGCGACCCCGAGGGTTGTATCCAGACGCAGGGCTGTGGTACGTCGGTGCTGCGTATCCATCTGCGGTGTAGCCGTGGGCGAGTCGGTCCTGCTGCTCTTTCTTCATGCGCGCAATGTAGCCTGAAATCGAACCGTCAATCTCTCTTCCCACACTGCCTCCTCTTCCACATACTATTCAGTTCTGCGCGGGCGCGCAGTCGTTCCTCTTTCGTGCTCATTGCGTTGATTTGGTCTATTGTGTACGGTGGCGGTCCAGAAGGTGCCATGCTTGCGGTAGTTTCACTGTGTGTGCCTGTTGATCAGTTGCGCTGCGCCAAGGTTAGTACTATGTGAGCGCAAGTCTTTGTTGCTACAGTCGAGCGTGGTCGAGTGGTGGATCAAAGCGGTGGGGCAACAATAGTGGAGATCAACCTGTTAGCGCGCTTGATGGCACGTGACGTAGCTCAGATTGATGCCGGCACTGATATGGTAGAGGCAGCTGGTAGTCTTACCCGACTCAGGCAAAAGTTCAAGGGTACGGCAGCAGACATTGACACGTTTACAAATTCCGTGTCTGTGCAGTGGGACCGTTCCTTGAATGTGAATGTATAGTGGTATCTAACGATGAACAAGTAGTGGAGTCGAGTGCTTCCTCGACCCTTTTGTGAAGACCATGCGCCGGCCCAATGCGCTCGCCGAGACTCCGATGCAATGCAATACTCTGTAACGTCGGACATTCCTCCCATGCTTCCACTCGACCAACCTAGTCGTCCACATCCTCGTTGCCATTCAGCTTGTTCAGCTGCTTCTTCTTGATGTGGAGATCCTGCTGCTGTCTCTCAATCGTCTTGTTGACGCGGTTTCTGAACAGAGGGTTGTTCTGCTTGTCGCGCGACTCGATGCTCTGCTGGACCGCCTTCTCCAGCTCGGCGATTTCGGTCTCCAGGACTTCCCTCCTCTGTTGCTCGGCGACGGCAGCCTCGTCAATGTCGGAATCGTCGTCGTCATCGTCGTCGTCGTCGTCGTCATCGTCTTCTTCGGCTGATGTTGCGGCGGCCGGTGTAGCTGGGGCAGTCTCGGGCTCGACGACGATGCTGCCATGCTGCGCCAGTGCATGCATAGCTGCATCGTGGGCCGTGACGGGTGTTTGCCCCTCGACGGCGTCGCTGTTGCCAAACAGAGCTGCGAGCTCGTCGCCGTTGGCTTGGATCTCGACATGGTCGTCGTCCATGAATCCGGCTGCCAGCATCTCTTCCAGATCCGCAGCGTCAACTTCTTCAATGGGAGTCTCTGCGGGGGCGTTCATCATTTCTTCGTCGTCGTCGTCGTCTTCTGAGCCGGACTCGTCTTCCGAGGTCTCTGCTCCCTCTTCGACCAACTCGTACTTTGTGTTCTCGGCCATGTCATCAGCCTCTAGCAGTGCATTCATCTCGGCTTCGGCTCGCTCGACATCGAGGTAAGACTTTCGTGGTCGGAAGCGGCGCTTGCGGACCCAGCGCATGGGTGGAGTCAAGCCGTGGGGAAAGCGATGCGAGTTCTCTTCGACGTGGCTTGGTCGCGGATACTTCTTTGCCTCGTCCTCGTTCTGGACCCTGCCCAAGACGAGGAGCATCTGGCAGACATCTGCAGTCTTGACCCAGTCCTTCTTGTTCCAGCTCTTCATCGACTCGATGATGTTGGGCAGCTCTACCATGGAGGCAGCATAGTGGCGGCCTTGTATAGTGAGCATGGCTCTCCTGCCTTCTTTGTCGAAGAACCGAAAGTACACGCCTGGCCCTCCCAGGGAGGTGCTCCTCCCGATGGTCTTCTCTTCGATGGACCTGCGCACAAGGTCGCAGTCGGGCCCGGGCAGCATGCGCAACACAAACTGGCTCTCTACGGCGGGATCTTCCTCTGCCTCGTCGGCTTCACTGTCGTAGCCAACACCCATCGGTCTGAGAGGAGGCCGCCCGGCGCCCTTGACCTTGAGCAGTGTGGTGCCGCGTGAGGCCGCGGGCCCGGCGGAGGAGGACGACTTGGGCTTGATAGATAGCTTTAGAGACGTCGACCGGTTTGGCTGAAGCTTGGGGGGTCGTTGCGCCGGCGCTGGACGGTCCTCCATGTCCTCGTCGTCGCTCTGGTCCAGGCGCTCCAGGCTCTTCAGCGTGGGCTTCGGCTTGCGCTTCGCCGATGGGACGTCCCCGTCTTCGCCACCGTCGCGCCCCCGCTTCTTCGGCGCCGGCTTGCCTGCTGGGACCGCATTGCCGTCGGCGTCGGTCTTGGGCTTCTTGATGTACTTGCGCTTGTGCTTGAGCGCATCGGCGGGCGCGTCGCCGCCAGCAGTCGGCGCAGCTGGCGCAGCAGGCGCAGCGGGCTTCAGCTTGATCTTGAAGCCGCCAGGTTTTGCAGCAGCTGGCGCGGGGGCTGCCTCGCCGTTTGCGGGCGCGTCGCCGGGAGCCGCGTTGGGGGTCTTGAACTTGATCTTCATCGCGTCGACGTGGGGGCCGTGGACTGTCCAGGCATGGGCGAGAGGGGGCGGGCGCAGCTGCGCACTGGCGGCGTGTCGTCAAATGCTGTGTGTGTCGTCAAATGCTGTGCGTGTGTCAAATGCTGTGCGTGGAGGCGAGGGCGGCAGCGGTGGATGGATCGATCGATCGACTGCCGAGGTGAGCCTTGGCAAGCCCGCGATTGTGAAAGTCCAGGCTCCACGTCGCACGCGCCTTCACCACTTTGGCACCGGCCACCCTCCTCACTTGACGCCCTCCATCCCACGATGCGCTGGCTGCTGCCCCGATAGCCGCAGACACCCACTGGACCTCTGCACTCCGACGAATCCCGCGACCGCGCCCGCGCCAGCATGTCCCAGCACGACCTGTTCCTCAACCTCCTGCGGCCCGCCGTCCTCCACATCCTGCGCGCGACCGGCTTCCACTGCGGCAAGCCCTCTGCCGTCGACACCGTCGTCGACCTCACCGCCCGCTACCTGACCCTGCTCGCCGAGCGCACCGCCTACAATGCGTACTCGAACCACAACGACCCGACCCCGGACATCTCCGACGTGCGCATGGCCATGCAGGACTGCGCGCTGCTCGTTCCCACCATGACGGCCGGCGAGGAGCTGTGGAAGGAGTTCCTGCGCAAGCCGCTGGACGCCTACAACGCCGAGTCTGGTGCGCGGGACATGGAAGAGCGCCGCCGCGATGCCGAAGACACGGCAGACGTCGCCGCCTTCATAGAGTGGGTCGAGGGCGAGCAGAACAGGGAGATCCGCCGCATAGCAGGCACATACAAGCCCGTGGCCACGAACCCCACCGAGCAGCTGGACCAGCTGGACCAGCTGGAGATGGAGGACTATTTGAACAGTAGGCCCTCACCAGTGATGCGCCCTGCACTGCGCTAATCAAGACTGCAGCACTCATGAAGAAACACAGCAAGACGGGCGTCGAGTCGCGCTTCCAGGGCACAGTGCTCGGCATTCCGGCAGAGATGAAGCCAGTGAAGATCGAAGGAGGTGGCCCGGATTCCATCGAAGAGTGGAATCGCAGGACACGGGAGAAGGCCATCAAGGCAGCAGAAGCACTGGCAGAGCGCAACGGGACCCCAGCAATGTCAAGACGGCAGTCCGAGGACCTGGTCATGGAGACGGAGTAAATACCCACCATTGCATCACGACAGCATAGCGAGGGCGTTCAATGGGCTTTACATTTGCGAGGGTATGTTTATTAGGCCCCAGCATCAGCATCTCTACCGAATTGCAAATCTTTGGCCATGCCGAATTGCAAATCTTTGGCCATGCCGAATTGCAAATCTTTGGCCATGCCGAATTGAAAATCTTTGGCCATACATGCACCGACTGCCTGTCTCAGATTACGCAGATCCAGATGCTACGCTAAATCGCGTCGTGGGTGCGAATGAATGACGCGCCGCCCCGCCTACGTCATTGCATTCGTCGACGACCACAAAACAGCCCTCGACAACCCATTGCGCGCTCCTCACACTTTCACCATAATATACAGCAATCCACGGCAAGTTCTCGACACCCACCACACACCACTGCCATTCATCACACACCACTGCCATTCACCACACACCACTGCCATTCACCACACAATACTGCCATTCACCACACAATACTGCCATCCACCACACAATACTGTCATCCACCACACAATACTGCCATCCACCACACAATACTGCCATCCACCACACCCAACAATGTCGGCTCTCTCTCCCACCGGCCCCTCACAGCCAACCCAAGCCCAAGCCTACGAAACCCCCGGGAACCCCGCCTCGACCACGCCCCGGGAAAAATCCGCACAAGCCACCAACGCCTCGGACAGCAGCGCGCCAGTCGACCAGCGGATCCCCCAGAAGCAGGCCTCAGACGCCGCCGGGCACCGCAATGCCAAGTTCGAGGAGGGCGCCGGCGTGCACGGCGCTCCCGCTGGCGAGGAGGCGAAGGGTCTGACTGAGGAGGACGTCGGCAGGCACAAGGAGCTGGACGGCGAGCAGATGGCCGCGCCTGGCGAGGGGCGGGTGGCGGATGCTGTGCGCAAGGGCGGCGAGGGGATGGGCGGGGGTGGCTCGGAGCCGAGTTTTACGAGTGATCTGGATCGGTGAGTTGGGTTTTCTGCTACCGTCTGCGAGGTTTTGGTTCTACGAGGCCTCGTTGCTACGGATGGTGGAGCCGTGCTGACTTGGACTAGGAAGAAGGCCGAGCAGGCCGAGGCCCGTGAGGCGATCAAGGCTGAGAGGGCGGGGGACACACTGGCTGGCGGTGCCGCGGGACAGACTGGCGGGCCTGCGAATCCCGTCGGTCAGGGCGGGTATCCCAACGGCGGGCCGCTGAACTAGTGGGATGGGCGAAGGTGCGGGTGAACGCGCGCCATAGCCAGCACAGGGGCGCACGAGAGACGACGAACATGAAGAACAGCACGAATGGATAAGCGTTGCATCGAGCATCACTGCAAGCGTGGGCGTTCTCGCGACGCGGCGAACAGCAGCACTCGTCGCACCAAAGCGCTTGACAGCCCACGGAGCATCACTGCATGTACAAACTCGCCAAGCACCGTAAATACGTACTAGAATACCAGCAGCGACGTTGCCGCGATGAAAGAATACCTAACCGCTATCCAATAACCTCGAAAAGAAGCCCATGGGCATAAACCCAGACCCAGACCCATATGTACACCGATGCGGACCTACCACAGCCGCGTTCGCTGGTGGTCTCAATCATCAAACGCCTAACCAACTCCGTAAGATCCAACGTAGCCCCAAACACACAGTAGATCACATACACGAAAACAAATAAAATCACACCATGCCCGGACCACACCGCAGGCCTAAGAACGCGTCCGGTAGGCATCGAACTCGAACCCATCGACGGACGCGTACGCATACGTCTCGTACGCAACGGGGTCCGCGGGCTGGATCGAGTCGCTGAGCCCGTAGTCGAGCGGCATCTGCGGGGGCGCAAGCGAGGCTGCGGGATGCGGCGGTGCGTCGAGGGCGAGGGGGGGCGAGAGGGCGTTACTTGCACCAGCTGCACCGACGCTGATACTAGCACCAGCACCAGCACCAGGAGTCTCACCCGCACTGTCCGACTCGCTGTCAACCGTGTTGGGCACCTCCAGGTCGCGAATCCAGTGCTCCCTCAGCCACTCCATAGCCGGGTGATCACCGCCACCGATACCGCCGCGCTTCTCGTCGTTCTTGCCCTTGCGGCCGCGCTTGCGGGGGTGAAAGTGCGCACGGCGCAGGTGCGCGGCGGCGTTGTAGTACGCGCCGTAGACCTTGCCGTTGCGGCAGTGTTTGCAGTTGTCGAGGAAGTGCTTCTGGAACGCGGGCGCGACGCACACGTAGCCCCTGCGCACCGCGGCGTGGGCGCGCAGTACGTGCCGGTCCAGCTCGTGCGCGCCCCGGAACCCGTTGGGCCGCAAGTTGCACTGCGCGCACATGATCTTCGGGTGCTGCGGGCGCACGTACGGCGCCTTGCTTATCACGCCGACGTTCTTGCTGGACCCGTCCGAGGATACGACGCGCGCCATCTGGTCGCGGGATGAGGCGGCGGCGGCGTCGCCTGCTTTGGGCGCGAGCGGGCGCGATGCGGCGGCGGCGTTGATCTCGCGCTCGCGCCGGGATCGCCGGGAGATGCTGGAGCGTGTGCTGCTCGCGCTGCTCTCGGACGATTGGTGGGATGTCGACCTCCGCATATCCTCCGCCAGGTACGACTCGTTCTGTTGGTGACCGGAAGGAGCAAGTGCGTAAACACTTGCATTTGAGACAGGGACAGAAGTAAACGCAGGAAACAGGACAGGGTCACTGGCCACGGGACCAGTGAAGGAACTAAGGAAATTAGGATCGAATTTCGATCCATTGATACATGAAGACGCAGAGAAGGAAAGTTGGCTATCCTCGGGAAGGATAGCCAGGTACTGAGAATCAAAAGGGACGCGCAAAGAAGTCTCATCAATGAAAGGGGTGTTCAGACTGCTCCGACGACTCATGGTGTTACTAGATTGAGTAACAGGAGTCATCATTGCAGTCTGAGGTGTGCTGGGCGACGTGGAGTAATCTGACGATTGACACCATTGGGGGGTTAGTTGCACGTGCATGTTATCAAAGGGCACTGAAGGCGATGTTGCCTCGATACACGTGTTGATGTAGTCACTCGGGGTGTACTCAACCGTAGTCTCAGGGATTGCCTGGAGACTCGCCTGGGGTTGCATCGAGCCCGAGTAGAGAGCATAGTCGCCCGTCGATTCGTTGGAAGTCGCGAGCCATACGCCGAAGTCGCTTGCTGAGCGCTGGAGGTCGTTATTCTCTGGGATGGTCGTGGATCGGGGTCTGGAGACCGGAGCGGACTGGGTGCGGTCCATCTGCTGGAGGTTAGAACACGGGGAGAGCGACCTCCAAAGATGATATCCATACAGGAAGTTGGGTCAAGTTCGACATGCTGTTGGGCATCGTCCTTGGTACCATCGATGGCTGTGCGGGCATGTCGAAGCCGTTGTTTGGATACAGGGTGCCGTGCGACCCAGCTGCCTGGCGCTGCTCCTCAGAGAGGTGAGCGTGGTTGAGCCAAAAGTCCATTCTGGCCTGGTCCGGTATCCCGTAGATGTCACTACTACTATTCATGAAGGTATTGGCCATGTTAATGCTAATAATGGCGGATTCTGTAGTTTGGGTAAAGCAGACTGCACAATGTTAGCGATCTGCGAACACCGAGGAGCGTCTCACTGTGCAGGAGACCCTACAATGTAATAGCTGGCTGCTACAAAATAATCAATATAGAGGCGAATGGGTGCTTTCAGCAATGTGAGGCGTGCAATTGATGGAGATACCAGCCACGACGGGGAGGATCAGCTTTTAGCAACCACTCGAAATAGCGGCAAGCGTTGATGCGCTGGCTCGAGCGGAGGACGTCTGACGAGATGCGGGGCGCGCTGAGCGGGTCGTAGCAGGGCCAGATGTCGCTCAGGAGGGCAACCCAAGTCGATGATCACTTCGTTCCGTCTGAAGTGTGATTGGAGGCAAGGACACGTAGGTGAATATCATTCGCTGCCTCGCATTTCTTTTCGGCAGTGTGCGCGCCGACCCTTGCACCCTTGGCCAGCATCGGTCCTATCGTGAGCCCGCGGTCGGTGAAAGGGCAACAAGTTTCCTGCGTCCTCTTCCACTCGGTCAATCTCTGCATCAATGGCAGCGCACCCTCGTCCACCTGGTGTGCTTTTGCGCGGCGCCCGCGCCTCAGTCGGATGTAGCAAGGCAAACCGGTCGTCATCCACAAGGATCTCCAGATCGCACCAGGGCCGAATCGACTTCGACGCCCCGTCACGACTTTGTGCTGCCAATCATGACCCTTTCAAGACACACCTTTTGCTTCCACTCTATCGAACGCTTTGTCGCATCACAAACTACCCCATTGGGCCAGTAGCGAGTCGCAACGCGCTTGGCGCGAGACATCACCGAGCACTCATTTCAAACACGGCTTACGAATGTTCAGTTTTCATTATTATTATTACTAGGTTTGATTAAACCTCCCCAACTGTAGATCGTACCTGTTCTTCTGTCATGTCACGACTGTTCCGTTTGCTGCTCAATCTTCCGAGCCTTTCAAGCCGGGTAGCGCCGGCGAGAGCAATCTCCTTAATCTGATCAGCTGGCGCTTTTGTGGAAAGCCTTGTGGCACGGAGCGGCCTGATGACGCTGAAGAGAAAGAGAACCTGGAGAGCGCGCCGGACGCATCTTTCGAGCCGTTGCTTTGCTGACTCCGCGGAGTCAGAGGATGCTCGAGTTCCAACAAGTCAAAATCCGTTTCTCGTAGCGCCTGCTGCGGGCCATTGAGCCAATACCTGTCCATGCACACGTCCGACGCTTCCTCGTTGAGACCCATGCCGTCGAAGTACACGACTAAATGTTCCAGGGCCATCAGATCAGAGGGACGTCGCCCTATCGAATCTATCTCGCTCGCAAATGGGTCCAAAGTGGCAACGGAGTCCTTTCGCAGCAAGGCTGGGTGCTTTTCGAGACAGATCGGACCAGGTACGTAGACCCTTGTCCGGTACAGGTCCTTGAGGTTTTCGTCGCCGGCAAACCTGTTATTTGACAGTGGCTGTGGTCTCCGGAAGGGCGAGGGCGTCTTTGGTGAAACTGGCGTCGAGGTCCCTCGCCTGCCATTGATGGCGCTGGTCGGCCTGAACCGCCCAGGCTGACGCTCAGGTGGGTACAGCTCTACGGGCGTGCCCAGCATCGATTGAGGTGAACTGACGAATTTATCGGTCTCTGCTTCTACGAAATTCATCCTCAGCCTTGCCAGCTGTTTCCTTTCCAGCGTCTCTCGCACCCTCGGCTTGCGAGAGAAGGACGCATGTATTTGGGTTATCAATTCCTCGTCTTCTTCCCAACTATCGCTTCCCCTTTCGAATGAGAACCGAGCGTTCGGTCTTTCTTCTTCCAGCAGCGCTTCGGGCATGCCAAACACTTTTCGTGCTTTCAAGTCGCTCTCAGATAACAAGTGCCTGGAGTGTCTTCCTCTCTCTGCACTTTGCTTTTCCAATCTCACACTCATCGCTCTTCTTGGCACCTGAGGTGCATAGTCCGCCGAGTTGAATGCGCCAGGCGGCGCCGTGCTCGACTTTTGCCGCGTGCTTGGTCTTCTCACGATGGCTACGATATCGCTCACGCTCCTCAATCGATGGCGCAGCGATTGCCTGCGCGAGGGCGAGGTCACCGTGATAGCCGGCGTATCAGGCGGCGTTTGCGGCAGCTTTGGTTGAGGCATCAGGGGTGTTTCTGAGGTCAGAGCTGTGGGAGTCAGGCCGTCGTCGATATCGTCCTCGTTGTCGGTTTTCTCGGATGAGGAGGAAATAGAGGTCATGAAGGTCCACAGGCCGTCGACAAGTAGACCAAGTTCGCTGATCTCGCTTGTGGGCCGGGCCGCGAAGTTCGCTGACGGTAGATCGTCGTAGGGAATGTCGTAGTAGTCCTCACCGGTTGTTTGCATCATGGCGATTCGTCTCGATACTCAATAGCAGGTGTGCGGAAGGCAGTCCGACAACGCTTGCGCGGTCTTTCGGTGGTATTCGGGCCATCATTCTTTGTCAGGTCGCTATTGCGATGTTTGCAGCCTTGCGCACGTAGGGGCTGCCTAGGGCATTGTCAGACCCAGAAACAACAAAGAAAGTCGTTGAGCCTAAGGGGTGGCTCAGCACTACCGTCCCTTCGGCTAGTGCAAAGGTATAGCTGCTCGAGCTAAAGCCCCGCCGTGGCTTTCAGAGCCCAACTTCGTACCGGAGGCTTATTAATACCCTGGGCGGGGATTTTGGTACACCATTTGCCTACGAGCACGTTCACTCTGCAGCCCCATGGATATGTACTTATTGGTGGGCTACTTTTGGCACATCGGTAGGTAGTTCTACCCGGAACATGTTGTGTTGTGCGATGTCGCAGCCATCTACTCTCCAAATCTTCTATTATGATATATAGATTTACTTAAGCAGCGACAAACAACGCGGTCATCGCTGCAATCACTGTCCGCACTTCTCTGAGAAGTCATGAAGTTAGAGCGGGCTTGATGTTTGCTACTGAGCAGCCCTTCTGTCTTACCGATGTACTGAAAACAATGAATGACACAATGGTCCCTTTCGAGCGCATCTCTCTCCCTAGTGGATCAGGGTCTCATATCGAAGGTGCAAACGCACACAAAACTCGATAGAACAGTATTTGAATTATTATTATCTCTCTGTTGACCAACATTCTTGTGTGAATATTGACTTTGCACCAGACCCATCTCTTCATCATCACCATGCAGGTGCCATCAACAGCAGTGATGAAGTGCTCCGCACTCCAAATCCAGCCCTTATCCTTGTGAGCTCGAGAAGTCTCCGTAATCGCTCCACATACTGAACTCCAATGCAGGTACGATCGCAATTTACAAGACTCACCAATCCTGCGTCTGCCAACCGAACTGCGCTATTTGATCTACCAACTCGTCACCATTCCCGAACAGATCGATATCGAAACACCAGTGCATAACCGGGTCTGCGAGATCAAGTCCAAACCGTATCATATCTGCATCGTTGACAGGTTTAATTGTATGCAATATTGGCGGTACAAACCAAAGACCTCTCAAAGGATCACGCCACTGTATCTAGTCTGCAAACAGCTGCACAACGAGACAGCTTTGCTCCCGCTAAGCACGGCCAAGGTGGTAATTCTTGATGGTTCCATGCAGGCGTGGTACCTCTTCGATTACACCCTGACGAGCATCCAACGTGGCGCGATCCGGCGCTTATCGATTTGTATGAGAGAAGTGCACTACGCTTTGAAAGTTTTGCTGCACAGCTGCATGCCAGATTATGATACTATACACCAGCATGTACACCTCCAGAGGCTGTGCTTTCCTTTGCAGAGACTGATGGGCCTCAGGACGGTCACCGTGCGGCTGCTTGAGGATAGGAAGGGATACTACCCTGATCCAAGGTCGGTGGTCAATTTCCCTCGGGAGACAGTCAGGGCTGTACTTGGTGTTGGTCCGAAGGTTGATATTGAGCTACAGTATTGGAGCCTAGGCACCGTTGAGCACGCATTTGAATGGCAGCTTTTGCACAGCCGTGCTCCTCCACGGTGAGGTGCCGTACGGTGGAAGCTTCGGGAAACTATGGTCAGAGTCCGGCGGATTTTCAAGGCTGTATAGACTATTGCGCACGCAGATGAGTGTGGTTCCGCGAGAAATGTCGTCTCTGCCGGGACTATCAGCTCCATGGGTCGTCTAGCTAAGTAGAGTGGAATGGAGATTGGAACCAAAAGACTGGGGTGTCAAAACAAATATTTACATGGCTGCTGAAGCGAGGAGGTATTCGCCACCTTAACGATCAATCCCATCTGGCGTTTACGCGAGCAGTTGTATGACAGTATGAGGAGGCACAACCTCTACCGTGCCAATATCTGGAATCCCACATTGTGCCTGGGGATCTTTAACACGTTCTTACTCGATCTGTCGCCTGTGAAGCTGTGCTCTTAAAGTCGCGGAGTTCAGTGCCCTGAGCTCTAAGCACATATCTATCTTCTTTTACAAATCCGGTATCAACGTGTCGTATATTTGGCAGGGTTGCGAACACTGATTATGGAACTTACGCCCTCCGGACTGCATCGATCCGAGCAGGAGTGGCGCACGTACTTGACATTCGTCCCGACATCAGGGTGGTGCTCTACGACGCGGGCGGGGACTGAGCGATATATGATGTTGCCGGTTGCGGACTTGAAACCCAAGTGTAGACAAGCGTGATTATGGTACAACTCACCTTGTGCGCTAGAGTAATCAGCATGGTCTTAATTAGCATAGTCTAGCTGGATCGATTGAGTTGATGTTTGAAGGCAGAAGGCTACCGTATTAGTGCTAAAAGTCTGCGACTTTTCTGGCCCACTGTAGCAGTGCCATGTGTACGTACTAAGTGGAGGCCTCCGAGACTGTGTCAGGTCTTTAGAAATTGCAGTCAGGCTATATTTTGAGAAAATTGACCAAGGAGTTGCGATGATGGGCAAATTTTGATTTTGCAGGCGAGCATAGCCGACAGACACGTTGAGTTGGTAGCAGGCAATGTCCAAATGGATGTGAGGCTGAACCGTGGGCAAAAGGGCCGAATCGGCCCCGCCTGACGGCCGTCTGCGGTACGGGACGAAGTGATTAGTGCAAACAATAATGCGCTCGTGCGATCAGTTCTTCTGGACAACAACTGAACATAACTCAATGAACGGTCAAATACTCTGTTGACAGCTACGGCTGGTGTGGCGTTGGCACGGCCTTGCCGACTTTACCTTTTGATGTCACCGGCGGCCGACGTGTGCTAGTTGGCGCTTCAACATAGGTGCTCCCGCGGATGAATTGCCTCGCTCGGAGGCTCCGCTCCGGTCTGAAGGGCATTGTCAACCGAAGCACATGCTGATGAGTAACGGTGTTGAATCTCGACAATACCGATCTCGGCTCGATACCAACCAAACCTCATACAGCAGCTCTGGGTCCTTCTGAGCACGCACACCTCCTTCAACAGACCCGTGCTACCACGCGTAACAGCATGCAACTCTTCTGCCCGAGACGACCATGATAACGCAATCATAATCAGATCGTTGTAAGCTCGGCTAAGCAGACCGGTGAGGGAGACACTCACCAGGTTGAGCCGTGGTGGAGTCCAGGCAATGGGTCCGCTGCACGAGCGTCTGCATGAGGACGAGAACCACGTCTATACTCCAAGTACAGTCTAGCGTGAGCGGCACACGAGCTGCAGAGCTGCGATAAGCATCAGCCAACCTCGATATAAGCCCACACACTGAGCTGGGCGGGTCTTGAAATCCTTGGGAGCCCCTAACGCCAGCTCAGCATACAACCTTCATATCGCCATGGAAGCGGATGCCCTGCTCGAATACCGAGTTCTAGATCCTCCTGGAAACGCGATCAGGATCCTTCTTTTGCTGCCAGGTGGATATACGGACGATGTTCAACTAGTCATCACACACGAGAAACTCCAGGAGGAGAAGCGTATACCTTACGAATGTCTGTCGTACACCTGGGGCTCTGAACCGCCAACGGAGAAGCTGTACGTCTGGCAAGAGTCAAGTGCCCATGATGGAGGACATGAGCCTCGCTATCTCTTCGTACGGAATAACCTCCTCACCGCGCTGAGGTACCTGCGACTTGCCCACAGTCCTCGAAGGATCTGGGTGGATGCTATATGTATCAATCAAGACAACCTACAAGAGAAAGGTCGCGAAGTTGCTCGTATGGGACTGATCTACAGAATGGCAGCACACGTCCTCGTATGGATAGGGCCAGAAGACGAGACCACCTCTACTGCGGTGGAAACAATCGAGAGGTTAAGTCCTGGGGTTATCTTGTCCTCAGATCACCGCAATTGCGATACGATCCCTGGAAGCGAGGCTGCAGTTGTCCGATATCATCTTGCAACGTCGACTCTGACATCCCGACACTGGTTGGCACTGAGTAGCTTGATACAGAGACCGTGGTTCAGAAGATTGTGGATTAGACAAGAGGTCTTACTAGCGTCCAAGGTTCTGCTGAGATGTGGCAACACAGAGATCGATTGGGCAAAGCTAGAGAAGGTCATCATATTTGTCGAACATAAGGTGTCCAGGGAGCATATCAGCGCATCAGATATTCTGTACTGCCGTTCACTCTTCCCTTACGTGGGTTCTGACAGGTATGTCGAATTATTAAGAACAGCAGACCTCCTGCTGTAAAGACTTCATCCGGAGCCAGTTGTGCCGTCAGAACAAGCTGATCAGCCTTACGGAGTCTTGCTGACACTATGAAACCCACAGTCTGGTGTACACCCTCCACCGCTCGAGCCTTTGTGGCCATACCGACCCCCGCGATCTGATCTACGCAAACTTGTCAACCTCTACAGCAATGAAGCAACTTCAAATCGAACCTGACTACGATGCCTCCATCGCTCACGTCTACAAAGATATGGTATGCAAATATATGCAACGCTTCAAAAGTCTTGAGTTGCTCCGCTCCTGTGACCTCCCAAGCCTTGAGGAGGGCTTCAAGTCGTTCGTGCCTTACTTTGGTAAACCCAAATCCGAATCAAGACTCTTTGCCGTGTTCGCACATGCGGGGTCACGACAGTCATTCAGCATTGCAGATAACGAGAACATCGTCGTCAAGGGTCGCATCGTAACCACTGTCCAGACTGTGTCCGGATCTCGAAAACCATTCCCAAGGCACACGCATGATGGTGACAACTTCATGGAAATCATCGAGACCTATCGCCACTGGGAGCCAAACGATCTGATGACTTCGGCAGCATACCCGTCCGGTGGGTCACTGCTCGATGCCTTCGTCCTACTCCTTTCAAACGGGTTCTGCAAGGAGACATATCATATGGACCACTTACCGTCGCTGCATCAATCAAGAGAGTCCTTTCTTGCGGCTGTCTGGTCTGGCGGTGATCGCGAGCTGAGCAAAGACTTCCGGTACAAAGCATACATAGACGAGCTTATGTCCGATCGAAGAAGCGAGGTATTCTTCCGGACCACGGAAGGCTACATAGGCGTGTCGCCCACCAACGTCGAGAGTGGAGACCATATCGCCACACTGCCTGGATTGAGTGTGGCAATTGCACTTCGACCCGTTGGTGACGCCTCCAACACCTTTCACATCGTGGGGCCTTGTTTCCTTCAGGGTGTGATGTTTGGAGAAGGGTTGTTAGGACCACTTCCTGAAGGCTGGTCTTGCGAGATGCACAGTAGTCGAGAATGGTGCTTCCGGAAGGACGACAAGACCGCGACTTGGGAAGACCCAAGGCTATGGCCATTACCATCTTCTTGGGCATCGCATCTTTGCGACATGAGCGTTGACCACAGCCCTTGCGATGAGAACTGCAAAATGGAGAAGGATGGCGCGGGTGAGTTGACAGAACGATGGTTCTACAACGTGGAAACAAAAGAGAAGACACGCGAAGATCCTCGACTTGATGTGCAGGGCTTAGAAGCAGGTGGCGTGGCACTACAGTCTTTCACTATTATGTGAGTAAAGTCACGATGCTCGGTTGTATCGGTACTTTCAATGTCGTAGAGCATCTATTCTTTATTGTGCATCCGAGATACCATGCTCGTTTTTATCACAGACTTCCTTTATCCTAGAGACGATATCATCTCGTCTACTTGAAAACCTTCTTCCGATGTGATAACGCGTCGCTTTCGAAGATCAGATCAGACTCCTGAAGGTCCTCATCGCGAGGTCGTTCGTGCGATAGTGACTCAGCCGCACCGGCTCGAGGTCCTTCTGGTGGATATAGCCGGGCTTGATGGCATTGGTACCGATTGCGAATTTGTAGATGCGCTCTCGAAGTTCCACTGGTAGATGAAGGGATGGCGATTCATCTAAGATCTTGGTTGGCGGTTATCGTTGATCCGATTAGTGATGGAGGCATGCTGATGCTTCCTTTTCTGCGCGGATACGAGCTCTCAATCCCACACTCGATCTCAGCAGCCTTGTGTATGTCGACACCTGCTTTGGCTGACGACTCAACTAGGCGCGGTCTTCTGGCTGCAGTGAGGAAGACTTTTGAACAGCATGCAAGGCAGCACAAAGTACACATCGACACGGAGGATTAGCAGAGCTAGATGAACCTCGGGAAAGGGGGCTCGTGAGGGGATATTCCAACATCGATATTCGCAGGGGCAAGTCAGGCCTCAGAAGTTCTGGGATCATCCTGAAAAGGCTATGTCCAGATGCAGCGGGAGTTATGCTTCGCCCGGTTCTGCGCAGAGAAGCCGCGAAGCAATAGGTTCCATGCAGACAATGGCCTGAGTATGGTACTACGATCAACGCAATCAGCTGGTTGTGCCCAACAATGAAGTGCGCATAGTCAAACATGTCATTGTCCCAGTACGAGTGTGAGATGTAAAGCAAATGCAATTCAGATCTACAGATCAGCTCGCCTTAGCGCTACGCTTCCCACGGTGGGGATTGGGATATAAAGGAGTTTGTCGTCTAAAACTATCAGTAACGCCGTGTCATGTTCGTGAGCGGTATGTTCGTTAGACCGCCCTTTTTTGTCCAAAGACCTCCACTTCCTCGTCATGTCATCTGTCTCGCTTCGGTCGCCTAGGGAAGACCATTCTTGATCTTAGGCCCAACGACAGCCTTCTCTAGCGCCTGCAGCACGTCGGCCACAAGATCCGCCTCATCCTCAACACCACAGCTGATACGGACGAGGTCGTCAAACACACCAGCGGCCTCACGCTGCTCCTTGGGAATACCTCCGTGCGTCATCGCACTCGGGACCTCGACCAGCGACTCCACACCGCCCAGCGACTCGGCGAGCGTGAAGATCTTGGTCGCCTGGCAGAACCGTTCCGCTGCCGCGTGCCCGCCCTGGATACGGAACGACAGCATTCCGCCACCCATGCCGTCACGGTGCTGCTTGATCGCAATCGCGCGCTGCGCATGCGAGTCCAGACCGGGGTAGTTGACGCTGACAACATGCGCACTTGCTTCGAGCGCGGTAGCAACGCCCGTTGCATTCTTGCTTGCCTCGCGGGCGCGCAAGTGCAGCGTCTTCAACCCGCGGTGCGCGAGCCAGCAGTCGAAGGCGCTGGGCACGGCGCCGATGGCGTTCTGCAGGAACGACAGGCGGTCGAAGAGCTCCGGGCTGTTGAAAGCGGCGGCGCCCATGACGACGTCGCTGTGGCCGTTGATGTACTTTGTGACGCTGTGGACGACGATGTCGGCGCCGTGGTCGAGCGGGTTCTGTACGTAGGGGCTCATGAAGGTGTTGTCGACAACGACCATGATGCCGTGCTGGTGCGCGATGGAGGCGACCTTACGGATGTCGACGAGCGTGAGGGTGGGGTTCGAGGGCGACTCGATCCAGATCAGCTTCGTGTTGGGGCGGATCAGCTCCTCAATATCGACTTCGATCGACGGGCTAAAGGTCACTTTGACGTCGTGCGTGAGGGCGACCTTGGTGAAGTAGCGGTGCGTGCCGCCGTACACGTCGGACACGGAGACGACGTGCGAGCCGGCGGCGAGCGACTGCAGGATGTTGGCGGTAGTGGCCGAGCCAGAACTGAAGGCGAGCGCATAGCGGGCGTGCTCGAGCGCTGCGACTGCGCGTTCGAAGTTATCGCTGCCGGCATGTTAGCTTGCGTTAAACTTCATACTGTGGTGGAGCAGCCGTCTGCGTACCGATTGGGGTTCGAGGAGCGCGAGTATTCGTACTCGCCCACTGGCTTGCCAACCGCGGTCTGCGCGTAGGTCGTGGATAGCGAGATCTTGCTGTGTCAGTTTCTACGATTTCCAGAATTCGCGGCCACTGCACTTACAGCCTCGATCACAGCGCCAGTAACGGGATCGTGTGGGCTTCCAGCGTGGACAGCCAGGGTGCCGAACCTATGCACTGGGCTGGGCGCGCGCGGCGGGGTATCGATGGGGTGTTCGGGGAGCGTCATGGTGTTGTCTTTGCACTTTTGCTTTTTCGCGTACAGCCAGGAAACACGCAGGCAGAGAGCTTCAAGATAAGTGCGAGGCGATTCTCCCGTCCGATTTCAATGTGTCAAGGGAAAGCAACTTTTCACAGGAACTTCTTAGCGTGTTGAGAGTTGCGGGGGCGAGTGGTCTTCTTCAACGTAAAAGGATACTACGGTTGTGCCTTTGTTTGCCGAAGGCACAAGATGGTGTGATGGGACCCTGAGGAGGACTATCCGTGAGTAGAGTCGCCATCGCTGCGCCAGCGATCTTATATACGGGAACGTGGTGCCGTACCGTGACCATTTATCAGCAGTCAATTAATCATATCCTTCATCCGCCGAGACGTCACAAAACACCGACGGCCATCTCGGCCATATGCTGCGCGTTGGTTTCGCGACTCCGGGGTTAGACTAGCTCAGAAGGCGTCATTGTTTTCTCCGGTCGCTTTACATCGGCCCCAACATGCTGACATACCGTTTATACCGTTTATACCGTTCGTGTAACTGCACGGACGAGTACGGAAGGTACAAGGAACATGAGGGATTACGCCATTTCGCATCATGCCGAACACTCCAAGATACAATGTTCGACAAAATGTAACTTATTAGGGATTTATGCTATGCATGAGCGAGAACGTGTCTTGACGTACGACTGTGTATTATTTATTTACAACATCCTCGCTCCTGCTCTTGACTTTGGTCCATCCGCTTGTACCCTTCTTGCGTTCGGGCAGCCCACCCTCGGACATGTCGTCCTTCTGTGTTCCATTTGCAGTGCTCGTGGTGACACAGCTGTGCCCATCGTCCAGACCTACGTTATATCGCTTGTCCCCTACCATGATGGGATCTTCTGCGATGATATTCTCCATGTCTTCCCATTCTTTTTGATTGAGCACATCCCATTCCTGCGCCTGTTGCTCAGCTAACAAGAACGCCTTTAGCCCGTCGAGAATCTTAGTAGGTGTAAGGCTCCATCCGCTGATGTATTGTGTATTCTCTGCCATACTCATGTGCGAGTGAGACGTCGCATGTGACAGCTGCCCAAAGCTCACAGGCGCTCTTTGCAGCGGTGACGCAGAAGACTTCCCAGCGCACATGTCCTTGTCGAGAGGGTTCTCCGGGCGTCGAACAATATACGTCTCTTGCAGAATGAGAAGTCGATATAGGTTGCGCCCCATGGGTCCAACGTCTTCCCATCTCTTGAAGCTGTCCTTCATCCCCTGCGTCCGACAGAGCCACGCGATGTTGTATGCGAGCAGAGAAACACCCTCTATAAACGAAGAATAGGCCGGGGGATCTTCAGCTGATAGGTGTGCTATTGGTCGATCGATAAAGAGGGTGCGAGGCTTTGGAAGCGGTACGCGTGGGTCAAGTAGGCGAGAAACCTCAGGACTGTTACCCGAGGAGTCCAGTGTAGTACCAGGAAATGGCACCTTCTTGCCTTGATACGATGAGGTGACGCTGAAGATCGTGGGCTGAGGATAGTTGTTGTGAGGCAGCGTGATTTCGGCCGGAAGGCGTATGCCCAAGTAAGCAGCGATGCGCACAAGGAGCTGAGCAACAGCTGCTAAGGAGGCTGAGAGGTAGTCGGGTGGAGCATCGTTCATATCTCGAAGATCCCACACACGGAGCTTTGTTCCCGGTCCAATGTTGAAGACCTCTTTGATGCCACCATCTTTGGTCCTCCTCTTGCTCATCTTCAGCCCCGCAAGTGTTGCAGACGTGGCGCACAGTTGCCTCCGCTGCTCTATCGTCTCATAATGCAGCTTCTCGGATTTGTAATCCATTCTCTTCACCATCTGCTGCACCTTGTCCATCTCGTTGGCACGACGAGGGCCGATACCGTACGTAGCCGAGGATAGATCCGACTTGCGTTGCGCATTTAAAACCCGCTTGGCCTCGAGTTCTTTCCTCGCGGCCTCCATCTGGGCGCGGAGATGGGCTGCCTGCTCTGTGATGAGCGTCATCCTCTCTTCGATCTCGACCGTCTCTGTTCTCGTGCGCTGCCAGTTCAAATTGTCCGTGCATAGCTGGCGATCGACCAAGAACCCCCCCTTTGAGTCGGAGAGCGAGATGCTCGACCTGTTTTCTGAGCCTTGTATGACAGCCTTGACGTGCTTCTCGACTCCGTCCTTGTTGATAAGCGTCTTTGCGAGCTCGATGCGGGGCAGTTCGAGATAGGAACGCGCGCATGTGATGCAGTGTAGCGGGTGGCCTTGACTGCCGGCCTTCCCACAGATGTCGCACTCCATGTTGGGGGTGTTAGGTGATCTCGTCTCCCCGAGGTCCGTGGAGTGGTGGCCGAGAAGGGTACCGCGGGACCATGATGAGTGGAGGTTCGCCCTGGGAAACGTGCGTGGCTATAAACCCATGGACTGCGACAGCAGGGGGCAGGTTTGTGGGAGCGTCTACGTGATCATAACGGTGAAAGAGAGAGTAGAGGAGGAGCGAGGAAGATAAGAGTACCTGGCGGTCAGAAGATCATTGCGTAACGGAGGCAGCAGGCGCGAAGCGCGCGCGAGTCAGACGCACCTTCCGCACGTCATGCTGTGCTGGCTGAATGCGGATGGCGTACTTGCATATTCACCATCTCAGACCTCACAACGATTCGGCATCTAGCCTGACAATGACCAGGCTCAGTCTTGCGTGGCAGCTCGTCTCTTTGGTGTGAGAGATGCCGCGTGGCTCTTGATCGTTCACTCACTCGCAGCACTGACCACATCAAACAGCGTCACGAATGAACGCGGAGAGCGAATCGTCTCTGCCCACGGAAGGCGCGCATACAATTCGTTCTTCACCACCGGCGGGCACTCAATACTCATATCCGCCAATGGACGATCTTGCATCCAAGTCTGAGCCTGTGGCTCCTCAGGAAGTGCAGCAAACCCAAGATGTGCAGCAAACGCCCAAGCGCTCCAGGCACCAGCGCATGAACTCTGGCGACACCGAGCGGCCAGCGTCCGCTCAACGTGACCGCCGTGATGGCTCAGTGGAGCAATCTGACGTCGAAGCACAAGAAATCTCTGATGACAATGACGCCGACCCTGCACAGCAGATCCGCGACTTTGACTGGCAGGATTTGCATGAGAGGTACCATACCACCATCAACCGATGCAGCCAGGACGAAGCAGACCTTATGGAAGAGTGGGCAAAACTCATGGAGGTGCCGTCTGTCCGTGCATCAGCTACATGAGTGGTGACTGATCAAGACGCAGTACTTCCGCATTTGGGCGGAATCAGGACATGGGCACGAGACCGACCGGACGTATCAAAGGCAGGTCCAACTGAGTATCGTTCGTGCGTCCGTGTATTGACGAAGCGTAGGTTGCAGACGAGGACTTTGTACGTTCAGAATGAGGAGGACGAATTCGAGAGCAGGAGGAACCACTGTAGGAGCCTTCTCATCTCCTTCATCCGCGGGACTGACAATCGCAGACATCAACGTGGTGAAGGCATTCGAGAGTGCACTCACCCTCCTCAGAAACAATAGTGGCACGATGTTCCGTGGTTGATGCTCGGCAGGAGCCGCATACCTCAACTATCACGCCCCGCGCGGACCAGCTACGCACCCACTCAAGTGTACAGACACGACGTTCAAGAGAGCGCACGGGTGTACGCCACCAAGGAGGCTGTCTCGCACGTTCTTGTAATTGAACTCATTACTCAGGGCAGCTGTGGCATACAATCCACACATAAGGCCTCTGTTCCCAGAAACCAACGTAGCGTCACAAATCACTAGATACCCTCGCGAATCGGACACAATCATCAAGTCATCACAGTCCAACTTCCATTGCCATACGTAAACAAGTCTATGCCATATGGCGAGCCAACAAGCTAAAGGCTCCAGCCAACCTGCGCTACCCATGCAATATCCCATGCAAATAGCCCAAGATCCCAAGTCTATATCAAAGAAACGTTTCTTGCCTTGTAGTCCACAAGGATCTCTTTACAAGAACGAATCTCTTTACAAGAGAGGGTTGGAGCGGTACTCGGGCACGACGCCGTTGGTCTGGCTCTTCTCGGCCTGGTTCTCTGTCTCGAGCTCGTTGCTGACGCTGTCGTCTTTCTCGGCGAGGTACTTCTCTGCTTCGAGCGCGGCTACGCATCCAGAACCTACAATAGGCATTAGCTTCTATGCATTTTTTTCAAGTAGGGGCACGGATCGGGAACTTACCTGCACTGGTGACCGCCTGGCGGTACTTCTTGTCCTGGACATCGCCAGCAGCGAACACGCCCTCGATGCTTGTGTGGCCCTCGCCCGGCTTCGTGATCAGGTAGCCGTCCTCGTCCATGTCGAGCTGGCCCTTGAACAGCTGCGTCGCGGGATCGTGACCGACGGCGTAGAACAGGCCCTTGGCCTCGATCGTCTGCTCCTCCTTGGTGACGTTGTTCTTGACAACAAGATGTGTCATGAGCCCGTCCTTCTTGTCCTCGCCCTTGATCTCGCTCGCGCCCGTGTTGAACATGACCTCGATCTTGGGGTGGGTGGTGAGGCGGCGCGCGTTGGTGCGGCTCGCGCGGAGCTTATCCCTGCGCACCAGGACAGTGACTTTCTTCGCCTTCTTGGTCAGGTAGAGCGCTTCTTCGACCGCAGAGTCGCCGCCGCCGATCACAACCAGCGGCTGGTCCCGGAACATGGGCAGCGATCCGTCGCACACGGCACACGCGCTGACGCCGTAGCCCCAGTACTTCTCCTCCCCGGGCAGATCGAGACGGCGCGCTTTTGCGCCCGTGGCGATGATGATGCTGTCTGCGGTGTGTTCTTCTTCCTCGATCTCCTCGTCGTCGCCCATCGGGTGCAACCAGTACTTGAAGGGGCGGGATTTCAGGTCGACCTTTGCAACGGTCTGGGAGACGATTTCGGTGCCGCAGGCTTCGGACTGGGCGCGCATTTGGTCCTGAGAGTGTCAGCTCCAGCAATTCTACTGAAGCGTGGTGTGTTTTGGCTGGCACTCACCATCAATGTGGAGCCCTGGATCTTCATGAACCCGGGAAAGTTCTCGACCTCGTCGGTCGTCGTCAATTGGCCTCCTGCGGCGATGCCGAGCGCAAGGAAACCCTCGTACATGACGGGATTGAGGTCAGCGCGGGCGGCGTAAATGGCGGCGGTGTGGCCAGCCGGCCCAGAGCTGGAGGGGTCAGTATGAATCTAAAACAGCATTCTACTCTCAAAGGTAGAAACTACTTCGTGTGCTGACTTACCCAATGATAACGAGTTTCGAGTGCATTTTGCGCGAATCTACTTTGGAAAACCCTGCGACAGGAGTAGTGCGCGTGTTGTGCGAAGCAGCAGCGGCGACAGGCAGCGAGAATAAAGATAAGGTTCGAGGAGTCGCGCGGCGGAGGATTGAGGCAAACAGTTTGGCGGCGTGCGCGGCTGTCGCGTGTCGATCGTGGAAGTGGGTCGCGAAGGTGGGATGTGGGACGGTAGTTCACGAGAGGCGGTGGCGCGAGAAGTGTGGTGGAGGCAGCTGGTTCCTGGTGCTAGCTTTCTGGACGTTCTCGGCGATGCTCGAGCTTCGAGCGTCTTGTGCGATGTGAAGTATGAACGGCGAGCCGAGTGATGGAGGGGTTGTACGCGGGAGTGTTCAGTACTGTAGCACCCGCGATGTCAGCAGCGCGCCTTTTTGTATACGACTATCGCGCAGGCTCTGTGGGCACACTCACCTTGACTGTACTGCTGCAATGCAAGAGTGCGGTGTTGCTGCGACTTTTGAGAGCAGGCCTGGGAAAAAATGCTGGTGCTCAGTTTACGCCATCGGCCGGTCGGGCTGGCTTGATAATCCCGGTCTTAGAAATCGCAGAGTACTAGACTCCCATCTTCCCCACTCACGTCCCTGGCTGCACAATCGCAGCAAGCCGTCCGTACCCACCAACTCGTTAGCCTCGGCCACCGTTGCCTGCCTTGAGTTGCGCATCGGCGTGCTGTTGCGTTGACCTGATGGAGAACCAGGATACCTATTCTTCACACGCGGCCTTGCAGCGAACGCACCGTCATTACACTGTTGTCTTTCTTCGATGTCTTCATTTATGATGTTTTACTGGCCTGGAGGCTGAACTTTACATCAGATGCCCAATCGTGCCCCTGCCGTGCCGGATGCTCCTCGGATCTGATTACTTGCAGCACAGGCAGACAGGCCGAGGTTCTCCTGCGCCACGCAGCTTTGTCACTACTCGTAGCGGCTTCGCACTAGTCGACTGTCTACTCCTCAGCGCCTGGACGCTTCCTGAGGTTCTCCACACTGTAGAGCATGTCTCGCAGTGCTTTATCATCTGCCGCTCCCAGACCACCCTTTCCGTTACCGGTCGTCGAGTCGTCACCGCCGCTTGCGCCAGCCTCAACGTCGAAGACTTGTTCGTGGAATGACTTCAGCACTTCTGATGTGTGTGAATCCTCCTGCCATTTGCCGTTCTCTAGCGACGAGAAGCACTGCAGACGATGTATTTCCTGCACAATTGTCAGACAAATAGGCGTTGAGTGGATGCAGTGTCTTACCTCGTCCTCGCGCACTTCCTTGGTGGATGCTGGCTTGTGCACATTGTCGATAGAGACAACGGCCGCAGACGATGTTGGAGAAATAGGCAAGAAAGTGACGTCGAGCGCGTTACCCTTCAGCGCAATTGCGCAGCTGTACTCTGTTGCTGCACTGCTCGTATTTGTCATCGCGTCAACCTTGAAGGAGAATAGAGCCGGGACACCCTCGCAGGCTACAAGAATCTCCTCTTGATTTGGCACACTCCAGATACCAGATACTGCGACCTTGGTGATCGCTTCCACTGCGACCTTGGGGCGACACTTAAGATGCTCCACAACAGCGTCAAGGATGGGCAGCTTTTCAAGAAGCTTGAAGTTCTGCCAGTCCCAGACGTACAAGTGTGCATCTCCGCCACCAGACACGAGCCTCCCAGTTCGCGTAAGACAGAGTCTATTGATGAACGCCCCATGGCCAAAGCAGAAGCCCTCGATGATGTGGGCCTGCGGGAGTCCGCGAGAGACACGAATGTGCTCGTCTCGGTCTGCTGTGATGATGTAGCTGCGGTTATGCTCTGTCCTCGTGGTCACGATATCTGTAAGCATCGAGACATGACCCAGAAGGAGCTGATGCTCGAACTTCATCTCATCCTTCGGTGGCGCTGGTCCCTTCTTCTTCGTCTTCAGCTGGTCTTCCAAGGTCTTGCGATTCCTGCCAGAGTGAACAGTGAGCACAGTCGCGGAAGGTACCCATTCAGTCTCTTGAGTTGGCTCCTCCGGGGCTTCAGGTGCCCGGTAGTCCGGGGAGGGGAGCAGTGGTAGAGAGTAGACATCCCCAAACTTATCCGCGCACAGGATTGTCGAGTCATCCGAGGTCAGAGTGATTGAGCAGGGCCGCCTCGTCATGTGCCTGCTGCTGTTGGCTTGGGTGTGCGAATTGCCTCGGACGTCCTTACCTCTCGCTGAGCTGCCGTAGCTGGTTCTGGATGTCGGTTTCGAATACACGAATGCACTTGTCCTCGCCAGTAACCCCAATGATGTATCGCCCATCGCTTGAGACAACTAGGTTCGAAAAGTTCACCTTTTGCTGTTTTGGCGGCTGCGACAATTTGACTTTCTTCTCTGGTGGTCCTTCCTTCTCTTCATCTCGCTCTTCTGGTTCGGGCTGTTGTTTGGGTCAGCTCACACAGAATACTCCTGCACAGCATCTACGATCTGCTGCCACACAACAGATCATGCACTACTCACTACTGCAATATGATCATCTGGCTTCGTCCAAGTCGATGTACCTCCACTGCTGGACTGCGCAACTAGTGTCGAACCGCATGCGCCAAAGAGCGTCCAACCGCCCGGTCCAGTCTCTGTGAACTCGCGAGCAGCAAGACACTGGTATGGGAAAGTCATCTTGCAGTTGATGCTCGTCACTGCTGTGCACTGCGAATCTGCTTTTGACAGAGCCGCCTCGCCTCGTCCGGCTAGCGTGACGTCGCGCGCTCGGGCCACACCACACTCAATTTTGTCGCGCCGAGCTGGACGCTGACAACACCACAAACACCACTTCACCAAACTAAAGACCTTAAACATCCCTTTGCGTCACAACGAACACAATGGGGGGCACTAGGGAAAACAAGGCCGCTTACTTCGAGAAGCTCGAGGCTCTCCTCAAGGAGTACAGCTCCATCTTCATCGTCACCGTCGACAATGTCTCGTCTCAGCAGATGCACGAGATCCGTCAGTCCCTCCGTGGCGAGGGTGTCGTCCTGATGGGCAAGAACACCATGGTCCGCCGTGCGCTCAAGGGTCTCGTCAACGACTCTCCTGAGTACGAGCGTCTCCTTCCCCACGTCAAGGGTACGTTCTTGTCCGCGCGCAGCTGCGACGCACGCAACTGACAAGAGAACAGGCAACGTCGGTTTCGTCTTCACCAACGGCGAGCTCAAGGACATCCGTGACAAGATCCTGTCCAACCGTGTCGCCGCTCCCGCTCGTGCCGGTGCTGTCGCCCCTGGCGACGTCTACGTCCCCGCTGGTAACACTGGTATGGAGCCTGGTAAGACCTCTTTCTTCCAGGCTCTCGGTGTCCCCACCAAGATTGCCCGTGGTACCATCGAAATTACCTCCGACCTCAAGCTCGTTGAGGCTGGTAACAAGGTCGGTGCCTCCGAGGCTACCCTGCTCAACATGTTGAACATCTCTCCATTCACCTACGGCATGGGTATCTACATGATCTACGACAGCGGCAACACCTTCGATGCCTCTGTCCTGGACATCGAGGAGTCCCAGCTCATGAAGGCCTTCTCCAGCGCCATCGCTACCATTGCCTCCATCTCGCTGGCTGCCAACTTCCCCACTCTTCCCTCCGTCATGCACTCCGTTGTCAACTCCTACAAGAAGGTTCTCTCTGTTGCCATTGAGACCGCCTACGAGTGGGAGGAGATTGCTGAGCTCAAGGACCGCATCGCCAACCCCGACAAGTACGCTTCGTCTGCCCCTGCTGCTGGCACCACCACTTCCGGTGGTGCTGCTGAGGCCGCCCCCGAGGCCGCCAAGGAGGAGGAGAAGGAGGAGTCCGAGGATGATGATATGGGCTTCGGTCTCTTCGACTAAGCGTGTGCGTCTGCAGCGACTTTGTCAAAGAACAGCACGTACGGCTTCGGGCTGTCGAGCTACGTCTTGATGATACAGAGCCAACGACAATACGATAACATGAAGTTCTCGAATCAATTGACTGTGTGCGATGCTCGTTCGGGCAGCAGTACTCTTTCAGCAAATGGTAAGCACATTTCCTCTCTTTACACCCCGCGATGATGATAAATTTTTAACCCTGACCTCCGTGAGGATCAAACTACGCAACACAACTCTAATTTTTTCCTGAGCACTTCATACTCATCTTGTTCCAACTTTATGTCTTGAAGGGCACGAGGCTGACTATCAATCAGATACCCAAGATTCTCCGAAACATGTCCTACCTATACATTTGTGATATATGCTCCACCGTGTCTATGCCATGATCTTCACGCCAATGATCCCGCCTTCGAAAGATCGATCCTCACCCAATAATGCTGCCACATTGCCTGGCCTCCCAACTTCCTACACACACTCTCGCTCTGCGCATTTCCCGCATACACATCGGCGTGACTCCATGCCGTTCCTCTGCCATCCACAGCCAGCCCCTGCGCATACTCCCCAATAACGCCCGTCGCGACACTCTTCGCAATGCCCTTCTCCCGCCACTCAGCCTCCGTATGCAGCGTTGTCAGACTCCCATCCAGCCCCAAAAATGCCCACGCCACAGCCTTATCCGTAGCCTCTTCGAACACACCCTTACTCGCCAGGCTCAGTAGTGTGCGCGTCGCCCGCGGGATACTGGTGCGTGCCTGCACGGTCGGGAGATCCTGCAGCCTCATTGCGCCCCAGCGTAGGCCCGCGGGCAGCAGCTTAACGGGTGGCAGATCCTCGATCCTGAACAGGAACTTGTTCAGAACGGCGGTCGCGCTGGGGAGTTCTTCGCGCAGGATTCCAGCCTCCCGGCAGATGGAGACCAGTGCCGAGTGGCATGCGCCGAGCGTTACGACGCCTGGCCAGAGAAGGTGGCGCATGTAAGTCCCTGGAGAGAGGTTGTAGACGACGCCTGGTCCTGCATCGGGGTGGGCCTTCTCGTGCTGCTTTGCTAGTTCGAGACTAGGGAGTTCATCGGGGTGGAGGGGTGGGGTGGGGAGCGTGGCCATGTGGTATAGCAGGGAGAGGACAGCGAGTTTGCATTGGGGACAGAAGCCTTTTGTTGAGGATGAGTTGCTAGATGCCGAAGCAGAAGCTCCGTTCGGTGTTCCATCTCTTTCACATACGTGGTTTGGGTCTTCTCCTCGTGCGAACAGCCAGAGTTCAGTTCCTGGCCGCATGGAGCGGTCGAGGTATGCTGCTGCCCAGCACTCTGGGACTTCCGTAGCCGACGTGGATATTGTTGATAGTATGTGTGCGTGCTCCGATTGGGTTTTATGCTGTGTGCGAAAGACCAAGTTGATACTGTATGGAAGAGCAGATTTGAGAGCTCTTTGAAGAATCAGTGACGTGGGAGAATGCTCAAAGACTTCCATTATGTGCCTGAAGGTGAGGGGACGAGGCCGCAGATACTGTAGATGCCGGGAATGCTGTTCACATGTAAGAGAATTCAAATGGTGAGTCAATGGAGATATGTATGAGCGTAACCTATCAAACACGTGTGGACAGCCTCTCATTCGCACCGAGCACTGCCAACGACAGGAATTCACGCTTCGGACCAATCAGATAATGTCCCATAGTTGCACTCCGTGGGCGCAGGCTGGTCCCAATTGCGGCAGCTGTGCTGACAGACTGTGAGTTGTGACTGTACCTTCCCTCTATGCTGCTTTGGCACCTTCCATCTTCGATATGTGCGGGGTGTTGAGCTTCTGTAAGAGTTTTGTCCATTTCTTGTATGTCTATTCTGCCAGCCTGGCTTCGCTGTTGCAACAGCCCCGCGCCTAACGTTATCGCCTGCTGTGCGACGCCTCGCTGGGATGGCGTGTCGTCATTATTCCAAGCTAGCAAATTCATGGCGAGAAGCCATGTCTTTGGTACGAATACCCCACACCTTTGCCGAAGAGCATACAAGATCTTTGATGAATGCCTCGGAGTAAGAAGGTGCCTGCAAGGAAGTTGACGAGACTCTTATGGGGGTGCATGAGCGGTCGGGAATACGAGTCTGCTTGCACTAAGCATCTAGTGATCTTTTGCAAGAGGAATAACGTACCCCGAATGTGGCAAAATCGTGTTCTCATTCATTCAGGCACCCCCCTTGTAGCGCCGGGTGAAGATCGATCGAATGTACGGATTTCCAGGCATCAAAGTCGCAATACGATTCATCGCTCACATGCTTCCTACCCAGTAACGCTCTCTCTTGTCGATACTGATGATCGCCTCGAATGTCCAGCCTGAGCGTAGAGGGTTACAAAGTTGTGAGCTACGATTTAACGGCTTGCTAATCGACGCAGCCACTGCATATCTCGCATAGGTAGTCTTGGCAAATTTAGCAGCACCAGCGTCGCGCTCAGCTGCAACTCCAAGCAAGTTTGCAGGGCTCGAGCTGTGGTTACCTCTAGGGGCCCTTGGCTAGAACAACGACAAGCCGATTACTCCGCTTTGCGGGAAGGTTGCGGACATGTGCGGGGAGCCTACAATCCGTAGCGAGCTGTCGATCACGTCAGCCACCCATCCAGATACGGGGACCTGGAAAAATGCATCGCTTCGCACTCAATACGACAGAAATACCAAGCTTTGACAAGCATGTACTTGCCTGAACAAACTCACATGAACCCAGCGTGCGACCTTGCAGGTGTACTTTGCCTTGCGCAGTTACCGCAGGCACTTGTGACTCACAAGACTCAACTTTCGACCAGAGCTCACGATAACCATGATGCCAATCAGCACTAAATCTGCATGTGTTACCGAGAACGCCATGAAGTTCCGAACAGGCCATTGGACCATGCTAAGATCAGATTATTGTGTGGCGCAAGAGCCTCGCATTCACGGCCGTCAAACTGTAAACACTTGCATGAAACCCGAGGATCCACCCGCGTACCTGAGATCTTGAACATCTCGGGTCCCCAGATTCACCGTCACATAGGTGCACATCATGATGGAGGTATATGAAGCTCAGATGCCACAACAGTCACTGTATCGCTGGCCCTCGTATCCAGCTTCACTAGCCTTGATCATCACGCGAGCACAGCCAGTATGGTTCAACCTTCGAAAGAGCACGCGTCTGGTGGCTTTAACCCTGTGCACTTCAGTGTATTGTTTTTAACACTTCTTATTCTACGAGTATGGTCCACCACGCCGCTAGTTCTGTTCATGCTGACTGTGCCAGTTCGTCTATGTGGGTCTCACGTGCCCTACACGGCATCTGCCTGGACCTTGGTACACTCGCTTCACACATCTCAGACTGAAGCGTGCTGTTGTGAGTGGCCAAAGAATATTCTACATCGACTCACTCCACAAGAAGTATGGCCCAATCGTACGTTTATCACCCAATGAGGTCGCTGTGGCGGACCTCGATGCCTTCAAAGAGATCCACAAGATCGGTACCAAGTACATGAAGAGCGAATGGTACCTGAGGCTAGCCAACTTTCCCAAGGCCGGTGTCTTCACCATGCTTGACCCTCGCGAGCATGGACCTAGGAGGAAGCTATTGTCTCGCTCCTTCAGCAGAACCTACCTGGTTGAGAATTGGGAGCACAAAGTCCGCGAGAAGGCCTTACTTGCCGTTAACAAGATCAATGCAGATGCTATGAAAGGCACTGCTGATGTTTACAACTGGTGGATGCTACTTGCCTCTGATGTCAGTGCACACCTTGCCTTTGGAGAGTCATTTGGCATGCTTGAGACTGGACACGTAAGTAGATACAGCGCACAATTGTCGTGTAGTACTGATCGCTCGCACAGCAAAACCAGTTCCTGCGCGTGCTCAAGAAGCTCACCATGGGTGCCGGTATCATGGTTGAGATGCCCTTCCTCCGTCTCTTGAGATTTGTGCCTGTCCCTGCGATTCAGGAGATGTTCAACGCCAACGAATACATCATTCAAGGTGCTGGCCGCGCGGCAGAGATGGCACGCTCCCGCAAGGGCGAAACCAACATCTTCGCTAAGATCGTTGAAGAGTCCGAAAAGGAGAGTGAGACAACCATCGACGACATGGACGTCAAGATCGAGGCGATGAACATCATCATCGCCGGTACTGATACCACTGGAGTCACTCTCACATACCTTACATGGGCTGTCCTCCAGCGTCCCGACCTACAAGCTGCTCTGGAAGCAGAGGTCGCTGCTCTTGGTGAAAACTTCACAGAGAACGATCTCATCAACCTTCCTCTGCTCAACGCTGTCATCGAAGAGACGCTTAGATTATACGGTGCCGCACCAAGCAGTCTGCCTCGTGTTGTGCCCCAGGGCGGAACAAAGTTCGCTGGTCTCTACATCCCACAAGGTGTCACCGTCGACACACAAGCATACACTTTCCACCGCGACCCCAACATCTGGAGTGATCCCTTGACGTAAGCTGATGCTCCCACGCTTTCCATTCTTCATCACGCTGACAAATAATAGCTTCAACCCCGACCGTTGGATCTCTTCCAAAGAGGGTCTCCCAGCTGAAGCCCTCTCGCCCGCCGCCAAAACAGCTTTCCACCCCTTCGGCGCTGGTGCACGGTCATGCATCGGCATCCATCTTGCTCGCATGGAGCTGAGATATGCAGTAGCGTTCATGTTTAGGGAGATGAAGGGTGTAAAGCTGGCGCCGAGCACGACACCCGAGAGCATGGAGTTTGACAACTTTTTTCTGATTTCGCCGAGGGCGCATAAGTGTGAGATCACATTCAACTGAGTGAGAGTCGGGTAATGAATAATTTGCGTCTTGGTTTGGGGGAGTAATAGATGCACACATGTAACGGGCGTTGGTCAACGGAGATTGCATACAAACGTGTCGGTCTTCGTCTCACAATGTTCGTCTGCCAGCATTGCACTTCACGCCAGAGAGGATGTTCAAAAGTGAACGGCAATTGTATTTCTCAGACTTGCTCGAATGAACAGGCTTCCAATACTTGCTGCGGTAACCCAAGCGTGCGATGTTCGGCATCTCTAAACGGCCTAGCAACCATGCTGCACGCAGTACGTGGCCTTACCGCACCATCTACGCACCACAGGACAATCAAGCTCAATCACAGCAGCCACTACCTTCAACTAGGTGATTGTAGTCCATACATTCGACTCGAAAACTGCCTAAGAAGCCCTCATTGAGACCCATTGCAGCCAATGAGCTGACAGAGAGGCTCGAGTGCAGATGTATGTAGCATATTGGTGTCCTCATGGTACTTGACTTTGCAAGAAGATGGGCTTATCTTGAAAATTATATGATTGACATAAGCTTCATCAGGCTCCGACGAGATGGACCGTTACCGGATTCCTGGTTAGATCGAGTCGAAGCAGTGTGGCCCACGGATTGCTTTGGTACATGCATCTCGCCGCTAGTCCTTGCTTTTACGCATCCTTTATCTTCTTCGTCCATTATTGGGCACACGGTTCCATTCAGAGATCCAGCCATTGTCGAATATCATGCTTCTTCTTAGTGAAATGGCGCTCCTGCACGCGCTCCTTCACAAGGCAGACAGTTGGGTTGCAGGACTCAGCTTTCTTGAACTCATTCGCTACCAACTCCAGTATATCTTCCGCCGTCAGTGGTTTCTTGTGAGACAATACCGAAATTGACTGGAGGGCGGGATGATGAGGCGGAAAGCCCAGGGGAAAGCTTGGCAGGAGGTGTTCAGTGCACGGTGAGACCCGGACGAGAACCTTCGACAAGGCTTGTAAGCCCTTCAGGTCGTCGATCCTGCGTGTAAGAAGTCGATCGAGACATGGTTTTCTTGTGAAGTTATCCATGGGAGCGCAAGTGCCAACTATCATGCTCAAGGTCTTGATCTTGTTGATCCCGGGGACTTTGAAGTGGCGATCTTCGAACGTGTCTGCGCCTCCGAAGTGGAAGGAATGCAGGAACGCGAATGTGTTGCAGGCAAAGTAAACGTTGCGTGCCTCGTGTTTGATCTGTCGGCAGGTCGACCGAAGGCGAACGTCCGGTCTCAGATCAGCAGGTCTCTGGTGAGTAACCCGAGTGGCGGTACATCCATTGATCGAGTGGCTTTCGGTACAAAAGTCTACACCATTTGGGGCAGGGTAAATGCTGACAATACCATCGCAAATGAGCGCGAAGTGGTATATGCGGTCGCGTATCTCGGGTGGCAGGCGCAGCAGAGGCGACGCTGTCTGATTGTGCAGGGTGCTAAGTAATCTGTCAGTTACGAGTAGAGATTCGACTAGGTCGATACTTACACAGCTTCGGGTTCCATGCTACTCAGTCTATGATTTGGAAGGAGTGATTAATTGTGGAATGGTGTTTTGTAAACACTGGGTGAGGGGCAGGCAGCTCCACAGCCAATGCCAAGCTGCGCTAGTGAAGAGGTGAAGGCAAGTTCGTGTCTGCCCAGGTGAGAAGCCACCTCGGCCGGACCTGAAAAATGTGAATCATTTGGCAGGTAAATATTGTTCTTTGACTGTATGTTTACCAAAGTTTGCGTTGACGAAGGGTCCAATGGCGCGACCGAGATTGAGCGATCAAGGATGAATTTTACCATTGTCTAGTATCTACCCAAAGATCTTCTAATATACCGCTACCCAGCGCTCCTTGATAGATCTCACTATATAGAAAGACCAGTATGGTGTATATCAAACTCCATAGGTGTTCCGGTCCTGGCTTTTTGAAACAGCTCTTGGAGTGCAGCGGTCGAGTCCTCCTCGAGAGATCATCGCAACAGAGCCAATCTCGCACCTTCAGCTTGCGCAAGCTTAACAGTCCTTCTAGCCACTGACGTAAGACCATCAGGCCAGTAATGGCAGAGAAGGAGGTCCATGGACACGATTCTGACGTGTTACAGGCATTGCAGAGCTGAATGCTGCTTTTTGAACTCATGTGGGCCGCTCTCGCATAGCTCAAACATATCTAGCATTAAGTAAAGGTCTCCAGCTTTATGTTGAATTTGACGGCAAGTATAGTGAATGGTATACGGTCTATGCGAGTGAGCCAGAGTGCCTGGAAGAGGATGTTCGCGGCGTCCCTCGGTGCAGAACTGCAACTGACTGAGGTGAGGATGTATGTAGACAATTTTGCATTGTAGCACTGACCGTGTATACGGTTCCGGATCTGAAAACTGTGACGTGTTGAACGATGGGGAGCTGCAGATGATGCGCCTTGAGCGCGTACTGGCTGATCTCCCATAATTCGAAGGGGTTCGCGGTAAATAATATCTTTCTGGTCGCATGATAGATGATGCGGCAGGCGAGGCGGAGTGCGATGTTGTGTGCTTGCCTGTTGCGACGGATACGCTCTTCATCATAATCCCAATTGTAGACCGTGACGGCGCAGTGATGTAAGACGAGAACGATGTTGTGGCCTCTGAGGATATGCCTGTAAACCTCTTTGAGAATCTCGGCTGGTAAACGGAAGTATGGTGACACTTGCTGGTTGCGAACGTTGCTGTCGACTTTGTTAGTGGCTTTGAGTGGATACTGGTTGAGGGTGGATTGCTGGTGCTATCAAAGCACACGCACCCTCCTCCAGTTTCATGAAAACGGTTTCACTAGATCTCGATTCCAGAACAGCGGAATCTGATGTCACTTCTCTGTGTGTGCTTATTTCGCGTACCCAGACCCGTACTTGCACAGCAGGGCTGTCAGGCTGGGCCTTGTCGATATGATTGAGTACCCACTTGTCGCTGTACCAGTCTTCAGACACCAGACTTTCAAGACTATATACATTGAGCTTTTTGCGCAGCTCAGGTGGAAGTCGGAGCAGAAGAGACTGTGCCTGAATGCGGAGGGTCCGGTATATCGCGACGTCAATATGCGCTGAGCAGAGGTCTTCAGGTCCCCAGCTCACGAATGCGTACGTTACCTCAGTGAAAGTCGCCATGCTATCTGAAAGCTGTGTGAAAAGATCGTGTCGCGATTGGCGTTGTTGTGTAGTGAGGTCTTTCGACAAGGAAGGCACACGGTCCATGGTCATGACTCGCAAACACTTCAATCGACTGGAGATGTCACAAGTAAGCCCGGAGGTAGCTACAGTGAAAAGTAGCAGGTAAGATGTCGAATTTTCAGCTTCGGTGGCTTTCATTTCTCTTTCTCTCGTCATCCCGTTATCCCGTGTACACTTGTCGAAATCATAAGTCACCCTCCTTACTTCACCCGCTATGCAGTGCAAAACAAACACACACCATCCCCGTCCCGAGCTGTTTAACAAACTTCCATCGCCGCATAGGCACAACGTCTAGTTGTAAGCATCTGGGGGCAGACTAGGCTGGCTTTGTGTAAACAGCTCCCCTGCGCGATTTAGCTCCCACCCTCCTGCTTCCAAGCATTGTATCGCGTAGTCTCGCTTCAAATTCGTTGCGTTCTGAACGTACGCAATCATTTCCTCCTTCTGCTGGTCAAACGTTGGGACCGGTAGTACCGGCGTTGGTGCTATTGCACCGGCCATTGCTTGTGGTTCTGCGGCCATGGGTGCGTCTGTGATCATGCCGGCGTCGCCAGCTGCAGGCTTGTCGGCGCGGACTTGGACTCCATTCAGGATCTTAAGTTTGGGGAACCATGATGTGATCTCCTCCTCCCAGCCGATATTGCTGAAGGGATCGATGATGAGGTGTTCCAGCTTCCGGAATCGGCCTTTCCATGGCTTGAGGGCGTTAATGGAATGGAAAGCGTTGCCGCTCAGGTCGAGGTTTTTGATGTGATTAAGCGTCTTGCACAGGTCGAAGATGACGTTAAGGTTTGTAATATTGTTACCACATAGCGTGACGCTTTCGATTGCAGCCTCCTTAGCTTCTCGGGTTTCGAGCATGTCGTCGCAAACAACCATGAGTGCGGGAAAAAATTTCTTCTGGGTTGACTCTTGTCGGAACATTCCGCTTTTAGCAACTTCTTCGTCTGTGGCGATGGTCGAGAAGTTGAGTAACTTAGTGGAAGGGTCGTAGCGGCGCTGCAGGAAGCCCTTGAGAAGTTCGATGGTGCTGTTCTTTCCTTCGGGTTCTGCTTGTTGTTGGGGCTGCTGATTTTGGTCTTGATCCTGGCGATCGCTGGGTGTGTAGTAGTCTCCACGACCTCGACCTCGACCACGGCCTCGCCCGCGTCCTCCTCCTCGTGGTGCAGACATGATGACTCTGTTGATGTTGCTGATGAAGGTAAGGGAGATGGGGTTTAGGTGTTTACCAAAGTCGGAATAGGGTCGGCGTAGATAACCGTCGAGGAATGTGATGTAGCGTTTGTTCGTATAGACTGTGGAAGTAAGTATTGTTTGCTTTGAATACGAGTAAGAAGGTAGTTTTTATGCCCAAGTTAGCGCACCTCAGACCAACGTCCGTGCACAAGGCGAGCCACAATCGCTGATTGGCTATGAGACATTCCAATCTAACCCTATCACACTGAATCATGGTCGTACTTGAACAAGACACCCTCAGAAACATCTCATGGCCGCATACTGCGAAAAGCGTTCAGGCTTTCAGGCGCTACCCAGTATCGAGCGATGATTGGTCAGGGAGCTAGGCATTACAGGCACCCACACGACGCTGCTGCCTCACAACCGCTCAGTCTAGTGTTCACTTTTGATCTTGTCATAAGCATTTCCTATACATGTTGGCCTTGGCTAGATGTTACAAGCTGGCCTGTTCCAGCTCAGCTGTCCAGCTCAGCTGAAAATGTTCTTCACTTTCCATCGATTCGTAGCTCTAGACCCACCAAATTGACGCGTCGCCAGATTCGACATGTCAAATCAATACGCCGTAACTCCTGGCCCGTAACTCACAAATGCGTACAAATCCAACTGATGACTGCCGTCGTTTTCAAACTGTTGTGTCGGCGCGTTGATGCGACTAGTTTGAGTGGATCTTCTTAATCTTGTTGACGCCTTCATAGAGCGCGCGGTCGACCGCAGCAGCGACTGTGAGCGTACCACCGATCACAGCGCACAGGCCCACGAGGAATCCAGAGAAGGATTTATCGCGCACTTCGCGGTTAATGACCTTCATCGGCGAGATGTCCTGGTTTCGAGTTAGCTGCGGCCTACTGGCGTCAATTTGTAAAACTTACGTATGAGAAGAAAACACCAGGGATACCACCACGAGCGTGAATGCGCTCCTTGTGGCCTTCCTGCTCATCGGTACCGCCCTGAAGGCTCCTCTTGTGGCTCGTAACGGAGTACTGGTGTGTCTCGATGCTTCCCTTGTAGTTACCCTCGATGATCGAGCCAATGTCGGTATCGCTGGGCCGAGTAGCCTCCTTTTCCCAGCCAAGTGGCAGGTAGGCGGTAGACACGACCTTAACGAAGTACATGTAATTGAAGGCTTTCTCATCAGTGTGCTGATCTGTTCCGTCCAGAGGGTTGATATGGTGATTTGTCCAGCCACCGGGCCCTGTCGCGAGGTGCTTCTTCGCCATGTTCTGTACCACAGTATCGCTCAGTTGGGGACCAAATCGTAGATGGTGGATCTTGTGAGTGAAAGTGTGCAAGTACTCGTCCTTGAAGTAATTTTCGAGGTCGTGTACGTGCAGGTTGCCATTGGAGAACGACTTGCCAGGGGCGATGTGGAAGTTGCCAATGACCTTGTTGACCTTGATGCTGCCCTCAAGGCGGCATCCCTCCTGACGCTGTTCGTCAAGGTGCTCGGCATAGTGCTCGCGCTCGCACTGCTCGACACCCTCGCCACGACCGAAAGACCACGATACAGAGGCGTAGGCGTCGCGGACTTCGTCGCAGGTATTGCAGCAGCCGGGCCTATGTGCGTTGGTAGGGGCGGGGGCACCGTAGCATTCGCCACAGTAGTCGGGGGCAAGGTGGGAGGCTTCATCCTTGTGACTGTTGCAGAAGTCAGTCATAGCAGTCTAGTCTGTGAAGATTAAACGAAACTTACAGGTCAAGTGCCTTGGTCTCAATCTCCTTGCTACCCTGCTCTTCAGGGTTTAGTCGCACCTTGTTAATACCGTGTGCGACGCCCATCTGCAACTCGCCAGAGACGTCCATGATATCGAGCGTGAGCAGTTCGCAGGGCATTCGCGGAAATGTAATGTTCAAGCTGATCTCCATGCGCTCGCCCCTGCCCTTATCGACAACCAGCTCTGGGCGGACTATCACCCGCCTGTAGTCCGCCCATTCGCCCAATGTCAACCAAAGGATGACCAGCAAGCTCACAATGGTGACAATTCCTCCGGACGTTGTACGAACGCGTGCATCTTCGACAGTCTTGGTAAACGCATCGAGACGCGTGAAGGCCGATTTGGGAGGCATGTTTGCAGACCACGCTGCTGGCAGTCGAGGTCGAGAGGTGTTTCGGTGGTATAGAACGTGGAACTGAGACCCGCGGAAGTGCAGCACGGGCAAGTGTCTCGGTCCGCAACCGAGATTCTGCAATTGCAAGCGCCCTTGCAGCTGCTAGTCGAGTAGGTCGAAAGGAGTGAAAGGCCTGGCAAGATCAACGCCGTGGCAGTAATATCATTGCACAGAAAGCGGTAAACTGCGAGACGCGTGGGTGTTGCGACGCTCGGCTGAGTAAAGGACAGCTATTCTGGAACGTTAGTCAAGGTACCCGTGCACTAGCGCACATGAGGCAAGAGCGTGAACGCTCTGTGGATTCAAGGTTTGATTTTCAGTGCAACAGGAAGTGTCAAATTGTAGTGTGATATATTATGACTTGTGATGTATCGGGGTTCTCGTTTAAGTTTTGGGAGCGGTGTTGTACACATGCAGTCGCAAAACGCTGCAGTACAAGTTGAATGAAGCCTCGGTGTATAAGCCACCGGAGACATGCAGCAACCTGACACGTGTATTGTGTACATCTAGTCATGCTTGTACATCTTCGAGAAGTTCCAATCATTGAGGTAACCGCTGCCCACCTAATCTGTCATGAGATGGTGACTTGCAATTCTCAGAGGGAAGTAACTTACACAGAGGTAGGTTGCGAAACCGAGCCAGCCCAAGTATGGGGCAAGCAGCCACCCACACGTGGGATCGACCTGACTCCAAATATAGGCGAGGTAGCCTACAGTACCACCCAGTGCGAGGATATCGACAGTGGCAGCGATGGGTCGTCCAAGGCTGAAGTAAAGCGGTGTCCAGAGAAAATTGAGGGCCAGCTGGATCGAGTACAGAGTCGCTCCATGCTTAGCTAGAGCCACAGTATAAGGGTTGGTAGAAGTTGCGCCAGTGGTCCACGCACGGTAGGCAGTGTAGCCCATTGTTGCATAGAGTGCGGTCCATACTGGCCCAAAGACGTAGCCAGGAGGGTGCAGAGGAGGCTGTCTTATGGCTTTGTATTGAGCCTGGGTTACGGACGCTGCCATCCGTCAGCCACATTGTTAATTAATGTCTGCAAAAGTTACTGACGGCTGATGGAAAAGCCAATCGCGGTACCGCAGGCCACGGGGAGCAGAATTGCAGCTGCCGGGTTTTCGAACAGAAAGCTCGGAAGCGTGAGGGAGGGAATGTACGAGGTCATGGTGGTGAATATAGTCTACCGCTTCGAGGACTGCGAGATGCGTAACAGAGCAACGACAGTATATCGAAAGATCTTATACTCGCGTGAAGCTCGCGTTTAGCTCTCGATGCGGCTACGTAATCCCCGCAGACTCTAATCGAGCATTCAGCCTCGGTCGTTCTCGCGGACGTTGATGGCCCACTTGCCGTGCTCCGTGCCTGCCTCGCGTTTTAGCGTTAAGACTAGCCCATTTCAGCACGCCGGTCCAGGGCTCCTTCCTCCACGCGAACAGCTCACTCCTCACTCCACACTCTTGCCTCTCCCTCCGAGCAGGACACACTCCAGCTTATCGTGAGTGCATTCGCTCTTGTTCTTGCCGCAGCCTCATCTTGTTCGTATCTCCCCTTCATACCGGGCTATCGCCATAGCTCCCCTTTAGCTTCTTCTGCTAGACGCCAGCCTCCTACTCCACCCTTCTCTTCTCACGGCGCAGCTCGCGTGTGATCAATCGCATCGAGTGCTGTTGTCATCTTGTTCATTCTCCATTGCTGCACCTCCTTCTAAGCTATCCGCGTCCCTCTCGTTCCTTATTTGTCCCCTGTCTGACCCGAGGCCGCCATGGCAAACAGCTTCCCTCGATTGTCTGGTGCTTGTCAGGCATCACGTCCGCCCATCGAGCCTGCTTATCCTGACTAACAGCGATCCGGCCGCTGTGTGGGTGACTGGTTCATCACACATTATCTAATACCATATCCATAGCTGCTATAGCTGCGCTTCGACCATGGACTCGTACACGTGAGTACAAAAGCAGCTTCGCGGCTCAAGTTCACAGTACTGATGGCGTTGCAGAAGCACCCGAGAGGATTCTAGGCCGCCGGCTGACTCTTACCGACGACGTTCTCCCGGTAAGCAGATTCTTAGCCGCCTGATTTCTTGCTTGACTAAGTACCGTACAGCTCCCGGAGATCGCAGGCCCAGGCGGCGCTCGCGGTCACCTCAGAACATCGACAGATATCAACCGGATCGCGCTCGAGACTATGATCACCCGCGCCGCGATGGGGGCCGTCGTCGCTCCTCTCCTCCGCCCGTCCAAGCTGGCATCGACCGCTATGTTCCTGGCCAAGACAGCTTCGCCCCTACGTTCACGACCAACCCTATACCCAACCCCATGGGTCTCGAATATCAAGTCGGTTTCAACTACTTCGCTGAGTGGTGGCGCGTAGAACAGGTCATGAAAGAGGAGAAGGAACGCGCAAAGAATGGAGGCAGAAAACCTGTCCTCAAAGGCGAGCGCGAAGCCCGTGAGGAACGAGGCAAAGAGCGCGAGCTTATCCAGGCCGCGTATGACGAGTACAAGGAGAAACTCCAAGTGCAAATGGCTAAGACCTTTGTGGACAAGCACAAGGGTGAGGAATGGTTCAAAGAGCGCTACGATCCCGAGTACGACATGGCCTTCAAGGGAAAGCTGCGTGTCTATCGTCATGGCATTTACACAGATTGGGAACGGCAACTCGATGAGGGCTACTTTGATGAGTTTACGCTCGAGGGCATCTACAAAAATGACTCGAACGGTGCTGGCGGAATCGTCGAGAAAGAGGAAGGCGAGACGACCGCAGCCAACGAAGTGCTCGGTGTAGGGGATTTGCTTCCCTGCAAAGGCGGCGAGATTCGCGATGAATCAGCTTTTCAACCTACCTTGTTGATCAAGACCATCGCTCCTACTGTCAACCGAGAGAAGGTTGAGGAGTTCGCTAAGGAGCACCTTGGCGAGGGACCGGGTGGCTTCAAGTGGCTCAGTCTGAGCGACCCGAACCCGTTGAAGAAATGCCATCGCATTGGATGGGTCATCCTTCATCCCAATGACGAGCAGCCCATGGTCATCGATGATCGTGGTGATGGGCGCGACGATGAGGGAGAAGATGGAGCCCTTGACGAGAAGCCCATCGCAGTTCTGCAGAGCACAGCGCAGAAGGCACTTGAAGCAATCAATGGCAAGACTGTTGAGGATGAGAAGCGTGGGAACTTCACGTGTCATGTTGGCGTGCACGAGACTCCTGCAGCGCCTCGAAAGAAGGCACTCTGGGATCTCTTTTCGGCTCCCGAAAGAATCGAACGCGACCTGGAACTGGCCGAGAGATTAGTCAGAAAGCTCGACAGTGAACTGAAGGCGAACCACGAAGAAGAATTCGGCGACATCGACGGTGTTGCCAAGATCGAACAACGCGTCGAGGATCTTCGTTCGAAGGGCTGGCTGCAACCTCCGGCCAACGCCCCTGCGCCACCTAAGAAAGAGCGCGACCCCGAAGAGCTCGAGGAGGGCGAAGACGAGGCCATGGAGGACGAGGACGGCGCCTATGATGAAGAAGTCGACGATGAAGATTTGCTCGTCAGGAAGAAGAAACTTGATCTCCTGATCGAGTATCTTCGACGCGTGTACAGCTTCTGCTTCTTCTGCGTGTTTGAAAGCGACTCAATTCATGAGTTGGTCCGCAAATGCGCAGGAGGTCATCTGCGACGCCCTCGTGCCAGCCTCACAACAGCAGCGAAGGCTACTGCAAGGGCGACCGCTACAGGTGAGGCTTTCCCGTACAAGAAGCAAGAGTCCGGCGACACCGAGAACGGTGATGGCAGCCCCGCCACTGAGCGCAAGCCAATGAAGTTGAGCGGCAAGAACCAGCAGCAGCTACAGCGAGCGTTCAACTGGGTGAAGACCTACGAGGAGAAGTTGCTGCAGCTGCTGGAGCCTGAGAATGTGGATGTCCGTAAGCTTGGTGGCAAGCCGCTCGATGAGGCCATGGAAGACGAATTGGCGAGATACTGCAAGCAAGAAGACGAGTCTAAATGGCGCTGCAAGGTCCCAGAGTGCACAAAACTGTTCAAGGGTCAGGTGTTCTGGCGCAAGCACGTCGAGAAACGTCATGCGGAATGGCTTGAAAAGGTGCAGAAGGATGTAAGTGCAAATCTAGACACTGTCTCTGTGCATCCAGCTAATAGGAAAATAGCTCGAATTGGTCAACAGCTATGTCATCGATCCTGCGCACATTGCCCCGTCACGCAGCGACGCCAACAGCAATGGCCATTTCCCCATGGGCAACCACGTTCAGGCAACGGGAACGCCGCGTGGATTCAACCTCGCCAATATGAATATGGCCATGTCGAGCAACGGCATGCCAAATGCGATGAGCGTCGGGAACATGTTTAACCCAGCCATGGGCGGCAGCTGGGACCCCTCACTCGGAAGCCACGATGCTGGAGCGATGCGCCGCGGCGGCCAGCGATTCAACACCCGTACTGGTCCCTACGACAGGCAGAACCGCGACCGTCGCAATGGTCCTGCTGGCGGCAACGGGCGTCTTACGCCTCCTCCACGTGGCGGACGGCCTGGTCCGCAACGGTACGGTGACGGTGGCCCCGGACCTCTGCAGTCGACACAAGGTCGCCAGATCAAGAGTTATGAAGATCTTGATGCTGTTGGCGGAGGTGGCAGTGGTGAGTTGAACTACTAGCTGCATCAGTCCTTCAGCTGCGAGAGGCTAGGAGCTGGCGGATGACTCGATCATAAGATTGGCGTTGGGGTCGAGGGTTCCAATTTGTAGGCCAGTCTGTCATTCGATCTACTTAGGACAGGCAAGGCATGGATGGGATGAGGCAAGGCGTTCTTGGTCTAGCATGTGTAGCTCCACTTCAGTGCATGCGTGTAACTTGTACTCATCAAATCTGCGTGATACATAATTAAGGCATCACGATAAAGTACCTGCTTGTTGCTTGCATCGATACTGCTGCGGCGCAGAGATATGCTCTGACAAGCGTTCCCCTTCTTACTGAGTGGCAGTCCGGAACAAGTTGCCTGTGGCCCACTTGGCACGTGGTCTGGACCGTGAGTGAAAGATGAATGTGAGGTCAAATGTGAGACAAGCATCTATATCAGGTGCACTGCAACTGCAACTGCATCCGTCTGAACACCTGCGCTTCTGACGTTCTCAGAGCGTTCCAGGTGATAAACATGGCCAAGCTTTATGTAGTGGGAACAAAGTTGATGAATGTTTCGTAGGGCAGATAGAAGTCTGACTGTACCCTCGCCGGACGGACTGCGCGCGTATTCGTAAGAGCTCCTTCGGTCTGCAGCCAAGGGCACCTCAGATGCCGTGCGTTCCTTCGTTGCCCGTGCAGGTCGCCCGAGGACTCGAAAGCGGATCTCCAGCAAGCGCTCTCATTGCTCGGCCCTACCGGCTATGACGAAGTCCCGCCATCAGCCACACTTCTTCACGCGCCCGCAGTGCCTTGGTGCCGACAAGCATCGACGCAATCTTCTTTGAGCGAATTGCGAGTAGACTTTACCTAGGACGAGGCCGCCCTACGCATCGTGCACGCAAACCCTAGCACATTTGGCTGGTGGAGCTGCGCGTGATAAGCCCCAGAGCAGCCCGCCGGGCGTCATACAACACCCGGCGACATTACTTTATTGCTTCCCCATCCTCGCGAGGCCGAGCGTTCTATATTACTGTTCCTGTACCCCTGCGGCCTTCACGCCTGCGCCTTCCTGCTGCCCCTCATTTCTTCGCAATTTCTTTCTAGCATGGCTCAAGGCACCCCGCCTGGCCTGGCGCTCAACGGAACCACAGTGTCCACCATGGACAACCAGCCCTCGGTCTCCGAATTCGGCGAGCTCCATGACGCAGGCGCAGAGCGGCCGATGGCGAAGCGGGTGGACACAAACTACACAATGGCGTCCATGATGTCGTTGCCGCCAGAGGGTTCCATCTTGACCGGCAAGCAGGAGCACTGTAAGCAGCCAGACCATACCCAGAACTCTGGTAGATACTCACACATATACAGACCTCAAGCGTGAGCTCATTTCCCAGCAAACACAGTTCGAAATCTCCGAGCTCTCATCGTCGACCGCTCTCAAGCGCTTTGGCGCGCCCTTCCGTTCAGACGCCGGCGAAGTCGCCCCAGAAGACTCGGAGCTGCCTCTACTGCGCTTCATTTTCGTCAACCATGTGCGAAACTTCCCGTTCCTCGACAAAGCCAAGGAGAAGGAGTTCTGGCAGGACAAACTGCAAGTGGTGAGTAGTGACATCATTCTGAGGACTGCGAGGACGTGCTGACAGACGGTGCCGTAGTTCCTCGAATCGTTCGCGAGCAAAGACATCTCGTCTTCAGAGGACCGCCTCGAGGAAACAAAGCGAAAGAAGCTAGCGCTTAAGGCAGAGAAGCTGGTTGAGCTTATGATGGTCTCTGGTATTCCCACTGCGTCTGGCTACGAGGAGAGGATACGCTTCTCTGAAATGGAAATCGTCGAGCGCGGCGCAAATGAGGAGGGTTTACACATGAACGCACCCAGCGGTCATTTCATTAATGGCTGGGATGTCAACGTTGCCGGCGTGCGAACCACATCAGTAAAGAAGCATCTCCGGTATCACACACATGCGGTAGGTCAGACTCATGGGGACTAACGAACTCAGACTTACAATTCGCAGGAATATCTCATCAGAGTCAAACAGAGCGATGACCGCGAAATCTACGTCGGACGACGGTACCAGGACTTCGTCAATCTTCACAAGCGCATACGCCTTGAGCTTCCTGGAAAGGTGCTCCCTCCACTCCCACGCAAGAACAAAAAGGACTCCATCATGAGCTCATCTAAAGACGACGACGATGCTAGTTCCATATCCTCGGTATCCACACAAGGACCGGCACCTGATACTTATCAGAAGAGCGACGGTGGTGGTGGAGGCCTGCGAAGCTACCTCTGGGGTGGCGGTCACAAGAAGAACGCCTCACAGACATCGCTTGGACCACCAGGGGCACGGTCGCCTCGTGCTTCAGGAGAGGGCTATGGTTATACGCCACCGCGGACTCTTTACCGTGAAGAGCAGCGTGTGTCGTTGCGAGCCTTCCTCCGATCGTTCCTCAACAATGAGCGCATTGCACAATCGAATGCTATGGCTGACTTCCTCACCCGCGACCCTATCGAGGTCAACGAGGAAGAGATGGAAGACATCGAGAAGCGTATGATCATGGACGAAAAACGGATACAAGAGCAGAAGCAGTTCTATGAGGTCGCACGGAAGCGGGCTGCGGAGCTCGACATCCACATGGAAAAGTTTAGACGTGAGATCGTGGAGAGGAATGGCCTATCGCATCTCTTCCAAGAAATCAGAGTGAAGAACTCGATTTCCGACCTGAAGCCAGAGTACCAGAAATTTGCGGAATGGTTGCGAATAGAAGTCGCGGCCACCATCTACCATCTGTTCCTGGCTGAAGACAATTCGCCGGAGCTATTCGCGCAGGCGAAGCGGATACACTCGCTGGTGCCATACGGTATGCTGAAGAACGTCATCAGAATTGCGAATCCGGCAGCGGTAATGAGCGGAGTTCTTGATTTGTTCCTTGCGCAACCTTTTGGCGCACGGTCTTTACTTCAGCGCATCTTTGGTATGGCCATCAACGATGGCGTTAATTCTGTGCAGAAGACGATCGATACCCTCGCCTCCACCAAGATCAAGGACGATGTTCTCTGCGCCAAGATCAAAGCATACGTCGAGTCAGATGAAGAGGTGAAGGGAATTCTTCGGCAAGAGGCGGACAGCGAGCAAGTCGATGTCGTCGTGACGATCCTCCGATCTGACTTCTTCAAACCCGAGTTGAGCTCCGAGCAAGTGGAGAAGGTCTTCAACGCCTACGTTGCATGGAACAATGCCGTCGAAAATGTGAGGCCGACCAATCGATACAGCAGAAACAACAGTACGCGCAGCGTTAACAGCATCCGTACTAATACGTCTGGTCAGATCGACAAGGACTTGCGACAGGGCGCCGAGCTCTTTGCGCATCTCAAACAGTATCTCAAGCTGTGTCTGAGGCAACGCGACAAGCTCATGATGCTGCAGATCATTGAGGAGGTAAGTCGAAGAATTCATCTACTGACAGAGTTGCCGCTAATTACCTTAGCCCACCACACTGCAGCTCTTCCGCGACCTGTTCACCATCTTCTACGAACCACTTGTCCGTGTCTACAAGTCAGCAAATGTCTATAACAGTATCACAGATTTCGCTGTGTTCGTCGACGACACAATCAAGACCATTGAAGCTTGCCAACGACAAGAGGTTTCCGCAGACCCCAACCAAACAGTACAAGCGTTCATCGACCTCTGCGCACGTCACGAAGACAACTTCTACAAGTTTGTACACGAGGTCCACATCCACGACAACGGGCTCTTCGATCAGCTGATGGGTTGGCTGGAAGGCATCCTCGAGTTTCTACGTCACGGCCCCAACAGTGGCGGCAAGCTCGACATGAACGCGCTTTTCCAGGGCAGCATGGATTCAGGCATTATCGACAAGCGGAAAGCTATCCGAGAGATCAATAGTCTGATCAAGTGGCAGACCGCCCGCAAGAAGTGGCATCAGGATAAGACAAGGCAGAAGATGGCAAGTGCAGGCGATGAACCAGATCCCGTGCTTGGCGGTATGGCAGGGTTCAAGAGCAGCGACTTTGGGCTCAATGAGGTAAGCCTTCATCTTTTCTTAAATCATTCTTTCATACACAAGATTTTCCGTACTGACACAACACAGCTCGACCTACAAGATCTCGAACTCGACGACGAAGCCACAGACTCAGAAGACGAGGAAGAGGGTGACGATGACGACGACCCCATCGAAGCCGAGCGCAAGAGCCGTGCGAGAGCCGCGGAGAAGCTCAAGAGGAGAGCGGGCGAGCCGAAGAAACCTACGATTGAGGAGGTCAAGAAACTGCATCCGAGCTTCTTGACCATGTTGAGAAGTGTGCTGGCGAATTAAGTTGGGAGTTGAGCATCGTTGACGAGGAGAGCACGTATCCCTAGATGTTAACCTAATGATAGATGTACACGAACAGGTGAATGACTTGGGTGACGTCAGTGCTTTTGCCGTTTGTTGTTTAGGGCGCATTTGTCGTCGTTGCCTCAACTTAACACAATTTATCACCCGCCGCGCGACCGTAGTGCAAAATACACCCCCAGTCAACCAAAACAACATGGCACACGCCGCCGAGGCTACCCAGGCTACCAATGTTATGTAAGTATCGCTGTCATCACTAAGTACATCACTAAGTAACTGCATTACCGTCCGCAACCAACAGCAGTCACCTCTGCTTCGCCTTCCCCGTGAATTGCGCGGCAGGATTTACGAATTCGCACCTGGTGGCCGTAACATCGTCATCTTGGGTGACTCCGACCAGTGCCGATTCATCTGTAATGGCCAAGAGTGTATTACGCTTAATGGTCTATCGACATTGGACAAGGTCTCTCAACAGCTGCGTTCCGAGACTGCTTTGCTGCCTCTAGCGTTGAACGTGCTCGGTGCTTCCCTCTCTACCATGGTGGAATTTCTCGAAGGGCTCGACAGCGAACAGATTGCCAAGGTTCGAGCTGTCCGCATTGTCATCTCGAGCCATTGCGGCTACGAACCATTCCTCATGGAATACGGTACAACTCGCTTCGAAGAGCCTGAAGCGCATGTCCACAGTCTGGAGAAGGCGGGACGATTACTGCGAGGAATGACAGCTCTCAAGTATGTCGAGGTCATCTGGGAAAAGTATTTCCTCCATGGCGTTCTGCATAAGTTCCTCCACGACACCGTGCGAACAGAGTTCCAGCTCAAGAAGGATGTCGAGCTGTTCATGCCGATTCTTGGTCAGCTCTGGAAAGCGTAGGTCTCTCCAGGAGGCAAGTACATACGAGCAGGGGATATGGAACTACACCCGTGTTGGGGAGGAGGGGGAGGAGGAGGCCGAGTGTTCCAAACCAGATGGGAGACAAGAGGCACCCGGACAAGTGATAACAGTCTCCCTATATATCTTCCAGTTCCATGGCTTCAACAATCTCACATCATATCACAGCAATCAGATGTATATGCTCAAGTGGAAGACATGACGTGGTCGCAGTGTTGTTTAGTCTCTAGAGTGCGTGGGACGCGTGACTTCCTTTTTGACCCCGAACACGCTCTCACCTCCTCGGAACTATGACATGACCAACAGGCACTTTCGTTCCAAGCAGACATGACCATGGAGATCACAGAAGCTAAGGCAGACGCTATGTACGCATGAGTCAGGGTGCCAATGTTGGGTGTGAAGCTGTAGGACAGGTTCTATCAGATGAGTCACCATCGATGACTTTGACAGTACATTCCACGTGCCCTCAGGGAAGCTAGTGTTGACCTGCAGCTAGTGTCGACCCGTAGTGCATTCAAGGCGCTCAAGCTCGTGGGAGGCGTGCAGGAATTGAAACGCGTTCAGTGGAGGGAAACCGATAGTCACAATAGGAACGAGATGAACTTGAGATATGTGCAGATTGTGCAGAATGGGCTTGGAAGAGACAGAGAGCTGCGAATAGATGTACCAATGATAGGGGATGCGCGATGGTATGGGCGGAGCGAGACCCGATGGTCAGGCCTTCGTGGAAGATGACAGCAGCTTTTCGTCAGGTAGGCACCTCGATGGAACAGGCGATGGAAACGATACGGTGGTCAAAGGGTATATTCAATCCAGCTCACGCTTTTGATAGACCTCACCATGCGTGCGCGAAGTGTCGCTGCGCAGTCAACGCCACTTTTTGTATCATACAATGCGTCCTCAAACGTCAAGCACACCACTCTCCTTCAAGTTTCTGAACAGTTCAGGCTCTAGGAACTTGCTAATGGTGACGTCCTCAGCCAGACCCTTCCTCCGTCTTGTCTTGAGCACGAAGTCGCGTGCGAGTGCTTGTGCGGTCGCGGGCTCGAGGGGTCGCAGCGTGATCTCCTTATCGAGCGGATCGCCGGGCACGATAGACCAGCGGTCGAAGACGAGAGACAAGGAGACTTGACCTTGTGTGTGAATCTGCGGACCATTAGCAAATGTCATCGAACTTGTATTACGTGATCAACTTACCCTCAGATCGGTCTCGAAACCGAAAGAATCGATGACCGGAATGAGTCCCCTAACATTGTACAGTGGTGTACCGGCAATCGGTCCATCCTGCAGGACGTGGCCTCTCCTTCTCGCAAGCACTGTGTAGAGACTGCTCTTGGTGTCCGCAGGACCGGTCATGCTGCAAGAGTACACCGGCTCCATCAAGCGCGGGCTCGCCATCAGGAAACTCGAGTAACAGGCTCGTCGACTCGTTGGGATAATCTGGCCACCGCCGCGGAAGATGGCTTCTGATGCCAGTTCGACGTCTGTGATGCGGAACTTGGTGTTGCGGATGGGCTCTTCGCAGAGCGGACCTTCGCGCGTCGCCCAGCTGAAGCCTTGTCGTATTGTGTCGCGCACTGTGCGCAGCGTCTTTGTGTCGATTTCTGAAGGAAGTGTGTCATTTTGCAGGATGTTGGCACCCATGTCGTCAGGCCCGAAAGCCCAGATATTCCTGGATGCAAGCAAGTCGTAGCCATAGTTGTCTTCGAAGAACTTGCCTACGACTCGAACAGGCTGCTTGATATCGACCTTGCCGGACTCGATGTCCTCGGCAATACCTGGATCCAACGGCTCGGCGATCATGGTAAGCTTGTTCTTCTTGTTTGGTGTCATGGCGTAACATTTGATGGCAGACATCTCCACAACCGTCTCACAAAACCTGGTGACTGGGTCGGAGACCTTGATCTCCATGTCTGCGTACAGTCGTCGCAGATCGTGGAGAACGCAGTCCATGTATAATTCGCCGGTACCAAGAACAACGTGCTCGCCAGACTCTTCGACCTTCGTGGTGATGAGTGGGTACGATTTGTTGATCTTGCGGAGACCGTCCAACATCTTTGGCAGCTCCGAAGGGTTAATGGGTTCCACTGCAACCTTGAAAACGGACTCGAAGAAGTGGCGGATTGGTCGAAAAATGTATGCGTCTTCGTCATCAGGGAGTTTCGAGGCAACGATTGTCGCTGTTTTGACGATTGAGTTGTCAACACCACCAAGCAGCACCCAGTTTCCTGCCGGAACACCGCTGACAGGTACATTGTATCTCGACTCGGCGATCCAAGTGTCTGTGATAGTGGCAACAACCATGTCTTCCTCATCTTCGATCGTGTAGCCTTCGCCAAGGACTCGCACCGATTGCGGAGATTTCGCAATTCCGCTCATTACGCGTCCCAAGGCCGTGAAAGATTTCGCATCCGTCGCGTTGAACAGCTTCGTGACATGCACGATAAGTGGGCCGTCCTGGTCGCACTTGTCCATGGCCTCTGCAGTCTTCGAGTCTAGCGGGCCAGTGTAGTGCCTCTGAAGCAGCCTCTTCGCACCCTCCGTTGGCGATGGAACATGCTGGGTGACCATGTCGACGAAACCTGAAGATGGTCCGAAGTACTGCTGGCAGACAAGTCGCATAAGCTCTTTTGCGTCCGTCTTGTATTCTGAAGGCTTCAGGTTGATACCAAGTGCGCCTAACGTATCTTTGAGATCGGCCGAGCTTTCGCTGAGGGTGTGAGAGTAAAGCTTGTAGACTGGCTCCAGAATCCAGTGTACGAATGACCGTTGTGCGCCCTCTTCCTGTGCCTTACGGCTGAACTTGCGGCTGCCTGGATTGTAGAAAATGTCACCCCAGAGTCGCATGGCGAACTTGTCAACATCCAGCCCCTTCATAGGCACTCCGAATCCCGGTAGTCTCGACGGTCCGGGGTAGAAGTCCGAGTACATCTTTGCGAACGACTGAATCGTAAAGCACCAGCGCATGCTTGTGCAGGCAAATGCAACGTTGCCCTTCTCAGGGCTGACTCGCCTGCTTTCGCCTCGTCCAGGAATCGTGTTCTCGATGGCCGTGTTGACCTCCTCGATAACGTGCTTAATCTTGAAGTAGGCATCCTTCGGCGGAAGCTTCAGTTCCAGGATCAGACGGTCCATCTTGTTAATCACCAAGGTCAAAGGAAGATCTTCCAGAATTGCATGCTTGATGACCTGCTCTGTGTTGACCTGCACACCTTCCACAACGTCTACAACCAAGACCACACCATCCACCAGGCGTAAAGACGAAGCAACCTCGTCTGCGAAGTTGACGTGTCCAGGTGTGTCAAGAATGTTAAAAAGGTGCGACTTCGATTTCGTGTTCTGCAGGACCAGGCTCATCGGCGCGGCCTTGATCGAAAGGCCTCGTTCGCGCTCGAGAATGTGTACGTCTGTGTATCGCAGCTGCTCCTCCCTCTTCTTTCCTTTCTTGTAATCCAACCGGTCCTGGATGTCGTGTGTCTCCATCACCAACATATCCATAAACGCGGTCTTTCCATGATGCAAATGTCCAGCAATTGCGATGTTTCGTATCTGGTCTGGGAAGTTCATCAAGTCCGTCAACAGCTCTCTCGAGTAGTGCACAGGCGGCAGATCTGTCTCCTGTACTGTGAACTTTTTCTGCACGACTGGCGCAATGATCGGCTGCGCCAGCGACTGCGTATCCTCCTCCTGTACCAGAACTTCGACATCGTCGCCGTATACGTCTGCCGCGGAGGGGTAGTATTGCTTGTCTTCGTGCAGGACTACGGCGTTTGACGGCCCTTCGTCGACTTCCATAAGCTGCTGGTCGTTCACTTCGGCATCCTCGGGCTCGTGGTCATCGAGGACGTAGGCGTCCGCAGCCTCGCCGTTCGTCTGGACATCTTCATCGGACTCGGCCTCTCCGATAAAGTTACCAAACCTGTGTCGTGTCAGTCGCGTGACTAGTTACAGTCTTACTGTCAAGCTCACTCGTCGTAAAGGTCATCCATGGCGGCGATACGCGTAAAGTTGCAGGGCACCGATGCGCGTTACGGTTCTGAAGCTATCCAGAATCTTTTGGTCACGTGCTACAAGTCTCGCCTAGCGTCATGCACAGAAGTGGGGTCGCCATCCCTGTCTAGCGCGGGCCGCAGGGTCGAGTTGACCGATGGCGGCGCGTTGCAAAGAGAAGAATCCCATCACAGTTTAAAAGGGTCACGTCTTGCCTTACTTGAAGAGAAAGCTCCTCTTCCTCACGTACAATTGTTTAGTCGCGTCAAAAAATGTCTTCTCTTCCCCCTGTTTACATTGTCTCGGCTGCCCGTACACCCACGGGTATGTTCCTTGGGTATGTTTTCCTGTCGAAACGAGGGGCAATGGCTAGCAACTCACCACCAATATAGCTCGCTCTCGAGTCTGAGCGCTATCCAGCTTGGCTCTCATGCTATCAAGGGTATGTTGGAGTTCTACCATCCATCCTTGGGTCAATTGCCTGACGCATAAACAGCTGCCGTTGAGCGCGCTGGCTTGAAGCCTGAGGATATCGAGGAGGTCTTTGTCGGCAATGTCATGTCCGCAAAGTAAGACTCTCTCCAACGAGTTCACACGCCCATACTGACAGTCCAGCCTCGGCCAGAACCCTGCCCGCCAGTGCGCCATTGGTGCTGGTCTCCCCGAGTCGACCGTGTCCACCACCATCAACAAGGTGTGCGCCTCCTCGATCAAGTCCCTGATTGTTGGCGCCCAGACCATTATCACTGGCAATGCTGACATTGTTGTCGCTGCCGGTACTGAGAGCATGTCGAATGTCCCTCACTACCTCCCCAACATGAGGACCGGTGCCAAGTTCGGCGACCAGTCGCTGGTCGACGGTGTCCTTAAGGATGGTCTTACCGATGCCTACAAGAAGGAGCACATGGGACTGCAGGGAGAGGAGTGCGCTGACGACTACGGCTTCACCCGCGAGGACCAGGACGAGTACTGCATCCGCTCGTACAAGAAGGCCATAGCAGCAACTGAGGCTGGCTGGTTCACCTCTGAGATTGTCCCCATCGAGGTTCCTCAGGGACGTGGCAAGCCTCCGGTCACCGTCTCCGTTGACGACGAGCCCAAGAACGTGAGTACCCACTCCAACTCGTCTGGTCATTAATCTGGTGCAGTTTGAGTAATCAGCCACTGACAAGGCACAGTTCAACGAGTCCAAGACCCGCGCACTCCGCTCTTCCTTCAAGAAGGACGGTACTGTCACCGCCGCCAACGCCTCCCCGCTCTCGGATGGCGCTGCTGCCCTTGTTCTCGCTTCCGAGGAGGCTGTCGAGAAGCACGGCCTCAAGCCCATTGGCAAGATCCTTGGCTGGGGTGATGCTGAGCAGAACCCTTCCAAGTTCACCACCGCTCCTTCTCTTGCCATGCCCAAGGCCCTGAAGCACGCCAAGATCGACATTTCCGCCGTCGACGCTTTCGAGATCAACGAGGCTTTCAGCGTTGTTGCGCTGTCCAACATGAAGATCCTCGGCATCCAGGAAGACAAGGTCAACCTTCACGGAGGTGCTGTGGCTCTCGGTCACGCCCTTGGCGCTTCTGGTGCCAGGATCACAACTACTCTTCTTAGTGTGCTCAAGGAGAAGAAGGGCAAGGTCGGCTGCGCTGGTATCTGCAACGGTGGAGGCGGTGCCTCTGCCATTGTTATCGAGTCGCTGCAGTAGAGAAACGAATACCCAAATGATTGACGCATATGACGGATAGATAAATGAAACATAATTACAGTACCCTCAAGAGACTCTCCTCGACCGACATCGCCGAGTCAAAGGCAACACCTTGTGATGACGAATCTGAGATTGATATGGCTCTTATTGCCGGTTTCACAAAGGAACAGCCTCAAAGCGAACAGTCTCACCCCGCATGGGCAAGGGTTCGCGATAAGGCATCGATCTTTGATCATCCCTTGCGGAGTTGGTGGCCCCTGTCACCAGATACTTTGCTAAGCGTCAGGTGCAGAAACATGGAGAGCCTCACGACCATTACGATGCGGGCCACAACTGCATGCACGAGCGCCAACGTATGCACACGTCGAGATGCAGCAGAGCCTCCCATGCGCGCCTTTGTCTTTCACCGATAAAATTGAATGGACAATATCGATAGTAAATGTACGTTGGGCACGAATACCTGGCATGGAGGTCAAGTTTCAGGCCAGCGGACCATCTCGCTTGTCTTACCGGCGGCTCCTCGCAGCCAATCAAGCTCTCCCGCGCAGCGACTTCAACCAGCTCCCGTTTCAACCTGTCAAGTCCGCGGCAGCGAACCGCAAGCACCACACCAAACAATAGCCTTAGGCAGGTCGACCGAAAATGAACCACGGACCATGGCCACGCATAGTGCCCAGGATGTAGTTTTCACGCGCTGGTACCTGTTTCACGCCCCACCACTCGACGTACGGCGACCAACCCGAGCACATTTCCATGAAACAATGCGGTCTTGGTCAAACGCTGCCGATGGCGTTGTCCGGCCTTGTTCAACGCCGTCCAGCCTTACATGTGATCTTCAGTGGTTGTTCCCGCATCCCTTGCGCAGACTAACGGTGTGCGCCTTGTTTGGGGGACGGCTTCTGGATCCTGCTCAGACGTTGAAACGCGACTATGCTGGAAAGACAGCCTGGGTCCGGATGGACAACCACTCGTCTAATCAAGCGAGACCTGCCTAAGGGCAGTCCGTGGTCTAATTTGAGTGTTGCGTATATAGGCGTGTGCACCCCAGATTGGCTACTGGGTATCTCGCTGCTGGTGGTGTTTCGTATCTTGATTCTTCTGTCTCTTCCATCGCGTCTTGCACGCAGCCATTCTCTTCGGTCTTGTCTTCTTCTCGCGTCTTGAAGATGCGTTCTTTTACACTGCTGCTGGCTGCGGCCTCTCTCTTCGACCTTAGCATAGCTGGCTATGCTTTGGAAGACGATTACATGACTGATTTCTACGGCGCATTCGACTTCTTTGACACAGCGGACCCAACGAACGGTATGCTTCTTACTTGATAATCGCCGGTTTGTTGGCTGACCAGTTTCAGGGTTCGTCAAGTATGTCGACGAAGCCACAGCGAGGCAAACAAACCTCATCAATGCGTCTGTCACCACGGGTGCCGAGTGGGGTGTCGACTCTACCAACGAAACTCCAAATGGCAGACCCAGCCTTAGACTTGTAAGCAAAAAGAAGTATAGCACCGGGCTGGTAGTCATGGATGTGGCACATATGCCTACCGGCTGCGGAACATGGCCTGCGTTCTGGATGGTGGGACCTGACTGGCCGACTGGTGGAGAAATCGACATTCTCGAGGGTGTCAACGAGCAGACGAACAACGGCATGACCCTTCACACAGCCCCTGGCTGCAAGATCGGCCCTGACACCAGCATATTCGCCGGTGAGGTTACTACACCCAACTGCGACGTCAACGCCAAGAACCAAAGCAAGAACGTCGGATGCTCTATCGAACACCCCTCAACAGACAGTTACGGCGTCGGGCTCAACGCGATTGGTGGTGGCGTGTATGCGACACAGTGGACCGGTGAAGCTATCAGCGTCTACTACTTCCCGCGGGGGTCGGTACCAGATGACGTTCTTGGGGACACTCCCAACCCTGATGGCTGGGGTCTTCCTGCTGCCAAGTTCACCGGCGGCTGCGACATTAAAAGCATGTTCAAGGAACAGCAAATCGTCTTTAACACTGCCTTCTGTGGTGACTGGGCTGGTGCAGTCTGGGAGTCGGGCTCTTGCGCAAAGAAAGCTCCTACTTGCGATGAGTATGTGCAGAACAACCCGAGTGCTTTCAAGGATGCCTACTGGACCATCAAAGCTTTGAAGGTGTACCAGGACGACGCAAATAATGCCCCTGCGCCATCGGCATCTGGAGTACCGTCTCAGAGCACTGTAATTTCAGAGCCTGTATCGGTTCCCACTAACAACGCTACCGTGCCTGCGATCTCTTCAGGCTACGCGACCATCCCCACCAAGATCCCCAGCAACGCCCCAATACTCTCGTTCACATCAGGCTCATACGTCGAACCAAACCTATCTGCCTCCAAGGAGCTACCAGCCGAGACCAGCGTGCCTATCGCCAAGCCAACATCGTCCATCGTCGTGCCCACCTCCGAAGCCCTCGAGTCCTCCAAATCACAGGCCAACACCGGATACCTCGTTACATCAACTTCAGCAGCCTCAACAACATCCAAGGTCGCTACACCCACCAAGCCCGCCGACCGCGTGGGAGATGACAGCATGCCGGGCTTCCAATGGCCCCAACCCAGTTCCGCACCATCTTCAAACGCGACTCAACCCGCAGAGTCCACCGCAGCGCCTTCGGGCAGTATGATTCTACCTGTCGAGAACATTCTTAGTTCCACTGCACCTGCCGCAGAGCCGTGGTCGACACCGTCGCTGCCAGCTAGTTCTACAGATGCCTCAGCCCCGGCAACGCCCGTCGTGACCAATACTAGAGTGGAGCAGAAGACAGTGTATCAGACTGTCTACGAGACGGTCACGGCTGGGGAGGAGGCTACGCCTGCGCCGGGACTCAGTGGGGCGAGGGCAAAGAGGTTCTTGAGGGAGCACAGGAGGAGGGGTGTTGGGCACCATGCCAGGATGTAAGGCGGTGACTATGGATTTTCATGATGTATTCGGAACGATTTAACCCGGTTTCTTTGTATATACCCTTTTGACTTGATGGTTCTCTTACTATTCCAAGGACCTCCAGGCTGTTTCATGCCATGTGAGCTTGTTTGCACTTTAAACTCGATAATCATTCTTTTTCAATGAGTAAGCTAGGCTGTTCTGCTACATACAAGCACAAAGCACCTCCTCGACGTTGTCGTTGCCACATTCTCCTCCGCCTCAAGACCCAAACGAACTGGGGTGGAAGTGCATGTTTTCGCCGGCCTCCGGTCTGGGTCGAACACGATACCTCGTGTCCCGTCAAGACACGTTGTTTGTCACCCCCTTTGCATCTGACACTTTTCAAAAAAAAGAACACAGTGTCCGAGGCACGTCACTTATCAAATATGCTCGATTTGCCGACATGGTGTTATCTCTACATCGAAAGTTCAACAGTAAGCAAACATGTGTCTATATCCGAAGTCAAAGTGTCTGGGGAGTTGAGTACACGAGATTGAGAGGCCAAGATCGTGTGCGGACGTGTCTGGTCTGCCACTGCCGCATCTAAGTATGTCCACTCCGACCGGCAGTTCCAAATTTTGCTTTCGACAATGCTTCTTTGCATTTCTTTGTCTTGTCAATTTTCCAATTACAGCTATGTACGTGCGAAAAGAAGCAGTGGACATATATGTGTGGAAGAGAAACAAAAGACGTATGTTGTTTTCTGCCAGCATGTTCCCAAACGGCATGAAAATGCTCGAGATCCTCTGCTTGGTCACGTTAGATCCGGAACATTATAGCTTCGCAAAGCATGTTCTGCCTTCTGCGCTAAAATTATCAAGTTGTGAAATGAAATTGCCTGAACGATACGCTCATGCTGCCTGCACAAATCTGCCTCTGATATGGACATGTGTTAGTCTTTTTGCTCAAGGCCCTGTTCTATTCAAAGCACATGCTCAACAAAAAAGAAGCACTACGACTTGCATGTGAACACTAGAAATCAGCCTCGCCATAGCACATGGTCTGGCGTGTTCCTTCTGCCATAAGCTGCTCGATTAACATTTTGTCTACTCAATCATTGTTGTCCTTAATCGGAGGTACGATCTTGTCGTCCTCTTCCACATTCATCTCTTCGCCGTTCCGGAAGAGATCCTGAAAAACGTGTATGTGAGAAAAGGTATGTGCAGGCCTATGATGTAGAGAGCTGCCAACAAAGAAGATGGCATAGCCCATGACCTCCAACAGACACATCAACACCTTCGATATCTTGGAGTATCCCGGCCTTCTGAAGCAGGCATGACTTCCGAGTCGCAAGATCGCGCTTGGGATCGCTGCGGTTCAAAGTGCGAATTCTTTACCCAAGATTGCACCATAAGTTGTCCATGTTCTGACACGCGAGCCTGCTACGAAAGTTCCGACTCCCTATGCCGCTTTTGTCAAAGATGGGGGTGGGTCCTTCCAGGATAGCAACAGCAGAACACCACTTTTCGGCGCTCGCGTACTATCGCCGAGATGTTGCCGTTTGGATGAGCATACACGAATATCAGAAGCCTGATAGTCAATGCAGTACCCACGTTGAAAAGCATCTCAGAAGCAAGCCCGAAACAAACCCAAGCTGCAACGCCCCTCAAACCTGGAACAAAAGTATTATGACCACTTCCGGCCACCTAATAGAAACACTGACCCGCTCAGTGCCCAATGACAAAGCCCAAATAACCGACCTCCTCCACCGCTACGGCGCGGTCCTCTCCACACACTCCATCCCGGAACTCCTCTCCATCTACACAACCGACGGCGTAATAATGGCGCCGGGCTACACCCCTGCTGCAGGCCAAGACGCCCTCAAAGCGGCCTACGAGCGCATCTTCTCGACCATAAGGCTGGATATCGAGTTCAGCATCGATGAGATAGTGGTTACGGGAGAGGGGTGGGCATTCGCGAGGACGACAGCTGAGGGAACAAAGTTCTGGCTGAAGGGGAAGCTTGAGGGAACGCATGAGGAGCATAGGAATCAGGAGCTGTTTGTGCTGAGGAAGGAGAAGAGGGAAGGAGATGAGGCGTGGAGGGTTGCGAGGTATGCGTTTTCGAGTATGAAGCCTGTTTTGTAAAGCACTTTGAGGTGTGAAGGTACATGGGACCTCTACACTGTGACTACCGCCGTCATCCTATTGCTGTTTGTTGCGGTGCAATTCGGTCTCATAGGCCTTGATCGTCACCTCAGTTGACTACCTTGGACTAGCGCGTCTCAGGGCATGTATATATGGTCGTCTCCTAGCTAGCAAGCAACTCAGTGCAGTTTCCATCGACTATACAGTGGCTATGTCTGCCGCAACACTGTTTGTGATATGTCGATTGTTGATGTGTGAAATATGCCATTAATTCACACGGGTTATTGCCAATAGGTGTGCAAGTAGTCAAAAACAATTGACATCTTTTGAACGACTTGTATCGCTGATAGTTCATGTGTGGTGGTCGCATATAGTAAGCGGACGTTGACCGTGATCGACACTTCTTGGCTCCTAATTTCCGAATTGGGCAATTTGGAAGTTACCATGACGAGTGCTACGCTGTAGAAAGTAGTACAGATATGGGATGAAAGTGTCTGAGATTGGAAGTGAAGGGAGCAGGAGCTCGGGCGGGTCTAGAGGTCGGGGAACGGACGCTGCAGTATCGATAAGCTAGCGTGGCGCTAAAGCTGTCCTTTCTCGAAACATTTCTCAACTGCCCTTCTCGAACGAACCCCACCGAACATTATTACATGCCCCTCGCATGCCTGCTGACATGACGAAACGAAAGCGCGGGAGCAATGAAGGAGAGCTTATCGATGTCGGACTCGGCGCGACGCTGGCGCATCTGAGGGGAGAGACCCAGCCTAGTGCGATGTCGACTGCGGTCGAAGATGATGAGGCCTGGACCGTAGCCGGCGGCTCCAAGAGGCGGAGAAAGGAGCGCGCGGACTCTAACAACTCTCATGGTGGTCGCCGAGGCTCGGGTGCTGGTGCACGAGACGCCGGGCCTGAGGATACTCGAAATACAGCAGATCCATTCGCTCCTGATAAAGAGAACCGAGGTGATCCAACATCGCCTCAAGAGAACCCCTTCTCTATGAACAAGGACTGCACCAACGATTCGTCCAAAGACACAAGCGCAACAAAGGAGGAGCGCCGCAAAGAGCGAAAGCTTGAGCGGAATTATCCGGCCATCGAGCATTCACATCATGCTCGGCTACAATCGCACGTGAAGATCACAGATCTACAAGCTTTGGTGCTGTACCTACTTGCAGACGGAAATGCGCCTCAGTGGGTCTCTGTACGCAATCGCGCCAGCATTCGACAGGTCGTCATGCTGATGGTCCCTGGCCTGGAGCTGGGCATGTTCAATGGCAAAGTTCCCTTGGACTCAGCGACAGCTATGGACGTAGACAAGCCGGCTGTGGACCAACAGCCTGCTGATACTGCACTCAAGGCTGAGGAAATCACCTCCGCAGATATGGACAAGCCCAAATTTTTGCGCATCGCAGACGACGAGTACTACCCAGCAAGCCTGAAGCCGAGCAGACTGCCGGACGCATTGAAGCCACTAGCTGATATCTTTGAGCATGTTTGGCCGATCAAGGCGCAAGGCGAACATCGCGGTAATCAGTTCATTAGGGTGCATTCGCCGATTCACACCATGCTAACCTCGCAAATCCCGAGAACGAAGGAGGAGAAGCAGATGAAGAAGAACGGTGGCCACAAAGGACCAATGCCACAAAACTCGAAACATTGGGACAACAAACGCACACCAATCACCGAGTACGTCGCGACTCTAGCAGAGCAACAGGAGAACGAATACATCCTTCATCCAGCCTGGTTCTTGACACAGGAGTCAAAAGCAGCTGCACACAAAGAGAGACAGGCGGCTGGCCAGTCTACAGACGATGGCTGGGTCGACACCAATGTTGCATCTTTGGAAGATGGCGCTATGCCCGACAATGAGATTGAGCAAGGCAGTGTGACTGCCGGACGCCACATCATCTCCGTGGATTGCGAAATGTGCAAAGCTGAGAACGATCAGCTCGTACTGACACGTATCAGCCTTCTCAACTGGGACGGTAGTGTGGCGATGGACAAGCTAGTCAAGCCTGATGTGCCCATCAAGGATTACTTGACTCAGTGGTCAGGTATCACACCAGCTATGCTCGAGAACGTCACGACCACGTTGGCAGACATCCAGAATGAGCTACTGGAGCTTATTACCCCACACACGATCCTCATAGGGCACTCATTAAATTCAGATCTTAACGCGATGAAGCTCACGCACCCCTTCATCATCGACACGGGCATCCTGTTTCCCCATCCTCGTGGACCGCCATATAAGCAATCGCTCAAGTGGCTTGCTCAGAAGTACCTGCACCGAGAGGTTCAGAAGGGCTCCAGTGGCCACGATAGCGTCGAGGACTCGAAGACATGTCTTGACTTGGTGAAGCAGAAATGCGAGAGAGGACCCAAGTGGGGATCTGGCGACACCAACGCGGAGTCCATCTTCAAGAGACTGGGACGTACCCCACGGCCCAAGGCAAACGAGACCCGTGCGGGAGTTGTCATCGATTGGGGTGAGCCACAACGCGGACATGGTGGTCAGGCGCAGCTCTCGAAAGGATGCAAGACAGACGAACAGGTCATCGAAGCTATCGATACAGCTCTCAAAGGAGCAATGGAGGATCGTGACGGCGCCGCTGCCAAGGTCGACTTCATCTGGGCTCGTCTTCGCGAGTTGGAGCTCGCACGTGGTTGGTGGGATGACACAAAGACCGCGGATGTGGAACTGATTCGACAAAACGCTTTGCAGAGACTTGGACTCGTGAAAGATGGCGATGACGAAGTCGAGGTCAAGTGCTCTGAGCTCGGTGGCGCTGTTTCGAGAGCTGTCGACCACATCACTCGGATCTACGACTCATTACCACGCTGCACAGCCCTCATTGTGTACAGTGGCACAGGCGACCCTAGAGAGATTCGCCGTCTGCAAGCAATGCAACAGCAGTATCGCCGCGAGTATGCCACCAAGAATTGGGACAATTTGAGCGTGAAGTGGACGGATACCGAGGTGCAGGCCCTCTCACAGGCCTGTCAGGACGCCCGCAACGGCGTTGGATTTATCGTGGTCAAGTGAGATGCAAGTATTTGTGTTCTCGCGTGTGCAACGCGTGTAGTAACACATGGGTTTCATGCTGAGCATTTGCGCTAAAGCAGGCGCTTGCCATACAGCCTGCATCGCATATGGGGCAATCTCATCCGCCCATAGTTGTAAAATCTTTGGGTGGTGTTTTACCTTGTAAAGTATATCGACTAGCTCCATGCGTCGCGGCTATGATGCCCATACATCGCAATATTGGTCGCGCCTAGCGCATATGCGAGAAGCGCAGGACGAATGCATCCTCCAGCCAATGCAGATCTTCTACCTATACCGCGCATTGCGCATTGTAATTGCACATGCAGTTGTTGTCCCTTGCATATAAGCAAATAGATTCGGTGGTTAGTAGTGCCGCGCGGCATGTGCAGCAAAAGTAAAGTCCCCAGTGTAACTCTGGGTATTGAACCGGCATGCCACCCACAAGCTCAATGAATGTTATCCTGGAGCTAGGTTGGGAAGTATTCGAAAGCGCATCTTTTGAGCATGCAGCAAGTTGATAGGAGTTCCAGATACGGCTCTCTCTCGAACCGATCGCATGTCGACAAGATAGCAGTCAGCTTAATGATGACTACGAATGACGAAATGGGCAGCGTATTTGTGAACAAATGACTACTGACCAGGATCTGGTACCGCATAAGCCGGTAAAGCCATGTTAGTGCGCACTTTTTCTTGATTGAATGCATCTGTCCAGTTAGCGCGTCTGGGTAAGAGACGCTAAGTCATTAACTTCTGCTAATCTTAATACCCTTTCCTCTCTGAGCTTTGAGCCGCTGATTTTTGGCGCAATCCCTTCTCGTTTCTTCGGATCCCAACAATCTTTAATCTCGTATACCTACCAATCACTAACTTACCCTCACATTTACCCTCTGTTCAGAACCCTGGAACGCTGCGCGCTTCTGCCTCGACCGAAGTCGTGTGCTGACAATTCTGACACGTAATACAGTCGACTACCTACATCCGGGGTCTCAGCATCGATTTCCACTTGCTTGCAGGAGCATTCCTGCGTAAGAAGGCAATCGGTCACTTTCACTCTGCGCCAGCTCTCGTCAATCCCTCGAACGTCGTTCCGTTTCCATGTGCTACACTACGAATCTTTCATCAACACCTCTAAAACTCGAGGGGCCCCAAGCGCAAAGTAGAGCACATGGCGGGCACGAGACGGCAGTCTCGGGCTCGTGATACGACCAGTGCTCATCAGCGCCAGCGCTTCACTTCTCGAGTAGGAGCAATTGTTCCAGAGACTGCGACTACTGCATCTTCAAAGGCGGTGGAGATCGCTGGGAGCGCGGATGAGGCATCGCCGCGTTCCGAGAGGTCTCCACAACCTGAAACGCCAATTAACCGGTCAACCACAGCGTTTTGCAAGAGTTGCGACGGCAAGATCGGCGAGTTCTACAACTCGTGGCATAGAGCCACTAGCAGCTACCACAGCCCTGCCCTGCTTGGGTCTTACAGAAGTCTTCTACGAATATCGGATCAAAGCAAAGAGGTGTCAGACTCGACAGAATTAGCAGGATGGTAAGTGCATTTGCTCCCTCGCATATTACACACTCTTGCGCTGTCGCACGACTGCCTTTCCCAGCCAAGTACCCAATAATGCTAGGGCATTAAGGAGCACATTTAGCACCAATCAAAATGGTCTGATACATTGTATTAAAATTCTCTTTTGGCGCGTTCGCGCTAGCTATTCCAGGTCACCTCCATTATCTCCACCCTACACATTACTAGCATCGATTTAAACCCTGGGATCCGCACTATTTTGACTTCAGTTTGGCGCCTCGCTGACACTCAGTAGTATCATAGACCTGACCTGCTGTCCAGGCTGCAGCAACTATCTTGGCTTTGTAGTAGTCGACACACCTGCAGGTGGCACAATATTCCAGTGAGTCGCATTGTTCCCTCCCTTCGCCTGTAGTGTTTTCGTCTATACAATCAGTTCATCCGCTCCTCTACACTATCGACGTGTTGCGTGCCAACAAAACCTTCGTCTTTAGCTTATATTGGACACCAACGTTCCTCGATCTCGATTGTTTTCTGCCATTCGCTTCGCTGAAACATCACTAATGTGTTGAAAGTGGTCGTGAGTTCTTCAAGCTTCAGCACATCGAATTGCGATGCGAGACGTCCTCAGGAAAAATTATTAAAGTAGAACCGCAAGAGAACGTAGCACCAGACCTTGTGGCTCGAGAGAGTACGCCGAGCTCATCCCCAGCTCCACCCAGATCTGGCACGGCTACGATGGAGCTCGATACTCATCTATCATCCTCGCATCCGCTCTGGGGTCAATCTCCGCATAAAGAGCCACAGCATCAACGCCAACGATCCCTGTCAAGGGAGCCCGCACGCCAATCACTACCATCGAATTCATCCTACCTCCTATTAGCAGCATCACGTTCTCCTGTTACCCACAACATCGCAACTCCAGCTCCCGCTTCTACTACGATACCCTCGCCGAGATCTCCTCAAGCTGCGCAGCTGCAGTCTGCAAATACACCCGGGAGCGCTGCTCCAACTTCCCAATCGACGTCGACCGTCAATGGTCTCAAGAATGGGCACAGCTATCCTCGGGATCCGCATAAAGTACAACTCGATGCCATCGAGCGTCTGCAAACACAGACTTCACAGAACACTAGTGCTCTGGCCGCACAAGCACGTACTCAGATGGAGTCTGCTGACATCGTCAGGCAGATTGAAAGCAGTCTGCGCCATGAGTTCAAGGGCCAACTGCAAAGGCAAGATCAAGAGTTGATGAGGATGACTGACGTCGTCAATCAACTGAGCCGGGATCTGCAAGAGTGCCACCAAAACATGATGGCTTTGGTACAAGAGGTTCGCGCTAACAGAGCAGAGAGTGCGCGACGTCCCAGCGAAGTGGCGCAGCCAAGTTATCAGGACGAGGCTCTCGAGCTCATGGCTCGACGACTTGGTGACGTCAGTCATAGGACCACCGATCTTGAGACGATGAGGGAACATGTGACGATATTGAGTGGCAGGGTGCAGCGACTTGAGTCTGAGTCGCCGGGGACACGCCAGCAACATCCGTCTCTGCACCAAGCGCATCCGCTACACCAATCTGTACACCAGTCTGCACACCCAGTTCATGTTCCTCATTCTGCCCCCTCACACCCCAGTCAGGCTCCGCAATTTCAAACGCCTGCTCGGGCGACCTCGATACCGCAGGCTGTTCAGCACCGTGAACAGCCTGCCACGGTGGCGCCTACTGAAAATGCACAGAGGCACGAGCCTGCCCCTATTCATAATGGGTGGGCCACTGTCAACGCTGGTGTCAAGCGGGTGTTTGAAAATGGCATGCATAGCCCGCCGCAACGCGCAAGTCTAACGCCTGGGGACCCAAAACGCCCAAAACTGACTACAGGGGATTCTAATGAAGGTCCTGTCATGACCCAGCATCCTCCTGAACCATCACAGATTTTGCCATCGCAAGCACAGTCTATCATTGCCTCGCAGCCGATGGAACAACCAGGATCGTACCCAGGCCCGCATGTTGTGCCTCACCCAGGGGCGCATCCGGCACCACCATCATCGCAGCCATATTTATATGGCACGCAAGGCAGCCCAGGAAAACAAAATTGGCATACTGACCCTCAACACATGATTGACGTGCGTCCAGCTCGTGGCAGAGGCTCCCGAGGCGGCCGAGGACCAGGGAGCAGGGGTGGCCGAACACGCAAAAGCATGCAGGGGCAGCATCATGTGGGAACACCAGAATGGGAACGCGGTTGGTCAGCCGTACCTGACTCGCATGGTAGTCCGACCAGCCTTAAAGATTATCCTGCGCATCCTGCCAGGGGCATCGTGCGACGTGGCGGTGGCGGGGGAACAGTACGCGGTGGCGCAATGTTGGGCGAGCGCTCAGGCGAGTGGACACCGGAGATTGGACCGCGCAGCGTCTTTCAGGATCACGACTCACCCATCGAAGTCAAGAAGACTAGGTCTAAGCCAATTAGGAACGAAGAGGGGATTTTAGTTCGTAAAGATGGCCGACCGGATAGACGTTCACAGTCATCCGCCGCAAATCTGAGGAAAGTGCACGCGCGCAAGGAGGAGCAGCAGAGAGAAGCAGAAGCAGGATCCACGCCGACCGGTCTCCACGCCTCGATATCCACAGGACCAGATACGCCAAGCCCGACAGCGCGTGTCCACGCAGAGCCACATCTCACGGATAGTGTGCGCAAGAAGCATAATGCGATCCTCGGACGAATATTCCCAGACGGCTTGGATGATTCTCGAAAGCAGCACGATTACGCTCACCAAGTCTTCAACGAGGACCGCGATCACACAGCTCACCCACGTACGCAGGTATCGCGGACTTCCAAGGCACCCGCGCAGGTCAAGAAGGAGCAGATCGAGCGCAATGAAGTTGCAAAGACGCAAGTCTTGGCAGATGGCGATGTTGAAATGGGCGATGAGGATAGTCCAACAAATCACCAAGCAAATGAGGACAGCCAAACACCGGTCGCCAATGCGAACGATATGCAGTAGCAAGGCGGAGGACAGACTGCTCAAGAGACGGAAAGTACAGGGCAAAAGAACAGTGTGCATATCCCAGAGACTCAAGCTACAGATGGCTCCGCCACTCTTGCAGCTCGGTCGGGGGAGGTTGTGTAAAATACAAAAGTCGACTATCCTGCTTCTTCCTGTGTCTGACGTCGATCCACGAGATGCCAGTGTTTCCATCGCTAACTGAGACCCTTGCAGCCATATATATCAGGAAAATCCATTCCTAAACCCCAATCGCTATTTCGGTGGACAATGGTGCAGCAGCCTCTTGCAAATGCGCCGCGTCCCCAATAAACGGATATTCCCGTACCCGTCAAATTTGACAACATCCAGTTCCTCCACCTTACACCTCTAATCATCCGCACATGTTCTCGTCAACACCCCACTCAACCAAGCCTACCGCGCTCACAAGAAAAATTCACGTTCACCCCCAACAAATCCGGCATCCCCTCCCCCAACAACCCCAGTCTTGGATCATGCCACACATTACTCCCACACTCGCCACAAAATCTATGCAGAAGCTGTTTCTTCCCGAACCGATGGCTCTTCAGTGCTTCGGTGCCTTGGTGGACGACGACGTCCTGCCGACGCGGGTACAGCAGCAGATACCCGTTTTTGGTGCAGATGGTGCAATTGCAGCTCCCAACTTTCTGAGTCGAGAGGGGCGGCGAGAGTGTGATGGTGTATTGGATGGTGCCGCAGTGGCATCTGGCGGCGTGCATGGAGGTGGAGGACGGGTCGAAGGTGGGGAGGGAGGCGAGGAAGGCGCATTGGGTGTCGTCTAGTTCGACGATGGTTGAGTAGTGAACTATGAGTCTTTTTGCTCAACGAGTGTTATTGTTGCGATTTACATGCTGGTACTGATGTTATGGCGGAGCGTGAATGCCGAGCATGGTGTGGAGCCGCTCCGGCTGACTAGAGTCATTTCAGATCAACATTACAGCAACGAATAGGACTGATGGCAATGCGAGCTTAGTATATGTGCAAGGACTTACTATATCGGTATGATGCTATCTGTTATTATGTGTCGTCGTCACGTTATTGCAAAAGCCAAATTGGAAGGGGTAGAGAGCGTCAGTTCGAAAATAGTAAACAACTACACGAGAATGATTGGGAGCGCCTCAGCAAACAATGCCGACGAAGCCTTCGTCCTGGATGCTAATCGCATCCTCTAGGCTATTAACCTTCTTATACTTCTTCGGATGGACAGGCCTGCATTGGTGCACTGTGGCGCCAACAAACAGGACCTCGTCACCATTCAAAATGTTGTAGAAAATCTGAATCGCAGCCGCCTTTCGCGACTCCACAACGATCAATTTGGCCCCATTAGGCCCAAAGCGCTTCTGAGTTACAATAAGATAGCGTACGTTGTGCTTGGTGTTTTCAGGCACCACCTCTGTGTCGAGCGCCTGCGAGAGGCACACGGAAGGTATGTCGATTCTCTCTGAATCGTAGGGAATGAACCCGTCGTTGCGCAGGCGGGCACGCTCCACAGTAGGCCAGTCGCCATTCATGTTACGAGTGCTCTGTAGTACAAATTCGTCTTCAATGCCAGCAGCAAAGAGCCATGACCATTTCTTTATGTCCCTGTCGCCGAAGGGGTAGGTAGTGAGGTAGACATTGCGAATAGCTGGGGCCGGAAGCTCAACCATGCTATCCTCTTTGCCGACTCTCTCGAGCAACTGAGTTGACGAGTTGATCGTAGAGATGATAGGTTGCGACGGAGGGTAGTATCGGTTCGGCGACGGCGTGTAGCGACGATGACCTGCGGGCGGCACTCGACCCGCGCGACGAGGACGACGGTAGTCCTCGTCGACCGATCCGACGCTGTCCTTACGCACAAGATTTGGGTTGACTTCGCAAGTGCACTCTTCTTTGGGCTTGCTCTCATCTGACCCAGATTTGGTGTTGGTAGTGCATTCGCGAGGGGGTGCATCTCCCTTATTGAGGACTCCGCTATTAACTTGCTCCATGTTGATCTGAGAGACAGTAATGAGATTGAGAATAGTCCACTCGTCGTCGGTATACGAGCTCATGTACGTACAAGCGGCGAAGAGAATGCAGCGGGTTTGAGAGAGGATTGAAAGAACAAGTCAAGGAATAGAGTGAGCTGGGGAGAAACGCCAGAGCAGCTTTTATGCCGTGCAGTCCGCATTCACTGGTTTTGCAGTGACTAGGCACAAGGCTACGAGAGAGCTGGCCTCATCATTGCCTATGCGCTTGATTACGAGGGAGGTGGTACAGCTGGGTGAAGCGAAGGCTGACGGTGCGCCCACAGTGCTGCAGCTGTGGCGTTGTCGGCCTCATTGTTGCCTGTGATGACTGCGATAGCATGCATAGTCTGCAGTCGCAATTGACTCAAGATAAGCATAGCGCACAAGGCTGTAACCCATGATCCACAGGATTAACAAGGCTTTCCAAAGTTGCAGTCTGTCGATGCGACGAATGTTGAATGAATGGCACTTCCTGCGTTGTCCATTGCTAGACGCCGAATCATATATACAACCGCTGCATCATCGATCAAAGTGAGGCAAATCATTGTTCAGAGAACTACACAGCTATGCACAGTAGTAATGCGCTTTCTGCGATGACTCGTAGCTGTTGAGTTGATGGGAAGGAGAGGCATGATGGTGTTGGTGGTGAGCACTAGGCAAGCGCAGCGACGCTTGAGATTGCGAGCACCGAGCAGCGAGGCAGCCCTGGATACGAAAGAAAAATGGCAACCAAACGAGTACGTTACCCAATGATGCACTTGTCGGAATACAATCGTACAATAATGTTTGCTTTCAAAGGTTTCAGGTCCCACTTTTGAGTATCAATACTTTCGCCGCCTTGAACTATTCTAAATTGAGAGATGGGCCAAACAGCCATTAAAGTACATGCCGCTCAGTCTCGCAACTGAGCTCGGGACGTATTGAACAGCCTCTGGACGCTATCTCTTTCTTGGTTGAATTTTGCCTGTCCTCTTGCGGATACTTGGTGTTAGTTGAGTGGGGCCTCAGCACTCAGCACTGGGCAAAAAGATAGCCCATACCCACTTCCACCGCTCACCCTCAAGGGCTCCACGACAGCAAAAAGATGGACGCTGTGGGAATTGAACCCACGACCTTTCACAATATCATCAATTGATGCGAAGCGAAAATCATACCCCTAGACCAAGCGCCCTTTATTGGTTGTTGATGGAAGTAAAGAGTCATTATAATTTATAAACGCATTAAATTATTTCGATCAACAAGAGATGCGAAGCGAACCGATTTGCTGTCAGCACAATGCTTGAGTGTTGGTGGTGCGTGGTGAGATTTACAATCATACCCCCAGTTATTGGATGTCAGACGGAGCTCAGTAGGATCGTTGTGTTTTACACTTACACCAAACGCCCGATTCTTTTATGACGAAGCCGTCTATACACTTACACCTCGAGTCCGACGGCCATGTCGGTAGTTCTGGGGATTCCGGGTGCGGGGTTGTAGCCAGCAAAAGTCTCGAACGCCATTCTAGCGACCGAGATCTACCGACTCGTAGACAATTCAAAGGCCCACAGCTGACCGCTCTGCGCCCTCGGCACACAATGCGTTCGGTCCCTTAAGGAAGACTTCCATCTTCCAATCCAGTCCCCTGCCGTACTAGATCAGCAACACTGCCCGTTAATCCATGTAGCTAAGTCGTCAGACCCCGAGCACATCACATCACAACAGACTCCAGATTATCGGAATCGAGACTCGACCGCACACAGCCCTTGAAAGAAGGCGAATAGCTGCATCTTGCAGACCTGAAGCACACGCGATCTGTCATGTGTACGCGACGGCTCCAAGGCTGGCGCTGTCTTATCAGAGCTTCAGTGAATTGTGAGCACAACATGGCGACCGCCGACAGGAGTTGCAAGGGTTGGGCTGGTCGCTTGCATTCACGCAGGATGGAGGCCGCGAGATCCTCAGGACCTCAGCTCTACTGCACTCTGCCAAAACCTCGGTGAGATTCGACGATACTAATTGCAAGAAAACCGAGCATTGACAGCTAGAGATCAAGGCATGTATCTCAGTCAAACTCGGCCGATATCTAAAACACTCCAAAACTCGACTTACTTCTGGTGACTACTGTGCTGTTGCATGTAGCTCTCAGCACAACATCGTAATCTTTTAGACTTCCTGTGCTCATGTGAGACTGCAGATTGTAAAGCAATCGGTCGCACTCCAAAACACGGAGTTTGCGTGTCACTCCGCGAAAGACAGAACTGATTCCGGGGACGAGAGAGCGAGATTAAAAGTGAGCAGAGGATGACTGAAGATTCATAAGGAGGCAATACACTCATTGCAGTCTCTCGGAAATTGTCAGACTGCGAGCCGCTCAGGGCTTCAGGCTTAACTTCTGTATTAGCGAATTGACGGCAAGTCTATTAGTGAAGATCCCAGGAAGCATGGCTTTGTAACACCGCAAGGTGTGTGTATCATGGAACTTCATTCTCGCCAGTCGTGCTACAGAAGGACATACCAGAGACTGCCCATAGTCCATTGTATCAACAGTCAGCCCCTCCACACCACCACCGTCTCCCCAATATCGCAGTCCCACCTCCTGAACCGATGTGTACCCCTCAATGTCCGCGCCTCGTGCTATCAGATGATGCAAAGCGAACTAGACAGTTATGAGATTACAGGTTGAGCAGTAGTGATGGTCTGTGAAATCCTTCAAATAACATAGGTCGTTTCCCATTGTATCACCCCGCAACACGATCCGATAACCCGCATAACTCAACTTTGTAGCCAAACTCGGAATTCACGAGGCAAACGTAGGGTGTGAGTCCTTCACGCCATGATTGACTGCACACTATCATAATGTTGACTCTTATGCGTTGTATTTCGACTATACGATACAGACACCCTCACGTAATCTAACCCGCAAACGGCACAGAGGGCACCTTCTCCGACCCCTCGGTGCGCTGGTAGTAGTGAATAGCACCCTTGGTCTTCGCACAGTTGGTCAGGTACGTCGCGCTCGCGTCGACGGGCACTGTGTTGCCCTCCTGCGGCCGCCCGTAGACATGCTCGTAGTACCACACCTCGCTCAGCACCGTGTAGCCGTTGTCCGTCGTGTTCTGGCCCGCAGCAGTGGCATTGAATCGCGGCCCGGAGCACCCAATGAACGGAATGCCGCCGTGCTTCTTCGCGAGCGTGTCGCGGAAGTCCGTGTACGAGTACGTGGTGCTGTTGCTGGGGACGATCTTCTTGGCCTTGAGCCACTTGAACGTCGGGAAGCGCTGGTAGTACTTGATCGTCGTCTCGAAGAAGTCGACCACTTCCTCGTGCTGCCGGTACTGCGGACCGTAGCAGGGTGTGTTGAAGGTGCTGAAGCAGGTTGCGTGCTTGCTGAACTCGTGGCCCCAGAAACCGGGGTTGTCCTGGTTCTGCGCAATCCAGTACGTGTTCATGTACTCGAGCAGGTCGTAGCGACCGAACGGCTCTAGGAAGGTGCCGATGTTGGGGCCCGTGTAGGGAGGGACGACGGTGCCGTTCTTGAGGCCGTTGGTGGTGTTGGGCGAGGGGATGGGATCGTATTGGCGCGATAGGTCGCAGTATTGCGTGTACGAGCCATTGCAAAAGTCAGGCCACAACCCATGCAGCGAAAAAGTGTCCTTGGGCAGAACCTGGCCCTGGGACTCAAGGCCAGTGTAGGTGCTCCAGAACTGAGTCTGGAGTACGAGACCACCGAAAGTTTCGACACAGCAGGAGTCGACCTCAGACGCGTTCTGAGCGGGACATGACAGCAGAGGCTTCTGGAGCTGGCATGTGTGGTTCAACTTGCTCAAGCCAGGGTAGAGCTGGGCATTGGCCGTGGTGGCCAGCAGAGCTGCTCCGACTGCTGTGAAAGTGCTGCGCATCTTGAAATTGACCGAGGAGAGACACAACCGCCTGAACAATTGTTTGAGAACCTACCCTACCCACAAACCCGGGAGCTGGACATACTTAATCTCTTCCAAAGTCTACATTGTGTCGGAAGCTCCTTTCCAGATGCGGCAGGTGAGTGGAAAACGACCCCGGTGAAGCTCTGGAGCCGTCGTCGCTCTTCGCCGCCCGGAGTACCTGCAGCAAAGCTAGGGTGGATATTTGATCTCACGTGCGACGTTGATTGGATGCGGGCGAGATAAGGCTACCCAAGCAGTGCGCTGATGCTTGTACAGATCAGTTGCCGTCTCCGAGACGCATGATTTCAACGACGGCTCGGCGGCGACAGTCAGCCACAGCTCGAATTGACGGCCACATCGCGGGCTGATGTCTGCTTTGAGGTTTGGGAAGGGAGGGATGGAGGAATGTGGGAAAAGTGACAGGTTGACAACGGAAATCAGAGAGATCAGAGCCTCGGGCATGACGTAATAGGAGCAAGCCACGACAGCTGCCAAGTGAGCTTCTTACTGCGAACATCCAACCGAGGATCTTTGCCTATCGACAAAGTCACGAAAGCCAGACACCCAAGACTCAAGTCTGTGTAACCCGACGCTCACGGGCCGGCGGCCAGACTCAACGTCCGCGGCGCCCTCGCTGACCCGCTATCCCCGACCTCACCATCCATACCATCATCACCAGCAGCCTTAAAATGCCCGCTCGAACCGCGTTCGCAGAAGCCCGTCATTTTTTAGGCGTTGGGTTCAAGCGCAAGTCACCATGCCCCCGAAGACCGTCGTGAGCGCACTGCCACCGCTGCAGCCCGAGAGCTTCACCACCGCACACCACATCGGCAGCCCGCCAACAGGGTTCAAGAATCCATGGCCGTCGTACAACAGCTCTGGCTTTATAGGCGCCGTACGCACGCGCTTCAGCGCGCCGAAGAATTTTGTGCCTGTCCCGGTCGATCGCGTTGGTCTTGTGAAAGTGCGCAAGCCGGACTTTGGCGCGCAGCAGGATGGATTGAAGGCAACTTGGATCGGACATGCTAGCTTTCTGGTGGAGACGAGCAGGCAAGAGGGAGCTGAGAGGGGAGCGCGTATACTGATCGACCCTGTGTGGAGCAACAGAGTAGGGCCGTATGGTAAGCCAGACAGACGGGCAGTCGAGGAGCTCTATTGACCTAGGCGTAGGTATGGTTGGTCCTGTACGCTTCACGCCACCGCCCTGCTTAATCAACGACCTCCCTGACATCGACGCCGTCGTCATCAGCCACGATCACTACGACCACCTAGACTCGGCCACGCTCAAGCAGCTCAATGCCAAACAAAACGGCGAACTGCGCTTCTTCTGCGGCCTGGGTGTCAAGGCCGTGCTGACTGGCCTTGGAGTCGGCATCAACGCCGACCAGGTGACCGAGCTGGACTGGTGGAACGGCGTCACACTACAGACCGAGACAGCAGGCTCCGTAGACCTGATCTGCACACCAGCCCAACACCGCTCGGGCCGAACGCCGTGGTCCTTTGACGGCACGCTGTGGTGCTCATGGATCGTCCAAGAGCCGTGCGAAACCGGGAAGAAGCTCTTTTTCGCCGGCGACACGGGGTACTGTCACGTCACATCCGACGAGCACTTCTCGCACCGCGACGCGCCGCACCCGCCGTGTCCGGCGTTCAAGCAAGTCGGCGCGCTCTACGGACCATTCGATCTCGCGCTCTTGCCGATTGGGTGCTTCAAGCCGCGCTCCGTGCTGTCGGGGCAGCATTCCAGCCCCGAGGACGCGCTGGCGATACACAAGGATGTGAAGAGTAAGAAGAGCATAGGCATGCACTACGGCACGTTGCGGGGCGCGTACTCGGCTGCGTACGAGCCGGTGCTGGAGCCTGCGGAGCGGTGGAGGAAGGGCGCCGAGGCTGAGGGATACGCATGGGGTGAGCAGGTGGGCGTGTGCGATGTGGGCGAGACGGTGGTGGTGTGAAGCTCGCGCTTGTGGTCATGATAGGGTTCTCATTTCTCGTTATATGCACGCGTTCCCCGTGCCTGTCTATTTATTCTGTCATGCGTGGCCCGCCAGGCAGTTTCCACACTCGCCCCCGTCCCCGATCCACTGTGCGCGTGCCAAAGCAACAGCTGTCACCCACGTCCTCGTCGCCCCAGTCAGCGCGGACGCGGACCCTCCTTTGCAGCAGCCAGGCGTCGTACTCCTGCGGTCTCTTCTCCGCGTCCCCGTGCTGCAGCGGGGACGCGCGCGTGACGGCGTAGCCGAGTGCTTCTGCGGCTCGCAACCGGGCCTCGACCTGCGCGGCCGCGTAGTGGTCGGGGTTCTCTGGTGGTGAGACGGGTGTGTGATTGTCTTCCTGTTGGGCAGGCTTAAGCTCCTCAACCCATGCCTCCGTCTCCCCACCATGCTCCTGCTTGTCTCTCTCCTGCTGCTTGTCCCGCTGCACTCTCTCCTGCTGCTTGTCCCGCTGCACTCTCTCCTCCTGCTCGTCCCGCTGCGCTCGCTCAAAACTCAAACTCGCCGCGAAAACGCTCGACATCCATGCCCGGCCCGACAACATCCGCCAGATCCCTGCGGCCCATCTGCCCAAACACCCTCCGCAGCGTGTCGTACAGGTTCGTGCTCTGGTTCTGATGGATCATGTTGTCAAGCTGGCTCTCACTGACGCCGTCGCCGACGACCTCGCGGGCCTTCTCCTTGCCCTCGGCCTCGACGACCTTGTGCATGGCCAGCGCGCCGAGCAGGTGCTGCGCGGCCTCGCTGAAGCAGCCAATGTTGATGCAGCTGACGCCCAGGTTGTAGCGGGCGCGGACAAAGTTGGGCCGCAGCGCGAGCGCGCGCGAGTACGCGTCGATGGCTTCCTCGCTGCGGCCAGAGTTGGCCAGCGTCGCGCCCAGCCGGTTCCACAGCAGGTGCACCTGCGAGGAGCTGTTGGAGACGCCGGACTCGGTCGAGTTCAGCGCTGCGCCGAAGCAGTCGACGGCCTTGTCGTACTCCTCGACGCCGTAGAAGAGCACGCCCAGCCCGACCTGCACGTCCGGGTCCATCTGCTCGCCGCTCGGGGAGAGCTGGGCGGCAGCGATGTACAGGTTTGTGACTTTTTCGTGCAGGGCTTGGCGGTCGGTGAAGCCCATGTCTGCGTCTGAAGAGAGGGGTTCTGTGACGAGCGAGGGGTACTTTGTGGCGAGCCAGCGCTCGAGGGTGCGGTAGGCGGTGCTCTCGTAGCCTTCGTTGGTGTAGCTGACGGCCAGGCCCATCAGAGCCTCGAGGTTGTTTGGGTCCTGCTTGAGGGCGTGCTCGAGGGCGCGGATGGCGGGTGTTTCCTTTTCGTTCTGGGCCTGCGACTCGCCGAGCTTGACCCAGGCGGCGATGTGGTTGGGGTCTTTCTGGACGGCGGCTTCGAAGGCCAGCGCGGCAAGGGACAGGTTGCCGCCTTCCTCCATGATCTTGACGCCCTCCTCGAAGGGGTTGGTGACGCTCTTGAACAGGTTCTCCTGCTCGAACAGGTAGTCGCCCATGGCTGGGTCGCGGGCGCTGAGCGTGTTGAGCCCGTCGAAGCCCTCCCACTGGTCGAGATCGCCCATGTGCATGCCGTCGCTGAAGGAGGCTTCGTTGGCGAGGTGTCTAGCGCGCTCTGTCTCAGCTTGGATTCCCTTCCAGACAGACTCGAAGTCGACGTCCTCCAGTCCGCTGTCTAGTACTGACCTGTCCATTTCGTTCAGCTCGGCCTCGATGCTCTTGTTAGCCTCTGCGTCCAGCGCATCGAGGTTCTGGTCCGTCTCCTCGAGCTGCTTGAACTGCGCCTCCCAGTCCTGGTCGTCGAGCTCCACCATGCGCTCCTTGCCCTTGGCCGAGGCCTGGGCCGGCTGCTGGAACGTCTGCGGCGCGTACGAGGGCATCATGCCCATGCCGCCCATGCCCATGCCCATGCCCATGCCCATGCCGCCCATGCCGAAGTTCTGCATGGGCCGCTGGTAGCCCATCTGCGCGGCGTCTGCGGGGCTTGCGTTGCGCTCGGTCGGATTCATCTGCTGGAACTTGGCGAACTCGGCGGGGTTGAAGCCGGCCGGGCGCTGCTCCTGCATCGACGGCCCCATCTGCGGCGCCTGCATGCCCGGGTCGAACTCGGCCGCCCACGCCGGCGACGCGCTGTGCTGGGCGCGCTCCAGCTCGCGGCGCATCTGCTCCATGGCGAACGGCGATGCCGGCCCGGGGCCCTGGGGAAGCTGTGGGTTCTGCTGCATGAACTCGTTCATCATCTGGCATCGTCAGCCGGCGCTCTTCGCGTGTCGAGTGGCCAACGCACCCCGTCCTGTGCGCCCATCTGCTGGCTGCGCATGCCCTCCTGCATGCCGCCCGGCCCGCGCCCGACCACGCGGTCTCGCTGCAGCGACTTGTCATCCTGGACGTGCTTGGTGAACTGGCTGAGGGGGTTGGCGCCCGTCGAGCACTCTGCGCCGCCGAGGAAGGACATGGTGGAAGATGTGTAGTGTACGGGACGCCGGGTTGGATGCGAAGGGGAACAGTGTGTGATGCCGGCGCCGAGGTGCAATCAATCGATCACCAACGCGTGCATGGGGTAGTGGTGGGGCGCTGGAGGCCGAGCGACCTCGGCATTAGCCACCCGCTTGTGGCAACCAGATGCCGTCGACGTGTGGGCCTGCGAGTCGAGAATCGAGACACAGCAGACTCGTCACCAGCTGTGCCAGCGAGAATCGAGATACACCGAGCGAGAGTCGAGAGACATTGGGCGAGAATCGAGAGACATTGGGCGAGAATCGAGAGACATTGGGCGAGAATCGAGATACACCGAGCGAGAGTCGAGATACACCGAGCGGGAATCGAGAGACATTGGGCGAGAATCGAGAGACATTGAGCGAGAATCGAGATACACCGAGCAAAGTCGTCACCAGCGAGCAAACGTGTATGGTTTTCCAGGCTCGTTATTGGTATACAACACCCTCCGTCGTCATGTCATGTACAGCAGGATATACGTGGAAAACGCCAGACACTCGTCTACTATGGTACATGCACGCCAGCTATTAACACAATATGGAATGACAAGATAGAAGAAACCATCTCTAGACGGCCCTGCCAATGCTTTTAATCATCCTGCAACAACGCTCTACTGTCCCTCCTGGGCAGAGTCGCTCCTCGTGGCCCTGTCGGGGCGGTCCGTGCTGCTCCTGCTGAAGTCGACGCGGAGCTGGCGACCGTAGATGACCTTCTCACCGAGCGTCTCCTTGGCCTTGGTGGCGCTGGCAACGTCGATGAAGTCGGCGTGCGCGAAGCCTCGGGGCTGGCCGGTCCTGCGGTCGATGGCAACGCGGACGTCCATGACGTTGCGGATGTCGCGGAAGATGTCGTTCAGGTCCTTGTCCGACATCTCGAAGGACATGTTGCCGATGAAGAGCGTCTTCGCGGGAGGGTTGGAGACATAGCTGCCAGCAGACAGCGTCTTGGAGTTGGGCTTGGCCTTGTGGAACTGGCAGACAATGTTGCGGCCCTCAAAGACCTGCATGTCCAGGTTGTCGATGGCCGTCTTGGCATCCTCGATGTTCTTGAACTCGACGTATCCGAACCTGCTCAGTTGTCAGCATCGCCGTCGCTCACTCGAGTTGCGCTGCTGCTCACCCTCGGCTCAGTCCCCTGTTGTCCAGGACAATCCTGACGTTGTTGACCTCACCAAACCGCGAGAAGACGCGCTTGACCTGGTCGGCGGTGACTTCGTAGTACAGGTTGCCGACGTAGACGGTGTTGTTGGGCGGCGCGTCGCTCTTTTCGCGGCGCTGGAACTCCCTCTTGGGCCTGTCGGCCTGCTTTGCAACAGCCTCAAGCGCGTCAGCGCCGACAGTCTCCTCGGCGTTGGTCGGCTCGGCCTGGGCGTCCTGCTGGACCGGCGTAAGGCCGTCCTCGGTCATGGGCTCAGCAATGGTCTGGGCGAAGTCCTCGGGCGCCTCGGCGGCAACCTCCTTCTTCACGACATCGTCACTGGCAAATCTCCTCTGGAAAGCGGACACGGCCCACTTCTGTTGTGTGCGGAAAGCAGGTGTGAATGTGGAGAGGGAACGGGGCGTCGCAAGGAAAGCCTTCGCGGGCGTTGCGCTGATGGCGCGGACGGCAGAGCGGCGGAGAAGAAACCTGGCAATCAGCATTCGAGCATGTGCGATGGCATTGGCGAGCTTACATGATGGCGGAGGGATAAAAGCGGTGGAAATGTGCAGAGTACCTGGGTATCTTGACGGCGAGACGGGAGGCCAAATTTTCGACAAGTAGGGAAGCGCGCTAGTGAGGCGCGTCGTCTCACGTGTGCGAATCATGGAAGACACGACGGTCAACTGATGCCAGTGCGCTCGGGACAGCTTCTGCCGCGCCTCAAAAGCCGAGGAGGATTGCGGACCGGAGGAGGTGCATCCAACTTTAGCATGTCATGTCGTGATCGCAGAGCTCCTCTTCCTACGAGGCAGGAGACGGCACTGTTTTCCATGACTGTGGCGTGTAGAGTCCAAGCATCAGCGGCCGCCCACCATAGGTAGGTAGACGGGACGACGGGCGGCGCCGGCCCCCGCCCTACAGATCTGTTGCTATGTTTTCCGCTGCCGTCCCCGCAGAAGCCACAGCTTGGACACAAAATGTGCAGCGGTACACTGCGAGGTAGTACGTGCGATTCGCCTGGCGCCTCGCAATTCACCGTTCACCGCTGACTGTCTGTGCAGGAGCGTTCGCTGTCGACGCAGACGGCTCGCCAGCTCGGGGGCCCACGCTCAGCCATGACCAGACGCTCTCGTCGGACGAGGAAGACGAGTACAGCCCCGAGCTCTCCGACCGCGAGGCGGGCAGCAGTGACCTTGCGCACGGGTTCGCTGGCGCGAGTGGCACCGCAGATGGCACGAGCCTCGAGGGCGACGAGGGTGGAATGCTGCCGCGCGACAAGCAGCGCAAGAACGCCTTCTACGACTACACGGCCGAGAAGCAAATGGGTCTCATCGAGGCGAAGCAGTTCTACCAGCGCCACCAGTGGGAGACGCAGCACGGTGGCTCGCAGGCCGGCGACGGCCACAGCCCAGCTCTGCGCGCGAAGACGTTCCCCGCCACCATGGGCGCGGCAGACGGCCTGAGCATTCGCTCGCGCAAGAGCCAGGTGAGCCTCGCCAACCAGGGACACGCGCTCGGTCAGCAGTCGCAGTACCAGCAGCCGCAGTACCAGCAGCCGCAGCACCAGCAGTCGCAGTACCAGCAGTCGCAGCACCAGCAGTCACAGTACCAGCAGTCACAGTACCAGCAGTCACAGGACCAGCAGTCACAGGACCACCACTCACAGGACCCCCACTCACGGGGCCCCCGTTCGCAAAAGGGCAGTCAAGCCGGCGATTTCCTCGCCCCCTCAAAGCACCCGGCCCTCCCCCGCGAAGACAAGCCCCTGCTCGCAGACGAAGGCATACACGGCGCAGGCGCAGGCATAGGAGTCGGCTCAGGCGCAGGAGGCTTCGCCATGTCAGACTCCAGCGTGACGGCCGAGCTCACAGCCATCTACACCAATGTGCAGAAGGTGCTCGACATCCGCCACAAGTACATACGACTGTCGCTGCAGCACGACTTTGACAACCCCAGAGATGACCCCGGCTGGAACATCTACCCGCCCCACCCAGAGCCCGTGTGGAACGACACGTCGAAAGAACGGCGCAATGCATCGAGCAGCATGCAGAACAGCACAGTCTTCGAGCCAGCCGAGGCGCCGCCAAAACCCCCCCGCAAGATGGGCACCAACATTGGCGAGGACTTCTTCATGGAAGATCTCCTGCCGCTTCCTGGGCCGTCTGAGATGGCCTTCCGCATGGACAGCGGTGGCGTCTTCCAAGTCTACGAGAACGCCAAGTCCGCCGAGCTCGATACGCCCATTGTCTCGATACCCACGTTGCGCGAGTTCTACATCGACCTGGATGCCATCTTGGAGATCTCCTCGGACGGTCCGAGCAAGAGTTTTGCGTTCCGCAGGCTGTCGTACCTCGAGGGCAGGTTCAACCTCTACTACCTCCTCAACGAGTACCAGGAAATCGCCGACAGCAAGAAAGTGCCTCACAGAGACTTCTACAACGTGCGCAAAGTCGACACCCACGTTCACCACTCGGCATGCATGAACCAGAAGCATTTGCTGCGCTTCATCAAGTCGAAGATGAAGAAGTCGCCCGATGAAGTGGTCCTCTTCCGTGACGGAAAGCAGCTCACTCTCCGGGAGGTGTTCGAGTCCATCAACCTGACAGCGTACGATCTGAGTATCGACACGCTGGATATGCACGCCCACACAGATTCGTTCCATCGATTCGACAAGTTCAACCTGAAGTACAACCCTATTGGAGAGTCGCGTCTGCGAACCATTTTCCTAAAGACAGACAACTTTATCGAGGGTCGGTACCTCGCCGAGATCACCAAAGAAGTCATTTCCGATCTGGAGTCCAGCAAATACCAGTTTGCCGAGTGGCGCATCTCCATCTATGGTCGCGACATCAACGAATGGGACAAGCTCGCAGCGTGGGTTGTTGACAACAAGCTGTTCTCGCCCAACGTCAGATGGCTGATCCAAGTCCCCCGCCTCTTCGACGTGTACAAGGCTACTGGACTCATGCACGACTTCGAAGAGGTGGTCCGTAACCTATTCCAGCCCCTGTTCGAGGTTACCAAAGATCCGTCCAGCCACCCGAAGCTCCACATCTTCCTGCAAAGGGTCATCGGTTTCGACAGTGTTGACGATGAAAGCAAGGTCGAGCGCCGAGTTTACAGGAAGTTTCCGAGCCCCAAAGAGTGGAATACAAAGCAGAACCCGCCCTACAGCTACTGGATGTACTACCTGTTCTCCAACATTTCCTCGCTCAATGTCTGGAGGAAGCAGCGCGGCTTCAACACTTTCCTTCTGCGCCCCCACTGCGGAGAGGCAGGTGACACTGACCACTTGGCTGCTGCTGTTCTGTGTTGTCACAGTATCAGCCACGGTCTGCTCCTTCGTAAGGTGCCTCTGCTGCAGTACATCTTCTACCTTGAGCAGATTGGTGTCGCCATGTCACCGCTCAGCAACAATGCTCTCTTCCTAGCATATAAGCGCAACCCGTTCTTGAGCTACTTCCGACGTGGCCTCAACGTATCGCTGTCGACAGACGATCCCCTGCAGTTTGCCTTTACCAAAGAGCCGCTGATCGAAGAGTACTCTGTAGCCGCTCAGATCTACAAGCTGAGCGCCGTCGACATGTGTGAGCTTGCCAAGCACTCGGTCGAACAGAGCGGATTCGAGCACATTGTCAAACAGAAGTGGCTGGGTGCCAACTATCATCTTCCCGGTGTCGCAGGCAACGACATGGCTCGATCCAATGTCCCCAGCGTCCGCGAGGCTTTCCGGCACGAGACGCTCATGCAGGAGCTTGCAATGATCGACCGCTACACCCGCGCCGCCAACACGGAAGCCCGCGACCTTACAGCGTCGAACCTCCAGCCAGACCAGCCCATTCCCCAGACGCTCAGGACGCACCATGCCACGCACCCCGGCTCGCCCATGCAGTCGCTGCACCAGCAGCCGTCCGCCACCGATCCACACGAGCACGACAAGGCCTTCCCGAGACTGCCGCCATCCTCGTTCCCCGCACAGCAGGCGCGCCTGAACCCATCGGCTTCCACCACCGACATGGCCAGCATGTCCACCCAGCCCGCATCGCCCACGATCGCCAACACCGAGCGTCCGCGCCGCACGTCCAGCATGACCATCAGCCCGAGTGTGGTCGCGCTCCAGCCGCCGACAGGCCAGCAGTCTGAGCGGGACCTCGACTTGACGCGCACGAGCAGCAGCGTCAATCTCGACGGCGAACCTAGGATCTTCCCTGGTGTCGTGAGCAGGAGGCGGCGCAGTAGCTTGCGCAGTAGCAATGTTGAAGACGGCGAGGAGAGCCATGGATTGCATCGCGTGCCTACGGAGCCTGCGGTGCAGGAGCAGGACACGGATGATGAGGATTTGTAGGTTGAAATGCTCGTCGAATCTTCGACGGATGGGGGGCTGTGATTGGTGAGGAATCCGAGGTGTTGACTTTGTGATGATGGTTCTCAGTATCGACTGGTAGCTGTATGCATAGTGTTAGGCTAGAGACGAATCCACACCGACGTTGCTGTACTACAAGATTCGCACCACGGCGCTATTCAGGCCTGTCCATTGCACACGCAGTCGACACGAACTAACCCCAATCCTTCTCCATCGATACCGCGGGCTTATCCGAAGCGATCGCAATCCTGCAGCCGAAGCGATCGCATGTACAAGAAAGACCCACATCTCCAACCATCATCTTGCCCTCAACATCACCATCACCACAGCCACAACCACAACCACAACCACAACCACAACCACAACCACAACCACAACCACAACCACAACCACAACCACAACCACAACCACAACCACAACCATGTCCGCGCCCCTCGTCCTCCCACGTCCAGGCACCTCCTCCCCACCCCGGACCGCCATCCCCGGCCCCTCAGAATCCTCCTTCACAGCAACATTCGGCGCCCTTTTGCCAGCTGCGGAATACATCCAAACCGACCTGGGTCGGGCGGCGTACTACGTCTTCCCGCGCAACACCTCTCCTCAACCATCCAGTTCACAAACATCCCCTCCCACCAGCCCCGCAAAAGTCCTCCTCATCCACGGCGTGCAGACCCCCGCGCTGGGTCTCCTCCCACTAACCACCTCCCTCCGTACCCGGTTCCCAGATACTCAGTTCGCGGCGCTCGATCTCTGGGGCCACGGACTCTCCTCCACGCCTCTCTCGCCACACACCGGATCCCTATTCCACGCGGAAATCGACGCGGTGCTGACGGCGCTGGACTGGAAAACTACCCCGGTTAGTATCGTGGGCTACTCGTTCGGCGCCGTACTAGCAATGGGCTGCGTAACCGCGCTACAAGCAACAAACGCGATCGAGTCGCTCGTGCTGATCGCGCCCGCGGGACTGCTGAGGCGCGAATGGTTCACGCCCGCGCAGCTTACCTTGCTGAGCACCAACTGCTCCGCGGAGCTTGAAGCGCAGGCAGCCCAGTTCGCGATCGAGACGCTGGAAGGCGGGCCCCTGAGCGTGCCGGAGGGTTGGCGGGAGAGAGTGGAGCGTGGCGAGGTTGTCGCGCAGGCTATCAAGGCGTGGCAGATGGAGAAGCATGCGGGGCACGCGGCGAGCGTGGTGGGCGTGTTCAGGGACGGCGGGTTGTTTGATAACGATGAGTTGTTTGTCCGGGCCAGGGCGACGGGGATTCCGTCTTTGGTTGTGCTGGGTGAGAAGGATGGGCTGAGTACGGAGGAGGAGATTGCCGATTTTGGCTTTGATGTCAACGTCGTTCCGGGAGCCGGGCATGCAGTGGTGCGGGAGAATGCTGAGGAGGTTGCTGAGTATATTCGTAGGTTTTGGCAGGGGTTGTGAAGTACGAAGTAGCGGGATTTGCGATCGAGTCTGTCAGCGTTGGGAAATGCACGACGATCACTGCGAGGTGATGGACTGCGTGAGCAACTGTGGTTCTAATACAGATCCAACTAAGAAGATACCTATCCAGGCATTGGCTGTCGCAAGCCAGTTCCCAACTCGCCATACTCCGTCTCTTGAGTCCCACGGACACGTTTGTCCAGCTCAAATCCAAGATCACGCCCAAAACACACCCATCCCCGGACAATCTGAAACCATTCGTCGACTCCTCGCTCCTCTGCACTTGTCGATCGCCGCTGCTACTCCTTCCTCCTTCTTCTCCTACATTTTCCCCCACTCCTTGTAGACCCCCTTCCGGGCGCGGCACGACTCGTCCTAGTAGTCGGCGCTGCCGTTTCCGTTGTGGACGCTGTATCCGAAAGCTGTGGCGCTGTCCTCGGCCATGTCTTGGTCGCCGCTCAGAACATGTTGCTGGGCGTTTTCTCCGCTGGCCGAGTTGGCGCTGGCCCCAGGCGCGCCGAATTGGCCGGTTGGCTTGTTCTGATTTGCGAGTAGGGTCTTGTTCCACCAATCAATACCATAATTTAGAATACGTTTGCGCCAATGTGTTCACAAAGGAGAGACACAGACGAAGAGAGTGGGCAGCTTACCTCGCGGTACCGAGACAGGTAGATCTTGAGCGCCTCCGAGTAGTTCTCGAAGCCGAGCGACGTCATGGCAAAGAGAATGTCCTCGCCGTTGACCGTCTTGCGCTTCTCCTGCTGGCACTTCTCCGAGGCTGGCCACAACGTCAGCGGCGGTCGTGCAAGCGGGCACGCGGAAACTCACCCTCGCTGGTGATGAACGAGATGAACTCGCTCACGCACTCCTGCATGCACTCCTTGGCCTCCTTTGCAATCTTTGCGTTCTCGGGCAGGGCTGTTTTCATGATCCGGGCGACTGGAGCAAAGTTACGTATGTTAGCATCCGACCCGGCATTGCTTGGGCTCGTTAAGCCGTTGACGGGCGGGGGCGTCGACGACTGCGGCGAGGACGACATGGTGGCAGCTGCAGGGCGGCCGTCGGCCAGGCACAGGCAGACGGTGATTCGGACGTTTGGCGAGGCAAGCGCGCGGTCTCAGGGTGCAGCGAGGCCGACGGGAGCAGTCGCGGGGGCAATCGAGCGACGTGCAGACGGGCAGTTGTGTGCGCAAATCAAAGCAGAGGGGGGAGGAGCCCTGGGGGAGGTACGCACCGTTGGCGATTGGAAGCCATCGATCCTGTTCCTTGACCTCGAATTCGTACCCGAGTCCTTGCGCTTGTGTATCCTCAGTGTTCCTGTCCATATGATGGTCGTCGTCAGGCGACTGCGGTGGTTCCACACCGTCCTTCTTCGGCGGGGTGGACGACATGTTTATTCGGACAGCTGCAGGGGCTGGCGCCGGCGTCGAGGGTGCGTGTGCGCTGGCGGACGGCGCAGTGATTTGTTGGCGTCCACGTCACGGACGAGCAATTGCTGAGCTGTGTAACGGCGCGAGGTCTGGCCGACGATGCGGTTAGCGGCATGCACTGGATGAGACGCGGGCAGGGCGCAAGGGCGGTCGGCGTGCAGGTGCGGTCGCGGTGGTGCGTGCTTACTGCTTGGTACAGACGCGTCGGTGTGGACGGGGTGTGCGACTTGCGCGGGCAAAGCTATGTCACGGTCTTGGGGGTGCGAGGTGCCGGCAGTGGGACCGCATGCAGCCGTGGGCGGGCTAGCGGGGCGGGACGAGGCGAACTGAGGGAGGGTGCTGTGCGCGCTGGACTCGGTACTGCGAGCTGCTGGCAGTGTCGTTGTCAGTCTGCGAGCGTCGTCGTTTGGATCTTTCGTCACAACAAAGGCGCCAGCCACAGCCAGCCAATGGGCGCGCGACGCAGGACCTCGCGCGCCGTGCACGAATCGGCGACGATGGGGCACTTACCCAGATCTCGCCCTCTTTTCTGGCGGTGAGCGAATAGCAGGGCGCGATCTTGTCCACTCACGAGACGCAGCCGCAGGCGAATTTCTGGTTGGGCCGGAGCGCGTCACTGGGGTGAGTGGAGTGAGTGGTTTGCTCGGACCGTGCCGAAAGAACTGCTCGCACCACGACCGCAATAACCAAGTCACAGCATGTACATATCGATAAGACGTTGTTCCGTATTGTGGTCATTCGGAACTGGTATCTCGACAGCTTTGCGCACCTGATGGCGGTACTGCGAGTACTGAGAGCACTTTCCTCACACCCTACGAAGTAATCACGTCTGACATGCACTCATCCTTTAGTCCTATTACGATCTCCCGGCCCTTCACAACGGCTCGGTACGCAGTGACACGGCCCCTCTCTCTCTCCCGGCTCAGCTCTCGAGTCTGCTCACGGCCCGGCCAACACTGCTCACCGGCGGCCTGCATGCGTTGTCCCTGCGAACACCAGCTCTTGCCTCACTCCCACCATTCGCCAACTCTGCATCCTCACCGTTCAAGCCACCGCTGTCACGTTCACTCAACATCTCCAGCACGTCAAAGTAGCCACTCGCAGGCCCGCCCGCCATGCTGGCCCCGGTATCCTATGATATGCCTGTCCACGCCTGCGGGATCGTGGTCGTTGATCTGCAGCGTGTGCTGTCATGCAGCACGTGTGGGATGACCATTGACACGTTGGCCCTGGCTTGAAGCATCCCAGCACAGCGGCAGGGCGATGCTTGGGCTGCAGATCGGGTTTCATGTTGCGCGCATCAAAAGTGGGAGGGTGTCGTGGAGGGGGGCTTGACTGCAGTGCTGTGAGGTCATGTTATGCGCTGTTTCTTGTTTGCGAATAATGAGTCAGCTTCGATGCTGTTCTTGGAGTAAGTTAAATGCATATGACAATGATATCATGTTACGATATTGAGAGGATGTGTGATTGTGTTGAGTTACCAGTACGTCATACTTATAGATTGAATGAAAGCCTCAACACGTTTGAAAATTAACAACATGCGCAATCTGCATCAACATGATTACAGTCTTTCCGGAGCTCAATGCGACTCTGAACCAGATGGTATGCATGATATTCCAAGACCGTACGAGCAGTCGTTGCAGTGTCGTGATCGCTTATCGATGTGAGAGGTCATTTCATCGTCTTCAGTCTCGTGCGCATCCACACTCTGACAAGGGTCAGCAGCAGATAATGTCCCGCAGTCAGAGATTCAAGTAGTTCGTGATTGAAGATTTTCTAAAATTAATATGTTAAGCCGGAGGCTGCAGGCGCGGCCGCCTGTCTTCTCGCCATCAGCACACTCAACGGGAGATCATCCTCCTGCTCATCATAGAACTCCGCGTCCTCATCGACCCCGAAGTCTTTCAGTCTCTCACCCTCAGAATTCCGCCATCCCTCCTCCCCTTCATCGCCCTCACCGTATTTCCTCTCATCATCTTCGGCCTCCTCACTCACATCGTCCCCGTGATCGTACTCATACTCGTCTCGTCTCTCATCTCTCAGCGCCTCCATACGCTCAACGAATGGCTTGCGCCTGCGAACCGCATCTTCCGCCTGCCTTGCCCGGAAAGCCGCGAGCGTGTCCTCCTTACTGAGCTCCGCATCCCGGTACGTAAACGCAGGCCCATCCTCCTTGACCCGGCGGCGGTAACTCCGATCTGGATCCGGGGGCGGCCATGTTGTGTCCTTATCTTCGAAGCCGTTTGTCTCGAAGCTCAATCCCGTCTTCAACGACGGCGTAGCCGCGAAGGGATTGAACCACGAGAGCGGGTTAGCTGTGCCCATGCCCTGGGCAATATTGGCGAAGATGCCGATGTCGTAGGGGAACTCCTGGTGCTTCATTCGCACTTTGGAGCCATCTGGCGTGGAAAGGTAGCCGCCGAAGTGGCGGGCGCGCCGGAGGAGGGTCTTGTGGCGCTCGATTTCCCAACCTTCGATCGTGGTGGTGTTGACGGCAAGACACCAGATGTTACGCAGCATCAGGATGCCAAGTACAAAGAGGGTGATACTGTTTACGATGAGTGTGGTGAAGAGATGCGCTAGCTGGATGAGTGATGGGCCTAGGTAGGATGGCAGATCGCGGTTGCTCCAAAGGTGAGCGAGTCGTGCGATGAGGAACGACTCGAAGATGCTGAGACCAATTGTGGCGTAAAGGAGAAAGCGGATAAAATGCGGAAAGGTGATGTGGGATACGCAGTTCGCAGTCCATGGGCAGTGGTGGTCCATCTTGGGTATGCACCTGAAGATGTCAGTACATACTCATACTTATACTTAAAGACAAAGCATCCGAGGACGAATCCGTTTTCCTAGCATACCTTTTGCACTCCTTGCAATGATGAGCCCTCGGTGGCTTCGCAGCATCACATTTCCGACACCATTTCCTACTCTTCGCCACCGCATCTCGCTCCCTCTCGCTGGCATACACATTCTTGTCCCCTAGCTCTTGCTCCACCCAATCCTTTGGTATTGTCCCGGGGTCAACGAATACACTCTTTGTATACGTGATCCATATCAAGACCAGAGTGACATTTGATGCAATGAGTTCATTCTTCGTGAGCGGGCTTGGCTCGAGGTGCATCAACAGCCATTGCGGAGGGTATCCAAGGAAGAAAATTAAACCGTACACGAAGGGTACGGCTAGCTGGGATAGCGTGGACATGTTGGTGGAAAAGACGTGTAGGGTCGAGGAAGTGGAAGGCGTGTTCATGCGCGAGGACACGTGATAGGCTCATCCCTGCCCACATGAACTCCACTCCTCCATCTCTGCGCATTAATCCATCTAAACTTCCATTTGGCATTTTGCCGGAGCTCCAGGAGCTTGTCGAATATTCAAATGCCATGGCCATCTCGACATGGCCGTTCTTGCTGCTCATTCCCGCGTTCATTGTGATCCACCTGTTCGTTTCGCCGTACACCAAAGTCGAGGAGTCGTTCAACATCCAGGCCACGCACGATATCTTGATACACGGCATACCAGGAAGCAATGCCGATCAATTCCTCACCGCCAACTATGATCACATCTCGTTTCCAGGCAGCGTGCCCAGGACATTTGCTGGCGCGTTGATATTGAGCGGATTGTCGCGCCCGCTTGTTGGCTTGTTAAACAATGCAGCACATGTGCAACTTCTAGGTAGCAACCTGCGATACCGAGACCGCGCTCAGATGCTAATGTTAGTATAGTCAGAGGAGTGCTCGGCTTGTGCAATGCTTTCTCGCTTGTTGCGTTCGGTAGGAGTGTCCAGAAAGCCTTTGGAACGACTGCCGGCATCTGGTATGCTTTGTTCCAGGCAAGCCAGTTCCATGTCATCTACTATGCGTCTAGAACACTTCCGAATATGTTTGCTTTCGTCTTTAGTGAGTTTTGAATCCGCTTGTCACTGATCATGACTGATGGTGAGCAGGCAACTTCGCGCTTCGAGCTTTGTTGAACGCACACACTGTTTCATACAGCAGGGAGGATGTCAACCGAAGACTCCGACTCTGTCTGTATCTGTTCACTATCGCTGGTATAGTCTTCCGTTCCGAGCTGGCAATCTTGGTCGGTACCATCACGCTCTACCTCCTCGTCACCCAGCGTGTCTCCATGATAAAGGTCATCATCCCCGCTGGAGTAGGAGGACTCATGATCGGACTGCTATGCACAGTCCCCATCGACTCCTTCCTCTGGCAGTCTTTCCCACTCTGGCCGGAGTGGATAGCCTTCTACTACAACACCATCCAAGGCCACTCCGCTGACTGGGGCGTCTCACCATGGCACTTCTACTTCTTCAATGCCCTGCCCCGTCTTCTCCTCAACCCAGCAACATACCTGCTCTGCATCCCCGTCGCTGTCCTGAACGCCGCCACTCGCAGTCGAAGTTTGTCCCTCCTCATTCCCCTCCTCTCCTTCGTCGCGCTCTACAGCTTCCTCCCGCACAAAGAATGGCGCTTCATCATCTACGTGATCCCCGGTCTAACCGGAGTCGCCTCAGCCGGCGCATCGTGGCTGTGGACCCGACGCTCGAAATCCGCCATCTACGCGCTGCTCTCGCTCAGCCTATTGCTCTCAGTCCTCGCCTCTTTCGCCGCGTCGACCACCCTGCTCGCGCTCTCCAGCCTCAACTATCCCGGCGGTGCGGCCCTCGACGCGCTGCATAGCATTCCCACGCACCAAAACCACGTGCATGTCTACGCCGATAACCTTGCGTGCCAGACGGGCGTCACGCGGTTTCTGGAGCAGCACAGCGCACCGCAGACGATTCTTGATGTGCTCGAAGCAGATGAAGCTCTGCAGGCGAGGGTATGGACGTATGACAAGACTGAGGACCCGACGATGCTGCTGGATCCATTGTTCTGGACTAAGTTTGACTATGTGCTTGCTGAGAGGCCAGAGAAGATCATAGGAAGCTGGGACGTGGTGCATGTTGTGTACGGCTTCGGTGGTGTGAGGGTGCTGAAACCGGGACAGGAGAGTGGTGTCGTTCTTGAAGAGGTTGGTGGTGCCGAAAGTATGCAAGCTGGAGGACATTGGACAGATAGGGTTGCTGGGGCGTGGAAGGCGCTTGAGGGAGTGCTGAGGGAGAAGTTGCTGAGAGGGCATTGGGTGGAAGTCAAAATGGAGCCGAGAATCAGGATCCTGCACAACCTGATGAAGTAGATAAAGTGCTCATGCGATGACTGCATCGTTATGCAATTCGAACCAAGACGCCACAGATGGGCGTGAGTGTCTCCCAAAGCTTCAGATAAGCATACACTTGTTGCATGTCAACCCTCTGCGCCAGTCACCGTCACATCTTCCCATCCTCACCTCTACACCACAACCCAGTCATCATCAACGCCTATCGCTCAAATGCTTCTCCACGCGCTCAGCTCCTCTACTGTGCAGGCACATTTGCCGCGGCCTTCTCGCCTTTGCTCTTCTTCTTATCCTCGACCAACTCAATATTATCCTCAGGGACATCCTTATACTTTTCGAGAATAAACTCCTCAATATCCTCGCTCAGATCACCCTGGACCGTAATCTCCTCGCCGCCGCCGGGCAGCTTCGTCACGCTTGCGCCCGTGGCGAACTTCTTGCCAAAGTCCTTGGACACCTTCTTGATATCGAGGCCGAACGCCTCCAGGCCGGAGACGGCGGTGACGTACTTGCGCTTGGTGCGCTCGATGCGCTTGATTGTGATCTTGGAGGAGGCGCGGGTCTCGGCCTCGCGTTTCTCGGCAGATGCGGCTTTGGTTGCTTTCTTCGCTGCGTCTTTTTCGGCGCGTTTCTGCGCTTCGACGGAGAGCGTGGAGAGGTTCTGCGCGAGCGCTTCTACAAGGGCGTTAGACGTGCGGACCGCCGCAGGCGAGGAGACGCACCTTGCGAATATAGCTTCTGGTGCATGTCTGGGTGCTCGCTCTCTAGCCATTCTTCACACTTCTTCGTTGTGCCACCGAACTCGCAGTACTACGCGTCGGTCAGTTGAGGAGGCGAGCGCAACAAGTGAGGTGTCGTACCTACTTCTGGTGGTAGCGTGCATACTGCTTGTTGTTAATGGACACCTCAAATGTGAGAAGACTTGTTCGTACCTCCACAGTATGTGACTTTGACTGGTAGTGTGTCTGCCATGATGTGTTTGTTGTTTAGTGTTAGAGTTCTGGTAGTAAGAGTTGGGTCGTTCAAACGCGAGCGGTGGTGGGGTGGTGGGGTAACTCACAAGTGCAGGGATCTGGATGATCGCGCCTGCACGGCACCTAGAAATGAGGAAAGGAACAGAGTCATGCTGGGAATTTGTTTAATTGTTTGTGTATCGATTTATTGAAACTGACTCCTCTCGACGCCTCGAATCCGCTTCTTCAGCACTTAATCTAGTAATCTCATGCCACAACTTTCGTCGAACGTGATATCAAATCGAACTCACTGAGCGCATTCGTGGCCGTACAGCGCTGCCAAAAGCCTCAATAAGACAGACTGGTTTTGTGTTCGGTATGGCTTTATTGATGTCACCGTGATCCGCTCCTTCCCGAGAGCCGCCGCCACAGTGTGCTATTTCGACATCGAGCGTTTGATGAGCGTTCAACAAACGTCGAGTCTCCAGGATCAGCAGCCTACTGTCCAGGCTGCTGAACGACCTGGACATTGTTCTTCTTCTGTCACGGAATCAGTGCCTCCTTCAACGAACCACAACCAAATCTTCAACTGGGATCATGTGAACGTACCTTCCACTTCTCCATCTCGTCCTGCCTCGTCTTGTACTGCTTGACGAGCTCCTCCAGCGTCTTCTTCAGCCCATCCTGATTCGTCTGCAGAATGGGCACAATGTCAGCGACTGTGCGTTCAGCGAGCACGCCGTTGATCATGCGGAAACATTTGCGGTCGCCGGGTAGCGGCTCTAATGTCTCGAGGACGAGCCTGACACAGTCAGCACCAGCAGTCATGACCAGATATTTGCACAAGATTGGAATTAGTTGCAAAGGTTTGGTTAGGGAGGTCGGGCGTACTTGTGTTCTTCTGTCTCTTGCTCGATATCGCCGATTTTGGAGGCGATGTTTTGCAGCGTCGTCTTGTAGTTTTGGTATGTTGTCTGCAGTTCTGCGGACTGTCAGAATGAATTCACTCGGCTGGGAAATGTTCCTCATACGTTGCTGCTTGTCCAGCTGCACTTTTGATGCCATCTTGGATTTGGTGATGTGAAGGTACAAGGCACGCGCCTGGTTGCGGGGAGAGCTCGGAGGTGAAGTTTTGCAACTTCAGATGGCGATGCAGCAAAGTCAGGCGTGAGGAGGGAGGGTGGCAGTCGCGAAAAGTTTCAATAGGCTGTATAACTACTACACCTTCAATCTCATCTTATATTGCGTCTCGTAGTCGCTGCTCTCTTCAAGCTGTAGCGCTTGGGCCAAGTTGGAGTTGAGTTCACGAAATGTGATGATGCCGATTGGACCCTTCTTTGGCATCCTTCGAGATCGAACTTCACGCCACTACCACTCCGCGTTCTACGAACCCAGCGCTGTCTACCACGTCCCTCGCAGCGCCTACGAGTTTAAAAACACTACGCGCCCACAATGCATCCTCATCTGCACACCGAGGAAGTCCAGAAGAGTACGTCTCACACCATCCATCACCTCACGCCCCATCGCAAGGCCTCCACACCTGCACTTAGCTCTCCCTCAGCCTCTACTCTTCAGCTCCAATGGTCCTTGCATACATCCCGTCGGCCAGCGTCCTAACCAATCATGAACAGGTTGCGCAGAAGTCGTCGCCGCGCTCGAGGAATGCCACGCCCGTGGTTTCCTGTGGAAAGTAGGAGGGAACTGCACCGACGCCAAATACCGGGTCAACATGTGCCTGCGCGGACTGCGCCTGGAGCGGACACGGCAGAATCGCGAGGAGGCGAAGGAGAAGAGGCAGCATATCAAGAAGGTTTGGGCCGAGCTGGATGCGGACAAGTACACGGAGGCGGAGAGGGCGGAGAGATTTGGAGGGGACAAGGGTGAGGGGCTATGAGGTACGGAGAAGAGCGTGTAAGATAGGGATTTGTTACGAGGGTTGCACGGCATGGAGTCTGGAGTACGTTGTACATTATGGGACTGGGGCTCAACATCTGGCGTTCTTGGGTTTTCCATCTTCTCTACTGCAGATCCAGACGTTGGGAGGCGGGATTACGAGGGTACTTTACGCTGCTTGCACAAGCGCAATCGTTCCTGGAATGCTGCTGCCCAAACCCCGACTGAAGACGAGACCAAAAAGCCGGCGAAGCCTCCCAGGCGTTCTGACTTCAAGCCCCAGGCATTAGTTGACAATGGGTGTCAGTACTGATGATCTAGAAGCCAAAGGCCGCGGTCGTTTTCGCCGAGGAGCCACTTTCGAAACACTTCGTCTTGCATCTGCCACATGTCAGCTGTTGCATTCCTGAGCTACGTCAAAATCCCACGGTAGTTGATATGCGGGGGATGGACTTGGTTGCCGTACCGTTTCGAAGTTTGTGTCCTTCTGTCGCGGGCAGAATAGGCCTACTTAGCAGGCCTACTTTGGGGTACTAATGTATGTACATTTTGCCTCCTTTTTGGCTGCGACGTCTTCGCAGAACCTGAGTCGCGCGGTTGAAAGTGGGCACGATTATGTCCTGGATCCCATGACGTCCCCAGATATTTCATTGGAGGTCAGCCTGTACTCGCCCGGATTCTGTGCGGTCCGTAAAATGCTTTCTCATGCAAGTGACAGACTTCATCGGCCTCTACTTTCGTTGCGAACAGGAGATCGACGAATGCTCTACGACCGCCTTCTCGTACTTTGAATCCTATGGCACTGGAGCAGGCCATCACGTTGTATGCATGCGACTTGGTGTAAAGCCACTGCTGAATCTTTTCGCCCCTCCAGTGATGGTCACCGGAAGGAAATCCTGTGAAGACTACGTGCCGGCCTTCTCTGTAAGCGTCGAAGATCCCCAAAGAAGCTGTAGTGCGCCGATATCGCTGCTTGATTTGAGACATATCTGGGCTAGCGTTTGCATACCAGCTCTATCTGTCGTCAAGGATGTTGCTGCGAAAGCGATCGAGCCCCGTTCCTCCTGAGTAGGGCACAATTTCGACTCTTTTATTGAACATTGGTCCTCCTGTTAACTTGACTGCACCCGTCGTCATCGCGGATGGCGATTCAAGAACGATGACGACTGCACTGGTCAGGTTAAAATTCAGATAGTCGTGCAGTATGAGAATTCGATCGCTGTTCTAATCAGTCTAAATGCGGCATTGCAGATGAGGTATCTGGCCTACACAGCCATGTTGGACTCCTCAAAAAAAGTCCTGTGATCATCCTTGAGCGCAAACCGAGGGCACCGTTCACCAGAATTGATCGACTGATATCTTCTGCGGGAACCTCGTGCCGAAATAGCCCCCCTGCATTCCAATAAGGAGGACTTTTGCGCTGAGTCTCAGAGAAGCTGTGTACCAGGCGGAATGTAGCCGGTGCAATTGGACGAAATGATCCCAACGACCGTCTAGGAACGATCTGGCTGCACCGAGACAGCATGAAGAGCTGATCATCGGCGAGAGTCCGGAAAGGGTCGATATTCCTGTAGGAAAAGGCCGCAGCTTTACAAAAGCCTTGTCTTGCCCAGTTTGCTTGGTATTTGCCCTACGTTGAAGTGAGGAAGTGGAGTCGAGGAGTGATGGCGAAGGGCTGATGAATGGAGGGCGTGTGATATCCACCAGTCCGAATAAGGCTTAGTGCGGTGCAACAGAGTGACAACCCATAAGTAATCATAGCCTCTAAAGCAATGATCAGTTTGCAGATGATACACAGAGAAGCCCTGAAGACCTCCTGCAATTTATAGAGTCTACTCCGACAGCCGAAATTTCCTGCAACACGACAGCAGGCAATGCCAGTCCAGGACCAACTTGGTATGAGCAAGTCTGGCAGTAACTGCCTGTAGACTCAGGTCGAACAATCCACATTCGCGCTACTATCAAGAATCCGAGTCCTCACTCGATCTCCCAACCAGCGGCGTTGTCCCCAGACTATCCAACCCTCTTTCTGTGATCAATCTCCCATCACCGTTCGCTGGTAGCGCAGGCAGTCCCGACTCCACCCTTATTTTCTCGTACTCCTTGCCCGTTTTCTGTAGCTGCTCCTGGAGGAACTTCTTGCGTTCCTCGATCCTGACTTTGTCATCCTTCAGCTCTTGAAGTTTGCTCAGTATCATATCCTTGCGCTGCTGCTTCGTCTTGACCTCGATCTGCAGACTTTCCAATATTTCGTTCAAATCTGGCAGGGGCGTGATCTTGGGTGGTGTCCTAGTGCCATCCTCCTCGTCCTCGATCTTCTGTCCATACCGGCCGGCGCGCGCTTGAGCGGCTGCAAACGCTGTGTTGCGCTCTTCTTCTGAGTCGTCGGATTCGGACGAGCCTTCAGCGTCGTTGATAAGCTCGACCATGTCGGCGCGCCGTTTCCGCTGCGCTTCGCGCTCTGACTTGCGACCCAGTGATATTCGACCGTCTTCGACAAAATCGTCAAAGCCTTCTGCTATGTCCTCGTCGTCGTGGATGAGACGAGTCTCGCCCCATTTGTCTTTTGGTCGTAGAGAGACCTCGTTGCGCCTCATGCGGAAGTCATCTTCTCCCTCGTCGTCAGATGCCCAGGGTCGCTCGCACTCATCTTCGTAGGCTTTCTCTTCCTGCGCAAGGCGTTTCCGTCGCGCTTTCTTCTCTTCAATCTCGGCGGCGGTAGGGATCGCAGACGATGTCTCGACAGGTAAGGTTGCAACTGTGCCAAACTTGGAGGCAATATCCAGCGCCCGTGACTCGTCTTCTTCCTCGACTGAAGGCTTCAAATCCTTGGGTGTCGTTGGTGTGGAGCTCCGCAGTTCTGCAATATAGTCCTTGCTGTACGACGGTCTCCCCTCGTCCTCAGAAGCAGCGGCGCCTTGGACTAGTGGTGATCTCGCGCGCAGCTGCGCACTCTTCTCTAGCGCTATGCGACTCAAGTTCGACTTCTTCGGCGTGACGACAGCATCGCTCGACTCGTCGCCGTCATTGGCATCTGATTCGCCGGGCCCGAAAGATATGCGCAGTGACGAGCGCTTCTTGTTCTTTCCAAATGCTGGTCGCTTTACTACGGACACTACACCGTGAGTTAGCACGGGGCGCCTGCAGAGGTCAGAACGAGGAGCCGACAGTTTGCGACAAGGTGAGAGCTTACCAGGCTTCGGTGCTTCGTTCTGTGAGCTGTTTGCGCTGTCGCCCGAGTCGTCGTCGAAGGCGCCGATTTTGCGGGCAATGCGCCCAGAGCCTGCTCGCTTCATCGTGTGTTATTGGTCTGTGTGGGTGTAGCAACGGGTGCTGAGATAAAGTCGAGGCTTCCGTCTTCACGGGCTCCGCTAGCGTGCTTTCTGCGCCAAGAATCTCGAAAACGCCCGCTCGCAAGGCGTACTGCGGACATCTCAAGCTTCCATATCAGCTCCACGTCAGCTTGTGCCCGTCTCTCGATCTATACCGTTTCTTCGCACAGTACAAATCCGCCGCCATGCCTCAAGCACAGCCCGAGCTGAAGAAGGTGCGTCTGCTGCGGCCGAGAAGACTGTTCACGAGCTAACGTTGTATAGTACCTGGAGAAGCGCGTCCTCGTCCAGCTCAACGGTAGTCGCAAGGTCATGGGCATTCTGCGCGGTTACGATGTACGTCGGATTTTCTGTGGCTGCAACGTTTCCAGCTAATATTCGAATAGGTCTACCTGAACATTGTACTCGACGACGCATTGGAAGAGAAGGCTGGCGGAGAGAAGGTGCGCATTGGCATGGTTGTCATCCGCGGAAACGCCGTTGTCATGCTCGAAGCTCTCGACCGCATCAATGTGGACATGCCTAAGATCGGACGGTAAATGGCGACACCACAAGAGGATACACTTCGCGCGGCAATCGAGACACGACCGATGCGAAAGCAGCAACACCTGAAATGAAGATGAAAGATTGGGGTGTTGGATTTCTGGTGGTAGACGGCATGCACGGCGTTCAGGCGAAATACTTTACGGGTATGCCTCCCAGATTGAGCCTGGAGGAGGTCAAAACACGTCGAACCTGCGTTGACATATATCCCATCTCAGGGCGGCACAATGATACCATAGCATGCGATCCTATTCAATTGGCGGGACTGGGTGCCAAAAGCTCGTGTGGACAAAAGTGAGGGTAGCAGCAAGCTACTGAAATACAACATTGACACTTTTCCAGCTCGTGCTCGAACTGTCAGTCCTACTCGCTAATGTATTCCTCTCTGCTCTGCTTCGTCCAGATCTTCTCCAGTCACAGTTATGCCATTCTCAAGCCCGTTGTCCGCCTTTCATTGGCGATTACTCGGAACATTCCTGGGACAATGCCCTCTCCGAACCGAACGCTCGGGACATGGAAATATCGCACTTCATAAGCGTGGGACTGCCAATAATACGGAGAGCTTCGTCACGTGCCAAACACAGATGTGCCCTGACGCAGACCTGCCGCTGGATCCGCACGGAGACTCAGCTCCTGGCGTACAAGCGCGGCTCGTATCAGATGTCGTTCTTTGCCGTTTTTGGGAAATGGCTGGGCCGTCTGGGTCGGGCGGCTCGGATGCGGGTTGTGGCTGGGCTGACTTGGACGCAGAGGGTGGAGTTGGTGAACAGGGGTGGCATTGAGGCTGGGGCCGTTGAGATGAGTGTGTAGCTCGACTTTCTGGGGAGCTGGAGAGGAAGAGATGTTCGGCGTAAGGGACTGCGACTCTGAAGGAAGTCCTTTCTAGATGGATGAAGTGCGCAAGACTCAATTACATTGGAACTAGCATCAGCACTTGTCAAATTCCAGTTGACTTTAGGCTTCGAAAACACAATTTCATGAGTTTCCGTGCTGAGCTGAGTCTCGAGACTACAACTTCGCCTTCCCGTCCTTGCTGTGCGTCCTCTTGTACTCCTGCACCAGTTCCCACGCCACCTCCGCAAACGGCTTCATCGAGTCCCCGTAATCCTTCGCCTGCGCACTACTCGCCTGTCTCACCGCGTAGCGCGCCGCAATACCTTGCATGATGATCGTGTTCCTGTACATCGCGAACGCATCGCCCCACGTCAGGTCCGGCCGTGGATCCCAGCCCGCAACCTCGCTGTACCAATCAATAAGCTGGTCGCGCGAAGGCAGCCCAGGGGTAGCGCCAGGCTTGAAGCCGGCATGCGCGCGTCCCACGGACTGCGCTTTCTCAGACGACGCGGTCAGGTACGGGTAGAGCAGGTTGCTCAGGTCCGACAGCGGGTGGCCGATGGTGCTCATTTCCCAGTCCAGGATGCCGATGACGCGCGGCTCGGACTTGTGGAACACGACGTTGTCGATCTTGTAGTCGCCGTGTATGAATGTGCTTCTGTCCGCGGGCTGCGTGGCGGCGTCGCTGAAGAACGATACCATGTCGTCTTGGTGCGAGATCTTGCCTACGGGCACGCCAGTCTCGATGTCTTTTGTTAACGCTTGTGCGAGGCTGATGGTGTTAAAGGTTGCGATTTGCCGGTTGTAGAATCCGCTGGGCTTGCCATAGGTGGAGAGGTTTACAGATTCAGGCTTCACGCGGTGAAACTTTGCGAGGGTTGTTATGGCGGAGTGCCACCTGGGATAATTAGCGAAGGGAGAACAATAGCTGGGATGGGGGGGGGGGGGGGGGTAGTACATCTGCGTGCGCTCTGAGGGTGTTACGCCGGGGATCGCGGGGTCTTCGAAGATGCGCCCGTCGAGAAACTCCATGATGTAGAAGTCGCTGCCCACGACGCTTTCATCCTGACAGAGGGCATAAGCTTTGGGTACAGGGACATCAGTGTTTTCGAGAGCGTGAATGATCCGGTATTCGCGGTCGACCTTGTGCGCTGTCTGCAAGGTGTCAGTACATTGGTTGTCATTGAAGGGATGGGATCTTGCCTTGGAGATGAGTTTGCCCGGAGGCTTCTTCCTCATAACAAACTTCTTGCCATGCTTGTCCGTGAGCTGGTATGTTGGGTTTGACTGCCCGTAGCCGAACTGCACTGCTTTAGCTTCAGCGGTCGTGTGCTCGGTAATTGACGTACCTGCTTCACTTCAATGGGGACGGCAATTTCAGGAACATTGGCGGTGATGAAGCGCTCCAGAGAGGCTATGTCGATGGGTTGTCGTACGTTTCCGGCCATTTTGTGGATCTGTGAATGGCAGACATGTTGGGGCGGGTGGAGGAGATGTAGTGACGAAGTTGCCGAGGCATTTCAAAATCTGGGGTTGGGGAACTCTGGATGCCGACTCGACCGAGCTCGAAATGCAGCAACAGCTGCGAACATGTAGATTGTTTTAGCAAGCACCTTTCAAAACACTGTTGGTACTCTCTCTTCCCAGGTCCTGCATACTTCGCAGGCGGAGCATGGCAATCTCGACGCCTGATGTTTGGCCGGACGGCTGCCTCATCGACCAGTGGGTTCCAAGACTTGGAGAAACCTCGACAATCGATATCCTGCTTTACCTCAAGAAACCTCGTCTCAGCTGTCTCTGGACGGCATAGGGACTGCCATCGCTCAGAGAGAGATGGAGTAGTAAAGGTCCACGTGAGCACGCGTTAAATTACGCGTCACGTCGTTTCAAAGAATGGGAGGCTAAGTACGCCAGGCATGTAACCGTTGTTGACTGCTTGTTTACGCCCTCAATGATTTTGTCCTTGACCGCTTCGCACGATAGACTGCAGAGGTATAGCCTCCCTAGCTTTTGTGTTCGCAGAAGGCGATCTACTGCCCCTGGACGCGAACGCCTGGTACGCGTCCCATCCTCGAGAGCACGGGCTCACTTCGTGTCGAGCCCTGCTCAGAACGTGCGCGATCAGATCTGGGACGTCAGGGCGGGTTCCCCGCGTGCCCGGGACTGTTTGCTTTTTCGTCGTCATTATAAAATGAACTTGTGTAGTCTACAGCTGATTGCAAACAAACAAGGGTTGTGCAATGGCGCTGCAGGCTGCGTGCTCGATGGCTCCAGTCAAGGAAGATGTATCTATCTATGGCGGAACTCTGTGGTTGGGCCGCAACCGCCGCTGTATCTGCTCTACCCCTGCACATCAACAAATACATGGCAACCTCGACACTCGAAACCTTGTACCACGGCAACGGCGTCGCGCAGTAGTGAAGCCAACATGTCGGGCTTTGGCAGCTCCATTAGCACGCCGCGCCGTCTACGGCCAAACCTACGACCGGCAGAGTCCTCCCCTAACCTATCGTTCTCGGCGAGTTCCGTTGCCCGCCAGGCCTCGCTCAGTGCACTCACCGGCGGCGCGTCGCCCTCTCCCAGCAGCATGGCAGACGGACAGGACATTGACGTCGGCGACCTGGTGGACGTGCCGGGCGGCATGCATGGCGTGGTCAAGTTCGTGGGCAGCATCCGCGGTAAGAAGGGCGTCTTCGCCGGCGTCGAGCTCAGCAGGGCTTTCGCATCGCGCGGCAAGAACGATGGCGCCGTCGACGGCACGCAGTACTTCACCACGACCACGCCTGGCTCGGGCATCTTCCTGCCGGCCCACCGCGCGCTCAAGCGCTCGTCCGGCACGTCGGACGACTTCCCGCCCACGCCCACGACGCCCTCCTCGTACGCGCACACCAACTTCAGCCTGTCGACCACCGAGAAGCCCAACTTCAGCCCGAACACGCCGTCGGTCGCCAAGTCCAAGTTCTCGCAGTCGGTCGGCCCCGGCGCCCGTCCGCGACGGCCCTCGCTGCCTCGCCCCGAGTCCCCGCTGCGCAAGACCTCGAACCTGGCCCCGCCCACCCCCGGTCGCAGCGGCAGCGTCACACCCTCGCACTTCTCCAAGAGCGCAATTGGGGCACCGCCGAGGTTCGCTAGTCCCGCGCCCCCGCGCACTGCCTCGGCGCAGAAGCCGCGAACACCAGGCCCTCCCTCGCGGCCCTACTCGCGCAACACAAACTCTCGGCTCGGTCAGCACGACACAATCGACGAGGATGGCGAGACCACACCGAATGGGGCAGCACGCACGAGCAACGACTCGATGGTCAACTTCAAGTCCAGCCGCATGGGCAGCCGGCCGACTTCAGCGCCCAATGCGGAGGTCCAGCGGCTGAACAAAATCATACAAGAGCGCGACAAGCAGCTAGAGGAGCAGGCGACGGCGCTCATGGACATGGAGGCAACACTGGCTGAGATCCAGAGTCTCATGCCCGAAGGCGGTTTCGAGCGGGAGCCTGCAGAGCCCAACGACGTGCGTGAGCTGCGCGCTATGCTACGCGACAGGAACGACAAGGTCGCCATGCTCACAGCCGAGTTCGACGCGCATCGAGCAGACTTCCGCAGCACGATTGACACGCTGGAGCTGGCCAGCACAGAGACAGAAAGAGTCTACGAGAAGAAAGTCGACGAACTGCAAGCTGAGCTGATGGAACTGCATTCTCGCAACGAAGACGTCGAGACCGTGGCGATGCAACTGAAGCAACTCGAGGACCTGGTGCAAGAGCTAGAAGAGGGTCTTGAGGATGCCAGAAGAGGAGAAGCAGAAGCTCGAGGGGAGGTCGAGTTCTTACGGGGCGAGGTCGAACGTGGCCGATCTGAGCTACGACGGGAACGTGAGAAGGCCGCTGAGGTGTTAAAGAGCGCCAACACCATGGCCGATGGACCGCCGCCTGCCGGTCATAGGGAGATCGAGCAGCGAGATGACGAGATTAGAGGGCTCAAGGCGATCATTCACTCGCTAAGCTCGGGAGTTCCAGAAGACCACACCCGCTCACCCCTGTCGCGACAGAAATCTGCCGTTGATCCCGAAGAGCTCAAGACTGTGCAGGCCACCGCAGAACGCCTGGAGCGCGAGAAGGAGGAGCTACGGGGGCTTGTGGAGAGGAAAGCATACCGGGAAGAGGAGCTCGAGCGACAGATTGAGAAGCTCAAGAGCCAGATCGGCAACCCTGTGCAGCGTGAGAGCGTCATTAGCAATGCCGTTTCCGAACACACAGTAAAGCAGGAGTCACGCTCGACGGCAAGAGACTCCAAGGATACTGTTGGTAGCTGGCGTGCTGCACCCCCGGCTCGCCGCGACCCGCCAAAAACCCTGGAGCCCATGGTTGAATCAGACGGCCGCTCATCTGCCGCAGATAGTGTGCTGTGGTGCGAGATCTGCGAGACTAGCGGCCACGACATCCTCAACTGCTCCGCCATGGGCGGCGATGCAGCGCAGAAGGACGCGGCATCCCACACCAGCAAGGAGGGCGAGGTCACCGAGGCGCTGAAGAATCTCTCAGTATCGTCTGATCATGCTCGCCCGGCAGGCCTGACACCAACGAAGTCGCCTGGCAACGCTCCTACGACGCCACTGCCTATTCCGTCTTTCAACCACTCCAGCTCCTCGCTGGTGCCGCCCAAGGGCGCTGCCGTGGCGGACCCAGACAAGTGGTGCGCATTGTGTGAGAACGAGGGCCATGATGTTACCGAGTGCCCGAACGAAGACGCGTTCTGAGTGAAGAGAGTACATATAGGGTCTTTTCAGCGATGATATCCAGGGTTCTATGCTTTTGTAGCACTGCGTCGTAGTTTATTCCTAATGCTGATACCCAACTCCCTTTTCGACGCTTGCATTCTCTTTCGAATACGTGAGATGATATTGCCTTCATTCATCGATCAGCGCGGGTTGACACTTGCAGCAATGTGTGGGGCCCACGTGATCTCATCTTGCGGCCTTGAGCTTCGATCTAAGCTTCATCAAAAAGTTCGTCGTCGCACGCACTTGCCATCCAACGCAGGGCGCGCCCCGCAATCCACTCTCACACACCAACCATCCTCTTCCTAGGTGCTGCGCGAACATAATAGCAGCAGAATCTTCGAAGTGTAGATTCAATCGTCGCTGCACGCCACTCTACGGCATCATTCACAGCACCTAAACGCGCGCAGCGAAGAAGACGCGACAACACCGGCATCATGGCGCAAAACCCCAACAACCTCGCGCAGTTCAAATATGCGGCGATGTCCAACCTGGTCCTCCAGGCGGACCGTCGATTTACTTCGCGCCGCCCAGATGAACACACCGGCGACCCAGAATCGCTCGCTGGTCGCATCAACATTCGGGATATGGGAGGGCGGACGGCGCAGGACAGAGCGCCCACACAAGCAAAGAAGCCCAAAGGGTTAGGCGTCGAGCGCGGCAGTCTCACAGAGGGTGGCGATGTGCTTGAACGCGAGCAGCGCAAGCGAAAGAGGGACGACGGGACAAGCGCTTTTGGAGCCACAGCCGCTGCAGACTTCAACATCGAAGGCCTGCGCTACAGACCGCGGACGCCAGCGACACGCAACACGTTCGAGCTCATCACAACCATTGTGAGCAAGGCCCTCGGCGATGTTCCCGTGTCGACCACCAGGAGTGCCGCAGATGCGGTCCTCGAATACCTGAAGGACGACACCATGAAGGATTTCGACAAGAAGAAAGAGGTGGACGACCTCCTCGGCAGCTCAATGGGCGCGAAAGAGTTCAACGAGCTGGTCAACCTGGGTAAGAAGATCACGGACTACGACGCCCAGGACGACGACGAGGACGGCGACGAGGCAATGGGCGACGCTGATGGCGCTGAAAATGACGATAATCAGGGTGTGGCCGTTGTGTTCGACGACGAGGAGGACGACGAAGAGGCCCAGAATTTCGAAGTCCGCGATGCCGATACCTCAGACGAGGAAGACGAGCAGGAAACAGCTGCCGAGCAGATTGGAATTGACGAGGAGAATGCGGACAGAGGCTTCGCAGACACAGAAGAGATGATCATACAAGGCGAAACAGCTGCCTCGTCAGATCGAAAAGACACCAACGAACTGATACCCGCACACGAGATCGACGCGTACTGGTTACAACGGCAGATTGGCGCAGTCTACGACGATGCGCACACACAGCAAGAGAAGACGCGGGACGCATTGCAGATCTTGGCTGGTGTCGGCGATGATGGCGAGGAGAAGGATCTGCGCGAGATCGAAAACGACTTGATGGATCTCTTCGATTACGAGCATCCGGAGCTCGTTGGAAAACTCGTCAAGAACAAAGACAGAGTTGTCTGGGTGACACGGTGGAGACGTGCCGCTGAGGACAACGACGAGCGAACGGCTGTCGAGCGGGAGATGAAGGCTGCGGGCCAGTCACAGATTCTTCGGGAGCTGCAAGCAAGAGAGACAGGTGTCAAGGAAGAGGATGCAGGACAGGGCAAGAAGCAGATGAACATCAAGATCAAGAGCGAATTGGACTCGAACGATGTGGACATGGAAGATGCGCCAAAGCCTGACGGTATCGTGGGTGGGTTGCACCCCAACAGCCGTTTGGTGAACCTCGAGAACATCGTGTTCGACCAGGGCAACCACCTCATGACCAACCCCAGCGTGAAGCTGCCGCAAGGTTCGACAAGAAGGCAGTTCAAAGGCTACGAAGAGATCCACGTCCCTGCACCGAAGGCCAAGCGTGACCCAAATGAGCGATTAATCCCCACCTCTGAACTGCCAGATTGGGCACGCGTAGGCTTTGGAAGTTCCAAGTCGCTCAACCGTATTCAGACGAAATGCTACCCCACAGCGTTCAATGACGACGGCAACATGCTCATCTGCGCTCCTACCGGTTCTGGAAAGACAAACGTTGCCATGCTGGCTATGCTTCGAGAGATCGGCAAGCACCGCAACCCGGAGACTGGCGAAATCGCGCTCGACGACTTCAAGATCATCTTCATAGCTCCTCTCAAGGCTCTGGTCGCTGAGCAAGTCGGTAACTTCGGCAAACGTCTTGAACCCTACGGCATCAAGGTCTCCGAACTTACTGGTGACCGTCAACTGACAAAGCAGCAAATCGCCGAAACCCAGATTATTGTTACGACTCCCGAGAAGTACGATGTCATCACGCGCAAGGCCACCGACACCAGCTATATCAACCTCGTCAAGCTTATTTGTATCGACGAAATCCATCTGCTCCACGACGAGCGCGGTCCAGTTGTTGAGAGCATTGTCAGCAGAACTCTCCGCCGCAATGACCAAACGGGTGACGCCGTTCGTATCGTCGGTCTCAGTGCCACACTGCCCAACTACCGAGATGTCGCAAGCTTCCTCCGCGTTGACCCTGATAAGGGTCTTTTCCACTTCGACGGCACGTTCCGACCTTGCCCGCTGAAGCAGGAGTTCATCGGTGTCACAGACAAGAAGGCCATCAAGCAATTGAAGGCTATGAACGACGTCTGCTACACAAAGGTTCTCGAGCAAGTCGGCGAGCACCGAAATCAGATGCTCATCTTCGTTCACTCGCGAAAGGAGACAGCCAAGACCGCAAAGCACATTCGCGACAAAGCGCTGGAGGAAGAGACAATAGGCAAGATTCTGAGATCAGATGCCGCTAGCCGGGAGATCTTGAGAGAGGAGTCTGAGTCTGTACAGAACGCCGACCTCAAGGATCTCATGCCCTACGGTTTCGGTATCCATCACGCCGGTATGTCGCGAGCGGACCGTTCGACAGTCGAAGACCTATTCGCCGATGGCTCCATTCAAGTCTTGGTCTGTACAGCAACCTTAGCCTGGGGTGTCAACCTGCCGGCCCACACCGTCATCATAAAGGGCACACAAGTCTACTCGCCTGAGAAGGGTAGTTGGGTTGAGCTCAGCCCACAAGATGTGCTGCAGATGCTGGGTCGTGCCGGCCGTCCGCAGTTCGACACGTATGGTGAAGGTATTATCATCACAACGCAGGCCGAGATCCAGTACTATCTGTCCCTTCTGAATCAGCAGCTGCCCATTGAGTCGCAACTCGTCAGCAAGTTAGTCGACAATCTGAACGCTGAGATCGTATTGGGCAATGTCCGTAATCGAGATGAAGGCGTGGACTGGCTAGGCTACACTTACCTCTTCGTTCGCATGCTGCGATCTCCAGCTCTTTACCGCGTTGGCCCGGAGTATGAGAACGACACGGTCTTGGAACAAAGGCGAGTGGATCTCGTCCATGCAGCGGCACATATCCTCGAGAAGTGCAGCTTGATCAAGTACGACAGGAAGACCGGAGCGTTGCAACCCACCGAGCTTGGAAGGATTGCGTCTCACTACTACATCTCGCACAACTCGATGATGACTTACAACCAACATATTCAGCCAGGCATCACCGCCATTGAGCTGTTCCGGGTGTTCGCCTTAAGTGAGGAGTTCAAGTACATCCCCGTCCGTCAGGACGAGAAGCTCGAACTCGCCAAGCTCCTCGGCCGCGTGCCTATCCCCGTCAAGGAAGGCGTCGAGGAAGCTCAAGCAAAGATCAACGTTTTGCTACAGGCCTACATATCGCGTCTTAAACTGGAGGGCCTTGCCCTTATGGCCGATCTCGTGTACGTCACACAATCCGCGGGCCGCATCCTCCGCGCCATCTTCGAGATCTGTCTCAAGAAGGGTTGGTCGCAGGTTGCAAAGCTGGCCCTCGACATGTGCAAGATGGCAGAGAAACGTATGTGGCCAACTATGACACCACTGCGACAATTCCCCACCTGCCCGCGCGACATTGTACAGAAGGCCGAGCGCATTGATGTTAACTGGTCGAGCTACTTCGGACTTGACCCACCTAGCATGGGCGAGCTTTTGGGCATGCCCAAGGCCGGAAAGGTCGTGTGCCAGCTCGTTGAGAAGTTCCCACGCCTCGAGATCGAAGCGACACCTCGACCAATCACAAGGTCATTGCTGAAGCTGGAACTTGCGATCAGACCGGACTTTGTCTGGGACGATGCCCTTCATGGAGCGTCAGAGGCCTTCTGGATCCTTGTCGAGGACTGCGATGGTGAGCAGATCTTGTACCACGACCAGTTCATCCTCCGCAAGGACTACTCCCATGGCGAAATGAACGAGCACCTGGTCGAACTGACAGTACCAATTGACGAGCCAATGCCGCCAAATTACTTCATCACTGTCCTGTCAGATAGATGGATGGCTTCGGAGACCAAGCTCGCGGTCTCTTTCCAGAAGCTGATCCTGCCAGCAAAATTTCCCGCTCACACACCGATCCTCGACTTGCAACCCTTGCCTGTCTCAGCACTGAAGCGAAAGGAGTACATGACTCTGTATCAGGATATCAACCGCTTCAACCGAGTCCAAACACAAGTGTTCAACTCGTTGTACACGACTGACGACAACGTTCTCGTTGGAGCGTCGGCAGGCATTGGCAAGACCTTTTGCGCTGAGTTCGCTATCCTAAGGCACTGGGCTGGCGATGCGGAGGGTCGCATAGTATACCTTGCGCCCTCCCAGGAACTTGTCGATAATCAGTACAAGAATTGGAACGCACGCTTGTCCGGTCTTGGTGGAGGCAAGGATGTTGTCAAGCTTACAGGCGAGACCACAGCAGATTTGCGACTTCTCGAGAAGGGTGATCTCATCCTCGCTACCCCGTCGCAGTGGGACTCTCTGTCGCGTCAGTGGCAGCGAAGGAAGAACGTCCAGACCGTTGCACTTCTGATCGCTGACGAGCTGCACATGCTGGGTGGTGCCAACGGACATGTCTACGAGATTGTAGTCTCTCGTATGCAAGCCATGGCAGCCCAGCTCGAGTCCAAGCTGCGCATTGTAGGTCTCAGTGTCTCCCTGGCCAATGCACGAGACATAGGAGAGTGGATCGGCGCCACTAAACACACCATCTACAACTTCAGCCCAGGCGTACGCTCAGTACCCCTTGAGCTGAAGATCCAGACCTTCACCATCCCCCATTTTCCATCATTAATGATGGCGATGGCTAGGCCAACCTACTCAGCCATCACACAGATGTCGCCAGACAAGCCAGCAATGGTTTTCGCGCCGAATCGCAAGCAAACCCGCTCTTCTGCTTCTGATCTGTACGCCGCTGCTGTTGCGGATGATAACGACGATCGCTTCCTCAACACAGCTTTGGAAGAGATCCAACCTATCCTCGAGAAGATCAACGAGCAATCGCTTGCTGAGTCGCTGACACATGGTATTGGATACTTCCACGAGGCGCTCAACTCTTTTGACAAGAAAGCTGTGCAGCATCTGTTCAAAGTCGGCGCCATTCAGGTTCTGATTGTCTCACGAAACTCGTGCTGGGAGATCGACAGCAGCGCCCATCTGGTCGTTGTTCAAGGCACGCAGTTCTTCGAGGGTCGCGAGCACCGATACGTCGACTACCCCATCAGCGAGATCCTTCAGATGTTCGGCAAGGCCGGCAGGGTCGGACAAGACAAGTCGGCAAAGGGTGTTCTCATGCTGCCCGCGGTCAAGCGCGATTACTTCAAGAAGTTCTTGAATGAGGCGCTGCCGATCGAGAGCCATCTGCATGATTACCTGCACGATGCATTTGTTGCTGAGATCAGTGCGAAGACGATCGAGTCAACTCAGGAGGCTGTCGACTGGTCGACGTATACCTGCTTCTACCGCCGTCTCCTGGCCAATCCCAGCTACTACAATCTCCATGACACCTCGCACGAGGGTCTCAGCGCTCACTTGTCAGAGCTGGTCGAGCAGACGCTCAAGGAACTGGCGGAAGCCAATCTGATCGAGCACGACGAAGACGAGGACTCGATCACACCTCTCAACCCCTGCATGATCGCCGCCTACTACAACATTTCCTTTATCACCATGCAGACACTGATGATGTCGCTCAACGGGCGCACCAGCCTCAAGGGCGTCCTCGAAATCATCACTGCGGCCACCGAATTTGAAGACATCCAAATCCGGCGACACGAAGATCACATCCTGCAGCGCATCTACGACCGCGTGCCCTACAAGATGGGCGAGCCCAATTTCGAAACCCCGCACTTCAAGGCCTTTGTCCTGCTCCAGGCCCACTTCTCCCGCATGCAGCTCCCCATCGATCTCGCCAAGGACCAGGAAATCGTTATCCGCAAGGTGCTCAACATTCTCAGTGCATCCGTTGATGTGCTCTCCTCTGAGGCCCATCTCAACGCCATGTCTGCGATGGAGCTGAGCCAGATGGTTGTCCAGGCTATGTGGCAGAAGGACAGCCCGCTCAAGCAGATCCCGCACTTCGACGCGTCGACCATCAAAGCCGCGAACAAGTTCGAGATCAACGATGTCGACGACTTCATTAACGCCATGGACGAGGACGAGAACCCGGATCACAAGGCACTGATCAAGGCGCTCGATGTCGACCAGCGCCAACTCGCCGACATCGCCAACTTCACAAACAACTACTACCCCAACATCGAACTCGAGCACGAACTCGTCGACCCGCAGGATATCGCGAGCAATACCCCCGCACAGCTCAGGGTGCGCATCACGCGCAACATCGACGACGACGACGAGCTCAAGACAGACGTCCACGCGCCCTTCTACCCGGGCGAGAAGAGCGAGAGCTGGTGGCTCGTGGTCGGCGACCAGAAGGAGAACGCTCTCCTGGCGATCAAGAAGGTTACTATCCCAAGGAAACTGGAGACGATGCTCGAGTTTACGCTTGAGAAGCCGGGCAAACATGAGCTCACGCTATATCTTGTGTCAGACTCGTATCTTGGCGTTGATCAGGCGCCGACGTTCAAGGTGGATGCCGCAGAGGGTATGGAGGAGGACAGCGAGGGAGAAGAGGAGGAAGAGTAAGAGTAGATGGGATGTATATTTTGAATCGGCTTTGCAACGGTCGAGGCGTTCGAAGGGTTTGTTTTTGTAGTATAGCATTTGTCTGTCATGTCGAAAAGTTCAAGACATTACTCGTTTGAGAACCTTACATTCTTGCTGCACTTCGCCGTTCTGCGTAGCTGTGCGTCTCCATCTCGCTCACCCGCTACACCTTCACTTTCCCACGCTCTATCCCAAATACGATACAGCAGCTCCCTGTCTCCACTGTCGATGTAGCTCCTGCGTGGTTTGCGCGGTTAGCGTTGCGGTGTTTTCTACAGCGTGCGCGGAAGATGATTAAAATATCAGGTTTGAAATCGGATGAAGGTGGAGGCCAGCACACCTGCAAGGTCGGTGAGCCAACGGGCATGTCAGATTCCACTGCTCTATAATCACCTCTGCATTCTCGCAACGTTGAAGCTCAATTGAAATATATACGCAAGACATTGTGACCTCATCAGGATCTCACTGATACAGTAATGTGTGTGTCGTTTGAAGGAGGCTTGATTAATGCCCTGTAGCTCACCACAGTGGCTCGTAGCACTTCGTGGTTGAGCCCGCGGGGTACTGGCAGGTAATGATGCAACAACAATGAAGGCGAGCAGTGAGTATACAACATAGAGTGCAACTGTACATTGAAAGGAATGTAATAGCTGAACATGGCCGAATCTAGACAAGGTTTGCGTGTACATGTGTCGAGGTGATGTGAAAGTCATTATCTGCCTGGAGTGCTGCAGCCCTCGTAGCGTTCTCCGATAAACTAGGTCGTCGCCACAAGATTGTACTCCGGGTACGATAGTTCTGCTTTAATCCCATTAGTGAAAACTCCAGTCCTCATTGACTATGCGATTTGCACGCTTATAACTGCGGGGGAGTCAGGTCCTTGCCGATGTGTTGCCAGTGTGTAAGGCTTGAAGTTGGTGTTCAAAGTTCATTCTTATTTGACATTATTCATTGCCTTTCAGCCGGTCGATAAAATCTAGTACAGAGCCTCACGTTTTCCACCCTTGCTCTTGCCACCGAAACCAGGCCCCTTGCCAGCTCCACGGCCCTTGTCGATCTTGACAATGAAGACACCACGCTCAATAGTGTTGACAAGAACGTAGCCAGAGGGGAAAAGGAAGTGCGACCAGGTACCGACGAAAGCAACGGTACCCTCACCAGCATCGTCCTCGGGGTAAATGTCGAAGAAAGCCTCAACAGTGACGCCCTTACCAGTGGGATCCTTCTTGATCGAGCGGACGTCATGAACCCAGATACCGTTGCCGTAGTTGGACTGATAAGCAAGGCCGTCGACGATATACAGGTTGTGGTCAATACCCTTCTTGTCAGTGGCAAAGAAGTTACCGGTGTACTTGGGGTTCTTGAGATCAGATAGATCGGCAATATGGGTTACGGGGCGGCCAGAGGCGCCAGCACCGGCGCCGTTCACCTCATCGAGCTCGTCGTTGAACAGGACGTACTGGTGCCAGTTGCGCTCAGTCCACCAGCCCTGATGAACGTAAGAGGCGCCGGGGTAGGAAAGCTTGGAGAGGACTTCGGATGCAGGCTTGCCGTCCTTGGATGTTGAGTCGTAGATGGTGACGGTGTCCTCGTTGTAGCCGATGCAGATGTTGCGGCCGCGGTAGCGGCGGTCAGGGCCGTTGTAGGTCACGCACTGGGCATCGTGAACGTAACCGTCCTGACTAGCACAGCCGGGGGTTGAGGGCTTGCTGGGGTCCTTGAGGTCGATGTACTGTAGACCGGCAGCGCAAGTCTGGTTGCGGGGCTGAGCGCCAACAGCAATGGCGTACTCGTTGTCCCAGTCGATAACGACGTTGTGGGTGCGGCCAATGGGGAGAGTGTCGCTGAAGAGACCAGTCAGGTCCTTCTGGGTGTCGAACACCTTAGGGCTCTTAGGGTCAAGAGTCAACAGCTTGTTAAGGTCAAAGATCTGGACGTTGTGATCAACGGCCTCAGAGCCGATGATCACGTAGTCGTTCAGGACTCGGATCTCGCGCCATCTGGAGCCGATGGGGTCCTGAGCAGGCAGGCGTCCAAGATAGCTGATCTTGCCCTTCTTGGAGATCTCAATGAAGGCAGCACCGCTGAACTGGCCAATGATACCGAACTCACGTCCGTTCTTGGCGGTCCAACCCCAGGAGGAGGATCCACGGCCTTCGGGACCACCAATATCGGCATGGTTGGCGAAGTCGTAGAGGTCCATGTTGTTACAACGGAAGGTCTGGTTGGCATTGCCTTGCTCGACAATAGCCAGGCCGTTCTTGCAATCAACCTTGTCCTTCTTGCCAAACTTGACGGCCTCGTAGTTCTTCCACGAAGGCCAGAGCTTAGTGTCGTTGGAACCTACACGCGACTCCTCGTCATGTGACCATTGGTCCTGTGCAGTGTGAGTGAATGCTCATTATCGGTGCACGTGAAAGTGATCGTACGGTCTTGATCTTCATCAAGTGAGCGTGAACAGCACCCGATGCGTACTCTTGAGCAGAGAACGCCGCAGCGTTAGCCGCAACGGGCAATGCGAGGGAAGCCAGAGAGAACTTCATCTTGGCGGCAGATGCAGTGGAGTTGGATTGAGCAAGAATGAGCACATTGTCTTATGATGTCGCACGCCGTATTTATACAGCATCGCCTCGCTGCTTGGATCCAACCTCTTTGCACTGCATCTGCATCCGCCAGTTCATCTGCTGGTAACTGTCTTGGAAGTCGACCATCGGTGCTGGGCAACCACGCGTGCTTGGCATGCTACACCACATGCAGAAGGTGAGATCATCATTACACTTCACCCTTCAGGCAGGTGAAATTCCTAGCTTCTGGATGCTGCACCCGCCACAGCAACACCCCCCGTGATAACGACTTGCGCCATTTGACGCTATCACTCGGCGCCTTGGCCAGTATCGCCTCACAGAACAATGGTGCTCGTCGGAGGAAATCAATACCTAGGTACGAGCCGTGAGAGCCTATGCCAAGACAACGTCAATTACGGATCCCAGGACTAGGCGCGGAGCAAGCACTCGCTGCAGAACCAAGACTTCTTCGATAGCTCCTCATGCGACCGAACAGCAGGTACCAGGTGCGCGGGACCGGGCGGCTGGAGATGAAGACGTCGAAAGTTTCGCTGGCAAAAAGCCGTGGGGATGGATCTGAGATGAGATCGTGGTTGGAGAGGTCTGCGGAAGCTCTGCAGAAACCCTGACATCGACTTGCCAAGATTTGTTTTGCGGGGGCGGAACGCCACCGACGCGAGACTCCTCTTCTTGCACCACAGCACCGACCCAACCGTTGCCAACCGAGGTGATGTTGTGCTCCTGCCTAAACGACAATCGCGTCAAGGCTTTTCGACATCAAGGTCTACAGCCCGAGCACCATAGCGCCCATGCGTGCGTATCGTCAGCACACTCGCGCATGTCGTAATTCTGCAGTGCAACACGATACCAGTCCAGAGCAAAGTTCCGTCGAACATGGCGAGAAGATAACATGTGGTGGTGGCACATTGATGATTCTTCGAGGGAGAGCGTGCCAGTCGTGCAGTGAAAATCAGTAAGGAATCAATGATGAGTGTGAAGGAACGGAATTGAGCGTAAGACCTCACACATTGGTAGCCCGGTACCTCCCACGATTTCAGACCTAGATTTTGGTCCTCAATGCTCTCAGGTTCTCTGAGTGTACGTCCTTGCTTCGTCTAAGCCTCACAATCACCCTGCCACTTCCGTGTGGTTCGACAGCCACGCCCTAGAACTCGCAGCAAGCACTTCCAGTGGAACTCCGTCATGCTTACTTCTTATATTCTCCATGGAGCATCCAGTCAAAATCCTGTTTTCATCTCTTCTACATTCTTGGCTAGCAGTCGACTTCTCCGTGTCCTCGTTGACCTGTGAAGTTCGAGCAAGGAGCCTTTACCCGACAGCATAGCATTTTCAACATCCCGGCTGGTTCGTATAGACGTAGTAGGTCACCACTCATATTAGGAGCCGATTTGGCATGGGGATACCGACTATCACGGATGTTGTCCAGAATTGCCGTAGAGTTGTCGAAGGAGACTGGTCGTTTCTTTGGTGATGGATTCAGCTACCTCGAGTGGTATGACGGCATGCTAGGCAACTGCTTTCAGGTATACAGCCGTGAATTTTCTTACCATTGCGCTCTAGAGTATGCTGTACGCCAGGCAATGCGCCGATTCCAGTCGTTTGTCATCGTACAGGCCGATTGCAAGCAGTCAACCTTGCAGCATAGTAACTGAGTATTTTGGACTGTAGAAGATTCTTCCGTAGTACTATGATGCTGGAAAGCATTGAACAGGAATATCAGGGACATAGAATCCGATGGGAGCTCAGAGATCGTAGGCATGGGTGTCGGATGCAGAAAGGCAGGCGTCACGAATGCGCTGAGGACGGGGAAGGCGCAGTATGATCTGATAATTTGGACAACGACGGTACCACAAAGAAGTCCAAAGTCGAAAAGGGGCCCTGCATGAACAAATGATATCTAAAGCTGATTGTTCTATTATGCCCAGGACGTGGTGAGTTTCTCGGGGCCAATCGCGCTGGCAAGCAATCGCTTTACCCCGACACAAGCTATAGCCCCAACTGGTGCAGGATTCAGATACAATGTGAATTCCAGAGAGGCCTGTCGTCGTGGTTCTGAGTCTGCTCATTATATCCATTTAGCTACATAAATCCCTACGGCCGACTTGGTGTATGTGGCAAGCGTCTTGCTTCTATAGTGCGTATCTGAACTTCCTGTTCTGAAAATCAGTAGTGTCATCAATAGTTTCCATCTCGCCCTCGACCACATCATCCTGGGAGGGGTTTGCGGCTTCTTCGCGGTCACGCTGAGCGTTTCGCCTGGCCAGAAGAGCTCGCAGGCAGAGTGCAAGCACACACTGCACAATGGCACACGCTAAGATGGTCTTGACCCCAGTCTCGTACTTTGGTGCTTCCTTCGCTATGAACGCTTGAGGACCTGAACGAGCAGCATTAGTAATTGACAATAGAATCGAAGGGGAACAGACCACCTACCGATGATGTTGCCTACACAGTAGGCCAAGAAGACGAAGGCCGTACTGGTAGTTCGTTTTGTGTATCCGCCCACGTTCGAGGCTGGCAATTGAAGCGCAATGACGAGCGAGCCGACGTACGCGCCAATCTGGGTGAGTCAGCCGCAGTGAGTCTCATCCCGGGATCAACAACATACCATGTAGTAGCCTGCAAGATTGCCAGCAAGGTTGCTTCTAGGCAATCGCCAGATAAGACAAGTACCAATAATTGTGGGACAAAGGTAGAGAACCATGATGTATGTGCGAGCATTTGGCAGACGAGAAGCGAGGTACGGCCCGGTGAAGACCCAAAACACCTGCGCGAAGCCTGACGGTATGCCGTACAACGTAGTCCTCAGAGAGTCACCACCTGCAACGTCCTTGATGATGAGCTTCCCAAAGTTGGCAATACCACCGTTGATGACTTCGTTCAGTAAAGTGTACACAAACAAAATCCATATCTGAGGGTCTGACAGCGCTTCCCAGACTTGTGGTAGCTTGATTTTCCGGTTGTACACACCAGTACGGTTCTTAGCTGAACGGGCAATGAGAAGCGCCTTCTCCTCGACGGTGAAACTCTTGGCTGTCATGATGTTGTCTGGCAGTCTGATGAATAGTACTGTGGCCCAAAGGACCGTCATACCGCCGCAGATGATGTAGATGATCTTCCAGACAGCGAAGCCTTTCGCGTATCCAGCACAGTAAAACAGTATGCCTCCCGCCGCGTTGCCGATGCCGTTGAAGCAGTAGAACATACCAGCCCTTGCAGGCTGTTGTTGCCCAACGTACCACATACTGACGATCATCATGAAAGCAGGTGTGACACTAGGCTAGTCAGAATCTACATCTCAAGAGTATTCTCAAAACTTACATGCTCTCAAAGATCCCAAGCAAAAACCTCGTCGCGGCGAAGCCAGCAAAGTTGTGAGTCGCAGCCGTGCAAAGCATGACGGTACCCCAGCAAAAGCAGTATGTGGAAACGACTCGTCCGGTTGGGAAGTGTTGCGCAAGGTAGGCAGACGGCCATTCGGCAATGAGGTACGCGAAGTAGAATATGGATCCGAGCCAAGAATACTGAGTCCCAGTGATGCCAGTAGTCTCGAAAAGGTCGAAAACCGCCGAGTAACTAGCGGCCTGCTTGTCGATGTACTGCAAAAAGTAGGTACCGCACAGCAATGGCAGCAGCAACAGGTCGACCTTTCTCACGAGTCGCTTGTTGAGTGCCTCGTCTTGGAGTAGCTCCGAGAGGTACTCCGATGTATAGTTGTGCTGCCTGAGAAACTGGCTACCCTCATCGAGATCTTCGACCTGTCCCACGACCGAACTGTCAAGCTTTTGGAGATGGTTGGCGTCTACGTTGCTTCTCTGCAGCTCCATGTCTTCTGCGGTAGCGAATGCCTTACTGTCCTTCGGAAGTTCCTGAGAAGTACGCATGATGAAGATGAAAATTGCTTGGGGAAGACCAGAGGACAGAGTTGCCAACCAATGCAGTCTTCGTCATGGCTGAACTGGAGTTTTAACTCCTACCATCCCCACATCTCCGCACTGAAGGTAGGCCCCACTGATAGGACGTAGGTTCTGATATGGTGATTGATAAAGAACGATAAGGTTCACAATTATTGGCTTACATTTCGTCTCCAGCAATCACCTATCTTGAGGCCAGGATGTAAACCTGATACAGGACGTTGAGGTTGGCGTGAAGGGTTCAGAGGAACGGTTATGGAGATACGGCACCGCATCGATAGGGTGATGCATGGTGCCGTTAGCGTCCGACGGTAGACCAGGCTCGATATGGTTTAGCCTCCGTTGGCGCAGTGCCGTCAACGCGGCAATCGTAGGCAAGAACATCACGAAGAACGAGTGCACGTGCTATCAACCGTAGCAGGTATCTACGGGCGATGCTAGGAAAAGAAAAGGCCGCACTTTGCTAGAATGCGCAACTTGACACATGTTGCGCCTAACTTCACCTCTTACATCGACTTCAACGATCACAAAACGCGTTGTTATCACTGACACCCCCTTTGAAGCCGGTGCTACCTGACTACCAGAGTTAGAAGTGAAATGCCTGATATCGTTGTAATTGGGTATGTGTTACTCTGATTTTGCGAGGCCAAGTCGCATAACTTTCACAGGACTGACTTTGGCGCAGAGCAGGAGTGTCCGGACTGACCTCAGCGTACTTGTTGTCTAAGGACAGGTCCAACTATGTTACGGTTGTAGCCAAGCATATGCCGGGCGATCTTGACATCGACTATGCGTCTCCTTGGGCTGGTGCCAACTTTGTACCGTAAGTTCAACGAGGTGACTGTTGTTCTGTACTGTGGCTGACAAGACGTGCAAGAATGTCATCAGAACCAGAAAGCCGTTGGGAGCGAGCGACATGGCCAGTTTTGAAAAGACTTGCGACAGAAGTACCGGAGTCGGGCATCCATCTCCAGAGTACGTTGTTATATCTAGTGGATAAGTTGACAGGAATACTGAAGCTGCTAGATTGTCGGCTGTACCGCCGGAAGAAGGACGAAAAGAAGCTTCATGGCGACAGCACAATGCTCAGCAACGTTTTCGCAGCGAATCCATGGTATCGTGAGCTTGTCGATGACTATCGAGACCTTAGACAAGATGAACTGCCAATAGGAGTCGGATCCGGCTGTGAATTTGGATCTGTCTGCATCAACCCCGGTTTGTATCTGTCATGGCTTGTGGGCCAGTGTAGAATCAATGGGGTGAACTTCCAACGCAAAACTTTATCTCATGTGTCGGAAGCACGGCATCTTGGCAAACGTGGCATCAGACCAGCAATCATCGTCAATGCTACCGGGCTCTCATCTCGGATATTGGGAGGTGTCCTGGATCAAAGTATGTATCCGATTAGAGGTCAGACGGTCATTGTGAGGAATGTGGCCCCTTTCATGGTGATTGAGTCCGGTACAGACGATGGAGATGACCAAGCATGCTACATGATGACTCGTGCCGCTGGTGGCGGGACGATCTTAGGAGGAACGTTGCAGGTCGGCAGTTGGGAAAGCCAGGCAGATCTGAATATTGCGAATCGCATCATGCAAAGGGCAGTCAGCATTGCTCCAGCCTTGACAGGGGGCAAGGGTATCGAACACCTCGATGTGATCCGCCATGGTGTCGGGCTACGTCCAGGAAGAGAGGCAGGTGTACGACTCGAGAAAGAGAAGATCGATGGTGCTTGGATCGTGCACAACTATGGGCATGCCGGTTGGGGTTATCAAGGGTCTTATGGCTGTGCGGAAGAGGTTGTGAGCCTTGTCAACGGCATTGCACCAGATGCCAGGCTGTAGTGATCAGAGCAAACAAATACTTGAGTAAGATAGCAATGGGGTTCTGTTATTATGCAACCTTTGAGACCCGCAACTTTGGGACTATGGAACCTTCCTCTCTAGATGTGGAATAGCTTGACAATTGCTGTCTTTTGATGGCCATGGCGAATTTCTGACCGATACAACTTCATTCGACGAGGCTTTGTCGTTGAGGGTGAGACTGTGCAGAGGGTGGCGGGCTTGCGTCTTGTCGACACGATGTGCTTCAGGTCGGGGAGGTTTGAAGAAGAGTGAAGAAGTCATGGTATTTCGAGCATATGGAAGAACTGTGGGGCACGGCTTGAAAGAGTCAGGCTAACCCCGAAGGGTGCACTTGCTTATCTCTCCTAAAACGACGGCCTGCGATCGATGCGTCTTTCACAACGACACAAAGTGGGTGTCACCAATTGCGGTCCCAATGAGTGATGAGCGACCTGCAAAGCGTATCCGACAAGCCTGTGAGCAATGTCGACGCAAAAAGAGCAAGTGCTCCGGGGAGAGACCGGTGTGCAGTACCTGTTGGCGGCTCGAGCAGCATTGCTACTACTATGGAGAGCCACTACGGCCGGCGTATGACTCCATGGTCAATGTACACAGTGCAAACACAGCGCCATTTACACCAGCTCCTATGCGTGTCGCAGGCAGTCCACAGGACCTGGTATACCTTAGCCACCACAGCTCACATAGCGGGAGCTGATCATCACAGGACGATCGCATGGTAACGCTAGAAACGACTGTGAACACGATCCTGGACACGCTGCAATCAAACGGGGCTACTGCCCAATGTTGTAACCACTACGAGTCCGCCCCAGGTGTACATAGCGTGCGCGACGGCATCATCCAGTCTCCTATACCACCCCTCACAGCGATCATTGGCAGTCAGCCAGCATCGAGACAAATGAGATTGACCAAGAGAAGGGAGATTGAGGGAATTGGTCGAGTGTATTTGAACTTCTGCGCCGATCAGCCGCTGCCCCTCTTCCCGGTAGAAGGCTTTGTCGAATCACTTGTTGACCGAGCCGACATCACACTTTTTGCGATCATTGCGAACTCCTTGCGCTATGACAGCGCCACTCGGGAAACCTCGAGTAGTGCAGACAGTCAGACTTTCCGCGATGCAGCTCATTCCGGAGTCATGGCAGATGTTGGTCATGGCGATGTTAAAATTTCGACTCTTCAAGCGCTCTGCCTCATCACCTTCTTTGACTTTGCAAGTAAGTCTTCATCCCCGAGTTCTATGGTCTCTTCGGTTGATCATTGACTCCAGACGGCCGCATGAAGATAGCATCGTCACTCATGGCTCTGACGTCAATTCTGGCTTCGGATATAGATCGCTGGGCCTCTCCAGCGTTGCATGGATCAACCACCGAAGAGCGCAGATGTTGCTACTGGAGTATCACACTACTTGGAAGGTTGCTGGGTGCCACGACACCGTTAGGGAAAATCCCAGACGTGAGGTCGCTGCCTTACCCCGGAAGTTGTTCCATGCCGACTGGCGCAGTCCTTCGACCAGAAGTTAGGCAGGCATATGAACAGTCGAAAGATGACAACGGAGTGATAGTGTTCGTCATCGAAATGAGCGAAGAATGGGTCAAGGTGATGTCTTACGTCAAAGACTGCCTCGCATCGACTCCGGATGTATCACCATGGTTGACCACTTCCAGATATGCTGCAGCGCTAGCAGGTGTTATGAGCATCGAGACTAGACTAGTGCCTCTGCACAGGTACAAACATGTCACTTTCCGCGATCTGACCCTTGAGGATCTCGAAGGATGTCGTCAGTACTGGGCTCCGTGGCTCCTCAGTCGGTTCCTTTACCACACCATGATCTGCCTGCTCAATCACCCTCTCCTGATTACCCTACAGCTACAGGCTAAAGGCAATGACTCCGAGTTGTTCCGACAACAGTCTTCTTTTTACGTGGCTCGCCATGTGCACTGGATTTTGCATTTCATCGCTTTTATTGAGGCGAGGCATTTCCGCATCACAGATCCCGTCCTAGGTTACTGCGCAGCAGTGGTGGCGACGATTGAATCGCAGCTGATATATTCAGTCGATGAGGTCACGGCACAGAAGAAAAGACGCAACATTGAAAGTTGTCGACGGCTTATTCGTAGTCTCGCGTCGTCGAATCCCTGGATGATAGAGCTGGTAAGCTGCACTCCCCGTGCTTTACGCGGCTTGCGAGCTTCTCGAATCATTGTCCCGCTTACCTGTCCTACAGGATGGAAAGCTAGGAGCATTGGACAAAATCATTTCGACCACATACGCATCTAACATGAACAGTGCTGCAAGTGTCTCGGTCGATCTGTCTCGGATCAGGGACATTCTCGACATCTGTCCTCCTTCCTTTGCCTATTCGAATCCCAGACCGGTTAACCAAGGTACCACGGCCCCGACAACTGTTTCCGACGGCCCGAGCCCGTCGCAATGGGTCCGTCTCTCCAGGAGGCCTTCCGTAGACCAACCTGACGAAGGTGGATCGCCGACGCAAGACGAGAGTCGGACCCGCCACTCAGGCCCTGTCCTTGCACCTGACCTCTTAACAGAGAACGCAGCATTGCAACCGGCCTCTCCGATGCAGGGCGCCAGCGCCTCGATAGAGCCTGCAGGTTTTCCTGCGGACTTGTTCTTCAACGGCATCTCGCAAGACGTCTCCAGCTGGTGGAATACATTCGACACATACGATCCCGATTACCCTAGCTTCTGAAGAGCGGAGAATTGACAGACGAGCCTACCAAGAACCATGTCATAGTGTCACGATAAGAAGCTGCCACCTTCACTGCCGATGTTTAGGCGTGCAGTGTGGGGCGGGCTAACGGGTTGGATCCGACGGATGTAGTGGACCCCTGCTCGGCGGGGAATCTATGGTGGATTGTAAGGTATCGTCAATTATCGAAAGTGGGTAACAATGATGGTGTTAGGCAATGCTTATCCGGGTGATCACTAACTATGGAAGTTGCTACATACGATCACGTTATCACTACACCTAGACGGAACCGGTCTGTCAGCTCGAACATTGCTGTTTAACATCGTCCATACGCCGCTTGCAAACACCACGTCCAAGCCTACCACGACAGGTCTTGTTCATTGATACGAAACAGCAAGATGGTCTCTACCGATAAGCCTGCGCAAGGACCTACAGCTCGGCTTCCGCAAGGCTTGGTCGTTGGCACCACGCTGAAAGGAGAATACCCTCGCAGCATTGAAGCTTTCAGAGGAATCCCATACGCACTGTCACCAACGGGCGACCGCCGTTTTCGCCCACCAGTAAACGTGCCAAACAGTCACGATACCATAGATGCAACGCAATTTGGCCCTAGGGCCCCAGCCCGGCAATTCGTCAAGGTCGGACCGGCGTTGGAAGAGAGCGAAGACTGCCTTACCGTGAACGTGTTTCGCCAAGCACAGCACAGCCATGTCTCGGACTTACCGGTCGCCGTCTACTTCCACGGAGGCGCTTTCAATCGGGGCAATGCTGCCATGCATGACACGGCGTCCATGGTAGGATGGTCAGAGCTCCCGTTCGTCGGAGTATCTTTTGGCTACCGGATTGGAGCTCTAGGGTTCCTGCCTTCGAAGTTGAGCGCCACGGAGGGAGCTTTGAACTTGGGATTAAAGGATCAGATATGTCTCCTGGAATGGGTTGAAGAGAACATTCGTCACTTTGGAGGAGACAAGAACAACGTGACACTGATTGGGCTCTCGGCGGGAGCACACTCGGTAGGTTGGAAGCCTTGCCATCTTACCAGTCGCTGACCACGCGGCAGATCGGCCACCACCTGCTAAACTACGACGAGGGCAAAGCGCCCAAATTCCACCGCGTCGTGCTCGAGTCCGGCGCGCCTACATCCCGCGCGGTGCGCAACCCAGACGCAGAGATCCACGAAGCACAATTCAAAGACTTCCTCAAGCAAGTCAACTGCCCGGCCTCTCTCCCAGAAACGGACGTCTTCGACTACCTCCGCAGCATCCCGACCGCCGTCATCGCCGACGCGCAAACCACCGTCTTCGCAAAGTACAACGCCAGTCTCCGCTGGGCATTCCAGCCCGTAATCGACAACGCGACCGTCCGCGGGCGCCCAATCGACGCCTGGCGCACAGGAAAATGGCACAAAGTGCCCATCATGACGGGCTTCCAAGGCAACGAGGGCTCCCTGTACGTGGACAAGCAAATGTCAACCTCGCACGAGTTCACGGCCTTTTGGCAAACTCTCCTCCCCCAGCTCAGCCCCGACGACATCGCGCACATCAACGGCCTGTATCCAGATCCGCACACGCACCCCGCCTCGCCATACGCCGAGTCCCGCACCGCCCTCGGCGTAGGCGACATGTACGCCCGCATCGAAGCCGCGTACGCACACTACGCGTACGTCGCGCCCGTGCGCCAAACCGCCTTTTTCGCCAGCCAGCATGTGCCTGTGTACGTGTACCACTGGGCGTTGCGCCGTGACGTGATCGACGGCGCCAAGCACGGGGATAACATGCTCTTCGAGGTCCGCGACGCGGCGCTGTGTAAGCAGGCGCCTAGCCTCGCTAAGCTGTCGGGGATGCTGCATGCGTATGTGACCAGCTTTGTGTGCACGGGGAGTCCGGACGGGCTGCGTGGGGCGTATGGCGGGCGGTCGCCGTGGAGCGCGTATGCAGGGCCGGACCCGAGGGTTTTGATGTTTGGCGGGGGGAACAGTGAGTTTATTGGGGGGGAGCGGGTGGGGGAGCTTGTTGAGCTGGTGGAGGACGAGTTTGCGAGGCGGGAGTCTGAGTTTTGGTGGAGTAAGGTCGAGGTCTCGCAGCAGTAGCGTGGGGTGTTCAGAGAGGGTTTGGTGTGGCGGATGGGGCGTTCTTTGCGCTGCATGCTGGCTTGGGAGTACGAACAGACGAGAATGCTTCTAAAGCCGTTGGCCACACCGGATTGCTGCTCTGCGCTTGAGAGTACCAACAGACGAGAATGCTTCTGAAGAGTCGTTGGCTACACCGGATTGCTGCTCTGCGGTCTTGTTTCAAACATGTTCCCAAGGACACATCATTGAGTGTAAGCGCTGGAGCAATGAACTTGTCGATTCGACTAGAATGGGAGGTATCATGTACGAGCGAAGAAAATAAAAATCAGCAATGTACTAATGACAAAAGGACAGCGAGTCCGTTGAACAATCTCGACCAAGAATCAGCACTCAGCTATAGCCCTTCCGCACACAGCTATAGCCCTTCAGCACTCAGCAACTATAGCCCTTCAGCACTCAGCAACTATAGCCCTTCCGCACTCAACTATAGCCCTCCCGCACTCAACCATGGCCCTCCCGCACTCAACCATGGCCCTCCCGCACTCAGCTATGGCCCGCCGGCGTCGCGGCTCTCTGCAGCGCCGTAGCTGGTCTTCCGCCCCGTAATGTCCTGCCAGGTAGCGCCAAACCTGCGGCCGGTGCTCGCAAGCAGGCCCTCCTCCTCGTCCTCCTCCAGGTCGGCGTCGATCTGGTCCTGGTCCAGCCGGGGGACCTTGAACAGGGTGGTGAGGAAGACGACGGCGTAGACGGCGAGGAAGGCAAACTGGGCCCAGAACAGCACGAGGCCGAAAAAGGGAAAGTTGATGGTGACGCGGTTGATAAAGGTGCTCAGGACCGAGGGCGTGCAGACGTCGTGGGCCACGGGGTTGGAGGCGAGCTCGGAGCAGGGCTTGATCGCCTCTCTGTGCTCGGAGCAGTCGGGGCGGTCGCCGGCGCGGTTGACGGGCAGGTCGCAGTAGGTCTGGGGCCCAAAGGTGGCGTACTGCGGGGCGACGACCATGGCGACGGAGTAGTTGATGCCGAGCACGATGAGGGTGAGCAGCACGGTGGCCATGAGCAGCGCCTGGGGCGAGGTGTGGCCCTTGCGGATCTTGAAGATGGTGAGCCAGAGAAAGCGGATGCCGGCTGTGGCGATGCCGACGACGGAGGCGGAGAAGAGGAAGAGGGTGAGCAGCAGGAAGAGGACGTAGTCGACGGGGAAGACCCTGGCGGACTTGACGAGGACCCAGTTCAGCGGCTGGAAGAGGTTGATCTGGGCGAGGATGTAGCCGCAGTGCGAGCCGCAGATGGAGTTCTTGGCCTTGTCGATGCCGGTGACGAGCATGCTGGCGAAGATGACGAGGGCGAAGAGCATGAGGAGCAGGCCGCCGAGCAGCTTGAGCGGGCGGAAAATGGCCTCGGTCTTGATCCACGCCTTGACGACCCAGTGTCGGTCCTCGCCGCTGGACTCGGCGGCCAGACGCTCGCGGCGGATGAGGGTGCGCTCTTCGCGGTTGAGGGCCTCGAGCTCGCGCCTGTCGCGGGCGTCGAGGCCGTTTGGGCGACCCTGGGCGCGGCCCTCGAGCTGCCTCTGGCGCTCGCGGTTGGCTTCGAGCTGCGAGGCCGTGTTGGCGGCGAGGGTCGGGGCGGAGATGGAGGGCGCCGACTTGATGAGGGCGACGGGGAGGAGGGCCATGCCGGCGCCGGTGTACAGGACGAAGAGGAGGGTGCCGATGGTCATGAGCAGGCCGAGAGCAAAGGAGAGGGCGCGCTCGCCATCTGGGGGGGGTTAGCATGGAGCGGTGGGGCTGGAGACGGGACGTGGGGGACTGGAGAC